ACGTTCCAAAACCAAATACACACACTAAAGTGTATGTACGGATCGCACCAAATGAAAAATACATAAAATGTAGCGAATATCAACAATGAAATTTTCTCTTATCCTATCTATTACTATATCCCAAAATCCTCCATCCAAAATTATACCATCACACAGAGCAATTAATTCGAAATCGCATTCAACATTTTCACCTAATTATACACAGATATCCTCACACGAAGGAATGTTCTCCTCCATGTTCACACATACAATGCACACGTGTGTGGCTGCAGAGGAAATGAAAATTTCGATTTCGGATCCAAAGTTCGCGACCATCGGAGATATCGTTTCTGGTGTTTTCCCGTCAAATAGAGCTTCTCTTTCCGAGTCAGAATCTGTATTTCGGTGGTTGAAATACACATTGCGAGAGGTAGAAACGCTCTCCTCCATGGTTCGCAGATATGCGCAGTTGAATATGTGTGGATTGTGGGTGTGAACCTTAAGCGGGAAGTCGCTTTTACGATCGATTGTAGATATCGTCCGTAGTTTTTTCTGAAAGAGAGATTGTGTTTTGCAGTGACAAAGGAGATGTGATGCTGAGATGTTATGTTTTCAGACAGAGAAAGGGTCACGGGTATGTTGTTAGATTTGGTTGACATGCGTATATGTGCAGCGGAGGTGAGAATTTGATGGCAAAGTCGAATTTTGTTGTTTATTGGAAGGATTGAAGTGATAGGTTTTTATATATAAGGGGATGTAGTTCGGATATCGTGCCTTATGATTTTGGCTATTACATGGTTTGTGAAGTGAAAGAAGCTTCATTTCAACCTTGAATAAGAATTTGCTTTGCTCATGGAACCCGGTAGTGGCAACTGGGAGGATCAGTGTTTGTACTCTGCGGATAGGAATGAAGATTTAGTTTTCATGGTGTATATGTAGGAATCTGCTTGTGTGTGGTCGAATTGCATTTAGTTTGAGATTTGAAGAAGTTGTGGTTTTTCCCAATTATCTTGAGGGTATTTTTTGGATGGAGTAGTCTTTCTCTAACAGAGCTAGGACGAGTACAAGTACAATACTTTATACTTAAATACTTGTACTTTCGAGTATTAAAGTGCGTTTTACTTGAAAAAGTACGAGTATCTAAGTATAAAGTATTGTACTTGTACTTTCCCAAAAATACTTGTACTTTGGCAGCCAAGTACTAAGTACATTTTTTAAAGTACAAGTAAAGCACTTATTACTTGAAAAGTACAAAAAACTCAAGTACAAATACTTTCGTCCTAGCTCTGTTCTCTAAGTTGGTGTGGTAGAAGCGATGAGTGACCGTTTGGTTCCATGCGAATCAGGATCTGCGCTGTTTCTAATGCATTTTTGTGAGATAGTGGCCGGCATAGTGTGCAGTAGTTGTATAGGACAGGGTTTTTCTTGAATATACAGATATTACTCGTTTCGATTGTTGAGCCATTGCAACTGCGGCAACCTGCAGGCGTGATACGGAATGGTCTTAAAGAGCTCTCTGAGCGATAGTTGAGATTTTTTTGGAGCAGCAGTTCTGGTGCAGGTATATAGGCGTTTTCAGTATATGCCATTAGCATGGGTATCCGATGACAAATACGAAATATCTATGGCGAACGCATGGCATACGGAGAAATTGTACTGGGTAGAAAAAGCAACATGCTCAAAATTTCGACACTTGCGGTCCTTATATTTCCGGTTTTCCATTGCACAACACGGTTACTTCGGCTGCAGTTTTGAACGCAAAGACGTTGCTGAATCTGGTTTCTGCAATAGGAGTTTGATTAATTTTCTTTGACTCTGATATTTATTCTCCATTCCAGTCGTTCATTTATAGATGCCATTGCCACTTTGACACGTCAGCCTATAGATTATATCTTCTCATTCACCCTTCCTTTCACTTTGATCCACCATCGAGGTTGATCTCAATCTTTTCAAAGCCTGCATCGCTACTGATTGACTACATCGATTCCCTGTAGCCACTGNAAAACGACTACCATTCGTACCTTTTATAGTCAGTGCATTAGCACGTTCATTGAATGCTGCTGCATTTCCGCTGATCATAACTGTTACTATTCCACTTCCTCCAATTGCAGGATCACTAGAAAGAGCAATATCGGCATTATTCCAATTAATATTACGATAACCATTTGGTAAGAGTTCTTGGGATTCGAGCGATAGATCATCGAATGTTATTAATGCCTTGCCAGTCACACAACCTATATTTAAAATAAAGAAATTCATTAAAATGTGGATTTAGTAAACAATGAAAAGCTAAACACAAATAAACAATTACAATATCTAATCGGAGAACAGATAACTGAAAGAAACAGACTACGCTGCAAAAAATTGTTTGAGTATTTGACATATAAGTTGTTGACCAAGTGATGATAGTTATCAAAACGACTCTAGACTTCCTATTTACTTGGATTTAATGTTGTTGTTGCAGTTGTTGTTGTTGTCGTCTTCGAGGTTGCCGTTGATACTACCGATTCGTTGTCTAAAATCAATCATGTGTCTGATTAGTATTGAATATATAAGTATAAACTTTAATAATGATATTTCATTGTCTCAAAAAAGTTTGTTCATACTTCACATTTGATCAATACATACTTGTTGAACGAGATTTCATTACAAATAAAATAATCAGAACTATGCAGAGTATCAGTAAACCAATTAAAATAAAACTTAAAACCAAGATTATCCATTTTAAACAGTTGAAAGAACACTTTTCTTTGATACTGTATTATATAAATAAAAAAAAACAAATCAATAAAGATATTCAAATAAAAAAAAGCTTTTTACCTAATTTCATCAGCTTGTGTTCTTTGTTCAATAGAACGACTTAATGATGGTAGATTATATGAAGCCAATTCAAGAGGAGGAATTGAAGATTCTACATTTGTTCGTACATCATCATAATCTGGTGGATTTTCAAATACTTTTTCATTTAACGCCATCCAATAATAAACTATCTGAAAAATACGCGTAAAAAGCCTTTCTGACTCTCTTAAGCGAGAGGTAACGTTTATTATACTTCCTAATCTTTGTTTTTCAATTCTTTTGATAAATGAACGCGCAAATGTGAATGAAATAACTGAAGAAGGAATGCGTATATTTCGTATTTACATTCTTGTTATCATTATTTGCAGAAGAGCAACATCAATATTTTCACTGAATTCATCAATCATGGTTAATTATCCCTTTACACATGATATATGTAGAGAGATCGATATCTATTTCATATGAATATTTTTAATTAAAAATCGATATAAACAAGTCAATGATGGTTTTACATCGATAAAAGGACAAGTTCAAATGAAAAGCATTACGCGAAAGCGAAGAAAATACTCAAATGAATATCTGTATGTCCATGAAAAGTCTAACCTCATCAGACCATTCTTCGCTCCATCGTATAACTTTATCGAAAAAAATCAAAAAACAACTTTCCTTTTTGAAAACTCAAAATAAGGATGAGAGTAGAAAATCTCTATTAATCCTCGTTTAAATCCTTATAATTTTCATATCCAATACACTCAATGATATTCGCTCCTATACATACATCATCGCGTCGACGAATAGCTTCACCTAATTGAATCGTTCGATCATGCAAAGCTTGATCAATGAGTAAACTGTCGACTACAGAGAGTAGTTCATCATCGGTGAAATGATATATATCTAAACGTATTCCAAAGTCTAATTCATGCATATGTTGAGTATTATCATGTTAATCCCAAGACATTGCTAAAATATAATGTCTCAGTTACAACATTATTACCGCCATGAATAATTACCAAATCAACTAATGGAAATATCTTAGTTTGTGGTAGACTTCGTTCACCAACCAGTGTTTGTTAATTTCAAATAGTTGCCATATGAATCGTTACTGATGACAAATCAATGTTTTGTTTCAGAAAGAATGTCAATTAAATGTTCCAAGAGCTGAGCTTCGGTGCAATGAATTGTACCTAATGAAATATATAGAAAACAACTTCTTGCAGAATGATCTTGAAACGACATTGTCAAATCATAAACTTGATTAGTTTGACGTAACATTCGAATCAAGTCAATATCATATTCGACTGAGTGAATGATATTCTATATAATCAACTTCTCGTAAATAAATATACATATTTGCATATTTCGACTCATTATTGAACTGTAAATCTGATAAAGATGGTACACATCTTGTTGATCAATCCAATTATTAAATGTATTCCACATAGGACGAAACAGAAGTTCATATTCAAATCGAAAATGATTTCATTCACTTCGATCATTTTGTGGTAAATCGAAAAATGTTGGTGTAACATCAATACCAGCAATTCAAGTGGATTACAAGAAATAAAACGTATGAATAATATAGAACTAGTTATGCGAAGAGAAAAGCAAACTGAGTTGTCTTGAATAATAAAATTCAGTTGAACTTCATCTAGAACAGAACGTATGTATTGATGATATAATTTAGCTTTTTCGATTATTTATTATAAAAATCGTTTAATATACATTTTCCAATTGAACAATAATTGGTTGACGATTTACCAATATTGCATCATATTCGAAATCATTCCAAGATTTACTCGTTCTGTTTCGTTGGATCAATGAAATCAACTACATAAGCTTCGAAATCGAGTGATGTCATTGTTTTCTTTCCATGTAGAATCAATAACACGATGACCATGACTTCAGAGAATATCATTCATACAAATACATTAATTAATTCAACAGTAACAACTAAAAGAAAAGAAAAATTCAGTTAATCGATGACAATGTTCAGTTCTAATAATTTTGACGGAAGTAAATGATTTTTCCATAGTCAATCGTATTTTCTAAAACAAACAAATTAATGAACATTGATTGAAAAAGAGAGAAGAAATAAATTACATAATAAACATTGTTGTATTCGAAATAAAAAAACAACATTTTATTACCTTGAGGATATCAATCAAAACATATTGTGCTTGAAACTATATAACTATATCAATGTTCTATTTTCTAACGAGTATTTCTTATTAATATACGATAAATTTTTGAATAAAGTAAAGTATTTAAATGTGTATACATTCAATGTAAAAATAAATATTCTAGATTCTTTTTGCTTCGTCATTTGATATAAAATATCATGTAAATATAAAGATTTTACGAATCACAATTTAAATTGGTTTAAAATACATTGAATATATAAAAATTGGAAAAATATCTACAATTTTTATAAAGATATAAATATACATATCAATCTTCTTTTTCATTTTATTCGTACAATTACATGACAAAGAGAAATAAATACATCGATTTTTTTAATCACTGTACTAATTATTCAGAGATAATGTGTATTATAATATTAATTTTCTGTACAAAAAAGAATGAAATAATATCTGTTATCTCATACTCATCGATTGTTGTTTCATTGTTTAACGAACTCAACTAGAAAAACAATCTGTTAATCATATAAGGGTAGAGTAAATGATCGTGTCAGTACATTGAAAATAATTTTACAATACATTTATTTATTTACAGTATAATGCCATCTTTTCTTATTATTTTATTAAGTAGTCTTTCAATTTATTATTTAAATCGTTTACGAAATACAACTCAAATGAATAATTCAAAAATTCATCATCGAAATATATCAATAACATTTATAAGTATAATCTGTCTTTTTGTTATAATACGAATATCATCTTCACTTATTTATGGATTCTTTCATTTTGATCTTTCTGCAACTGTTTTCGGTCGTTGTATCATAAATACTTTCGATTTATTTCTATATACATTTCCTCTTTTCAATTTTCCGATCTATCTTATCACATTTACTGATTTTCAACGCGAACTATTTCGTTTATTAATGAGAAATCGTGCCACTTTGTCAATGCCTACAAGAAATATTCAGTCTATTGTTAGACAAATTCATTTAGAAAATATTTCAAATAAATGAAAGTAATAGACTATTGCACTTTATATACAAATTCATTCAATTAATGTTATTCTTCTATGTTCTTTATCATAAATGAGCATGTTACATCAAAGTATTTTCTTAATAAAGACATCTTAAAATTCGAGTAAATCCATTGTCATTATATGTTGACCAAGAATTCGAATACCAAACAACACGTGTTTGTGTAGTATCACAATCATAATAAGCATATACTGTAGCCGTTGGAGAATTAGTTAATTTTCGACAAAATCCAGTAGTGTCCCAATATGATGAACTCGATGAACTCCATTGACCACAAGCAACACCATTTGGAAAATATAAACCACTTTGCTGCAAATTTGTGCATTCAGTATATGAAGCGATGGAATTATCTACACTACTGCATGTTATGGTTCTTCCATCAATAACTTGACTCAATGTGAAGGAAGTGCCTGTCAATAATGCTGTTGCTACAAAAGAAATTTTAGGTAAAACAAAGAAATATTCTCATTTACTTACTGGTTGTTGAAGACGTTGATGTTCCGGTCGAAGTTGTTGACGACGATGTCGATGAGGATGTTGTTGAGGATGTGGTTGTTGGTTCTGTTTTAGAAAAACAATATAGAAAATTCTTTCGAAAATAATTCATTCTTTCTCTTTCAATGTTAATATTTTCTACAATTACGACGAGTATAAATCATTATTTTTCAAGACAGAATATGATTAAATGAATTGTATGAATGTATACTGACCAGGTGGTATTCTTGTTTGAGAAATAACAACTATTGACACAGTATCTAGATCAGATAACATACTTGGATTTAACACATCAATAAAAAGGTCACAGTTCAAAGTTGAATGATGAAAACTCGCTGCTTTACATTGAATTTGTTCTAAACAGATCGTTTGACATTTGAAAATATTTCTTGTAAATGTTGTATTATATGGTAAACAGGTTGTGTTTACACATTGGAACCGTTGATTTTTCATTACAGATATTCGAAATGATCGCATATTGTCTGTAATTGATTGTACAATAGAAACAACGCAAAACAAAAGAAGAAATCGCCCACGATTCATTAATGAAAAAGCTTCAAATTAACAAAAAAATGTTTCTTTTGAAATGAATTGTGTTGCACATTTTCTCCTTCTTTTTTTTTACAAAAAAACTTTTTCTCTTTTTTCTGTAAAACAATTCAATTACTCTGAAAGATTACTGATCTTGAAATTACACTCAAAATCATTTTTTATTTTCGTTCAATTCAACGAATTGAAAAAACATTTTTATTTGTAATTTGTAAATTTATAATAGTATAGAAAAATTTATTATGAAGAATATCGATTCTGATCGATATTCTAAAAGAATTCCAATGACCAATATTTATGTTAAAAGAAACAATACATGACTTTCCGCTCTTCATTGTTCTTTTTTAATTTTACTCACATTCGAATATAAAATGTATAACAAAAAGGAAGCTCAGATTTAGTCATACAAAGATTATAATTACAATAATGATGAAAGATAAAATAACCATTGTTTATTTCAAATGCCAAGGTGCATACAAGTCATTAAATATATTAAAGAGTCAAATGAGAGAGAGAGAGAGTGAAATTCAAATATTGGTCATTTACTAGAATGATGTTCGTTATTCTAGAAGAATTTCATAAAGACTAAATTTTTTTTTAAATTTATAAAAATATTAAATGTAGATGTGGATGTTTTTTTATCCCACTAGTTGTTTCAAATATCTTTCAATTTTCGGAAGACAACGAAACAGTTGTTTTGACACTTGTGAAAATGTGAGTCAACTTAACCCTTCTTCTGTGTCGTGGGGTCTAATCGGATTTATTCTATACTTTTTGTGCTACTTGCTTTGGACTTAATGTTTTGGGTGTTCATTTGGTGTAATTTCTAGTCAGATATTGCTAGTTGATATCATACAGATAACTTGCATATAATGCTAAACTAGAGAAAAACCAGTCCATAGGTTCGATCGGACCCTACGACACAGGCGAAGGGTTAATCTTTTTGAATAATGTTGACATTGATTATTATATTATACACTATTACTCTTAAAATATATTTTCTTAATTATTCTAATCAAATAAGATCAATCATCTGAAAATTAGATTTTTTTCGAAAATAAACATAGAAATCTTCATTCTAACAACATTAAATATTTTATTATTTCTCTTTTGTATGATTTTATCCATCTCCTGTTATTTATTTATATATTTTATCATATTCTTTATGAAAGAAATACATTAAAAAATCTTCATCATCATATTATATTAATCCCTTAATCGTTATCGACGTATACATATATGTCCATGTGAAATTNAGCAAGCAAGCAAGCAAACAATTTATGTTTCTAAGACTCTTCTCTACGAGAAAGAGAATTAAATGTTTCATTATTTCTCTTTTGTATGATTTTATCCATCTCCTGTTACTTATTTATATATTTTATCATATTCTTTATGAAAGAAATACATTAAAAAATCTTCATCATCATATTATATTAATCCCTTAATCGTTATCGACGTATACATATATGTCCATGTGAAATTTGCGAAAAAGTTGAAGACTATAATTTCGTAAGTCTATTTTTTGCGTATATTCAGTGTTCATTCTATCATTCTGCATTTGCTGGAACTTTTTCTAGGGATGTTGGCGATTCGTTTCGACTATTTTTCTATGTATGATCTTTATTATAGTTTGTGTTTAGCATAGATTTACATTTCAAATATTGTATAGAAATTAGGAATTACATCAAATACGAAATATGGAACGACAAAGAGTAATTCGAATAGACTAACCGAAAATCATATGAATAAGAACAGAATAAACATATGTACACACACAAGAGAAAAATGAAGCAGTATAAAATCATCTAATATATCTTGTCAGGAATAGCATTAGTGTGAATAATTATGCATTTAGAATAAATTTTTGTCGATAAGTATATCATATTTATTTGTTCATACTTTTCATTCTATGTCCGAATTTGTTTTTGTACGATATCGGACCAACGTCAAACAACGACTTTCGCAATGAAAGAGGTACTGATGATAGTTTGTTATCATCAAGTTCATCTTCTCTTATTTTTTTTTTCATTTAACTAAACGGACAACTACTTCAACAGTTCACAGAGATTCATTTCAATTGGTTGGCAAACGCGAAAATCGCGTCCAAAATTCTCAGATTTCTATTGAGCTTTGAAAGTATATTTTTCCTGAAAATCAATTGCGAATGATTGTACATGAAACAAATCACTACGCTGAAAGTGTATGTAATAAATTGAATGTTCATCAATATTGTTCACGTATAAATCAATGAAGACTAAGAAAGTATGAAGAATTTCATGTTTTTTGTTGCATTACTAATATTACAAGGAATTATAAGAAAACCAGACCTTCAGATGTATTTTACAATTGATGAACTTTAATCTACACCAATTTTCTACAAAACTATTACGACTACGAGGTTCCAAATACTGTTTAGAATGTTACATTTAGAAAATAATCAAAGTTCTGCATTGATTGTTCAAGAGACTATACCAACCTGGAAAGTTTTTAAATATTGATGATAATTTGCACTTATACAAGGGTCGCCTATCGCAGACAGAATATGATTCATTGAAAAGAGCATAATTTTGATTTAAGTTTTTCTTGTTATGTGATATAAATAGATATATTCTATATTTTATTAATTATACGAGTCATTATATTAAATACAAAGAAAAATATAGTGATTTATCTCTATCAGGTCAAATAGTAATGACGTCGGGGAAAGATTATTTACATTTAGGACATTGTGTTGTAACAGATAATTGTTACTCTTTGCTGCAACTCTTTCAAGAACTTGTGAATAGAAAGGCAGATAGTATTGGAACTGCCGATTCGAATAGAAAAAGCTTTCCACTTGATTTCAAACATTGTAAATTCAAAAGAAATGAAAGGATTATACGAAAAAAATGGCCTTGAAATAGTTTAACAAGAAATATGTTTATATATTATCAACATACAACACGATAGTCATCCAAAAGAGACAAACTCAAATTGAAAAACTACGATGCATTCATAAATATAATAATACAATGGATGGAGTACATATGATTGATTAATTATTAGTTCATTATGGTATTTCTAGGAAAAGATAATAACAAAAAGAAATTCGAATCGCTTTTGTTTATAAAACGCAAGCTCAAGAAACAAGTAACGACGTTACGACACAAGTTCAATTTTGCATGAATTTTTCTCGTTTCTTGTTAGAATACAATCTAGAAGAAAATCTATCAAAACATTTAGTCAGACGAGAAAAACCAGTAAGTGAATTGATACCAACAGGATTACTTGAACAACTTTTTTCCATCATTGATTCCTTCAACTGAAAATAAGAATCATGCAGCACGACGATGCTACGTTTGTAATCATATATCAAACAAAAATGATCGAGCAAGAGACGAATGTTCGATTTGCAATGTTGCACTTTGTGTGAATTCATGTTTTCGTGTTTACCATACCGTACTAAACTTTAGAACAAAATTTTGAAATTTCAGAACGCTTCGTTTTGTAGACTTAGTTTTTTCGCAGCTTACAGATCTTTTTTACAATCTCTACTGAGTTTTTTGTTACGTCTTCAAGTTATGTTAGATTGCAGCACTGCAAATGAATATGATTCAAAATGAAGACATTCACATTCATATAAACTCTTTAGACAATGATGTGTGAGTGAGCGATAGCGCAAATTTTTTCTAAAAAATGGAAAGTGTTCGAGTTACAGTGGGAGTTGCAACACAAAACATTATTTTGCAGCGGACATGGGTATAGATGAGAATTCGGTTTAAGGATCTAAAGGGGCAATCCTGCGAATAAAATCCGATTAGCACGTTTCTTAATTTGCAACGAAGATCAAAACAAAAAGCTTCATAGTGCATGCGGATTGTTTATTAGAATTTTGAAGAGAAAAAATTTTAATAAGTATGTCTAGTAAGTAACATGTTTCCACTTGAATCCAATCTTCAAGATGTCTGATGTGTAGAACATCGACATGGATTGTAAAGAATATATAGACTATTGTTCATCAAGTTCATATTAATGATATTTTGACAAATATTATTATTGAAAATATCGACGTCATCTGTAGAATTATTAATTATACTCGAATAAATAATTTGTGTTTGAAAATTTCCATTTCCATCTCCTAGAAGCCCATAGATTTCATTTGATGAAGGTAAACCAAGAATGAGATCTAAATGACTATCACTATTTAGATCATATGTAACTATCGCCCGCGAATCTAATGATACAGAAGTTTCTGTAACAATTTGTTGATTCAAATGAAAGGTTTTATTATCATATCGATAGAACATAGCGACAGTATTTTCCCAACTATGAAGATAAACAATATCAGCTTGATGATCATTATCAAAATAACCAGTAATCATATTAAATTGAAAAGTATCAAATGCAGTGTAAAGCGCCTTTTCTGATTGAAAACTTCCATCGGTATTTCGAAGAAATACATGAATATGAAGTGAACGAGTATTCATCGCAGCTATATCTAAATAACCATCATTATCAAAGTCAGAAATAGCTAATTGATTTGCATCACTTGTAAGACACATGAATAATTTTAATGGTGATGCAAATGTTCCATCACCATTTCCAAAAAAGACATAAACTTCATTAATATATTGACTTACACTAATCAGATCTAATTTAGTATCATTATTAATATCTATAAGATTAACATCAGTTGGACGACTTGTTATACTGTGCAATAAAACATTTTGTGTCTGAAATGTTCCGTTGCCATTACCAAATAAAATGTAAACATTTCCAGGACCCATAGAACTAATTACTAAAATGAGATCGACTTGAGCATCATTATTCACATCGCCAACACAAATTTTGAGTACAGATCCAATCATATAAACGAATAATACATCTCCAAATGAACCATCAGAGTTAGCTAATAAGACTTGCAATAGGAAACCATTTTCACATGAAAAAACGAAATCTAGTCGATGATCATTATTTAAATCTGCGATCACATATGGACCAAAATTCGCGAAAGGATAACAGTGTGGATCAATTGGTATTGATCTAACTTTTAATTGGCATACGAGTTCTAAAGATTTCCAAAATTTATAAATCTATATTTATAAAATCAACTAACCTGATGTGTTGGAAGGTACGGACATTGTTGTACTTAAATTATTTCTGATTGATACATTTGTCATCAAATTCATCATAATCTTATTTTGTCGTGCATAATATATTGAAAATATAATAACACATACAAATATGAATGTTAGTGAAACAATCACACCTATTATTTTGAACAATGATCGATTAGATGGTATAACATTATTCTCAATTGTTTCAGATGGTTTTTTAATAAAGACAACAGGACGAATAGAATTTATCCGTTTTTTTCGATTTTCATAGATATTTAATCCGATTTGAATTAGTTTTGGACAAATCCATTTAAGAACAATGGTCAAACCACCTTGAAGACCAAGAATAACAGTGATTATATAGAAAACATTAAATTGTTCAATACTTGTAAAAGAACACAATAAAGGTGAACATTGTTCATAATACAATGAATAAAACATAGATGTTGACCATTTTTCAATAAATAGATTTTGTATAAGTTCATCAATAGTTGTATTTTGTAAAAATCGACTCGACATTAATGTCAAAGGTTCTGATAAATTTTTAAAATTTGTATATTGTCGAATAAGATCAAGACATGATTGATCATAAAAACATTCAAGAGTTGAAACAAGAAGTGATTCACTTGGTGTACAACCTATTTTCATACCTTTAATTGACTCATTGACAGATGTATTCGTATTAATAAAACTTGCTTGAGTTGTACAATTTGGAAATAAACCACACGAACAATTATTATCATAGATTATAGGTTCTGTATAGAAAATAAGTAAATCATAGTCATCTGAAGTTAATATATATTCAAAATTTGATCCATAAACTGATTCAAATGCGTTGCCATGAATAATACTTTGAGTAAAGAAAAGAAGATGAGAAAAGTAGGTCGGAGCATTTGATTTACTCTGTTCAATCAATGTTGTGAGACGATCATGAAAAATATTCTGAGATAAAAGTTGATTACTGACTAATAATGATGTGAGAAAATTGTTTATAGAATTATTCACTGTTTGAATTGATAATCGACATAATTCTTGAAGATATTGTAAATGAGCTGAAAGAAATCGACGATAATCTTTTTTATCATAAACGGACAGATTCAAAACAAGACCATTTGTTAAATCAATTCGCCATTCATCGGAAACAAATTGACTTGAGCAAATCTACAACAATTCATATCAATCAAAATTTCGTTCACATGAGAAAGTTCTATCCTATACCGAATGGAATTCTGGTTGAATATTAACAAATTGATTATATGTTGATGCTATTCGTGAACATGAACATTTTAATTCATCACCGTAGGTCTCTTTTAAAGAATTATAATAAATAAAAGATGGTTTATTAAAAATGTTTGTAATTGGACGTGATTGAAAAATTGTATAAAATATCAAAATAGTAAGACTGGTTAAAAGCAAAACAATATAAAGTCGAGTTGCCCATCGACCATAATGTGTAATTGTTACTCGATCAATATTATTACCAAAATCGCGTATTGAAAATATATTCAATTCAACAAATGTTGTTCGTACGAATTTAAGAATATTATTTAACATCATCACTAATCGATTACCATCATTATGTTGAACTAAAGATTAAAAAACAATGAAACATTTTCTAATAAATAGTTAATTACTTTCTTGTGATTTTTTCTTGAATAAATCTAAAAATTTTAATGTAAATTTGATAAGACGAGGTGTAAAAATACGTAATGATACTACAATTCCGCCAATCATTGATATTAATGTGATTATTACACCAAGAAAATTCTGTTTACGAACACTTTGTGAATACAAACAATATAACGGTGCACAAGACTCATAGAATTGTTCATATGATAAGATTGGATTCCATTGTTCAATCATCAATTCTTCAACAAGTATTGAAATAGTTGTATTCGGTGGAAAACGACTGTTTATTGGATTATAATCTAAAGGTTGTAATCGAGTTGATGATGATAAAAGTGATAATGCATTCGTATCTATTTTCCTTATATAACTCATTAATAAAAGGAAACAATTGGAATCTTTATATAAACATTGAAGTGAAGAAAACAGAATAGAATTCCGAGCGAGACAACTTTCAATCCAACCAGATAGATTATGAATGTTTCCATATCCAGAGACGCGATTAAAATCATCAATAGCATCATCATCAGACACAACTGCTACTCTTTGACAAGATGGATTTGTTGCACAAACACATGTTATTAATTCTGAATTGATATCTTCAACACCATATAAAATAAAATCGCTCTACAAACAAAAGGAATTATTGAACATTTGCAAGAAACTGTGTTATGTGTATGTACCTTATTATTCATTGTATTCATCGTTAAAGCGGGATCAGGATGTAATCCTTGTGTTTGAACAATAATTCCTTCGTGAAATTGATTAACTTGTTGAATAATTTGTATAATATCTTTCATTAAAGCAAAATTATAAGTTGTTGATTGATAAAATTGGTTAAGACTTGTATATATTTGTGTATTCAAATCCATTTGATTGATAATAGAAGATGAAATAAATGATTGTAAAAGAAATTGATTCAATGCAATGTTAATTGTTTGATTTGCTAATTGACAAAGATCCGATAAGATTTGAAATTGTTTATACGCATTTACACGCCAATCGTATGTATGATCTGTCATCATACTGTTGATCATTTCTTCAATCCAATCAGTCGTAACAAATCCACTTAAACATATTTGATGAAATATTGGAGAGATTGAAAGAAATGTTTTATAAGGTATTGTTTGATTTCCACATGGACATTGAAGTGTAGTAGAATATTTACTTTCCAATAAATTATATGATGTTAATGATGGATTTGAAATAGATATTATCGTTATTTCAGTATTCAATGAATTGAATAAACAAAGAGTAATGATTGATCCTAAAAGATTATGATAAAAATGTTTTATACAAAGAAAATATTTGACAAAAATTACCTATTAATAAAATTAAATAGACACGAGTTATAATTCTTTGTTGTTTAATATTAGTTTCACTTCTTTCATTAATATTTTTAAATAAATTCAATTGTTTAATAAATTGAAATGGTTTCATTGTTTGTGTATTCTGATTTTCTATAGAAAATAAACGAATTTTTGTTTGTAAGAAAATGAATTCATCTTCTAAATAAAAATTTCATTTGATTTACCTGAATGATTTTTATATTTAAATAAAAGATCAATAAAATATGAGACTATTAAGCGAAGTATGATAATAAGACCACCGTAAAGACTAATAAGAACTGTAATTGCATATGATAGATTTCGACGATTTATTGTTGTATATGTACACATTGATGAAGAACATTGAGCAAAATATGAAGAATAATTTACATTTGATAACCAATTTTCAATAAAAAGATTTTGAAAATGAAATAATATTGAATTATTATTATTTCCAGAAGATAAAATTGAAGTATTCCAATTGAAGTTTGTCTAAATAAAACGAGAAATTTTTGAGAAAATATTGTTTAAAATGAGATACAAACTTGATTAAGATTTGGAAAATAATTGAATAATAGTTGAATACATTCAAATTCATATAAACATTCCAATGTACTTTGAAGAAGTGCATCAAAAGGTGTACATCCAACAACGAAACCATTTATATTTGTATAATTAGACATTAATGTTGAATCTTCAAGATCTATTGAATCATTTGATATTGAAAAAAAAGTCGCTTGAATAACTGGATTGTCAAGACCACATTGTATAGATGATCCATTGTCATAGACGATATATGATATTTGATAGCCAAATATAATAAGACCATGACCTTGATCAATTGCATAAAATTCTGCGTTTGTACCAAGGGCTGAAATGAGAAAATTTCTTTGAATTGTAGTTCTCCAATAATTTAAGAATGATATCATTTGATTGAAAGCATTATTCTTTTGAAATTCAATAGTATTATCTATTTCCAATTGAATTTGCTTTTTTGAAAGAACATTCATCGATACAAGTTCAGTATTATCAATATCAGATTGAATTTGAGACTTAATACTTTGAGAAAGTGAACATAATCGTGATAGAAGTTCAAACTAAATCAAGAAAGAAAAGATTTGTCCTTTCAATCTCTAAACATGATAAAAAACATTGTTGGAATTTACCTGAGAATAGGCAACTTTTCGAAAATCCTGTATGTTATATCGACTGGCATTTGCAAAATATAATCCTTCGATCCATTTCTTATCAACAAAGTAACTTGAACAAACAGGATGCATTATGATATTATTTGAAACGAAATTTTTATATGATATTGCAATTGTTGAACATGGGCATGAAAGTGTTTGATCATATTCATTATACAATTGATCAAAATTATCAGGTGTAACGTTGGATATGACAATTGTTTCGGATTCCATTTTAATACATATTCCATAGAACAGAATATATAGACAAACTAAAATAATCAATTTGGATGAGAACAATTCTTACTTGTTAGATATTTACCTGCGAGAAGAACAATATACAATCGAGTTTTATACTTCTGCTTTCGAAGTATAATAACTGGATCTTTGATTGTATCGTCATTTTCATAATCATGTTGATCTAATATGAACAGATTATAACTTGATACTTGTTTGTAAATCCAAATAAAGAAAACTTTCGGATTTATCATGTTGAAGAAATGATTTCTAAAACGTTCGAATTGATAAACACTGTCGTAAATTGCAATAAATGGGAAAAGGGAGAGAAAAAGAAAGGTTACGTGTGCTTTTATATAAATATCTTTGCGCTGAATTTGTAAAAACTCAGTTGATACTATATCACAGATGGTTTTTTTGGTCAATAACCCATATGCTTGCCTCTTTTAGGATTCAATTTCAATCTTTTATGAACGACTTGCTGAGCTGCAAAAAATGAGAAAAGATTCTATTCTTTTGCGTATGAATATTTCTAAAATAATTTTCTAACAGCATTCCATTGAGTTCTTACCCTGAGTTATTCCTTGATTAACAAGTCCTATAGTTGCTTTTCTTCTATATTCTCTCGCACTCTATTTTATGATTGACGTCAGCAAGCGTTGAAATACGCTTGAATATTCGATGAAAGTAGAGCAACATTTAAAAATGTTCTTGGTATACAAAAGTTCCGATTTTCTATTGCGATCGACATGAATATATTTGAAATTTGAACAAAGTTATCTATTCGAATGAGAGATTCATTCTTACAGAATATCAACTGAAATATTCCTTCGTAAGTTCATTGGAAATCATAATAAGATTAGTCATGTCAAACCTGAAACTTAAATTCAACTATTTGTTCGAGTATTCAAGTATTCGAATTAACTGGGACACATGGCTCGATAATATTCATTTCGTAAGTGAAATTTCATTGACGAACGAGTAAAGTATTGTCGATCTTTTTCCTTCGTTTTAGTATGAATATGCCCGATTATTCGAGTTGAGCATTGATTGACTTTCTTCTTCTGTTTTCTATTCGAACATAGAGTTGTTTGTTTCTTGTTCATCGTTAGCTTTTTCTGCTTTTTGCTATTCATCAAAACTTCATTTTGGTTTTTAATAAACAACGAAGAAGAAACAAATGATACGGAAATGTGAATTCGATTAGAATTCACTTAATGTTGGCATTGATTGTATGATGAGCTCTGTGATTGATCTTGTGACAAGAGTAGATAGAATCTAGTGATCCTCGTATAGAATTTATTGTGATATCTGCTAATTGTTTTTTTTCCATTAATGACAACTAAATTAACTTCGAAAAGTTCTGTTTGTAATTTGCTCTTGCAGTAAAAAGATGCATGTACATAAAAGATATGTCAGAGCATTATCAAAGAAAAACATATGCTTAGATCACATGTGAATGAATAATACTGAACGGCTTCGTACTATAGATATGATATGAAAATAAGCTCAAGTTGATTTTTTAATGTAAAGATAAAACAAGTAGCAGAGAGATACCAAAATTAAGATGAACATGTTTCATGAACTGTATTTTGATCAAGGGGAAAATAACGGACTCCCGGGAATAGACTGTTTCCTTCTAGGCTATATATATATGGTAACGGGAAGGCCGGAAAGTGGGTTACAAAATAGCTAAAATAATCTTGTTTTAGTACAAAAAGGTGAGAAAAGTTCCGAGAACTTTTCTTCAGTTTCTATTGTTCTAGAGCTTTGTGATCTTTCAGAAGTTTTTCTAATGGAATTCTTTTATCTTTCTGTTAAAGCAAAATTTTTATTTTACTGGTTTATTTTATTTTATTTTTTCAACAACGTGTACTTTTCAGGATAATACTAATAAAAACAACAACAAAAAAAAAAGATTTAATGTGCTCGATCATGTGGACCGAAATGAAAGCATCGCTTCATTAGCGATTTCATCGAAATTTGAAATGTTTTTCGAAACATACTACTACAAGCATAATGAATATAAAATGAAATACCAAATTTCATGGTATAAAGTATAGTGCTCAATTGCAGAAGAATATATTCAACTTGTTGTCGTTCAACACTTTTCTGTATTGAGCTAGTAAAGAATCTGTATGGCATTAATATATCTCGTTGAACACCTAATATTACTCCTAGAAAGGCTTGTACAAATATTAAAATAAATAATTGTCGCTGCATTCTTTGAACAGCACGTGTTGACTGATCCGAAGCAGAAATTATATCAATACGATTTCTTGATTGTCGTACGTGAATCCATGTAATAATACCACAGATCAATACACCACCATGAGGAACCAGAGAAAGAAAAATACTCGCATAAATAACAAGAATAATTGTTCCAAGACCAGGTAAAGTTGTACATATACCATTATAAGTATCATAAATAATTACACAAAAGATACTTGAAATTGAAAAGAACAACATTGTTATAGTGAAAAGACGTTTAGCAAATGGTATTGAACAGAATTGTCGCCAATAAGCATTTCTTGATGTTGATAAACAACGATCAAATGTTGATAATAGAAGGCAATTTAACGCCATTAATGGTAAACATATTGAAAAGTAAGAATATATTTTGCATAGTGAACGATTTGTCTGCATAATATTTTCTCCGGAATATTGTGCTCTTAGATATGTTAGTATAAGCAGATTGAGAAAAGATAAATCAAGAACAGAAGAGAAAATCATATAAAATATACAAGATTTTGTTCGAAAATCTTTTGATAAAAATGTAAGAATATTCAATATACTTCCAATTGTTCCCAGAATCTCGATAGTACAGAAACTGAACAGCATTATATTATTCATTAATTCGATTGGTGATACCATATTAAATGAATCAAATTGCCCTTGATAAGGAGAGATAATTTGAATGTCAAATAATTTTTATTGAAAAAACCAAGCAACCATATAGAAGAGACTGATGTTACAGAAATGTTTTGCAGTTTGCTTCAAAAACAGACATCGTTTTTATTCCTTCTGATAAAATTTCATCTATCATAAAATGCGACGTCATTCTAATTGTAATGCGCATGAGAAAATAGAACGATAGCACATGCCATTAAACGGCTCTTCATGCATCAAATCCTTTAAAACATTCAAAATGAGACGTGATTAACTACTTCTTTAACCGTAAAGTGACCCTCCGCTCTATTTTTTCAAAGATATTAACATTTTATCATTTATTTAATTTATAAATTATTTTTGTATCTTGTATAGAAAATGTTTTCTATCATTGAAGAGCAAATCCAATAGGAGAGCAAATGTCTGGGGTACGGTGACACGACAGTTGAGCCCTCGACAACTGAGTCCCGACAGTTGAGCCCCGACAAATGAGCCCACCGACAGTTGAGCTCCCAACAAATGAGCTCCCGACATTTGAGCTTGTTATGTGGTGGTTTTTCCTAAATTAAAGTCCAAACTATTCGTGCATTGCTCAATGTACGATCTGACGATAGATTACGTGACGATATACGGCTTTATACTGATTCGCATCACATGTACACTAGCGACTTTTTCTTTCAGAAGTAAAATGTTGAAATATCTAATTGGTTATTTATTTAGTGTAATACATATATCTGATCGAAAGAAACGCAAAAAGTCATTCTTCAGATATTTCTTTTCAAAGTATGTCGATTATACAATCATCAAAGAAAAAAGATCAGCTTTTGTTCGATGGTTTTCGATATCGACGAGCAAACAAAAGTCAAGTAACTTGGCGATGTGTTCGTAACAGTTGTGCTGGTCGATTAACTGTAGACAATAAGGAGAATCATATGCAATATAATATTTTAACCGATCATAATCATGCACCTAATCCGGATGAATTAATATCTAAACAATTTAAGACAAAAATCGAGGAACGCGCCGAAATATCGAATGAAGCACCAAGAAAAATTATTCATGAAGCATTATCAGAGATTCATCCGGATGATGCATTAGCTGTACCTAATTATACAAGTAACGCTCGCCTTAGGGCTCGCTCAGCTCTTTCTCGTAGAAATATTGATTTCAGATGTTATATTTTTTATCCATTATTATGTATATAAATTTATTTCCATTATAGATTAGATGTTTTGACAAAAGTAACAATAGATATTTATACCAAATGTTAAATAGAGGATTCGATATTTTAAAGAAATGCAAATATAGTTAGGAAGATTATGAATGACTACATNTCTGCATTCATTGTTTAAGAGACTATACCAACCTAGAAGGTTTTTAAATATTGATGATAATTTACACTTGTAGAAGGGTCGCCTGTCGCAGAAAGAATATGATTCATTGAAGAGAGTATGATTTTGATTTAAGTTTTTCTTATTATGTGATATAAATAGATATATTCTGTATTTTATTAATTATACGAATCATGATATTAAATACAAAGAAAAATATAGTAATTTATCTCTATCAGGTCAATTAGAACATTATGTTGTAACGGATAATTGTTACTCTTTGCTGCAACTATTTCAAGAACTTGTGAATAGAAAGGCAGATGGTATTGAAACTGCCGATTCGAATAGAAAAAGCTTTCCACTTGATTTCAAACATTGTAAATTCAAAATAAATGAAAGGATTATACGAAAAGAATGGCATTGAAATAGTTTGACAAGAAATATGTTTATATATTATCAACATACAACACGATAGTCATTCAAAAGAGACAAACTCAAATTGAAAAACCACTATGCGTTCATAAATATAATAATACAATGAGTGTGGAGTATATATGATTGATTAATTATTAGTTCATTATCGTATTTCTAGGAAAAGATAACAAAAATACGACGAAAAATATTCATTGGTTTACTTGATTTGATCACACTTAATTCGAATCGTTTTTGTTTATAAAACACAAGCTCAAGAAACAAATAACGACGTTATGACACAAGTTCAATTTTGCATAAGTTTTTCTCGTTTCTTGTTAAAATACAATCTAGAAGAAAATCTATCAAAACATTTAGTCAGACGAGAAAAACCAATAAGTGAATTCATACAAACAGGATTACTTGAAAAACTTTTTTCCATCATTGATTTCTTCAACTGAAAATAAGAAACATACAGCACAATGATGCTACGTTTGTAATTATACATCAAACAAAAATGTTTGAACAAGACATGAATGTTCGATTTGTAATGTTGCATTTTGTGTGGATCCATGTTTTCCGCATCGTACTAAACTTTGGAACAAAATTTTGAAATTTGAAAACGTTTCGTTCTGTAGAATTTGTTTTGTCGCAGCTTACAGATCTTTTTTTAATCATTTCTACTGAGTTTTTTGTTACTTCTTCAAGTTATGTTAGATTGTAGCAGTGCAAATGAACATGATTCAAAATGAAGATATGCACATTCATATAAACTCTTTAGATAATGATGTGTGAGTGAGCGATAGTGCAAATTAAAAAAAAAAAGAAGTGTTAGAGTTACAGTAGGAGTTGCAACACAAAACATTATTTTACAGCAGACATGGGTATAGATGAGAATTTGGTTTAAGGATCTGAAAAGCAATCCTACGGATAAAATCCGATTAACACGTTTCTTAATTCGCAATGAAGATTAAAACAAAAAACTTCACAGTGATTAGAATAATTTTATATACGGATTATTTATTAGAGTTTTAAAAAGAAAAAATTTTAATAATTATGTCTAGTAAGTAATATGTTTCCATTTGAATCCAATCCTCAAGATGTCTGATGTGTAGAACATCGACATGGATTGTAAAGAATATATAGACTATTGTTCATCAAGTTCATATTAATTATATTTTGACAAATTTTATTATTGGAAATATCGACGTCATCTGTATAATTATTAATTATACTTGAATAAATAATTTGTGTTTGAAAATTTCCATTTCCATCTCCCAGAAGCCCATAGATTTCATTTGATGAAGGTAAACCAAGAATGAGATCTAAATAATTATCACTATTTAGATCATGTGTAACTATCGCCCGCGAATCTAATGATNATCATTTGATTGAATGCATTATTCATTTGAAATTCAATTGTATTGTCTATTTCCAATTGAATTTGCTTTTTTGAAAGAACATTCATCGATATAAGTTCAGTATTCTCAATATTAGATTGAATTTGAGACTTAATACTTTGAGAAAGTGAACAGAATCGTGATAGAAGTTCAAACTAAATCAAGAAAGAAAAGATTTGTCCCTTCAATCTTTGAGCGTGATAAAAACATTATTGTAATTTACCTGAGAATAGGCAACTTTTCGAAAATCCTGTATGTTATATCGACTGGCATTTACGAAATATAATCCTTCGATCCATTTCTTATCAACAAAGTAACTTGAACAAACAGGATGCATTATGATATTATTTGAAACAAAATTTTTATATGATATTGCAATTGTTGAACATGGGCATGAAAGTGTTTGATCATATTCATTATACAATTGATCAAAATTATCAGGTGTAACATTGAATATGACAATTGTTTCAGATTCCATTTTAATACATATTCCATAGAATAGAATATATAAACATACTAAAATAATCAATTTGAATGAGAATAGTTCTTATTTGTTAGATATTTATATACCTGCGAGAAGAACAATATACAATCGAGTTTTATACTTCTGTTTTCGAAGTATAATAACTGGATCTCTGATTGTATCGTCATTTTCATAATCATGTTGATCTAATATGAACAGATTATAATTTGATACTTGTTTGTAAATCCAAATAAAGAAAACTTTCGGATTTCTCATGTTGAAGAAATGATTTCTAAAATGTTCGAATTGATAAACACTGTCATAAATCGCAATAAATGAAAAAAGGGAGAGAAAATGAAAGTTTACGTGTGCTTTTATATAAATATCTTTACGTTGAATTTGTAAAAATCCAATTGGTAATATATCACAGATGGTTTTCTTGATCAATAACCCATATGCTTACCTCTTTTAGTATTCAACTTCAATTTTTTATGAACGACTTGCTGAGCTGCAAAAAATGAGAAAAGGTTCTATTCTTTTGCGTATGAGTATTTCTAAAATAACTTTCTATAACAACATTCCATTGAGTTCTTACCTTGAGTTATTCCTTGATCAACAAGCTCTATAGTTGCTTTCCTTCTATATTCTCTCGCACTCTATTTTATGATTGACGTCAACAAGCGTTGAAATACGTTTGAATATTCGATGAAAGTAGAGCAACATTTAAAAATGTTCTTGGAATACAAAAGTTCTCATTTTCTATTATGATCGACATGAATATATTTGAAATTTGAACAAAGTTATCTATTCGAATGAGAGATTCATTCTTACAGAATATCAACTGAAATATTCCTTCGTAAGTTCATTGGAAATCATAATAAGATTAGTAATGTCAAACCTGAAACTTGAATTCAACTATTTGTTCGAGTATTCGAATTAACTGGGACACATGGCTCAACAATAATATTCATTTCGTAAGTGAAATTTCATTGACGAATGAGTAAAGTATTGTCAATCTTTTTTCCTTCATTTTAGTATAAATATAGTCAATTATTCGAGTTGAACATTGATTGACTTTCTTCTTCTGTTTTCTATTCCAATGTAGAATTATTTGTCTGTTTCTTGTTCGTCGGTAGTTTTTTCTGTCTTTGCTGTTATTTCTATTCATCAAAACTTCATTTTGATTTTTAATAAACAACAAAGGAGAAGCAAATGACATGGAAATGTGAATTCGATTAGAATTCATTTCATGTTGGCATTGATTGTATAATGAGATCTGTGATTGATCTTGTGACAAGTATGTATAGAATTTGGTGATTCTCATATAGAATTTATTGTGATATCTGCTAATTGTTTTTTTCCATTAATGACAACCAAATTAACTTCGAAAAGTTCTATTTGTAATAGAATCAGACATATGTGCTCATGACGAGCTAGTATATACTCTTACTTAACCATCTCTGTTCCGTCAATGAGTCTAGACCGTGTTTTTTTTCATGCATCTTTCTCTTGTTTGTTGTTGTTAAATTTGCTCTAGATGCATGTACATAAAAAATATGTCAGAGCACTATCAAAGATAAACATATGCTTAGATCACATGTGAAGGAATAATCGGCAAAACCAGCCATCGGTCACCCATCTATGAGGAAGGTTTGACTTTAAAAGTCATGAGAACGAACACTTTCACGTGAAAGAGCATCGACGATAGTACCTATAACAGATGTCGTAAGGGTCTGAATGATCAGTTTTACATTGGCGTAAACATCGTCTTCTCCATCATAGAGGGCGTAGTATGAACTTATGATTGGATCATCAGAGAAGAACCGTTAANACAAGTAACGCTCGCCTTAGGGCTCGCTCAGCTCTTTCTCGTAGAAATATTGATTTCAGATGTTATATTTTTTATCCATTATTATGTATATAAATTTATTTCCATTATAGATTAGATGTTTTGACAAAAGTAACAATAGATATTTATACCAAATGTTAAATAGAGGATTCGATATTTTAAAGAAATGCAAATATAGTTAGGAAGATTATGAATGACTACATAAAAAAACGAAACTTAGAAAATACTGCAGGTAATGTATTATACATTGAGAGAAAACAGGTAATTATGTAATAATTAGCATGAGTATAAATAGAGGTAAAGAGAATGAATATGTATAAATCGTTTTTTCAAGATAATTTCAAATTATGTTACGTTTTATATGCCTACAATAACACTAGACTCTTAACAAAGTATCAACTTACACATGTTCAAAAAATAAAAGAGGCACATTCTCGCTTTGTCTTTTTATCTAGTTCATCTAAACGTTTCAGTTCAGCGTCTTGCGCAGAAGAAGGTTGAACTTGTAGAACCTTCATGTCGAAAGGTCGAAGGATAACTATATCTTCTCCTTTCTTCACTCTGCTGAGTGGTACATATATCGATGCTACTTGCATTGTCCCAGGCGGAACTTGAAGATCGACTACGATTTTGTTCATTGTGAGTCCTTGCGCCTTGTATGTAGTTATAGCGAAGGCAGGTACAATTGGTAGTTGCGTTCTTGTAACTTGAATAGCTTGTGGAATTTTTCTCCCACTTTGCACTCGATCGAGTAGATGCCCGAGGAGTTGCTTTATAGGAACAGTGAATCGCTTTTTGATTAATGGAATAGGAATTAGCTTAGGGCGAAGACCGTCAAGATTTGTTTCTACTTGTGATGTATTAATTTCCACGAGTGCATATAATGGCTTTCGTATTTATATTGTATTGATGGGGAATACATCACTCTTTATCTTAAAACCTCCTGGCTCCTCCTGATCCTCGTATACGAGCTCTCGAAAAATTCCTTGTGTACCATTCGAAAGTCCTAGTTCACACGCAATGTTATCGGTGAGAAGTACAGGCATGTTTGGTACCAAAGGCAAAAGGCCGGGAAGAAGTTCAGTCTTGTTGTCAGGTATATGGTTTACTTCAAACTACGTTTGTGAAAGTTAGTTACTAATTATTACAACACNAGCTACGGCTTATCGCAATCGCAAGAATGGCGTTAACTTGAACAATTAAAGTTAAGTTAAACTGGCACTCATAAAATGTATATCTGTTTCTTGTGTTGAAGGTTAAGTTAGAACATTCGCTCTCTTTTACATAAATAGAATGACAGCTCCTTCATCGAGATTCTCTAACAATGGGATGTGAATTCATTGTGATGAATTAATTACCCCATGGTATTTTAGTAAATAAGAAAACATGAAAAACCTTCGAAAAAACAAACTTTATCGATTCTCTTGGGAAACAAGGCGTTTAGCTTATTGGACAAGTTAAGCCGCTTTTCGATATCCCCAAACAGATAACTTTTAAGATAATCATCAAATCTACAAGAACGCTGTAATATCTTACTTTAAAACACCTGTAGTTCTGTTAACAGATAACTGCCGATTAGTTTCTTTCAATACAATAACCACGACATACATATGCGAGCATTTACAACGAAGAGCAAACATAGTAGCCGATTTATTATCTGGCTGTGGAAGATAGTATTTTATGTAATGCGTGCTATATGTTATATCGTTCCATAGGATTTTACTCTGTGCTTTCTGCAATAAATTATGAAACGAATGGAACTACAATGTTCTAGTTCTTCTACAAACAGTAAGAGCAGAGGAAAATGACAAAACGCTTCCATTCTATGAAATTAACATATACTTTGGAAAACAAACACGAAGCGCAGTTTTTCAGATTATGATCAGACACAAATGGCAAACCCTAACATTATAATAACTTCCATTCGATTGTTGTTTGGGATGTCGTATTTTGAAATATAGAAATAAACGATGATATTATTTATAGATCATTCAGTATAAATTCTTCTGCTTGACGAAGTTCGATGAGCATACGATTCGATATTAGATGTTTTGTAGAGTATAATATCGATGAAATATGTGAATACAATCTGGTGTGAAATGAATTTTTGACAAATATTTGGTGTTCTACCGTTTTATGATCGTTTCAGGAAATGTCATGTCAGTTAGAGATGATGAAGAAAACAAACTTCATGAACTTTATTTTGACATAGCTAGATTTTCATTTATCTACTCTTTTCTTAATTTTCATCTCATTAAAAAGTTACCTTGGTAATACTAATGTCATTCCTATTTGTGATACCTATAAAACAAATCAAGGACGCGAGTTCTCTCTGAAATCCAAACTAATCTGCTTAGAGTCTCTTTGCTTGGCGTGTCTGGAAATAGATATGTTGCTCGTCATACATACAGATACATATCTGGTTTTTTCTCTTACCTTCAGCTATATTTTTCAATAATGTTTAGAAAATAAAAATATTTTTGGACGTTTCAGTAACACTTAAATAAGTCTAGCTGCGAAGGCTAGAACATCTCTGACAAGCGTAAGATAAGTTGATTGTTAGGACGAGAAAATAGTTTTGAATGAAGTCTTAATCAATATTGAGTAATACTATAGCAAAAGAGTGGATGATTGTAAAGAGGATAATTTAATTATGTCGAAATACGATCATCATGATCCAGAAATGGGCAAGTCAGAGGCTTTTCCAAGTCAAGTCACAAATCACGTGATTTACTTTGATTTAACTTGATTCAAGTCGTAAATATATCTGACTTTCCATCTCTGATGCTAATTGGCTCTATGAGTTAGTCTGTCGTCTTTAATTCTGAATTTTTGGCAAACTTGAAGTCTTAATTTCGTACTAAAATGTATAAAACACCAACGTATATGTGTAAAATTTTCGATTTGACTTATCCATATCTGAATTCCACATCAACAAGTTATCATAATCCTTATAATTCGGTAATAAAAAAAAATTTCAGGGGCTTTTATTTGGTATAAGATTCATCATGATTGCTATTCAGAATTATAGCACTATCCCCCTGAAAAAACATTTTTGACAACTCAATACCGTTTGATATGAATCTATTTTCTTACAAACTGTTGTCTGAGAATCTAACAAGACGGCATACTGCAATCATTTTATAGCAAAGCGGCCAATATCTAGAGTTTTAAAACATTTAGATGCTTTCGTGATGTGTGATGATCGACCATGGAAGTATACGAACAGAAGTGCTCGCATCTTACATGTCAATGATGAAGATCTTGTTCGTTATCGATTGACGAGAAACCGTGTTTGGGATCGCTTTTTTCTCTCGCTTTACAATCAAACTTGGATCGACTTTGTATGGTTAATGGAAGATGATCTCACGTGGACACATGCACGGCATATACTTGCATTTTTCGATAAATATAAACATAATCATGCCGATCTTCTATCAAGGAATATTATTTGTAGAAATAATCAGTCTCTAGGATAGGTTTTCTGATTTGATTTGAAAACTCTTTGTTATGATGTCTTTTCAGTTGGATATGCCTGAGAGCAAAAGGACAAGTTCATTGAATATGTTGGCACGTATATCCCATCGTTTGATAACGCTCATCGGTACTATATCGAACAGATATATGACCAAATATGGAAAATGAAATTCGAAGTCTAATAAAAAGTGGTAAACAGATATTTCATGCTGTCAAACATGATAGTATGCTATTAATTATGACAACGGAAGATGAAACGAAATAGTCAATTCATGGACTAGTTCACATGTATAAATATTTGTTTATATGGACATTTGATTATAAAAGACGCTCGAACACTATTTATGTTGATCAATATATTTATGAAATCTAGTTGAGATTATAACGGACGATATTCACCAATTAATACTTTGCAATTTGGACAGTAATGTTGAGTATTTTTGATTCCACGTACACAGAACGGTATCAAACAGCAGCCAAGCCAACAGCCGACAATGATTATAAGAAGGCAGAGAAGCCANTTTCTCTTACCTTCAGCTATATTTTTTCAATATTGTTTAGAAAATAAAAATATTTTTGGACGTTTCAGTAACACTTCAATAAGTCTAACTACGAAGGCTAGAACATCTCTGACAAGCGTCAGATAAGTTGATTGCTAGGACAAGAAAATAGGTTTGAATGAAGTCTTAATCAACATTGAGTAATACTATAGCAAAAGAGTGGATGATTGTAAAGAGGATAATTTAATTATGTCGAAATACGATCATCATGATCCAGAAATGGGCAAGTCAGAGGTTTTTCCAAGTCAAGTCACAAATCACCTGATTTACTTTGATTTAACTTGATTCAAGTCGTAAATATATCTGACTTTCCATCTCTGATGCTAGTTGGCTCTATGAGTTAGTCTGTCGTCTTTAATTCTGAATTTTTGGCAAACTTGAAGTCTAAATTTCATACTAGAATGTATAAAACACCAACGTATATGTGTAAAATTTTTGACTTGACTTGTCCATATCTGAATTCCACATCAACAAGTTATCATAATCCTTATAATTCGGTAATAAAAAAAATTTCAGGGGCTTTTATTTGGTACAAGATTCATCATGATTGTTATTCGGAATTATAGCACTATCCCCCTGAAGAAACATTTTGGACGACTCAATACTGTTCGATGTGAATCAATTTTCTTACAAACTGTTGTCTGAGAAGCTAACAAGAAAGCACGCTGCAATCATTTTATAGCAAAGCAGACAACATCTAGAGTTTTAAAACATTTAGATGCTTTCGTGATGTGTGATAATCGACCATGGAAGTATACGAACAGAAGTGCTCGCATCTTACATGTTAATGATGAAGATCTTGTTCGTTATCGATTGACGAGAAACCATGTTTGGGATCGCTTTTTTCTCTCGTTTCACAATCAAACTTGGATCGACTTTGTATGGTTAATGGAAGATGATCTCACGTGGACACATGCACGGCATATACTTGCTTTTTTCGATCAATATAAACATAATCATGCCGATCTTCTATCAAGGAATATTATTTGTAGAAATAATCAGTCTCTAGGATAGGTTTTCTGATTTGATTTGAAAACTCTTTTTTACGATGTCTTTTCAGTTGGATATGTCTGAGAGCAAAAGGGCAGGTTCATTGAATATGTTGGCGCGTATATCCCATCGTTTGATAAACGCTCATCGGTACTATATCGAACAGATGTATGACCAAATATGGAAAATGAAATTCGAAGTCTAATAAAAAGTGGTAAACAGATATTTCATGCTATCAAACATGATAGTATGCTATTAATTATGACAACGGAAGACGAAACGAAATAGTCAATTCATGGACTAGTTCACATATATAAATATTCTGTTTATATGGACATTTGATTATAAAAGACGCTCGAACACTATTTATGTTGATCAATATATTTATGAAATCTAGTTGAGATTATAACGGACGATATTCACCAATTAATACTTTGCAATTTGGACAGTAATGTTGAGTATTTTTGATTCCACGTACACAGAACGGTATCAAACAGCAGCCAAGCCAACAGCCGACAATGATTATAAGAAGGCAGAGAAGCCANCCATGTATTCAACAAATCCGTATCAAATGGATGTTCAGTTAAATTAGAAATAAGAGTGTTGAATAGATAATGAACTTGAGTATGATGACCAGTTACTTGACTGAAATTACCATCTAAAATGACAGAAAAAGAAGATGAAGATGAGTTTGATTAACAGATAGTTAGAAGAGCTTGAAAAATACCTCGAAGTAGAATCAAATTCGATTCAGGAAACACATTTTTCCATTTATCTTTGGCTTCACATTGATTATCTTTACAATAAGGTGAATTGATATTGATATTTCTAAGAGAACACGCGAGAATATTAGTCTATAGTCGACAACTATAATCTCTTACCCATTATGTAATAACTTCGCAAATAGATCCATGATTTTCATACTTTCGATTCGATCGTTTTCATTCGCATTGAAATATGTTTCATTGAAAATACTCATAGATGGTGCTAAAACATACCCAAATGTGAATGGCGTTAATGTTAATGATGTGGTCAGCAGAATAGACAGATTTTTGGGGAGAAGTGCGTTTGATTGTTGATAGAATTTGATTCGCAAAGGATTTTTCTGATCAGATTTAGTTTGAAATTGTGTATTTAAGAATGGAAATGGACTTTTCAATGGACACATTGAGTTAATGTAGCCATGATCTTTTGAGTGAGTATTCAAGTAGAGATAGAATTTATTTTATTGCAATTATCAAATTCTTCAGAGATACACTTTGATGACGACATCTAAGTAAACGATAGGAGTTTGTTTTTTAATGGACATTCTCACTCATCGAAAGACCATGACATGTTTACTTTCTCCCTCTCTCACATACATGCACCCTCACCCTCAAGTTTAGCACTGGAGTTGATTTCCAGATAGTATATCATTTTATATCGCAAAAATTTGATATTCGATGTATTTTAACAAATTCATTGAAAACAAAGTCGTCACAAAAAATTCAAAATCTGTAATGAACTTGAGATAAATGTCTATTGTTTTTTGTAAAATCCAACGCAACTATAGACCGATCCAACGATGCAAATAGATATTCCGGTGTTATAGCCAAGCTATGTACCGGACTAACTTGTGTCGAAACAAAAAAGACCTTTTGTAGTTGTCGTTGTCTACGATTAACAAGACGGACAGTTGAATGACGATTACAACCCAGCACAATGCCGTTTGATACATCATTTTGATCAGCGGAAGCAGCCAATGAACAATAATCATTGCCGAATTCATCATCGAATGTATAGTGACACATGCCTGTACGTAGATCGAATTCCTTGAATTGACTATCGAAACCAGCAGCGATGAAAACATTCGATGAAACCCATTCGATACAACGTACTCCAGCACCAACGCGATAGTTTGCATCATAGACCTAGTTGAAATTAAATGAATTAGTTTTATTGCAAAGAAGATGAACTCACATGAATTGGTTGAGCTCTTTCAGTATTGAATAACACCAACGGATAAATATTCGTTCTACTACCAGTACCAATTAAGAAATGCTGTCCATCACTAGTAAATCGATTACATAGAACACGATCGTCAACTCTGGTGCTCCAGATCATTTGATGAACTTGTGAAGACATATCAAAGGCGCGTACTTAGAATAGAGAATGCTTTCAAAATCGTAAAACATCAACTTTCTCAACTTACTCGAAACAGAATGATCACGTGAGCCATTAATTATCAAATACCTTTCTTGATCATTGGAGTAAACATCTAAGGAAAGTATATCATTCCATTTACTGTCAGTAGGAGCAATGCTTTGATTATTGTCACATGTATGAACATCGTTCGTTTGTCGACAAATGATTCTCAACGAATTTCCATTTGCCAGAGCAATTAGATGTCGATCATAGACTTTATAGCAAAGTATATCATCGTGCTCATATTCATGTGAATACTGAATTTGATTCGTTGATAGATTCAAGCATCGCAGTGTGCCATCCTTGGAAAACCAAAGATGATGATTATGTTCATCGTATTGAAGTAATGAAGTTTGAGTTCGACGAACAAATTTAATCAAAGTATGATCTACGTAATTATTTTCACGGTTCCAACGGAATGCTAATGGTATTCGACTGCGGTAATCTTTTGCAAAACGACGTACATCACAATCAACTTTTGAACAAGAAACTAATTGATTAGATGGTCGACGATAATCGACTGGAAGAATAGAAGGCAACTCATTGGAACGATTAAACAGAATTTCGTGTTGATATTCGAGTGGGAGATGGAATGAGTGGGATATGATTGACGGTTTTTGATAAATGTTCTAAACAAAAATGAATAATTAGCTCAGAACAACTTCGTCTTTTTCTCTTACTTCAAATGTTGGACAGCCGATAGCATTTTTCAATTGAGAAAACGAAACATTCGTTAACTTGACAAGAATTCGCTTCCAGGGTGAAGTATAGGAATTAAGTAAAGAATAAAATTGTCGGCACACTTGCTCCAAGTGACATAAATCCTGTACGGATAAATATCCACAACAGAATTCTAGTAAGATATCATCGGGTAAGTCCAATATCGATACGGGCATAATTGATAGTTAAAAAATACGGAACATATTCTATTTTATGCATAGAATTAGGTAAGATAATCTAGAAAAGAAGATAACATTCAATAATCTATACAATTTTCGACACATTCAGAACATATGTGATTTCATATAATAATACAACACGATTCACTACTATTAATTTTTCGGTTTCTTATTAATAAATGCATCAAGTGTTTGATTGTTATTACTTGGTTGTGTTTCATTCTTGCGCTTAATCGGTTTTGTTGGCTTCGGTACGACTAATGTTTGATAGGAATTTTTGTTTTCCTCCATTTGTAATTCGCGCGCAAAATGAAAATCTTCGTGTTCGGGCATATCCCATGCTAAAATTGACTTGTTACATTTCGAACAAGTTATATATCGATCATCGGATTTGTCCGGCGACGAGTGAGCACTGTTTTCATTTGTTGAATAACGTGAGAAGAAAGATGCTACCGATGAACTTGGCTTTGGTTCAGGCTTGAATGGAGTTTTTAATCGTTCTTCATTCTGTTGAAACTTTCGAAAAAAGTCACCTTTCATTTGTGAGCTTGTTGTTACTGATGGCTTCTGTGTAATAGTTTCAGCATCATCGTCACTTTCTTCATCTGCCTGCTCTGACTCTTGCATATTGAGCGTATTTCCCGTTGGTTCCATTTTCGACGTCTGTCTCGAAAATAGATCCGCAATAGATTTTGTATTGACACTGTCGAGAAACTTTCCGGCGCCAATACCAAGATTGATAATCGCTGGCGAATATACATTGGATCCTGATGCGCTTTTATTGAATTGTTTCAGTATACGATATGCATCATTGGCAAAACGATCGATTGAATATTCATTTAATGGACAAGAACGCGCAATTGTTTCGTTCGTCGTCGTTGTACATGTTACGGTTAAGAGTTTTGCACGGCGTTTATTCTAGGAAAAATCCTCATTTTAACTTCAAGATAGATCAAATTCATATCATTGACAGTACCTCTGCTCGATCTTTTTCTAACCGATTAAAAACTTCTTCAGCTAGATTGTGACACCAAGTACGGACCTAAGTTAGTTGAAATAGAATTGAACATATGTCTTCGAATCTGAAGCGTACTTTTTCATTAGTATCTAACGATGTTTTGCCTGGAAAGTTTTTACTTGCTGAAATTGATTTGTACAGATTTCGACTATTTACAGGTGTGGTCTCAATGCCTCGAATTAAATTGTACAACCAACAACCGTCTTTGTCACCCAGAGATGTTTGAAGTCCATCGAGTGAGTATTTTCTCAATTGACCTATATAATCAACTTGGAATAATTCAGTGACGCGTTCACCGGCTTTGCCACCCAAGCCTTGACTGAAAATATTGAATGAAAAACCTTCTAAACAAGCTTTATCTTTCTTACATTTTCTGAACCGGTGTTTTATCGAACACGCAATCAATGTCGGAAGTGGATAATATAGTTTGTTTTCTTGGTTTATTAAAACCACAGCATAGTTTTGCTAAAACCTAGAATAATCAAGTTTAAGATGTGGATAGTGATGTACATAAAAGGGATTACTTTGTTTCTCGCGATACCAGCAGAACAGAAGAATCCAGTTTCTTCCTTGATTTTCTTTCGAATTCGTTCGACAAGATAAGCCCCAAGAACTAGATCGAGATTTCGGTTTTCATCATCTGATTGACCATTCTTTAGCCAGCTTTTGATTGCTTCTACACGTTCATCTTCATTTTTCGTTGTGCAACTGGCCAAATGTGTTGACGGAAAATCATCGATTGTTAAATTAGGTTTGTTCTCTTTTAATTTCTGAACGTCATCAGTCAAATCAATGTAAGCTTCATCAATACTGGCCTTTTCAACAAGTTTGAAATCGGCATTGAGAACACGAAAAACATCGGCACTTGCGTCTCGGTACCTTGAATAGGAGAAAATACACATGAGCTATTTCAGACTTCGATCGAAAGCTAGCACGATGAAATCGATGTCCACAATATCATCAAGTGCATTTAACCCTGGTGTGAACCTCATTAGCTGAGAATCACGATGTGAAACCGTCCTTCCATCTGTATTACATATAGATAAATCTCTGCTTAACATGACCGTGGCCTTTGGAATCATAGGCATAGCGCGACAAGAATTTAATTCGTAAACAATTATCGATGTGTATTATGCAGTTATAATCAGCATGATTCGAACACTTACGTGTCGTAGACTGTCCTTAATAAATTTCAATAACCAAATGATAATAAAAAAGGTGACCTTCGTTGAATCGAAAATTACTCTAATCAACCTTTATCTGTTGTGAAAAGTAGTATCTTGATGTGTAATTTTCACTACAAGCTGTCAAATTGCTTTTGCGTGATATTGTAAATAAAGGCTTTACTCGATAGATAAATGAAAATCTTACCGAGTTAAATTTGCTTTTCCGTTCAGTTCTTGAACATGAAAAACGTGAAAATCAGGGCATAGTTCTTTTGCTTGTTCGCCTCGCATGCCTGCACCATCAGAATATTCCTTTATCAATACCAAAAACCTCTCGTATTACCTCGTTTCACACCGAAATCTCGAGCTTCATAATTAACAGCAATAAGACTAAATAGACGTTTCTTCATATTTGTCGTTTATTCATTGAGATATACATACCCACCACCTTTCCATGTGTAATATTGAGCTACACCACATGGTTTGCCAAGAAACTCAGGTTGTAGTCTTTGTTCGACTTGAACATAAAAACAATCCATATCAATTAATGCAATTACCCGATGATCGACATTCATTTTTCTCAGTCTGAAACATAGCAATCATTGTGTTTCCAGTGCGTTATCTTAGCCATGACGATAGTTGAGAGATTCCGTTTCACTGTCACGTACTGATCTCGTTTGTATTCATACTCGTTCAGAAAAATAAACCTTTCGAACTTTTATATACAATGCAAATCGTCACAAGAAGGTGATGACGAAATTCATGACACATAACGGCTGGTCTGGTCTATGTGATTGGAAAATAGTAATTGAGTAAGTACGACAGATGACGCTATTTTCTTAAGAGTTTCATATAATCAATTTTATAGTTTTAGTATACTGAACGACTAGATAGTCACGAAGGTCTTCTAGTTAGAGAATACATGATATAGAAGTAAAATCTTTTCACCTTCTAGAATGCATATGAGTACGATTAGTTTTGTGTCTACAATTAAATTTCGTCAATCATAGGAGGACGACTGATCTGCCTATCAATTAATATTGCACGCGATCAAACCGATCGATCACCACGGTTGATCGTAAGACACATCAATATCAAGATATTTATTCGTATAACAAAAGATACCTATACGGATCAAATAATCATCTATAACTCAGATTGAACAATACGAATATCTTTTCGTACTCACTCGGGTACTATTTACTTTTTCTTTCATTGATATTCTAATTTATCATTGATGTATATTTGTATTTTACTGTTCGCATTTTCTCTTTTTTTTGCAATATTTGATTCGAATCACAAGCAGTAAAAGAGAATTCATTGAATATGCAACTGATTATTTAATCGTTAAATAGTATAACACATGAAAAAGCGTGAATTAAATCAAAAAACGATTACGATCAGTACGAGATCGTGAATCGAATACAACCGAGTTGGAATAATTTAAAAATAGAATGATTTTGAAAATCTCCGATTAGATAATCACCATTCTTGTCTGTTTATCTCTCTCCTTGTTTCTAACAACAACATGATGTTATCGAAATCGAATTAAGCCGTTTACGTGCGATATGAATCAATTGTATACAGAAGACAACTAATCTATTTGACGTTCATCCTCGAACGAATCTTTTCTCACCTCATTCATCGATGAATGTTATTCAAGTGACAGGAAATAAAAACAGCATATTTACACAAATTTTCCTTTTAATCTTTTACAAGCTGGTATCAGCGTGCCTAAATTGTTCGTCAAAAGTTCTGTTCGCGCATTAGTCATTTGCTCTTTGTTCTCTTTTTTTTTCTTCTTTATGTGCATATTTTACTATTTGTTATATGAACATTATCATGCCTCGACACATGCACATATTAACAACATATTGTCCGCTCGTTTGTTGTATTTGGTGCCAAAAAAATCTCGTTCAAAGATGATCTAACATAGTCACTGCGAGCAAGACAGCTGTTGAAATTTTCAAAGACATACTGATGATGAGAAATCGAGAAAGAGGACAGATGTAATAATGATGATGATTATGATGATATTAAGCAGGCCTGCTTATGTGTGCACAATCATAGACCAATTTTGACATAATACATTTTCGCTCAGTGAACCAATACAGTAGCTCAACATGGGATCTTCTTCTTCTTCTTGTTCATCATCGTTTTGTCTTTGATGATACATACACAGAGGCAGGCTTGTATAAGTTGACGATTAACAAGATAAATTGAGTACCGGCCAGACAAAAAGATTAAAGTTGTTCAATGAACAATCGAAAGAAAATCAAATGAACTTCTCTCTTGTATTTTTATTAATCAAATCAATAGTTCAGACATTTTTGTTTTCGTCCATCTAGGTGTTGTGATATGCGGTTTAGTCTAGTCTCAGTCTAGCTCTCATACTCTTGACGATTCAATGAATTTCGACAGAAGCAAAAAAAGAACGAGAGAGAATCGGAAATATGAATATGCGATCAGTAAGCAAACAATTTCAAGTGCTTTACATTCAGGGAGAAATTGCATATAAAAGTTTCAACGAACACCGGATGTTCACTCCATCATTGTATTTCCTTCGTTTTCTTCTTCATTTTTTACTGTTGACTACATTCTAAGATAACTAATTTTGATTTCTCCAAGAAAAGCCAATCAACAGTTTTCTTTTTTTTTCTTAGAATGAAATCTATACACACCTCGCTAATTGAGACTATATCACTTTCACCTTGTCCCCTCTCTCTCTCCTTCTCTTCTATTCTCTCCTCTTTTTCGTCGCTAAAGAAAGAAAATATCTGTCCATAGACTGGCTTCCTTTCCCTCTCTCTCTCTCTTGTAAGCACAGAAAAGAAGAAAAATGTTCGCTTCTTCTCCTTCTTCTTCTGTCGTCACACCATAGTTTTGATCGATACATATACATACATAAACACTGCGCACAAGTCTGCCTGTCATCATTATTGTATTCTCGACAACGACACACGTAAGACGAGAGTAATCATAATAGTAGTGAAGCATCAATTTGTCTCGTCTCTCATCCCGTTTTGTATTCTTAAACATATACACATAGAAATATAAACATACTTATACTACTAATTCAAATTTAATCATTCGTACACAACATCACATACCATGTATCTATTTCGGCAACAACAACAAATTCTCTTTACTTTCGTTCTTCTGATCCAAGCAAGTTCAGCATTTTGGTGGTAAATATTCTTGATATTTCTCTGGTCTATTTAATTAAGAGATCTTGACGATAGATAAACGAGTTAGAAAATATTAATGTCATTTTTTCGAAAATAATGATACCCTTACAGGCATGATGTCTATCTGTTTTTATTTAAGGTCTCTGAGTTTACCTTCATTTCAAATATGGTCGTCAACTTCAACTGATCAAGAACCGTTCTGTTCTTCATTAACATTTTTAACTGTCGAACAACGTTATCTCTGTCAAACGAATCCGAAAATATTTACTATTATTAGTCGATCTTTACGACAAGCAATTGACGAATGCCAATATCAGTTTCGAAATCAACGATGGAATTGTTCAATCTTCAATCAATCGGATGTTTTCGGAAAACTTGTTTTACGAAGTAAGTTCTCGCTATAACCCTGATCTTTTCGTTTACTGCCATCAACAATATGTCAGTCATTAAATATCATATTGTATATCGAAGGAAAGAATAATTAGACCACCTAAGGAAAAATAAGCTCTCTTGTTCTATTATAATTGGATGTAATCAAGCGAGAAGGACAATTAAACTGACGCCGTCAAGTATCACCTTTCACTTTCTCACAATGATCTATATTTTCTCGTATTTTATTATAGAAACACCGGAAACAGCATTTATTTATGCATTAACATCTGCTTCAGTCATGCATAGTATTGCTAAAGCTTGTGCAAAAGGTGAACTAACCGAATGTGGTTGTGATAAAAGTCAACCATCGTCGTCATCATCATCATCATCATCAGTATCAGGCTCAGCTTCTATACGTCCGCGAGCTATGTTACAATATCAAACAAGTACAATGCCGTCAATGAGCATCTCATTGTTTCCATCCACACCAACGCCTCAACCAATGGAAGGATTTGAATGGGGCGGCTGTTCGGATGATCTGAAATTCGGTCGAAATATCAGTACATCATTCATTGATACACAAGAATCGTACGTAACGCGTCGTCGCATTGTACGCATGGTAAATTTACATAATAATGAAGCTGGCAGACAAGTATGTTCGACAAGCAAAATTCGTCTTTGAAAAAAAAGTAAACATAACAACGATTTGCATTCTAGGCTGTCGAACGGAATGTTCAATTGACATGTAAATGTCATGGTGTTAGCGGTTCATGTACATTACGTGTTTGTTGGCGCACGTTGCCCGATTTTCGTTTAATTGGCTCAGAATTACGCACGAAATATGCCAGTGCAACACAAGTTCGATTAAATCGTCGTCTAAGTTTACTTAAACCAAGAAAGAATTCCATGAAATTGTTCAACACCACTGATCTTATCTATATTCATGAATCGCCATCGTTTTGCGAGAAAAATCTTCGTCTTGGCTCATTAGGTACACAAGGACGCGAATGTAACTTGACACTGAATGAACCTGGTTCTTGTTCAGTATTATGTTGTGATCGAGGTTATGAAACGATTATAAGCACAATTGAAGAAGATTGTGAGTGTCAATTTCATTGGTGTTGCGAAGTACGATGTAAACGTTGTATTAAACGAGTGGAAAAACATTTTTGTAAATGAAAAGATTTTCAATGTCAGATGCAATCAAAAAAACGAGATGAAGATTTTTCTTTCCTCTTTTCCTATCTGAGGGCGAGTAACAGTCGAGTTCTTGTATACTTTCTCGTTGCTTGATTTCCTTTGTTTTCTTTTATATACGTATGTACGTGTGTGTGTGTGTAGCTTTGTTGTTTCGTGTTTGAATGTCTCTATATATTTTTTGCTTTAAATTCTTCTTATCTGTACGTGTTGTGTGTAAGAAAATTCTTTATAAATTATTTGTCGTTGGTAAAAATCAACGTTTTCTATTTGTCCTGCTTCACATCACACCCGATGGCATTTTCAAAGTTAATCATGCAAAAATACGATCTTTCTGGAGAGGAGAAAAAAATCACTGTTCAATAAACTCTCGATTAGTTCTATATTTACTCTTTCTCAAACGGAAGAACAGGTGAAGCAAAGCAGAAGTGCTTGCTTTGTTACTAGTGGCAATGGTCAATGCCAAAGGGACAAATGTTGATTATTAGTGAATAAATAGACATACATTCTTTCTTGTTTTAATGAGTTTGCCATAGCATCATCATCCGCAACAGCATTTGTTCAGAACTTAATATAACAAAAAAAAGAAGAAGATATGCACATGTGTTTGTGTTCTCGTCTGATTACAATGATGGCGTAAGACAAACAGCAGGTTGACAAGACGACATTCGAGCGATGTCCATATGGAAATAATAATCAATGTTATTGTGTTGTTTCAAATATACTTAGAAAGGATAATCGTGAGAATTGTTAAAGATTAGAAAATGTCAAATCGAGACATATTTGCATAGATATCTAATAAGCAAACGCAAAGAGGGGTATTTCTCTTGTAAAACATGTCCTTTGATCTCAGTTGGTGATCGAATAATAATTCTTCAATGATTTTTTTGTTTGCTATTTAATCGATTAGATTCCATCGATATTGAAGACACATTTTCTTCTATTTGAAGGACAAAAGTATACAAATAAAACCGTAAATTACAACAAGTTTGAGTTGATCGAGAGCAAATTTGCTATTCTTGATTAATCAATTCGGTTGTATAAAAAGACATTTTTACATATCAATGTCTGTGTACATATTAATATTCATAACAACTCGTTTTTGTCCGATAAAATAACAAAATATACAATCGAGTGAAGGAGTACAGAGCAGATATGAAGTTTTCTTCTTATTCACGAATTCTAACAGACAAAATATGAAAATTTTGTGCATTGATTTTCTGTTAAATTATCATTGAGAATCGCTGTTTATTCAGCAGACATCAATACTTGTCAAACTCTTAAGTAAATAACTTGAGACTATTTAGTAAATATGAAATCCAATTCGAATGATTCTCTATCCTTGAACAATGCTCTTCTACTTGAAAATGTCATTTTTTTTCTCTTCATGTAAATCAATTAAAATGACATAGCCAAGTTGATTGTCTTGTTTTGGATTCATTTACGTTCTAGTATATCAATATTGTTAACGATAGCAGATAAAATATGTAAATGAATGCTGGTTTCTAGATGATGTTGTTTTTCCTCTTGAGCAAAAGCGATTTTTCAGTCAGTTAATAGCATAACACAAAAGTTTCTTTGTTCATGACAATGGCAAACTAATTTAGTCGATAATACACACCGACTGTATTTATCATATTATAATTGATTTCTTTTCATCCGCCGAAGAGTTCGTCACTCCTACGAACGTATATTTTCGTATATTAATTTATTCACCTGCTTCTGTTCATTTCCCTGTAGAAATAACTTCGATATATTTCGACCATTTTGAAGAAGTAAACAGGTGGGTGGCGAACTGATTTGTAAGGTGTTATGGAATAAATAAAATCTTTACGATAGTATCAAAGAACTACTATTGATTAGAATCGAATAGGGACAAAAAGGAATAGCTCGAGAGATTTTTGAGCTATAGATAATTTTCATGTGGCAAAATAGTGATTGAAACTTTGTTTGAGTTTTATTTTTATCAAAAGACAAGAAGAAGAAGAGAATGATGATGATGGTGATTATAAAGAACGAACAGACAAATTCAATGCGTGGATATTAATTCATCAGGTCGAATAGTATTAGCAAGTCAAAGAGGAAAAAAAAGATCGCAAGAAGATTTTTTTTTCGCATATTAGAATAAACGAAAAACAAAACGAAACAGAAGATTTTTTTGTACTAGGATATGTACGAAAACGACGAGTGTAAAAAAAAAGCGAACATATCTCATCGTATAGTGTGAAATAACAACGCATAAGTGATGGGACTTCTTGTTTCTCTTTATAGTTTTATCTAAAAAATAGACGATGTATCACAAGAAACGAAGAAAAACTGTTGATGAAATAATGTGATTCAGAAGTTCCATACTTTTATGGGAAAACAAGAGATTAGGGGACAGTAGGAGCAGAGAAAAAAGAAGAAGTAGAACAAAAAAAAAGACTCCTATTGCTGAAACGAATGTTATCCTAATCCTGAGAGACATTGACAAAAAGAAAACAATCATACACGAATATCTATCAAGATGAAAAACATGTTTTTGTTGAATTCATTCGCTGTTTATTTCGACATGAAATAGGTGTTGATGTCGTCGGCGATGAAACTTTTACGAATGGCGCCATCAAGAATAACGCTAGTAGAATACAAATAAACCAATTTAATCCATAATAAAACACACGACAAAGGATAATAAAAGAATTGTCGTCTGCTTTTGTCGATGTTTTCTTCATTGCATCATAATAGACATTGTTTAACTGATCAGCAGCAGAATCCCACGAATGTTTCAAGGCCTGTTGTCGTGCCTTAATCGATAGATAATCGCGATTCTTCATTGCTAAACGTACAGCTTGTTCCGCAGAATTGATATTATCTGGTTCCCATAAATATCCATGTTCGCCATTTATGAAAAATTCTTTCAATTGTCCGCCTTCGGCAGCTACAACCGGTGTGCCACTTGCCATAGCTTCAAGATAAACTTGACCAAATGTTTCGCTAACTGATGCATAAATAAAATAATCCGCACTGGCATAAGCACTAGCGAGTTCTTCTCCGCCTAAATAACCAAAAAAGTGCACACGATCGGTGGGAAATAGCGGTTGAAGTGTGTGTCGATAAGGCCCATCGCCAATAATACATAGAAATGTTTGATTTGGTACACGTTCTAGAACTAATGACAAGAACTGGAAGTTCTTTTCTGGAGATATACGGCCAACGCACAGAAATAATGTTATACAGTCCATCTGTTCACGAGTAAAATTATGTGATGTACCGAACATCCGGTAACGCATTGCTGACGAACGTCGAACCGGATTAAATAATTCGGAGTCAACACCTGTTTTCCAGACTAAAACTGGGCGTGGTACACCCGTATGTTCCATATAATCAGCAAAATCTTGACTAACTGTTAAATTAATCGACGAATAAATTAAATGTTTCAATCGTATGTATTTATAAATAGATCGCGTTAAACTGACCGCATAAGAGCGTATGTAGGTTGAAAGATAAAAATCTATATTGGTATGCGATGACCAAACTATCGGAATATTTAATGATTTAGCGAATGCACCACAGAGCATGGCTGCCGGAGTTTGTTCAACAATATGGATAACATCGGGTGAAAATTTTCGAATGGAAAAATAAATAGCAGGCTACAAAATAGGAGAAAAAGAGCTTTTCATCTACTTCGTTTGAGAATGAATTTACATTAGGCAATAGAAATGGACATGCGCAATCGATTTTGTTGGTGAAATCAGTTGATGATAAGATGGAAAATGTAACATATTCTTGAAGATAATCACTTCCCTCAAGCCATAGTTTTGCATTCTAAAACAACAAGATCGATTTGAACAAATCGGAAAACGATTCAATTTGTTTGTTTTCCATACTTTACAACCCGTAATCACATGTATGTGGTGTTTTCTTTTCGCTAAACGTCGTATGATTTCTTTAAATCGACGTGTAATACCACTGGTAAACGAAGGAAAACTTTCGGCAAAAAGTAAAATTCGTAGTGGATCATCGTTATCATGACCAAAGCCATTTGTATGAGCTAAATAAGAACAAAGTAACGAATGAATTAGAAGGAATATTTCGAAAACATCAGTTTTTATTTAATAATAATACCTCCATTAGTAGTCATTACTTTAACATTTATTTATCTGACTTTTGAAGAAAGAGAAAAAAAGAATTACACACGGACATATGTATTTCTTTCTCTCAGTCGACTTTTTCGTTCTTCGGTTTTGTTTTTCTGTCGAATAATATTTACGAAGTCGATCTTTTACTACAAATAAGAGAAAAAAAATAGATATTACTCACAGTGATAATGATGATCGATACGATTTGTTCGTTTCTCCACAATGTTTGACGAAAGATTTGATGATGGTGGCGCGGTAGACGAAGGAGAAATGTCTTGTGTCGAAGGAACAGATGAGGGAAGAAAAGCGGTCGACAATGCTGCATAAAATGTTGTTGTAAAATTTGATTTCCACCAAGCAGGTTGTGTCTCATACGGAGATGATGGCGTTGACATTGTAGGATCAGTAAACGAAGATAACATCATTTAATATGCTTAAAGATAAGCAAATAAATTAATTGCAATCGATGATATATAATATGTCAAACAACGGTAATTATTATTACCCATAGGCTATATTAAAAAACAAAACTGACTATCTCATAATCATTTTGCATCACTTTGCCTTCTTTTCTTTCATTCTCTAATTCCATTAGTGAATTCATTGTCATATATTAACATCGATTATTCAATAACTTACTCAACTAATTCTCTTCACACGTGATCGAACCATATGACAATTTGAAACTAGATGGCAGTAAAGAATGAGTGATTCACATAGACACTGAAATCTAAAAATGAGAAACGACGTGGTAATGTCAATTGAAATGAAAGCTTTTTCCTTTCTTTGTATTACAGACAAGCACACACATTAAATACACATGTAACAAACGCGAACGAGGGGAACTTTACTGCTACTACCACAACTGCCACTAATGCTTATTAGTCGGCAAGGCATCCAGCCACATGATTCTTTTCTTCTTCTTCTTCTGCTTCTTCTTTTTTTTCTCTTTTCCTCATTCTTCTGCAAATTTTTCCTTTGTCACTAACATATCCTCTTCGGCATCGATGCATTCATATTGCATGGAGAGTTATGTAGCTCTTTCCGTGCCGTTCCGCTCTATTCTACAACCATTGCATATAGAACCGAAAAAAAAAACGTTGCATTTTATAGGAAAGAACAGAGAGAAAAAAAATAAGATGAAGAAGAAGGAGCAAAGGCAAAAAAACAAAAGAGACAAACTAGTACTGATAGTGTCGATGTGTTGTCGTCGATCAAATGTCAAATGTTGCGAGAGAAGAAATAACTGAAGAGATTTACAGGAAAGACACTCATGAGAAATCTAAATAAAAAAAACCCTTCTAATACGGACGAAAAGTGCGTATCTTGCTAAGAATTAGGCTGACGATAGATTATCATCGTCTATGATTACACTCGAAATTCATCAAATATCTTTTCCACAGTTTGTATTTATCTTCACATTCGATGACATTTGGGATCAAATTCATCCGACGAATTCTCTTCTGGTACTGTCGTCGAATTCATTCACCTAACTCAACAAGTCATTTTCAGTAAATTGACTATCGAAATTAATTACTTCATACTTGAGTACGTTTTGTTTTCTTCATGTATTTTCACATATATGTCAACAATACATCCATCTTATTTGCGGAGAGAACAATTACTTCTCAAGAAAAGCATCACGTCGATTCTTAATTCGACAGCAGAAAAAAACACGAGAGAAATCTGATAAATCGGCCTACTATTTGATTTCCTACATCAAAGACATTCTAATGTTCAATAAATCTATAAATTAACATTTTTTTTCCATCAACGATCATGCTCATTTTTCTTCTCTTGTTCTTTTCCCCTTTTGCTTGCTTTCCATGTTCTGTTACAATTATAAAGAAAGGGACCGAAAAAGAAATAATAACAAAAATTTACGAATGAATGAAGCAAAAAAAAAAAGAATAAAAGACGTTGACAAGGAAATGAAAATCATCTTGATTTACTTTGTAGCTTCTCGTCGACATTTATATAAACGAAAAGAAAACAATTCTACAAAAAAAAAAAGATCGATCGTTTCTCTCCAATCAGACTACTGTTCACTCGGTAATAAACTTGGCCAAATAGAGAAAGGGAACAACTTCGTAATTAAAAATGGCATTGCTAAATCTGCATACTATATGCACTTTTTGAATCTTTTATTTTCTTACCGAAGGGAATATAATAAAATATGCTTAGTTTATATATATAACACGAACTGATCGATAGATGATTAGCATACATGAGATATGAAATGCACTCGAATGACAGACAACATACGATAGATTCTTAGTCTGTCAGTCGGTTTTGATCAGAAATAATATTTTAATCAGTTTGAGAAAGCATTCCGACCTAAAATAGTAGATATAATTAAAGAAATAAATAACTAAAGAGAGAATATTATTTTTTTTCCTTTATCATATTAATAATCATTGCACGCTATTTGCTTATACCGGATACGATTTCAGATGGTTGAACATTCGACTTTTTTCTTCTTCTTAATTCGCTAACTGATGAAAAGGAAAGTTTTGTTTTCTTTCTCAAGTTGATTGAAGCAACTTTTGTTGTTAATGGATTCCATAGAGATTATTTCAAATGGAATAATTTATGTATTATTAAATAGATCGAACACGAAGAAGTTATTCATCGAAGCATTTCTATTAAAGTTTATTTTTTGATTAAGAAAAGAGAAGAAAAGATTAGCTTTTTTTTTTCAAAAAGAATTTCGTAATAATCAATGCCGGATATTGCCTCAGGAAACCAGAATAGGAGATGGATTAATCAAGTCAAGGAAATTTCTAACTAGAATTTTTCTCGATGTAGAAAAACAACAAATCATCGCAAAGAAAAAGCGAATCAATATCTTATTATAGAACAAAGTTCCTTAGGCTTCTTTTGCTGGAGAATGCCTCTAAGCATTTGTTATCTTGGATGTAGTATATGTTAGGTAAGTGGGTATTTATTAATTGGTACATGAAAGTACCTTGAGAAATTCATCCGCTGGATGAATTAAAGTTATTTAATATTTCGATCTTAGTCCACGATGTATCTATGACTTTATCAAGTTGTTCTTTATGATTGATTAATTCATCATAATGCAGATGCCATCGTTTTGTTCAGTTCCGGGTGATAAATATTGCCATTTTCTATAAAGACTCGAATGTTTTCCATTTCAAAATTCCGGTGTTAAGTAGTCTTTTATATCGAGGTGTACTTCTCGAACGAAACAAAAGACAAATCGATGAATATTATGAACCGTAGTTGAAGAACACTAGAGTAAAGTATTAGTAATTGTCATTGATCGATCATAGAGATAGACATAGTTCTAAGTATGGACGAAATACATTGAAAATATCTGCAATGTCTTATCTAAAAAACACATTTGTACTCATAGTATTTTCTTGCATTCATCATTACTTCTCTGACATGCTTTCCAAAAAGTCATGTACTACATCGTTTTTTAATTTTCTTTTTCTCATTGAAATGTTTGATCATTACGATCTAGTGAACAAATTATATATGACGTTGTTAATAATATCGAACGTGCCATGTTTTATTGTCTAATAAGTATTATTTGAATTTCGTATGAGAGCATTCGTGCTTGCCTAAAGAGTCGTTCATTCGTTTCCACAATGAAGTAGAACAATCAATTTCTACATCGATATGCTACATTGTTGAAAACGAGCAGAAATGCTATACATGATGTTCTTGTTTTTAAATGTGCATGTTAACTGATTTGATATTATCCCTAGTCCGCCCATGCTCTTTTAGGATTTTTTTGCAACTAGCCCTACAATTTAAGTTATGATATTTTACATCTGATTTCACACAGAGCGTATTAAAACAATGACCTTTTTAACTCTAGCGAAAAATCAAAACTAAATGTCATACTCTGTTACTTATCAAAAAACATCTACTTCGGATGTGGGTCAAAAATGACCCATGTTGGGCGGACTAGAGTTATTCATTCTGGATAAAAATCAAGGTATTTTTAGTTTTATTACTAATTTCATTTCAGTGATATAATTATAGAAAAAAAACGGGCATCGTCTTATGAAGAAAATTGTATCTTTGCATATAATTTAAAACAAAAAGTATAGAAAGAAAACTCTAATTATCTTTTGCACACACATTCAAAATATTATTAATTTTCATTTAACGTTTTTTTTTCTGATTCTTTTCCTATTTGCATTCTTACAGTAAATACCAGTTTCACCAAAATTAACCTACGTTTCCTCTGGAGTTGGTGGCTGTCTATATAATTCATTAACAGTTTTTAGCAATCGATGCTATGCACTTTGTTATCGACATGAATTTGAAAGTAATTCGAATGTTTGTTTTTCTTTTATGGATGTCAATGAAATCAGCAAGTGCGTTATCAGTTGCTCGAATCGTCAATGCAACCTATTCAGCCGGTATTGCATTTTTGAATACAAATTCTACGGCACCAACTTCTTGTATGTGTTCATGCATTGCTCATCCCCACTGTCTTTCAATCAGCGTGACAACCAAGTCTGTAACTCTTTATCAATGTCAGTTATTTGCCACATATCCGATGAAGAGTTCTCAATTATCACCGTCATCAACAACATACGTAATGGTTTATACTAATCGAACAATGAAATCAGTTTATTTGAATAATGGCACGCAGCTATCAAATCCAGCACGTTTATTTTCCAATACCGTATTCCCATGGATTCCTATTTTTAAGCTGTTTTCAGGAAATAATCAATCGTTTCTGGGGTTAAATTCGAGTAATTTAACGACGCTGACAGCAATACCAACAATTCCATTTTATCAAATCATGCCGCATTGGTTCAATATTCTGCTCGCTCAATGGAATCAAAACTTGTACGTACCTAGTCAATTGGCGATCGCTTTTATCACTAATCGTACAACTATTATTGACTTTTTAATATTCAATACGGTTCAATCAAACACAACTAATTGGTTTTCATCCTCGCGTTTCATTTCTAACCAATATTGGTCACTGCCTCAATATATTAATACAACAATTGCGCAATCACAAATGATTCCAGTTTATATGGACAGTGATTGTATCAGATCACTGAATTGTAATTTCAAATATTCAAGCAGTGGATGCACACAGGATTTCTACGGATATTTCTTCATCCATGGTGGTTATAAGGATTCATGTATTGCTGCTGTTCGAAATGTTTCCCAAGTGCCGATACCGTCTATTTTCTATAGCATCACAAAAGACTACACTAACGGAAATATCAACAATTATAACATTAGCAATGGTCTCATAGGATTTGTGCATTAGATACAAACATACCCGAAATACATCATGTACTTAAATATATTGTTACTATCTAAATAAACTGAGCGGAATTGCACAGAATATCTCATAGAATCTCTTGCAAATTATGTCGATGGTGTAGAGCGATTGCTCATAGCGTAGAACATTTATAATGGGTGAGGTGAGGTGTGTAAAGCATCTTTAATACCCATCATCAGAGAATGTCTCCAGACAAAGGTTATGTATACACATCAGCTAACAGATAAACTACTTAAAGCTAACTGACTGTTTAATGTACAGGAAAAGCCACATTTAAATCAACATAACTCTCGATTTTACTTCGAAGTTTTCGTTTAAAAACCAATAATGCACAAATCATATAACTTTATCAATTTTCATGTAAATTTTTATTATTTAAAGAAAGTAAAAAACTTTATTTTCATCGCTATGTTTCGCATATTATAGAAGAACAAAAATATAAAATAGTGTACTTAATAATCAAAAAAACATGTTCGCAGACAATTTAAGCAGCAATTTATCTGATCATTATTTCTGTTACTTTTCATCCTACACGAGCAGGTTCGAATAACTTTTTTCATTTGTGACACCGATGAAATCGTACTAAGTGTGATACTTGATAAAAAGATTAACGCTCTCTTTTTTGTAATGTAGTTCACTCTATTCTAGATGCCTTGAAACACAAACAGTAAGTTGTATTAAAGTAAAATTGTTGTCCACACGTCTTCAAAATATACCATTGGTTAACTACCTGTGGTTATTATCACTCTACTGTTGTATATAAGCGTTACAAAATAAAAAAACTAACATGTGTAAATTAGAAAAGTTCCTGTTTTTGTCCCATTTGGTTGTTATCATACTCTTCCTCTTCAGTTTCCAGCTTTCTACATCTTGAGTAGATCGGCAATTTTTGAATTTCGTTCTCTAATTGTATCCTACTTTTTCGCTCGGATCAGCGACGCCATAGAATCATTGTCATAGGAATACTAAAGAATTGGGCGTTTTCGCCTTTGAGATTTCTGTAAAAATATGTAAAAACTAAGTTCAAATTAAGACAAGCCTTGCCGAACATCTCTTCCCATAGGAGTACTATTTGTATTTACCAGAATGAAATATGAATATGCAAACACAACAAACACGTCATTGGGCGAAACATGATAATTCGATCAAGTACAGCTTGCTTGCAACAAAATGTTATCCAAGTTTTTCACCAAATGAGTGATGGTGTAAACTGTAAACTAAAACTGATAGGCAGATTCGCCCTTATGCGAGCCATTCTTGATAGGCGTTATTTCTTCACCGGAACTTTACACCAAGAATATACACCAAGAGAAATCAATCAATGAAGCGAAAGACCTATCCTATTATCTTAAAGTTATCAGTGGGTTTGCACCACTATAGTCCGACTGAAAGGAAAAGTGGTGCAAGACGTTTAGAAAGTTCACCAATTGTTTGATCAATAGTTGAGTACAAGTAGAACTAGGTGCATACCGAGTTACCAGTAAGATGAGTTGCTATTTAAGAAACGAAAACAAAATGATGATTATTGAAAGCGAAAGGATATGGAAATTCATTCTTGTTCACTTTGTCCTCTACAATAAGTGAACCCGTAGAAAAATCGTATACACAGAAGTTCTTACGGATTGTTTCAGTTAAACAGTATTCTTTGTTCAAGCATTACAGATTTTTAGAGAATAATACATATAATTTTTGATGCTATGAAATAAGAGAAGGATTGATTTCAGTCGCAATTCTATCAGTCAATTCAAGGCATTGCAATACACAGCAGTAAAGTTAATGATAAGAATAAAAAGTTGCATATAAACAGGAAACCAACTATTTGAACTAATTCAGCGTGTATTGTTTAGAATACTTCACATTCAACTGAGATTACTTAATTCTGAAGAATTTGCTTTTTGTCGATAGTTTATTTTCTTTTAGAATATACTCTTTTGTTCACTCTTCCGCCCATTCGAAACAATTTGTCTGAGAAAAAGATTTTTACTTCTTTTCTTATTCTAATCAATTAAGGAGTTTCTTCAAATTGAATCGAGAAATAGTTGATTCAATAGGGTTTCTTTTTTTTCTGTCGTGAAAAGTTGAAACTAAGAAATTTTCTCACTTTCTTCGAATCCAAGCGACATCTGCCTTTAAAAGTCATATCATTGATTGATATATTCAGCTGTTTCATTTGTTTATTGTTTTTTGTTTCATTCTCTATCTATCTATTCTTATTTTGAAATATCAAATTACCTCGATGAATTCCTTTTATTTGATTTTCTTTGTTTATATTCAAGTGTTTCTCTAAGTAGCAGAATTGCTTTTAGATTATGATGAATTCATTGATTACCAACATTCCGCGTTTGGGTGAAACAAAGACTAAACCGAAAATAGGCGAAATACGCTTAACCACAGATGGAAAACGACGTAAAATATTCGACGGTCATTGTTGGCAATATTTGTGTGCAGGCGATATCAATTGTCGAATTCAATCAAAGTTTACTTGTCGATTACATAAAAATATCACTCCAACTGACTCATCACTAGATAAATTACCGGCGAATAAAATCGATGGACTCAAATTAGGTGATATACAAGCCTTGCCGAATGGTAATCGGCAGATATGGCGTGGTACACGATGGTATAACTTATGTCAAGCCAAAAATTGTTCTGTACAAGCCAAACAATTTTGTAAAATACATCAAAACCAACGCATCTCATTACCAAACACAAGTATTTCGTTTGAATTCATACTAAGACAATTGTTGTTTGATATTCATTATAGACGAATCAGTCACTGAAAAATTTCGATTGAATTCTCGCACAAGATCCTGTACCATGACTAGCGAAAAAACGGGTAAGTAAAGTTATTTACATTCGTCATATATCGATCGAATAAGTACCTTTATCATAGAAAAAAAGGAGCACGAAGAAGTAGAACTATCAAATAACATTTCGCCGGAAATGACAACGAATAAACGTGCTCGATCCGATGAAAATATTTCCGAATCAACCAATCCTACAGCATTAGAAAAACCTGAATTACAAACACGGAACGGTCGTCGTGTACGATGCACTGGTTTGATTTGGAAACACCTGTATGCTGATAGAAAGAATAGTTTGTATAAACGCAAATATACACGTCACAGCGCACCCGCAAAAAAGACCGATTTAGTCAATGAAACGAATCCAGATGAATCTACTACAAACGAATCATTACCGTCAGATACAATTGAATCAACAGTACAAACTAGTCCAAAGGCAAAATTAGACAAGAGAAAGAAACGAAAACTTACAGATGATACAAACACAAGAGAACACATCGTTCCAAAACGATCGAACCACGATCAAAGACAAAAAGGTAGACAATCGAAGAAACTGTCAACTCGATCTAAAAGCTATTAATTGATACATCGATATTCACTGACTTTATCTAAATTATTTTTAGATGCCGAGAAACCAATTATTTTACATCTCGAACCACATTCATCTAATGCATCGGTAATCGACTGTTGTTTGTTGTTCGCATTCATCAAACTGTAAAATGATTTTCACCATTTAGGTTTCTGATAGTCCTATGAAAGATCAATCGCTTGATGAACCTGCTTTAGAAAATGCGGAGATCTCATTTGCGTTAAAACCGAATCGTCTCAACGCAACGCATCAGTCGATCGAAATTCCTGTTCAACCTCCAGTACCATGCAGTTATGATTCTTCTCCAGCATCAATTCTTGAACAATTCGGAACAATTATAAAAAAAGAAGCAGTAGTTGTAAGTTATTTATATTCATTTTCGCTGAATTCTTTTCTAAGATCATCTGTTTTCGTGTTTACACAGGAAGAAGAATCATTAATCTGTGTTCCAACAGCATACACAATCGGTACTGAGGCTTCTACCTGTGAAACGTTACAAGACTTTTTACGTGCCGAAGAAATGAAGACAAAGGAATTCAAACTCGATTGTCAACGTATCAGTTATCGTCTAGCTAAAATTCAGGATTGTATTGGGAGCATCACGACATTAACTAGTTGAATCATCTTGATCAATCCAACTCGTCTGCCAATTCTTATATCAATTTGTAAATTTCCAATTCGCACAAAAGCTCAATGGCTTCAATCAGATAAATGCAAAAATTCAATTGTTAACGTTTGTTTGTTTTGTTTTGTTTCATAACAGAAAAAAAAAAGAAATGATGATTGTAAGTTTGTATTGTTCATTCATACATTTCGTTTAACATATTTGTGTGCTATGTGTATAATTAAAATCACCTGAAAACCAGAACCTTATCTAATTTCTTTGTTTTCCTCTTATTTAAGATTATTTTTGTCATGTCAACGAAATCCGTGGATATTAACGATCAACCTCTACTAACCACATCTATCAAAATTGAAAATGATGCAGATGACGATGTCTTATACGATGAATCATCCGAGATAATTAACCGAAATGATTACTTTTCTAATCTACCGTCAACATCTACCTCAGTTATTGCATCTTTGTCATCGGCTTACAAAGGCAAGATTGAAGTCACCAGTAAAGGACGTCGAAAAATTTTCGATGGAGTTCGATGGCAAATACTATGTCGAAGACCAGGTTCGGTTCTTATCTTTTTTAATCATTGCTATTTCTATAAATCGCTTTGAACGCTTAGTGCATCATCTCGCAAAATATGCGTCTAAAGTTATCAGTTAGAAAAATTGACCACTCTCATTTCATGTGGCATGGTCGATCGTTTGTCGAAACAGACTTTGCTTTCTTCGAGTCTGTTGTATAAGTCGTATCGAATAATCAAGGATACTACGATTAGCCAAAATTGGTCGAAAATTCATTGCTACAGCTAGATATATTATGTGCTGAGGAGGATTATTTAAAAGTATGATACTAGACACATGTTTAGGCTTGCAATCTGAACTTTCATTCATTATTGTTGTACGAGTTGCATTTAACAAAAATAACTTTATTTATATCGCGATCGGGTTACGAAATGAAGTACAGTTTTGTTTTCATTAATAAGGCACAAGATTTATCTCGTCGGAATGTAGTCACAAAGCTAGTTTTTCCTAACACGATGACATTTTTCTATCGGTTTATATATGAAAGAATGTAAACGAGCAATTGATTACTTATGAACTATTATAAGCGATGTATAGTAACTTTGTCTTGAGAGCTGAAGCATTTCGAGGCTGCACCATCGCATTAGTAAACGAGCTCTGAAGTGCGCTGCAGTACTGAAAAGCTACAGAGGGTGTGGGCAAAACGTCATCGTGTTATTTACGTTTAAGCTGGTATACGGATATAAAATGAGTCATTCTCTTTGCAGAATGTCGAAAGCAAACGAATAAGAAGTCACTCTGTATAACCCACTACAAAGAAGAATATGAAACATCGATGGCTCGTGCATCACCTTGGTCAAATAATCTTTCATTGTTTCAAGTGCCAACGTATCGAAAAGAGCAACAGTTATTTCATTCGAAGTCAATTCAAAACCATCTGGAAGATCAAAATAATACCATAAGCACAACAGATAGTATTGATAATAATGAACAACTGCCATTCAATACATCTTCTCATCAAATGATCAACCCAGAACAAATCGAACATATTGAAAATGGTCGGCGTACTTTATTGAAAAATAAACGATGGGCACCATTATGTAAATATGATCATGTTTGTCGAAATCACGCTAAATATGACTCCCTTTGTATCAAACACTATGAAATCACACAAAAAAGACGACGAAATCTACTGAAATTCCATAATTATGATAAACTACATTTGCATTCCAATGTGTACGATGAATATCGAACAGTATTCACGGATAATATAGCTAAACGTTTGAAATCGAATAATGGTTAGTTGTTTTTTTTCTTAAATATTCGATGATTTCTATCCAAAATTACTCTTTAGAACTTCAAACATCTCCTTCATCAGTTACCGAACAGTTTGAAATAAACAGTAACGAAAATATCCATATGGTAATTTCATTTCATCAATATTTTTGTTGGATATATATTTTTTTCTCCTGCAGTCGACTGGATCGTTGGAAAATAATTCGCGCTTATTGACATCAAGATCTCCCGGTGAAGAATCAACATCTTTGAAGAAGCATCTACATAATACTTTATCAAAATCTTTTCCGGTAAAGCATAGGTCGATTTGTCGAAAGAATTTTATTTGTGTCTTCTGTTGCAGTGCGATAAACAAAATACTGATCAATCCGTCCAAACTGATCTAAGCATTCCATTGTGTTGTCGCATTCATCAGAATGGTCATTCATTCTATTCGACATGTAAACATTATGTAAGAACAAAAAGGAAATCTTTTAAATGCTAAATCAATCTTGTGTTTTTCTTTTCTTATACATAGAAGTCAACCATAAATACCAAGTCCGAGCCACAATGTATCGAGATCAATTTATTTACATCAAAATTTCTATGAAATTGATTATAGTCATAGTATGAACAATCTCTAGTTGATTTCTTTCTTTTTATTTTTACTGATAATAGTAGCTTTTCCTTTCTATATCGATGATTGTATTTTTTTTTGTCTTCACTTTATTTGAGTATTTTGTAGCATTTTATTCCAATTCTTTATTTGTTTGATATTAATTGATAGCATGATAGAGGTGAGAGAAATGATGATTTTTTTCCGATGATGGATGATATATTTTTCTCCTGTTCAAATTATAGTTGTTTATGTCACAAATTGTGTCGTTATTTTTAGTTGAATAGAAAAATAAAGATAAATGTGTACGTATATATACGACTGTTGTAAGAAATGGTCCGCCCACATGTTCAATCTGCGTACAACTCATAGGACATATGCGATAGATTCAAAGAATTCAAAACATCGTATATACTACTGAATTGGATTTGATTATCAGTATATTCTTCCAATGTCTCAGCGCTTTTCAACTCGCCCAATATCCACTGACGTTTTAGAATGATTTTACCGAGGTAATCACATCCCTTTGATGGTATGAAATCTTTCGGTATCGATACATGTCTACCATATTTTCGCATTGAATCAACTGCAGTTAATCCATCGTACGGATGGACGATCATTTCATTTATTGTTGGCGTAGAATGTGAGCGATAGTTTGTGTACCATACATTATTGATTTCGCGGAGAATTTCTAATCCGTGTAATTGACCTTCTTGCCAATTTCTTTCTAAGTAATAGACTTCTGAAGAAGGTCCCCCAACACGATGATACGCTTGTACACATTCTTCCAGTCCATGACGTTGAACATGTTCGCCGTGTCCGATGACGGTAAGACGCATGTGAAAATCCCATTGGATAAATCGACAATGTAATATGGAAGTTTTACGTGCAAAGCGTATTTTCATGAGTAGTTTCAGCGAGCGAGCCTCGTGAAACCATTCTCGACTAATTGACGATTGTGATAAATAGTCCTTTGGTGTTTGACAGTAGAGCAAAATCACATGAATAGCTTCAAGTGGGAGCGAAATCGACTTGGAGGACATTTGTAAAGTATGATTGCGTAATCTCTACCTAATTTGAAATTACAGACGTTAGACAATAAAAAAAAGTTTTATACTGTAGTAAACGATGAATCTCTTTTCATTCGTAGGACAACATCGACAGAAAAAAAAACATTTAGAAGATACTGAAGTTGATTCGCTTACTATAGGTTACTCATTGACCTAGGCTATAGTTCGTAAAATTATCACAAATTGTCAGAGGAAATGACATCAGGGGCTCAAACAATAAGATTACTATGCTGAATGATCTCAGTGTAAAATACCTTGATGAAGACATTTGGTCTTGAAATTATTCTCTGTTAAAGACATCGGAGCAGATTACCGGGATTAGGCAATGACCTGTTTTCTAAAATCCCTCTGATAAGAATATTCGTGTACGCTCGGCAGATAATCCGCAGAATCTCAGGAAATATATACCTATCATTTTGATGCAGTCAGCGATTATTTTATGAATAGGAAACGTAGATATGAAAATCTAATTGAAAACAATAGATGTCGTCATTTATTCATAGTACCTTTGAGTGTATATCATATAATCAGATCCTATTGGTCCGCAGTTATCTAACCGTTCGATCTAGTTAGTAGATAGATAGAAGTTACTTATTTGTCAACAAAGGTTTGAAGGGTGTCGTACGTATGAGATGATAAAGTAGTTTTTTTTTGTTCTAGATTATGATGGATTCTGATTTCGATGATGAAGATGTGCGTTCATTATCTGAGCGTGTCTTACCGATGTCATCTACGAATCAGACTTCTTCCTCTTCTCGTGATACCAATCAGTCAGTGAAATTACAATCTAATACCATATGTGATAATCAATCATTCCAAGAGATTCTGTCAAAACCTGGAAATATCGGTGATATAATTCAATTAAGTGATGGTACGCGTAAAAAGTTTAACGGTACTACATGGCGTCGTATGTGTTCGGAGCCTGAATGTTCTTATTATACTCAAAGAGAAGGTTTATGTAAACCTCATTTAGCTGCATTAAAAAAGCGAAAGTTATCCTCATTCGTGAAAGATAATAATGATAAAAGCGAACTAGATGAACATGATAAAGATGAAAGTATAAATTCGTGTGATAATGCAACGAAATCATCTCAACGTATTTGTGCTGATCCAAATTGTGCGAAAGTTGTCGACGAAAGTTTTCACTATCAAAATGGGTTCGTGGAATATGTAAATTCTAATCTGATATCGTGATTTATCAATTTTAGTTTCTGTTCACATCATTACGATGAATTCTGTGCTAGAAATTTAGCGGCAACTGACTCATCGTCAGATATTTCCATACTCTCGACTTCACTACGTAAACGTCGGCATCCTGATCCACCGTCTCAAGTACCGGTGCTTTACGACGATCAACCATCGATCTCCAAAACTAATCATCGTCTTTCAATAGCCTCAATTCCGCCATCTGTAGATATTAATAATCCGAAGAAGGGTGACATCATTGAAATGGTCAACGGATCGCGTAAAAAGTTCGATGGAGTCATTTGGCGTAAGATTTGTTCCGTGCCTGGTTGTCTGATCGCCTCACAACGAAATGAATTGTGTCGAAAACATATAAATAAACTTGATGACAATTCCAACGATGTATCGAGCACGGATCTTGTTGGATTAATGGCAATGATGACATCGACTTCGGAACGCATGTCGTCAGTGTCGACCAGATCATCGACAGATGAGAAACTAGGTACGCCGGAGGAAAAATGCATTAAAACTATTTCTGAACGCATATTTTTAGAAACTCGCATCTCAACTAGTATTAAAACTGAACTTACAGATGATGCTGACATTGAAGATGAATGCAATACTGACAATGTGCCTTACAGTCATCCTAAATCAGGTAAAATGAGAGAGGAAGGCGTGTTCTTTTCCCTTAATTCTATTTTGTATTATTATAAACTTTCAGATGCCGATGCCGATGACGATGGTATGAATCAGTTGAATGGACATCATCAAGACAAGTCTTCCACTATGCATGAAGATCATTCTGATACATCCGCTGATCATACATCGTGTTCAAATCGGCAGAAGTTTTCTACAAGTAAGTACAGCTGATTCTTCGCTAAGAATAGACTAAAGTCAAGTTTCTATGTAGATCCTTTGAAGAAATGGCTAAGAGAACATCGAAATAATCCCTATCCAACAAATCAAGAAAAGATTGCCTTAGCTAGGCAATCATCTATGACATCTGATCAAGTCGTTGTGTGGCTTCATAACGCACGGTCTATCCTTCGACGTAGTCATCCGAAATCTCGACATTCATCGAATACCTCGAAGCATAACAACCATAATGAACTGACATCTAAAGCTGACCAGCATTCTTGTTCGAACACAAAGATTGCTGCTGAAAGTAAAACTCAAATCACAACTCAGTTCGTACAATAAAAATTGATTCGAATATTATTTTAGTTTATCGATCATTTCCGCTCTATAATGAAACAAATTCACGTTCAATCGGTGTTCAATGTAATCCATCGACCACGAATCAAACGACAGCGACCGACTCTGCGCTCCTCTCTGATGAAGAATTGATCTCTGATCGTACGATAAAAATTTTAACTCCATCCCATCATGTTTTAAAGGCAATCAATAGTATGCGAAGCACTGAAACTGCAAATTTGGTAGTTGATAATATCAAAACGGAGAATAGCGAAGGCATAAAAAAAGAACGAGAAATTATCCTTTCAAGTACCTGTCTCGACGACGATCAAATGGTAATTATCTGGGGGGTTTTCTCGTATATCTCGCTTTCTCAAACAGTATCGTAGTAACGAGTGTTAACGAAATCTTTTATTATCATAATTATTAACTAGATTCTCTTTATAAATTATTTGAAGCGGAGATAAAAGTAGTTCCGACGAAAGTAGCTTTTATCTTCGACTTTCTGCTCTTGATTTCTAAGTACTTGTCACCCAGATAGCTTCTGATCCTTTTCATCATGTCTGAGTGACAGGAAATGGTTTAAGCTAGAAGAAAGATTGAAGCTTTTTCGCCTAGACTGTCTTAAAATAGCCTTTTAAAACTAGCTTTTATGATAAAACATGAACTGGAAACAAAAAAAAAGCATTTATTAAAACCAAACACAGATAGAGCATTGTAAAGAATATTTAAGCAGCACGTTTTTTCAAAAGCAAATGTTCCTTATTCTTGTCGTTTTAGACTCGTTTCAACGACTTCTGTGCTCGCTTTCATATAAAATCCTCAAATATCGTTGATAAATACACAACACATCTAATAACTGACGAAGAAGGTGAAACACTCGTTTGTCCGCTGTCCAAAAAGGTCATTCAAGGCATCGCTTATCATATGCATATTTTGACTTATCGTTGGCTTGATGATTGTTTGAAACTGAACCAAATTATCAATGAGAAACCTTACGAAATTCAAGGTGATCTAACACTTTCACCTGATCATTATGGTATAATGCATACAATTGTTTAGTCGTTTCCCGATTCGTACTTCTTTTCATTAAGGTATGCAACGAAGTCGCCAAAGTATTTTACCTTATAGTTTACCGGAGACACATTTACTTGAAAATTATTCAATCATGCTCAAATGTGATGGATGTCAGGGCATGATGAACAACGACGAGCTGATTGAATTAGTGAAATTGTGTGGTGCAAAATATACGACTGATTCTCATTTTTCACGTCTTCAACCAGGTAATATTCGTGTTGTGCTCTGTGAAAAAGAGTATTTAGCCAGCCGAAAAGAAGTCTATGAGAAATGTGCTCAAGCCGGCGTTCATTTTGTGACACCGGAATGGTAAACAAAAGAACTTGTTCACGATGATCTTCTAGAATTTTGATGTTCTATTCAGGTTTCTCGAATCTTTGGTACAATACTGTATTCAACCGTTTCAGGAATATGAAATATCACCGTGAAAATGCACGGAATACATCACGAATATCATTCTTTTTATCGGTCAGATTTAGCTCCTATGCAAATATAAAACAATTTGTTTTTATAATCTTTCGTTTTTATTGTTTGTTTTCTTTTCTTTCTCTCCAACAACCAAAGGAGTAACATAAAAACCAGCGTAATTATCATTGTAGTGATCATTTATCAACGATTATTTAATGTACATATACATCTAGTTAAAGATTTGTATGGTTTCTATCTTCAGATGTTAGATAAAATGACGAAATGCAAAACAAATCAAGTCGATCGGCAACCAATGAAGAAAGATCCGAAATCGCACAAGAAGAAAACAAGTATACACACTTTTTTCTCAGTCTATTATTAGCTTTATTTGTCAGTTTAATCTATATCCTATGGCTTCTCATTATGGTTATTATTATATTGTCTTCTAGACAGTAGTTTATTTTAAAAGAAAATGTTTAATTGCACTGATTATGGTTAACAATGAGAGCGTTAGACTCGAAAGTACCTGATTGTTCAACAGTAACAAAAATAAAAATATCTAGTGCAATAACGAAAAACATGCATTCCGTGTCATTCCTAATCACCGATTCAGCTCGTCTTCTTGAGAATCCCTAGTGTGCTACTTGTGGCGGTGTTAGTTTACCGTGACAAAACTTCGCGTTTAGCGAAGGTACTATTACAAGAAGAGCTAACGTTCTAATTATACCCCTAGGTCATCATTCGTCAGTAGATTCCGATGACAGTTCGATCGAGTTAACGAAAGAGCAAGTCAAAGCGGCATTAACATCTCTTGTACCCATCGATAAACAAAGTCGAACTGTAGCATCTCGCAAACGACGTCGAAAACAGACGATTGAACCAGAAATGGAAAAGCCGCACAAGAAACACAAGCCAATCTACCATGATATCGTTTTATCGAATATGAATCAACCTGAAACGATGGTACTTGCTGCAAGCGGATTAACTCATCATCAGATGGTTTGTCTATTCTTCTTCGATCATTAATGAACATGTTGTCTTTTCTTTCAACGAATTGTTTAGAAGCAACTGAAGAAATTTGTTTTACTTTTTAATTGCCGTTTATTATTATTAGAAAATCAATCGACATTCAATCATGCAATTACACATTTAATCACAGACGAAATCGGACAAATTGATTCTTTAATATGTACATTAACTAAAACAGTTGTCTTTGCCATAGCTCAACATTCTTTTATTCTTTCTCATCGCTGGATAAGTGAATGTTTGAAACAGAATACGATCGTCAGTGAAGAACAATACGAAATTGAAGGTGACCACCTGTTTGCAACCAAACATAATGGACCACGACGCTCACGTTTATCAAAACGACCATTACTACCATTGAATCATTTCCGTAAGAAAGGATAAAATGAAGAGAAAAACAACAACGAAATAGAACGTCATTTCATTTAGTTATGATCAAAGGTGATAGTCATCATTATTTAGAATTTACTAATGCAGAATTAGGTGATCTGGCATGGTTAGCCGGAGGAATTTATATCGAACAAAATCGTTTTCCTAATACAGTGTTCTCTCGCCAATGTTTTCTTTTAATTGAAGATGAAGATATAAGAAACAAAGTAAGCAAAGGCGAAGTTTGACTTTGTCAAAGTATCAAGAGAACAAGATCGTAGACTAATTGACTTAAACCTAATGAGAAAGAACAAACTAGGTTAGCAACACTTGATTAAAACGTTTAGTGTAGCTCTCGTTGAGTTATATAAAGCTCTGAAGAGAGGAAATCGTTTATGCCTGGATGAAATCTTATATATTTCGCAGTCTAGCTACTTCATATCGAGTAAATATTAATTATAGATATTCTGAAAGTACTACATATTGAGAGATTCTCGTAATAATGGTAATTACCTCACTATAATGAACGTCAGTATTTCTTTTACAACTATTTTCGGATTATCGTTAGCGTTCACCACATCAAATTGTAAACTGCTTCCTTATCTCCTCATATACCAGATGAGTTTATAATTCGAACGTCTCGTACAATTTTTCGTCGCTCTTTCCCCATGGTAAATCGGGTAGGCGACGATAACAATAGAGCACAGTCCACATCAATGAGTATACAAGATCAATAAGTTAGTATTCTTTATTCGTCAAACAGGTCACGCATCACCCTTCGTGAATAGTATATGAGGGGACTTCCACTGCCTCTCGAAGCAAAACAACATGCGTCAAGTCATATACATTCGAAAGAAGCGTTTACCCATCTTATTTTCGTTGTGTAAAAAGTGCGTCTAATCAATCAAGTCAAGGTTAGGCAAAGAGAACACCTATGGATTTTTGTTTTCGTACATAAAAAGAATCGTGCGAAATGAACTTTATTTCCTTTCATACAGCAATTTCGATGGCTGTCATCGAGGTAAAGCACAGAATGGACTCTGTTTTTTTAAACATGATATTCCTATTATGAAAATAGTCTTAGTGTTCGAGATTCGATATTCTTGTTATTGTCTGTTTTCTAATAGTTTCATAGGTGTACTGAGTATATTGATTATTTGCTTGTTTTCTTTAGAATATGTTTCATCGTTGTATTGATAAAGGTTTAAAATTTCTTCGAAGTGAATGGCTTATTCGGTCCATTGTAGAATATCGTATGGCTGATATTGTTCAATATCACTGTGATCCATTTGATAGTATTGATCGATCGGAATAGATCAATAGATGTTTGTTGTTTATTTGTTTTTTTTTGTATATATGTATTCCTTGTGTTGATAGTAATCCGGTGAAAATGATTCTAGTTTGTCAGATAGAAAACGTGTCATACAAAGCAGATTTGATCTATTTTTCTTCTTCTTTTCATAATAGTATTTTGTTGTTTTCCTCATTGAGGATTATCCTTGTTACTTGTTTTCTCCTCTTTGTCCCTATTTGATAGATATTTCTAAAATAAATCAAGTTACATTTCATTTCTAGGTACACATATTTCTTTCAAAAAGTCTCTCTTTGGTTTATTATTTAGATTATGCTTGAAAAATGCAATCTACGCTTCTATTTGTTCGTGAAAGATCACGCACACATGCTCATTATCAAGAAACGGTAAAGATTTGTTTGAGATTAGAACACTATTTTGTAATCTTTAGACGTTGTTACCGTTGTTCTTCCCTTTTTTTCTCTGTTACTCTTCGGAATGCTTTAGCGTGTGCATCTGCTCGCACCACGCTCCCTCATTCTGTTTCTTTAACTGGTCTGAAGTTTTCCATCAACATGATTTCTTTCTCTTAACGAGTTCGGAAATCTCGCGGTGCTCTTTTTTTAGTACGCATGTGTGTGCTGAATGGGAAGCCAGACAAAAGAAATATAAAAGAAGAGCAGAGGAAAAAGCAGAAGAAGCGAAGAAACAAACGAATGTAGACAAGTCGACAAACAGACAGCAGAGAATCTGAAGAAAAGAAAAGAAAAAGAAACGTAACGAAAAATGCTTTGACCTCATTCTCCGTGCGCTTTTTCCTCTTTCGGTCTAAAACAACGAACTTCGACTCTTATCTTTGAAGCACTGTACGATCGCAATAGATTTTTCCTTGTTTGAAAAGTGATCTGTATGTTTATTTAAAACGAAAGTAAAACTTTTGAGCGATGTTTTAGGAAAGTAAGTTTGATTATTTTTTTTTCTTCACGTTCGACAGCGGAGAAAAAAAAACAAGAACAACTAAATACTTTCTTTTTCTTCCATATTAGACAGATACGCCTTAAACTAATGAATATAACGAATGGGTATGAATACGAGGAGAAAAAGAAATGTCTTTCTTTCAGTGAAATATTTAACAAGTTCAGGAGCAAAACGAGAAAAAGTGTATGCATATATATTTCGAAACGACTTCATCTCATTCAGGAAGGATCAGGTGAGACAATTATTCTTTCTTTTTATTATGTGTCTGCTGTTTTTCTTTTGATAAAAATAAAAGGGAGAAAAGAAAGAAAGAAACAGAATAGAATACAAGAGAATAAATTCATTTCTACTTACATATTAGTTATCTATTGGATGAAAACTGACAGATGTTCTTTACTTTGATTGACATATATGTGTATGTATATGTTTTACCTTTTCGCCCAATATGTTATCAGAGTATGCTCTAGGTTATAGACAGTTTAGTCATATTTCTCTTATTGGAAAGAAAATCGTCAACTGTCTCGTGTTCTTTTCCGGTGTCACAATCGTGTTATTCACTTGAATTGTTTTCACGCAACGAGAAATAAGATCAAGTGTTCCCAGAGAATTGTTCGTACTAAATCTCCACCTACTTACCGATATTTGTGTAGATTGCTGTTTTATTTTAGAAAACACTCACAAAAGCAATCAGTAATTTATTTGAAAATGTTTTTGACGCGAGGAAACTTGTAGACAAGAGCCAGAACCAACACGATGAAGTTTGTCGTTCTTTACGTTCTCAATAAAAGTTCAGTTGAAGTAAGAGTAACGGTGTCTGTAGGCGGGATAAAATGCAAGTGCGCATGTAAAAAAGATGTCATTTGATATATTTTTTTTTCATTTCCTTTTTTGTTCTCACCACGCTGCTATCCGATGACGTAAACTGTCGATGTAAAACCACGAGAAGAAAATATTTGATTGATTGTTGTGTTATCAAAGCTCCCCTGAAAGACAACGGGAAAACTTGCTACCCATTTCCCATTTCCTCTTTCTTTAGGCGTTTGACTTGGCTATCGTTGATTAATTCCTACACAAGAAGTTTACGCACATTCAGACTAGTGAACTTTTGCTTTGCAAATAAATATCATAGAATTCCTCGATTACAAACTGCCACTATACAGTATACACCCACTCGATTGTTTTTGCTTTAAAAAGTCTTTCTTTTTTCTCTTTCTTAACTACAAACTTTCGATTTCTTGTCTTTCTCTTTCTCCCCTTTCCTACCATGCCGATGTACATGTGAAATAGAGTTCGCTTCAGTTGTGTCACAAGAATGCATGATACTATGACACATTGCGTATATGTTCGTTGTTTTTTCTTCTATTCTAGATGTTTAGCGAGCCACCTTTATCATCAGTTCCTGACTTAATCCAACCAGAGATGTCGATTCATACGTCTCCTATATCATCAGCATCAGCATCACCCTTATCGTCAGCATCTCATTCACGTACATCTACGATTACTTCGAGTAGTTATCAAAAAACAGATATCTTAAATAATTCACAATCAAACTTAACATCGAATTCTTCACCACAACAGCATCATCGGCAAATGAAGATTGGCAAATACTATCTAGAGAAAACAATCGGAAAAGGAAACTTCGCTGTGGTCAAATTGGCAACACATTGTGATACACATCAGAAAGTATGGAATCATATTTCAATTGAATCGAACTTTTCATTCTGTCTTTCTCACTATAGGTTGCCATTAAAATCATTGATAAATCACGTCTAGATCCAACCGATCATCGAAAACTTGAGCGTGAAATTGCTGTTATGAAATCTTTAGTACACCCGTATATAATTCGACTTTATGAAGTAACTAAGCCTTTGATTCGATTTCAAACTTCGAAAATTCTTCAATCTCTATTTTAATAAGGTTATGGAATCGAAAAGTTTGATTTATTTAGTAACAGAATATGCACCGAATGGTGAAATGTTAGGTAAACAGTAGTTGTCATTTTAATCGATGGAAATAATAACAAATTCTTCATATAGATTTACTTATCCGAGAAAAACGTTTAAGTGAAGCAAAAGCAAGAGAAAAATTTCGTCAACTCGTCTTAGGTGTTGAATACATACATTCAAAAAATATTGTATGTAAATCATTTTCTTCTTTCCTTATGAAAATACACATCGCCTTGGATATTTTTAGGTACATCGTAAGACTTCGAAGAAATGTCGTATCATGATTAATTATTCTTTTATTTCATGTGTAGGTGATTTAAAAGCTGAAAATTTACTTTTGGATGCTCGTGGCAACATCAAAATAGCAGGTTCGTATCAAAAAAGACTTATATTGACACGTTGGAATTGTCTTTATCTTCAATTATCTCGCATAAAGGAATCCTGATAATTATTTTTGTATTAAATATATATATATATATATCGATCAGCAGGGTACATTTCTTTTCTTCAGCGTAACTAATGTGCACAGAATCCGTAATCAAAATTACCTATCTATGAATATGTAAGAGATGCTAATTGAAGATAGAACAACGGGTTTTATCTTTATATTTCATGTCTTACATATTGTTTGCTTCGTACTGATCGAATCAATGATATGGAATATTTATTAGCGAAATAAAAGGAGATTGACGAATTATTCTTGTGTTTTGTTTTAAAGATTTTGGTTTTGCGAATACATTTCAACGAAATTCAAAATTACATACATTTTGTGGATCACCACCGTGAGTCGTTTTCTTCATGGCCAATTTGTTTGGAATGACATTTGATTTGAATAGTTATGCAGCTCCAGAACTCTACAAATGTCTTCCATATTCACCAGAGAAAGTCGACGTTTGGGTATGAGACCTTACATCGAATTTCGATTAATTATCCATCTTATTGTTGATATCTGTTTAGTCTCTGGGTGTTCTACTTTATGTATTTGTTTGTGGCCATTTACCATTCGAAAGTCATAATCTCGCTGAACTACGCAAACGTGTTCTCTCTGGACAGTTTCGTTTACCATTTTATATCAGTTCAGGTATGAAATCAAATTCTGCTCCTTTGGCAATTTATTTTATTTTCTGTTGTTTAGATTGCAGCTCATTGATTAGTCATATGTTAAATGTTGATCCTGATCAACGTTATACGCTAAATGATATAAAAAAGCATTCGTGGCTAATGTTAACTAACACAAATGTAACTGATTTAACATCTTCAACACAGTTGCCAGTAAATTGTCAATTGACAAATGCTATACTTGATCATGCTGAGTTTCTCGGCTATAATCGAACACAAATCTTAAAATCAGTAAATGGAAATTCTTATGATAGTGATGCGGCCATATGGCATTTACTATTAGAGAAGTTTCAACAAACATGTCATATAGACAGTAAGATAAACTTGATGCTTTGAGTTTGTCTCATGTCTACTTCTTTGCTTTCATAGATTCTCACATTCCAAGCGAAACCGTCTTTGATGATGATGTAAATAATTCAGATTTAACTAGACGATCAACGGCACCGATTATCTTTGATGAAGACAACACAGGATTAGCTTATTCAGCTCCAAATACTGTAAGAATCTGTATAAGAGGAAGGAAATTATTTCTTCGTGTTGTATTTAGGCGGAATCGATACGACCACAATTAGATCCCTGCGATCTACAACATTCATCTCAACAAGATTTATACCATCGACAGGATCCTGATGTTCGTGCTGAATATTTGGGTAACTATGTCGATGACGACGACGACGACGATGATGATGATGTTAATCGTGATGATGAAGAAGACGAAGTAGCATCGGCACAGTTACTTGAACGGTATACACGTTCGCACGGCCTACGACGACATACAATAGGTCGACCCGATTTAATGGTACATGGAGGACCGATTCCAAACCTAGCGTCGAGAGTACAATTTGCTCATCAAAACTCAAGCATTCAGCCATCATTTCTGGCCAATCGACTGGCCGATCTTCAGCAGTTACAACAGCAGAAACAACAACAGTTTAATTTGAGTAGTATATCCGACAGTGCTGATGAATGTTGTACACCGCCATCAAGATCAATTTATGATTCGAAAGATACACATTCGGCGAGTTTCAATGGTCTATCCACTCATACTCCTATGATTCATGCTACATCGGATGCACACAATCAACAATATTTAGACCGAAATTGGCTTTCGCCACTCGGTGCGAACACTTTCCGTACGTTATTGTCAAATAAGAAAAATTATATTTCTTGTTCTCGTTTTCTTCAACAGATATGAACCGACGAGCAAGTGATAGTGGTGCTCATCTCCTACTTCTTCAACAACAGTATGGTGCACTGAACCCAAACACATTGAATGCTGCTTTGCCAACACAACTGCCGTCGCCTCTGTCAACTGTAAGAAGTTTAGAAACAAGATCATATCTTTACAAAAGAACTCCTCGATTCTTTCTAGCAATCATCTCGAGGAAGTATAACACGTGGTGCACCGATAACATTGCCTATTTTTTCGATCACACCTCATGACGACGACAAAGATGCAGAGCGTAAAGATCTCAGTACTGAAGAGGACGATGATGCGGAGGCCCTGGCAAGGTTTGTCGAAAGAATCCTACCTAAACAATATTTCTCATGTTTATCCGTTCAGATATTTGAGCAGTGGCAAACGTCATACGGTATGTGAACAAGGTTTAGTTCTCGGCTGCAAAGCACGACGCGGTAATCGTGAACCTACCAAAGAACGCAGTATATCATCGCGCCGAGCGAGCGACACAACATCGCATTTTATGAATAGTAATACTCGAGCACACTTTGAACGTCTATATAGCAATGCTGTCAGTTCCAAACCAAGTGAAGAAGATCTGACAGCATCAAGTTTGCAAGAGTTGCAAAAACTACAAAAGCAAGTTCAAAAAGTATAGTCAAATAAATCCTTCAAGCACACTAGACTAATGACTATCATTTTTAGCATCCAGCAAATACGTCAGAATCAGTAATGATTCGACGTAATACTGGTAAGAATAAAAATCAGCATATTTACGATATGAATCTATGACTTACCTAGCTATTCCATCTCCAACGAATTCTCTCGGTCTTCATATGATACAAGAAGAGCATCATCACCATCCTCCTCCTCCTCATCAACCACATCAACAGAGCAATTTACTATCAGCCAACTATTCCTATTCTAATCGAAATAAATCTCGATCATCATCCTCATCGGAAACATCCGCACCCATCGATGAAGATGAACACGTGATGGATTGTGACGAACATCCACCTAATCTTCATAATCAAGAACAAAATTTATTTAGTTCATCTCATTTTCACCCATCAACGTCATCACCTTCAAGATTCTATTATAGTACCAGTCCTCTAACTGCTCAACATTTACCCATCCCGACAACGACTTCTTCTTACGTACCCTGATCTGATTAATTATATATGTTTGTATACACATATTTCAAGTATTCCTTTTCTCGCCGGTGATCTTCTTTGATAGTGAATTGTTTTTCTCTCTTCTTCTTCTCTTTTAGTTGTAGCGAAACGAAAAGATAATATTTTGTAGATAATTCTCTAATGGTGAAAGAGTATCATTCACATAAAACTAAATACATTTATTTTCCTTATTATTTATGTACAGTTTTTTGTTTTTCGCCCAGTTCTGTTTTGTTGGTTTGTATTTTTCAATGTTAGTCTGCGCTGGCAGTTCAAAAAAAATGTTTATATACACATATTCTGCGTTTCATGTAACCGGTTTCGTTTTTCTGTTTGTTCTTCTTGTTTTTCAAGCGTCAATGTATTTCTATTCTTACCTTCTTTTTCTTCTTGTTTTTCTTTCGATCAGTTCATTCATGTGCTTCGCTGACTGTACAGACATGAGAGAAAAAAAAACGATTTTTTTCGAAGTTCTGAAGAGAACGAAATATAATTAAAAAGAAATGAAAGAAAAAAAACAGCGGAATCATATCCTGTCGTTCTATCGGGGGAAAAAACCACTCAAATCTGACTCATCACTTTCTCCTTCTTCTTCCGTCGTTGATAGATTTTATACGCTTCTTTATCAGTGATAACTTGACTCGCACACGACTACATCAACTAACTGAGTTTATTTCTATGATATTTACTGAGTATTTCTTTTTTTTAGATTTCAAAAGCAGAAATGAGAACAGTCACTGAGGCAGATATATTTCCTGTTTGTATATTGACAGGCGCGAATAATCCAACAGAATCGATTCATGTAACAAAAACTATCTCGCCTCATCTCAGTCGATCGAATAGTAATAGTAGTGTACAAGACAGTGTTTCATGTGATTATATTCTTGTACCATCGTCGCCGTCGTCAATACCTCTACCCGACACAAGGTAAGTTGTTAATAAGTACGACAAGGATCGTATTTAGTTTCTGTTCCAGTTCCGATGATATTTGGAGCGACAATCAATCAGATAGTGAAGATGAAATCGATTATTTAACAGAATTCGTTTGCCCAAGTGGTGATGAACATGAAAAATCTTATTCATACGACGATGATATCGACAACGATGATATATTTCTTGAGACTCATCTCACTAAAAACCAACTCGACTCAATTGATCATTCGGAAGATTGCAAATACCAACGACCAAAGCGTTCACACAAGAAAATGAAAGCACAAAGTCAGATAAAAACTAAACATGCGAAATCAGTTAAGATCAAATCTCACAAGAAACCATTGTACATACATCATCGTTTAACCAAAAAGGTTCTTCTTGACGAACCGAGTTTGCGTTGTATGCCATCCACTGGAACAGTTCGTTTGTATACATATGAAGAACTGCGTAACATTGTTTATCAACATCGTTATGGTTATCATTCGTCGTATATTACCGATTATTCCACATCATCAAGAAAAGCTCGACATGTTAAATCCGATCATGCCATCTACATTGATGAATCTCATCTTCACTCATCTGCATACCAATTTCGAGAATATACATTGAATGAATACAACATTCCAGATGAATCATCGTATGATGATACAATGGTTTCGTTCCTTCTCGAAATGCAGAATCGCGATCTGTAATATCTAATTCAGCGTTTGCATTTTCCTCCATTCATCTGTTTTGAACTTTCATTCTAGGTCACCGGAAGATTACGAAATGCTCTTACGACTGGACGAACGTGTTCAACGAAAAACAGTGAATACAAGCATCTTAGATACACTTCCAACAGTTTCAGCAAACGAGACACATTTAGATGATCAATGTACAATATGTATGGAAACGTACACTCTCGGCCAAGAATTGAAATTATTACCGTGTAAACATATCTTTCATAGTAATTGTATAGAAACATATTTAAAAGACTTTTCAATTCAATGTCCATTAGATAATTTACCATTAGTATGACTGATAAAATCCATTTTCATTTGTTTTCTATGATTATTTTTTCATACTCATACATCCTCATATAACTTTATATTTTTCTTCTTAACAAGTTTTTCTTATAATTATGTATTATATTTCTATTTCTTTCTTTCTGTAATGAATACACGGTGTGATAATATATGGTGACTATTTATCAAATAAAATGATTTGTAAGGAAGTACGACTATCGATATCAAAGGTGAACATTGAATTTGTTCTAACATCAGTATAGTTTTTCACCCATTTTCACCATCATTATGTGGCGACCTCTAGTGAACGTTGAATATACTGGTGAAAAGATAATTTCAAAGTAAAACGATTCTACCATACCAAGTTCGATCTGTTCATTCATTGTTATAATCGTTTATCAAGTTAGCTGTTTATAATATTCGCTCTCAATTAATTGTGACTCCAATGTCAGATCTTGCAGTAAGTTATTTGTCACGCATCTTCGTCGATAATCGATAGAATATTATAGGAAACGTTTCAAAATGATATTTCTCAAATATTCAACGAACGTGGTCTTCTTCGAACGGAACTAATTGCTAAAGAGAAGCTCCTGACTGATGCTATACGTAAATTGTTTGCTAATACGCTTTGTCAAATCATACCTTCGAGTTTTTTAGTGCAGAAAAACACTCTTTCGCAAAGTTTAAAACAACTTCGTACGGAACGTGATGATTTATTCGTTAATAATCAAAAATTGAAACAAGAGAAACTTGCTGCTGAGGTTCGTTACATTTCATTGTTATGTACGCAAGTCAAACTATTGTCTAATTTTTAGGCAGAAAAAAGTGCGAGTACAATACACGTGACGATACTTAAAGAAGAAAAGAGTTTATTAGAACAGAAACTATATCAACTAACTCAACATTACGAAGAATCACGTGTACAAATTGAAGACTTGAATCGACAAAATGTTGCTCTTCGAAATCAGAAGCAACATCAACATTCAATGCCCATACAATCAATAACTGACCATCGCCATGAATTAGATGAAGTATAAATACATAGCGAACTATCGTGACACTATAACTACGATGTTGTTGTTGTTTTTTTTAGTTAAAAAGACGAAATATCGAATTGGAACAAGCACGAGAAAGTTTTGTAGAGAGACATAAACATGAATTACAATTAGTTGTGGTAAATGCATAGAAACGCAGTCTTAATTGAACTTGTCATGTTGCTTTTTTGTTTAGAATGAATCCAATGCAAAAGATGAACAAATTCAAAGTCTCGAACGGCTACTTGCTCAATATGAAGAAAAAATTGAAATCGATCATAGACGTAAGATATGGAAAGAATGTAAATCGTGTACGAAATTCATCATATTTAGATACCAGAGAATTGGAACAACGAATTCAAGACATTAGCCAATCATGTCGATCCCAAGTACCTGATAAATGTAAGGCTTATAGATATCACTCCCTAGAGAATGACATGAACTGATAAATATCTATTTTAGTGACATTGACTAATGAGGAACTACGTACCATTGAAACTGATCCAAATGGCGCATCGATTCTTGCAATATATCGCTCATCGAAAAGTCTTTTTGATGTAAATGAAACTTCTTGTTAACGTTCTTCATTTTGTTGCTGTTTTACGTCATAGATTCTCGTTGATTATGCACGTTTACAAAAGCAAAATGAAACTTTGATCAATCAAAACGAGAAAGTCGAGTCTCAACGACGTCATAGTGAAAATGTACGTTGAAAAATCTTTCCCTTTCTCTCCATTAATTTTCTTTTACACTCTTCCAGCACTTGCATCAAATTCAATCTGAATTGCAACAATTGAAAGTTCAAAATGAACGTCTACAATTCTTGGCTGATAGTCGACAAACCGAATACGAACAAGCCATTCGTGATAAGCAAACACTGTTCAAGGAAAAGCTTGACTTAGATAGACAATTACAACAAAAACTTCGAGAATTTGACGACTGGCTCGATGATCGAAATAATATGCGCGCTCAAATATTCAATCTGTTAGAAAATGGAAATGTTAAAGGTCATTCACGTTCATTGCCACCTATGATTGACAATGAAATACTTGCTCGACAAGGTGTTGTTACATTTAATAGTGTGGAAGAACTCTATGAACAGTACATGAAAACCTTAGCTGATATACGTGAAACTGATCGGTTCATTGTCGAACTAGAAGATAACCATTCGAAAGAAATGACTGAAATAAGTCAACGGGAGCATCTTCTAAAAGAAAATCTCGATCAACTTCGTTCGAAACTTGATCAGACAAGAGCAGATATCAATATTCAATCGTTGGCTAAACAGGTACTTGACCGGGAACAGCAACATAGTACTCCCAAAGCTCCAATGGCCACAATTATCATGCAAACAGATTTGAATGTGCGTGATCTAAAACACATCGAAGACAATGTCCAACAATTGCAAAGAATTGTAAACGAAAAAGAAATAGAACTCAGTCGAGCTCATGACGAAATGAAGTAAGTTAATAGCAACAATAAGAAGACATGCTTTCTTTTGCTTGTTTAGACTTATTCAACAAAGATTAGATTATGCTGAAAAGCAATCTATTGCCGATAAACGCAAAGTATGTAATTGTTGAAATTGTCTTCCGTGGTGCAAATCTGCTTTTAATTAGATCGATGATCTTCAACATATTGTTGATGAAAGCCTTCAACGTTCCAATTCATTGCTCGTCGATGTACAGACATCTGAAGCAGTATGTGAGCAACTTCGGGAACAGAATCGTCTCATCCAATATGAATACGATCAACTGCTAGCTGTAAAGTTGCATCTTATGTCGTCTTCTAATTCTCGATCTATTCGTTTTTAGACTGTATCCAATCTCAAAGCCGAAATCGATAAACTCCAAATTGAAAAACAACAGATGAGCCAATTACAAGAACAAGTTCTTGACCGTATTAAACAAGATATTGAAACTAAGACAGCTAGTCAGGAAGAAAATCTGCGCAATACTCGATTACAAGAATCTGTTGAAGAATTAAACGTAAATACAAAAGCATTCCATTTATACGACAACTGCCATGCACTTCTCTGATATTTTTTTAGTCAATTATGAAAGATTGTGTGAAACAAACGGAACTAACCAATGGCACACCAGCGCATGTTGCCAACTTAACAAAACTGGAAATACTTTATCGGCAATTGCAACAACGTCATCAATGTGATCTCGAACAGCATTTTGCTATAACTGAATCATTGAAAATCAAAGCCAAAGATGCTCAAACTGATCTACATAAACTCGAACGACAATGTGAAGAAATGCGTGCGAAATTTGACGAAGAACAAATGAAATCAGCAGCTAAGGTAAGACGACTGGCGTATCGATTTCAATATCGAAAACTTCGGTTTTGTTTTATAGGTTGCTGAGTTGGAAAGTAAATTACGTAATGCTGATACCACAACAGTCCTAACACGTCTCTTACCCTCTGCGACGCTTGAAAATCGTTTGAAGGAAGAAGAAGAGCGTACACAACAACTACGAAGTTGGACAAATAAGCTAACTGAAAAAATCGAACATATTCAAAAAGTATGTAAAAATTTGAAAATCCAGAGGGCAGACATGAATTGTTGGCTGTTTAGCAAATGGCAATGGATAAGAAAGAATACGAAGAGAAGATGGAAGAAATGCGCAAAGGTATAGGAAAACGAAAAACTTCACGGAATATTTTACATGATTGGAAAATATTTTCAGTGTTAAAAGATACTCGAAATGAATATGATGTTGCGGAGAAACGTTTGGAAGCTGCTCAAGAAGATCAACAAAAATGCTTGAATGAATTCAAAGAGAAGGTAATATAATAACATATTCATTTGCAATTCAATAAAATTTTCATATTCTCTAGGAAGAAGCACTCGAAATGGAGATCTTCAAACTGAAAACTGAATTAGACACGTCCCAAGCAACAAATGTTTCTTTGAAAGAAACAATATCAATCAAAGAAAACGACATTCGAGTTTTACATGAACGTATCCTTGACGTAAGTATTGTTTCACATTTGACTTTCTCTAACATTCAGTTGTTTTTCGCTAGTCGGAAACGAAGATGATCAGTTTGGAAAAGGAATTTTTTACATTGAAAGAAAAGTATGCTCGACAAACAAAAGACCATGACTTTCCAATCAGGTAAATAAAGGAAGAAGAAAGTTTCCGAATCGAGTTTTATTCTGTTTGATAGTGAACCTCCTTCACCAATTGTCGTTCAACAAGATCTGGTAAGGGTAGACATCAGCCGAATGAGATAAATCATCTATATTTGATTTTATTTACAGGGTATTGATGATAGTTCATTGGACACTGGTGTTGAATTGAAAACTCCAGGAAAACGTCGGCGACTGGCGTAAGTTGATTGAATTCGCTTTTGGTGACAAATGTGAACTGACACATACAGAGAAATTGCAACGTTTCCTTTGAAGAAAAACAATTCATAATTACAGTTTACTGTATCATTTTAGTTCTGCAAATGAACAAACGCCTTCCAGAAAACGCATTGTAAGTTTTCTATTAGTTATAGTATCTCTTTACTGTACTTTGATCACTTATAAAGGTTCGCTCTCAAAGTTTTAATTGTCAATCGACCAAAACTGATGCTGACGAAGCAGTCGACGGTAATCAATGGTTTGCTGTTCATTCTCATCCGTTTTTTTTACTCTGTTTTCAATAGATAACGATGATGCCATGTCAACCACTTCGGAACCACCGTCTGCAAAAAAACGAAGAGTAAATATTCTGATGAAAACGATCAATTAAACCCAATTGAAATACTTTTTAGCGTCGTGTTAATGAAGTATCAACAATACGATTACCAGCCGTTGACGAAGAAGGAGATAATGATAGGAGTACAGCTTCTCCAGGTAGAATATAACTTGATCTGTAGTTTTTTTTTCATTCTATTTTTTTCCATAGGAGGTGCAGCGGTAACTCCTACATACAATTTACGTTCGCGGACAAGACGCTTACCACAACGTATGTATAATCTGTTTTAGGAGTATTTTGTTTAATATTTTCGTCGCTTTCTTTCAGAAGAAAACTAAGTTCGTATATTAGATTTGATCAGCTCTGAACGCTCTGAAATGTTTTCGCTCGCTTTTGTATTCTTTGTTTAACTGAGTATGTTTCTTTTGTTTTTAGTTCAACCCAATCAAACAACATAAGTTCTTATTCAATGTTTATTGTTTTATTTGAAAACTTTATTCTTTCACAATTCATCTGATTTCTTCAAATATTTGTGCATGTTTGATTACAAAACGAAAACGCAGAAGAAGAAAACCAAGCAGAAAGAGATCAAACGCAGTTGTGTGTATATTTTGTAAAGAACATAGTGTATTTCTTCTGTTCTCATTGTGTAATGGCTCATATAAGAAAAATAAAAAATATCAATTATTTGTCCTAAAAACTCGGATCACCAAAGCCAACTTGTCGTTGTAATGACGTGATTTCGTCCATTAGTTGACCTGCAGGAAGATCAAGCTAGAAATAAAAAGACGAACGTGCTAAGCGAAGAAACTAGTACTGCTTCATACTTTAATCGCGTATTTATAACTTTGTTCAGCTTCGATAACACGTCTTGTTTGTAGGCAAATCAAAGTTAAATAGGCCCAAACCTCTGTGAAAAATTAAACGAGATGAAGCGATTATGTTCGCAACAGATATTACCGGCATTTTGGTTATTGAGAAAGTTCGCTTCGGTCAATGCTTCTTCTGCATCATCAAATTGATTTAACTTTAAAATACAAAGCATGCATTTACTTTGAGGAAAACAATCGTTCGTCATACTCGATAACAAGCTATACCGAGACCTAAGTATGTCGTACACGTAGGTTGAAAACGGCAAGCATTTAAAAAGACTTCTTTTGCTTCAGTGTACTAAACAGAAACGCGATCGATGTTTAAAAGAGTACGACACAGTCGTTTCAACATACGCTTGCTTCCGCTCCTTTTGAAAGGAGAATCGCACCAAGGCGAATGTAGACTGTATGAAGATCTGGAGGTTTCTCCGCAAAAACTAATGTACGTTGATATCGACCTGAAAAGAGAAGAATTGATTTCTTCTATACAACAAAGAACAGTCAAAGTGACCTTTCGCAGCTTCAAAGTCCAATTGTAAGTATTTGATATGACCCCATAGTGCCCATGCTTCAACATTTTCATACTCAAGTGATAGTGCTTGTGTAATATGCGTTTCGGCTGCAGGGAAATCTTGCTGGAGAATCTTGGCTTTGGCTAGTGCAATTTCGACTTGACTGTCTTTACCAGTATTGGTCAAAAATTCATACGCCAACGCTTTTTCTGCCCACTAGGAGATAATCGAACAAGAATCAGCTGAAAAAGTCGCCGAAGAAAAAAAAACAAAGAATTCATACTGTTGCGACATTATATTTGAGTAAGAATTCAGCTGCTTTGAGATAGATACTCTTTTTGGTGACCACCTTTTCCGGTTCAATGAGACTGGAAACGTCTTGAGACTTGCGAGCTGACAGAATTTCAGCTTTGGTTTTTTCTAGCAAAAATTCATATATGAAACTTATGAACGCCGATGATATGATGTACCTGGCTTTTGCTTGCTGGATTTACTACTACGGCTGACGCGAGCTTTCGATGAAACATTCAACTGAGGATCAGAACTTTTCAACGCCTCTTCTAAATACGTTATATGTAACGTAAAACGAAAGACGATTGTGAACGTGTACCTGCACTACGATCTTTTTCCTCCTCTTCGCGCTTTTCATCCGTCAATGGTGCTGATTGTTGTGCTAACGCTGCCGCTTGATCGTCTTCACTTTTAAGAATCGCTCGTTGAAGTTTTTCCGCTTGAGCAAGTGTGATTTGTGCGTTCATTTCATTACCAATATGTTTTTGGAAAACACCTAGAATATGCCAGGATACATCTAGATTTCGTTGGGGAAAGCTCACAGTCTTACCATAGAGTGTCCAAGCAATGACATTCTCGCTATCTTCGGTCGTTACAGTTTCGAAAAACAAATCTGCAATTTCGTTGTTTTCCAATATGCCATTGATTACAGCATTCAACAATAAACTAGGCACACGAAAGAACACATAATAGAGATGATTGATTCTACATGAGAAAAATAGATCACTCCTTACGCTGTACTGTTTGTTTGTTCAATTGAAATGCATTCTTTCAAGCATTCTTCAGCTTTGATTAGATCATTAACAAGTAAATGAAATGCAGCAAAGTCAAGCCAACAACGAAGTTTATCGGGATGTTGAGCAATACGCTGAAAATTTTCGAAAATGAGCTAAAAGATATTGTTATATGAAACCACTCTACTTGTTTGTAATAGTTGGCCGCTAGAAGATAATCGCCATTACTTTCTGCTTCCAATGCAAATGTACGTAATTGTTCATCTGTATTTCGCAATGGTGGTACAGGTTCAGGCTCTGCGATATTCAACGATTTGTTCAATGAGCGATGCATTTCATCGAGAAGAAATACATATAGTTGACTGATAAATGTCTAAAAGCAATTCAATGCATCTATTTATGTGACTAGATAATCAAAAATATACTACTTGAAGTTCGTCTGGATTGTTAAATTTACTCGTTCGAAGAAATTTCTCTCGAACAATTTTAATCACGCTGTGTTTTAATTGTTCTTTGAATGCAAAGTATTTACCAGTCGAGTTCAATTCATACAATAATTTACGACGTCTAGAACATACACATACATCCCACTAGTACATATCTTAGTAGTAACATACTTTTGATCATTTGGAAGAGGTGCCTCTGAATTTGTTTCATCATTGCAGACTTTCCTAGATTAGGCATAATGGAAATAAATTGATTGACGAGCGCTTTTTCCTGTTTTTGATGCATACCGATATTCGTCAAGGACAAGACTACAAACATTTTTGATCTGTTGATGATAATCTTCAACAGCTTTTACTGAACTATTAACTTTGACTGGATAATTTGAACGTGGTGGAATAAGATCCGAAATTCTTCGAATGGACAAAGTTTTAGTATATAGAATTGGTAAGATCCTTTGCTTACTTTCGAAATAAGTCACTCAATGAACGTTTTTCAATAATTGGCCGATCGACAGTAATATCCATGATAATGTACGAATTTTGTTCGAGATATTGTTGTGTTTCGGATGTTGTTGGAGCTACTTCTTCGCCTGATTCCACTTTCTAGAAAAATGCGAACATATGAAAAAGATTTTTTCAATAAAATTACAAACACAAATGCAAAATTGAACGCAATCTTTTATGTATAATTATTACTTTTCTCGATCTTTTCTTCGCATATCCTTTCCTGGATAGTAAAGTACGATGTTTTCGAATTTTAGTTGCTTTTCTCTTCTTCTTTGAACGAAAGATAATTATTTACACAATTCTACTTATCGCTGTTTGTCTAAAACGTATTCAATACTTAGAGACTCACTTTCTTCGATGCACTTGCGGCAGCACTAGATGTTGGTGGTTTTTCGACTGCTAATTTCATGTCTTTTTTCGTTGAAGATAAAGCTGAACGATCAAATAAATTATTGGCGATTCGCATCGCGTCATCAAGTATATTGTTCGATCGTTTTGTCTATTGTCAGATTCCAGGCTAAGATTTAATTTCACTTCATACAACTATTTATTACCTTAGATTTGTATTCTGCTTCATTGTATGGCACCACTTTGTATGCACCACGACATCGTGTTGCTAGTAAGAGATAAAATGCAAGAGGACCTATAGCAAAGGAGATTTTTTTCATTTTTAAATTACCTCCTGGATAGAGAAGTGGTGCGGTTTCAATGTATGCAACTCCATGGTAACTAGTTCCGCTATCGTCATCCTGGAAACACAAATGAATGTATCAGATGTAGATGGACTGAAAACGAACCTTTTTTCCTCGAGGTGCAGTTGGAGCGCTTGAACGAACGATTTCTACTGCGATGTACGGTGCACGAGTTATCTGATGTTGTAAACTAGAAATATTTATTCAAAGATCAATGCTTCTGATCTCATCTCGCTTTATACCTTTGACTTCCATGTGGAAGTAAAAAACATCGTCGTTCAATATTCCATACAATTTGTGGTTTGTTTTTCTCAGCATTTGTTCGAAATTCTCGATCCTTTTTATCACGCAAATCACCTTGTTCATCATCAATTGACTCTTCATTGATTGTACTACGAAAATAAAACCAGTGTCCTTGTTACCCTTATAACTATATATTTATATAATCAGCCTACTGTCCAGGTATGTAATTTGCATTAGAAGCTAAAATTCGACGAGCATCAGGCCATCGCTTCTGTTTATTTGTTACATCAGTTGGCGCACGTATTGTACCGTTCGTAAAGACTAACGTTGTATCTTTCTACTCAAAATATCGACATCAAAATTGAAACTAATAAAAATTGAATGATTTACATCATCATTGAGCGGCATTGGTAATGTAGCTGTATAGATAAACGACGATCCACCTGCTATCCAAGTTTCCGGTGGTGAATATAAACCTTCCAAAGTGACCGAAATAGAATTTGTATTCGATTGATCACGAGTTGAAACCAGCGGTTGTTCGACACTAACACTGACAAGCAAAGATGCCTAAGAAATAGAAATGTCGGACTGGTTTGTTTTTGATTTATTTTCAAATCATACTTGGTGTTGTTCTCCTTGCGTTTCCAAAAACGATCCAGTAATAGGATGAACTGGTAACGTGACTGAAATTTGTGTTTCTTCTAGATGAACAACGATAATTCATTTTCCATTATGAAAATATAAAGCGAATTTACTTTTGAGTAAAGGCCATAGATCTAATACTGCTTGTCCGAATGGTGTTGATTTATCTTCTTTGACTTTCTTATCTTTTGGTGCAGCTTCCAATAAAGTAACTAAAATATGATTTCATTATCATCAAGATCATAGTCATGCTGAGATATCCACTCACTTAAAATAGGTTTTTGTCCCAAGTCATCGATTTGTACTGGATCTGAAGCATTAATGCCTAACACAGCAGCATGATCGATTGGTCGTGGATTTCCATCAGTAACATCAAATTTTCCGGATTCAGAAAATTGCCCGTCGTTATATTCAAATCGAAGAAATACACTAAGCGGTTCAGCCCTTGGACTTTTCTATCAAAGAACAAAAGCGAAACCAAATGTTATAGACGAACTCGTTCTCTTGAAAAAGAACAACTACGTACAAGATTTTGTATTTTAGAAACATTGATATTGATCTTATTAGGAAATCTATCGATTTTCTCCGCTCGAGATGTCATGTTTCAGAATGATACACTTTCAAATAACGTTTGCATAACTACTACCATTTGCAATTCTGTTTTCTATAGCAACAAAATCACTGCAGATGTCGCTGTAAAAGCAAGAATTTCACATTGAAATGATTTCATTTTTCATTTTAAATAACGATTAAATAAAATAATTTTGAAGGTAATTTGCTACGAATTTCCAAGTAAATGTTCAAATTTTCTCCAAATTGAATGACTCATTCAGTACTCAGTCGTTTGTTCATTTATTCATTTCTTTTCAATAACACACACTTCTTTCAGACTTAACAAACAAATACTCCAATGCCTGACTATCTAGGTGAAGATCAACGAAAAACCAAACAAAAAGATGATAAAGATGACGACAAACCCATCAAAGGTAATTGAAAATTTCATTTCAAAATAGAATCTAGATTATATAACAATTCTAGCGCTCGACGAGGCCGAAATCGCACTTTTAAAATCCTATGTGAGTCGCTCTTCCATATGAAAACCAATCTATGAAAGGATTCTAATTATAGGGCGCTGGACCATATGACAAAGCCATCAAGAAAACCGAAGAGGATGTGCAAACGATATTAAAGCGAGTCAATGAATTATCGGGTATTAAAGAATCAGATACTGGTCTTGCGCCACCGGCATTATGGGATTTAGCAGCCGATAAACAAGCTCTTCAGAGTAACTGACGATCTCGTTTGTTCTGCTTATGCATTCGTGTCGTTTAGGTGAACAACCATTACAAGTAGCACGTTGCACCAAAATCATCAATGAAGGAAGTGATGATGCCAAATACATCATTAATGTTAAACAATTCGCTAAATTTGTTGTTGATCTTGCTGATACCGTTTCACCAACAGATATTGAAGAAGGAATGCGCGTTGGGTAAGTTGTCTCAAACAAGCACATAATTTTCTCCGTAATGAAATTCTAGTGTTGATCGTAATAAATATCAAATTCATTTGCCGTTACCACCTAAAATCGATCCATCTGTAACAATGATGCAAGTAGAAGAAAAACCGGATGTCACTTATAGTGATGTTGGTGGATGTAAGGAACAAATCGAAAAACTTCGTGAAGTCGTCGAACTTCCACTTCTACATGTACGATATAGGATATATTAAGGATGTAACATGATGTCAATTTCTTTGTTTTTTGTTTTAGCCGGAGAAATTTGTCAATTTGGGTATTGAACCACCAAAAGGTGTTTTATTGTACGGACCACCAGGCACAGGAAAAACTTTATGCGCGAGAGCTGTTGCCAATAGGTAATTTGATTTTTCGCCATCATTTCCAAATTTACCAAACATGATATTTTCTTCTTAGAACTGACGCCTGTTTCATTCGTGTAATTGGTTCTGAACTCGTTCAGAAATACGTTGGCGAGGTGAGTTCTAACAATGTTAAGTTCTCATCAGATGAATTGTGCTCTTCTAGGGTGCACGAATGGTCCGTGAATTATTCGAAATGGCGCGCGGTAAAAAAGCTTGTATTATCTTCTTCGATGAAGTTGACGCTATCGGCGGAGCACGGTTTGATGATGGTGCTGGTGGTGATAACGAAGTACAACGTACTATGCTTGAATTGATCAATCAATTAGATGGTTTTGATCCACGAGGAAACATCAAAGTATTGATGGCTACCAATAGACCGGATACACTTGATCCAGCTCTTGTTCGTCCTGGTCGACTCGATCGAAAAGTCGAATTCAATCTGCCAGATCTAGAAGTCAGTCAATCGTTCGCTAGAAAAATTCCTCGAAAGGAAAAGTGTTGTTTCATTGTAGGGTCGAACACATATATTTAAAATCCACACGAAATCGATGAGTGTGGAAAAGGACATCCGTTATGAATTGTTAGCTCGATTATGTCCAAATAGTACCGGTGCAGAATTACGCAGTGTTTGTACAGAAGCTGGCATGTTTGCTATCCGTGCTCGACGAAAGATCGCTACTGAGAAAGATTTCATCGAAGCTATCAACAAAGTTATCAAAGCCTATGCCAAATTTAGTTCAACACCACGTTATATGACATATAATTAAATAATTTCTTCTCTTTCTCTTCTTTTCTCTCCTCTTTGTTATTTCTTAAAACATTAAAAAACATCATTTTTATTCAGCAGATTGTCACGTACAAATAAAACTATTCATTCTAGATTTCACAAAAGAAAAACATCATGGACGTACTTAACCCAATGACCTACGATGCCGAAGAAGATCAATTACGTGATCGTACAAAATATAGTCAAATGGACAAACATCTTATACCGGTAGAGTTTCAACAACAACCTGTATCCACTGGTGTAAGCATAACATTTCTAGTTGATATTATTCGATGAAATGAGTCTACTCGATTGATTTTAGACAACCATCGTCGCTGTGGAATATGATGGAGGTGTCATCATCGGTGCTGATACACGTACTTCATCGGGGTGAGATTACTATGTCCATAAGATTCTATCCGATAATTTAACGTTTCGTAGAACATTCGTTATGAATCGATTCACGGATAAATTAACACAATTAACTGACCGAATCTTCTGTCTTCGATCGGGCAGTGCTGCTGATACGCAAGCCATCGCTCAGGTTGTTACTTATCAACTTGATTTTCTTTCGTAAGTTTCATAAGACTTTTTCAAATCGAAATTCAAACGAAATCAATTGATCGATTTTAGAGCAGAAATGAACGAGCCCCCACTTGTGCGCATTGCTGCCAATTGCGTTCGTCGTATGATCTATCAATATCGTGATGACTTTCTTGCCGGTATGATTGTTGCTGGATGGGATAAAAAATTAGGTGGACAGGTAAGTCAAAAGTGCAATCAAATCAAATCACACCAATCCTTTTTGTTATTTAGGTATACTCATGTCCCCTCGGTGGCTTACTTGTTCGACAGCCAGTTACACTCGGTGGTTCAGGTAGTACCTATATTTGGGGCTATCTCGACAACAACTATCGTCCAAATATGACCCAACAAGAATGTTATGATTTTGTATTGAAAGGTCTGTTAAAGAATTTCCATTGTTTGTTAATTTCAACCGCTTTCTTCGGTCGATTTTTTAGGTATAACCTTAGCCATCACTCGGGACGGTTCAAGCGGCGGTTGCGCTCGTATTGCCATCATCAACAAAGACGGTGTTGAACGTATCGATGTCCTTGGAAATGATTTACCAAAAGTTTTCGATCTTTAAAAAAATCGTTCTAAACAACAATGTTATGTCTTAGCCAAGGATTCTAAAACACTTTTTTTTTCACTACTCTTTTTTCCGTCTATATGTTCTTTTTTTTCTGTCTCTTGTCTTATCGCATTAAAAAAATATTCTGAGCAAAAAGAAAGAAAATAAAGCGACATCTTCAGTTAGTACGATTGGAAAGTTTAACGAAGCAATCAACTTTTGAGACGAATGTGGCACATCATCTGGATAAACTATGGACTTTTTGTCGACGATTCATGGATAGTGGTTATAATACTTCTCGTCTCGCTTTTCTAGATTTCTAGCCATGGTTCGTCTGGTCACTATTTGTATTGCATTGTTTCTATTCGCGTCTGCGTGGTCATCAACAATAAATGCAGACGGAGCGTCCAAACGTTTATTAGTTCTCTTGGATAATTTGGGCATACGAGAATCACATTCGTTTTACTTCAAACAATTAACTGGTAAGTCGAATACAGATGCGTAGTATGATAGACTGGATCTGCAACACTGAATATCAGCTGATGATTATTTGATTTATAGCTGTTCACATTCTGAATATCTGTGATTGCCAATCATATCATCCAATCTGATGATGTTCTACATATTTGCATTCACGTTGACTAGAGTTTTTCTAATAGTTATATTTGATCACTTGACTGATGAACATTTTTTCTTGTAGATCGTGGATTCGACATTACATATAAATCATCCGATGATAGCAATCTTCAAATTGTCAAATATGGCGAGTATCTCTATGAAAACGTCATCATCTTTGCACCTACAACCAAAGGTATTTCCGTCGATTATTTATATCTCTTTGTTGCACTAAATAAGTGAATAACTAGAATTTGGTGGCCATTTGGATTCAGAAACCCTAACGCAATTCGTTGATGCTGGTGGTAATGTGCTTGTTGCTGGTAGTAACACAATCGGTAAGCGATGGCCAGTCGAATTTGAGCATATTCCTAGTTGAACTAATATTAGGTGACGCTATTCGTGAATTTGCCGGTGAATGTGGTATTGAATTCGCTGATGATAAGAGTGCAGTGATTGATCATTTAAATTACGATACGAATGATAATGGACAAGTATGTATTAGCGTTTTGTCGAAGAGACTAATAGGAAACATTGTATTATTTGTTTTAGCACACATTGATCGTTGCTAGTCCAGATAACCTTCTTCCCGCAGAAATTATTGTTGGTCAATCAAAGAAGAATGGTTTACCATTTCTCTTTCGGGGCATTGGGTATGAGTTTGCTCTTCTTTAACTGTCATTTCTGATAAAAGCATCTATTCTTTCTTTCAAGCATGTCATCTGATCAAGACAATCCATTACTGCTTGATATTCTAACTGGCTCATCAAGTTCATATACTGCAAATCCTGAAGAGGCAACTTTAAATGAAGTAAGTCAATTGAATGTTTGTTGACATTCAACTTGCTAACTGTATGCGTTTTCTATGATTTAGTATCCAGCCACTGTGGGTAAACGAACATTATTGATTTCAGTTCTTCAAGCACGTAACAACGCACGTGTTGGTTTTGTTGGCTCATTGGATTTCTTCAGCAATGACTTCTTCCAAAGCTCTATTCAAACAAATAACGGAAAAAAGTAAACCCAGTGTATTTTCTAGTCATGCAGAAATATGATGAAAATTTTAGACATGCTAAATCGGGCAATCAAGATTTAGCTGTGGCTTTAACTGACTGGGTATTCAAACAACGTGGTGTTTTACGTGCCAGAAACGTTCGTCATTACTTAAAGAGTGATAAATCAACTCCACGATTCTACACAGTTAAAAACGATATTGTAAGAATAGAAAATATTAGGATGGAAAAGAGAGACAGAGTATATTTGATTGTTGATAGGTATTCAGTGTCCAATTTGATGAATTCGTACATGGAAAATGGATGCCATTTAACGGAACTGATGTTCAATTAGAATTTGTTCGCATTGATCCATTTGTCCGAACAACAATGAAAAATAAAGGTGGGACATCTATATAAATAATAGATTCTAAGATGAATGAGTCTTAATTATCTTCGAATATATTTAGGCGGTCAACTCGAAGCTCAATTCCGTGTTCCAGATACTTATGGTATCTTTAAATTTGTCATTGACTACAATCGTGTTGGCTATACACATTTATATTCGGCTACTCAAGTAAATTTCTTTTCTTGCCACTACTGGTTCCCCTAGATTAATGATCTCCAACTTTAGGTTTCTGTCCATCCTTTACGTCATACTGAATATGAACGTTTCATCGGCTCAGCCTATCCATATTATATTTCATCCTTTTCAATGATGGTTGGTGCATTCCTTCTCAGTTTCATCGTACTCTATCATCGGGATGAGATACCAAAGAAGAAAGCCGAATAAATGACATGAACAATATCAACAGACATAAGACATTTTATTCATTCCTTTTAGGTGAATCTTTATTATTGCTCTTCTTCTTCTTCTTATCATCATCAACATCGTTGTTGTTATGTTATTAACCGATTTGAGTTTGATTGCTACACTGATTTTCTTTCTTTTTTTTTTAAATGTCGACTCTATTTGTTTTGTGTGTAGACACTAGAAAAATCCGATCTCGTCCATTTCTAAGGGATATAACATGTTTGTTTTTTGTTTTTGTTAAAAAGAAAAAAAGGAGAATAAACAAAAAATCTTTATCTATTCACATTTACTTTCCAGATTTTGCTTCATAAGAATCCACATTGATAATGTACTGCAGACCGAAAAGGAGCATTCTAATAGCTGTAACCATGTTTGCATGAGAATAAAAGAAGTTGAACTTCTGGTATCATCTTCTAGATTGTTTTGAACAAGCGTAAAAGATGTTATCATTACAACTGAAACAACGATTATCGTCAGGTATAATACTAAGAAGACACGTACAGACAATGCCAAAATTTCTCTTTGAAATAGAATTGATCGTTTCTTGCCTATCGAAAATCTCCTTGCGTACAGCGAGTACTACTACCGCAGATGGAACTTTAAAACCTGACAAACAAACGCATCATGAATCTCCAAAGTATCGATTTTACGTTCGCCATAAATCGACAGATAAGACTATGCATTTGTTTCAGTCAGCAAGTCAATACAGGAATACTTCTGTTAAACATGGGCGGACCCGAAACAACAGATGATGTATACGATTTTCTGAATCGTCTTTTCTCTGACAGAGACATCATTCCATTACCAGCACAAAAGTAGGTTAACTGTGTTTGCAAACAGATTGTATACTTATATAAGGAATTTTACGTTAGAACCTTAGGTCCGTTGATTGCTCGTCGTCGGACACCAAGTATTCAAGAACAGTATGCCAAGATTGGTGGTGGATCCCCAATTAAAATGTGGACAGAAAAGCAAGGCGAAGGAATGGTGAAAATACTCGATCAGATATCTCCATCAACAGGTAAGAACCGAGCAAAAGAGAATAGATCATAGGTATATTGACGACATGTCATCTAGCACCGCATAAATATTATGTTGGTTTTCGTTATGTTAAACCATTAACTGAAATGGCATTGGATGCCATTGAAAAGTGAGTAACTTACTCTCTAACTTTGGATACAATATAGACAGAACATTTGCAGAGATCGCCCTCGACGCGTAGTGGCTTTTACACAATATCCTCAATACAGTTGTTCAACAACGGGCAGTAGTTTAAATGCTATTGCTCGATATTACAATTCCAAGACGAAGAGCTCGAAAACAGATCTAAATAGTTCTACTTCTTCTGCTACTCAATCGCCATACAACAATCCAGAATGGAGTGTGATTGACCGTTGGCAAACACATCCCGGTTTTATTCAAGTAAGATTCGATGATTGCCAAAGAATTGACGAAAAGGAAGAGATCCATTTTTCTGTAGGCATTCGTTGAAAATATCAAAAGCGAATTGAATAAATTTCCAGCAGATATTCGAAATGATGTTGTTATTCTATTTTCAGCGCACTCATTACCAATGAGCGTAAGTAAACATTTTGTTAGTTTGTCATCTAGATAAAACCGGTGGTTTTCAGGTAGTTAATCGCGGCGATCCATATCCAGCTGAAGTTGCTGCCACTGTCCAAGCAGTAATGGAATCCCTCAATTTTTCCAATCCATACCGACTTGTTTGGCAATCTAAAGTAGGCAAACGCTCGTCCTATCGTTTTCCTATGGAAACAACTTCGATTTTATAGGTTGGGCCCAGTGCTTGGCTCGGCTGTGCAACAGATGATGCCATTAAAGGCTTAGCAAAGAATAATCGTCGACATATCCTTCTCGTTCCCATAGCATTTACAAGTAAATGTGGAAAAGCTTGAGTGGGACTTGTCTAAAGCGATGTTCTATTCTAGGTGATCATATAGAAACTTTACATGAATTGGACATCGAATATTCTCAACATCTTGCTACGAGTGTAAATTAACTAATGGCACTCTTTAACATCGTTTCATTCTTGATTCGTGTTTTAGGTCGGTGTTGAAATGATTCGTCGGTGTTCGTCATTGAATGACAGTCCTCTCTTTATCAAAGTACTCGGATTTGTCTATGAAAATGTTGAGTTTAACACAAATCTTCTTTAGGCTATGGCAGATATTGTTCATAAACATTTGCACAGTCAGCGTCGTCATACAAACCAGTTACCACTTCGGTGTCCCGGTTGTGTCAATGCTTCGTGTGAACAGATGCGCAAATTTTTCTGTCCGTCATCTTAACGAACATTTTACTTTTAGTTTATTTGAAAAGTATATTCACGCAATATATAGAAAATAGGAGAAAATCTAGTTAACTAAGGATTGTGCATGTTGCTGAAAGTGATACATTGAAAATTAGATATTTTTATCATTTAAATCGTAAAGTTTGGGGCGAACAGTGACGTGTTGTTCGTTTAAAACTTTGGATTTCTTCCATGCTTGGCTGTGAATTGTGACATAAGCATATTGTTTTGTTGGTAATTCAACTAGATAATGATAAAGGACACCACTGACAATTTGTGATGCAACTTTGGCTGGTTTCAATTTAGTTTTAAGTTGAATCTTATGAAGATCGTGAATTTTCTTCGAGACAATCTTCTCATGCTAGAATGAATTAGAAGTATGGAAATAATGGCTAATCGATTGTTAGCAGCAACTAACTTTGTCAAACAATTTTTTGCTTTTTCCATCGATTTTTGTCTTCCATTCTGTACGGCCACCACCAACTTTCACTGGCCTTGAAATGAAGATAAAATATCCATTTATGTCTCTCGAAAATAGTTACTTCTTTGCAGCACCTTGCTCCGGGACGACAGCGACTTTGTCTTTCGGAGCTGCTGGTGCACTCTGATTGGTTTCAATAAGAACCATAACGATGGTGGTAATTAAAAGAAAGATCGTTTTCGTTTGCATGATATCGTCTTATGACTTGCCTGTTTGTATTATTATGAATATCTCCTTCTTCTTCTTCTGAAGGTCCTTATATACATATCTATGCTACTATGTAGGAAGCTATTTTGTTTATTTCTTTCTCTCTTTCAATCGATATATCCTTGACTGAGAAGAGATAAATTAGCTTATCAAATTAGCTTAGTATTAGATACTTTTCTATATATAGTTTCAATGATAACAATTAATTTCCTAAGGAATTATTTTGGTCGTTTGGAAGTATACCGGCGGACTAGTCTGCTTTGTGTTACAATAGAGAGCACATGACTGATTATTTTTTCCCTGTATAGTTTTTCACGCGAATAAATTTATTTTCTTTTGCAAACATCAATGACTCATATGTTACTCCCTACACGATTATGCAGTGATGAAAAAAAAATTAAATTTTGCTGTTTTTCGTAGCAGCAAAAAATCTCGTAAAAGTCTTCTGGAGGAATTCAATTAACTATCGCTTTTAGTAATATAAAATGATCCTAGATAGAAATATGACATTTTTTATTGTTCTTTTTTCAGTTAAAAATTTCGAAAGATTTTGCTCGGTTCTGTCGTGTTTCTCTCGAATCATCTTACTCATTTTTTTTTCACAGTACACCTTTTCTCTCTACACTATAAATACTACCTCCACATTTATATTTTCACTTGGACGTAATAAACATAACGAAGACCCAGCGTGCTTACACCATTAACCCAACATTGCAAGGGAATGATATTAGCTGATTTTATTCCACAAACAACTTTATTGCAATTACCCAATGACATGAATGACATAAATCCCACTGATGAGCTTACCAAGTTGTCGACAACGTCGTCATCCGACATACAAACGGCTGAAAAGGAGCCTTATCTGATATCCCCAATCAAAATTCCACTGACATCATTTCAACCTCTTCTGGCCGCTTCACCCGACTTTATTCTGACTAATGAATGCACTAGACGAAGAAATAGACTTGTTTTAATTGATAATCAGTTGCAAACAATAGAGCAGCGTATACCCAAAACAGATGCTCTGCTTGATGCAATATGGTATGAAAAGAAACAGCAATTCCTACTTCGGACTGTATCAAGTATATTCTCATATGATGCAATAACTGGCAATATGAAGCTCATACAAGGTTTTACACCCACTGAAAACAAAGAGATGAAATGTTTTAACTTCCTGAACTCTTCAGTACTATTAGTTGCATATGATGAATGGAATGCCCAATATATTGAAAAATGGCAACAAGATGATACTGATGAAAATTGGAAGCTTACTGACAAATTACCTTTAAATTTAACGAACAATGAATTTATCGGAAATATGATAACAGTCATTGAAAATGATTGTTCATACATTGTGATAACAATTTATAATGATTTACTTGAACATTGGCGATTGGAAATTCGTCCTATAGAAACATTTCTGTGTGTCAAAGCAATTATTCTTCCTGGTTCTAACCCTACGTATGATTACAAAATACTGTCTTTGCAAGATAATGTATCAAACATTAAATTCCTTGTGTACTCTTCACAGAATTCCAACATTATAGCCATTGACTCACATTGGGAAAAAATACTGTTAAATTACAAGTATCCTGTTCAACGGATGGTATTATTTTCAAAAAATCAATGGATTGTGCGTACAACCCAAAGAGTTGACATACATTCTTATCTGTAGATTTTTCAGATTTAATGTAATAAAACATATTTGAGGACTGCGGGAATTGTTTTTCCCAACTTTATTTGAGGACCCTTTTACTTTCCTATGAGTCACCTTGCATTAAATAAAAACTTGCTGCAATAACATGATTCACTGGAGACAATTTTTTGTGTTATGTTGTATATATGTATATAATAGATTAAATAAACTTGAACAATAATGAAAGAAATCGTGTGATCGAACGACTTTTGATTATTCATTCTAGGCGAGATGAAACGCCGGAGAAAGTCGTTAATCTAGTGAATTTAAATATCTAAAAGACTAAGCTTAGTACGTTTTAAACCTATTGGTGCACAGTTGGAAAGAGAGAATGAAGATCTAGGTATCTCTACTGTCTGATATGGTGACAAGAAGTAGCGAGAAGAATGATAGAGAGAGAGAGAGAAAGAGAAAAGAAATTTGTATACTTATATAACGTGTGGACATCGCAGTTCATACTTACAAAAGAAAACGAGCTTTTAATCACGTTTTTCCTCCTCATAATAATACATATACTGATCCTCTAGTTTCTTTTTTATTGCATCGATCGACTTGTTTTTGTTTTAATTATAAGTTTACGGAGAAAATCGTTCATTGAAAATGCCGAGCATTGTGTAAGTGATTTCTTTGAGGAAGAAGAATAGTTCGAATGTGTAATTTTTCGCCTTTTTAGACGACAAGATAGCCTTTGTTCGCATGTGGATCAATTACGATTTTTTGATTTTCTTGAACCAAATTTCGATTTCAAAACAGCCATGTCAAGATTTGAACGACAAGTTAGCTGGTTGCCGCTCGTTGCACCGGCAGCCGAGCTCGAATCATCACCGATTCAAAGCAACCATACATCAGATTTCATCTGGCAACCTCCAAACTCATTCTTACCCACATTACCCGAAACACCTCCAGCATTTCTTGACGATCATCATCAGTCAGAGATTAACATCGAGACAATTATTGATGAAAGAAATTTAAGTAATTTTCTTTCACCACCATTGCCACCACCAATGCCTTGTAAATAATCCGAAAAAAAAGCCTAGTTTCTTGATAATTATTACTATGGTTTTCTTATAGTGATGAAAACAGCATCAACCCCGAAACTGAAGCTACCGATTCGATCTCAAGAAAAGCACTCTCGAGCAATATCGCCATCACCCTACGAATCTTCATTGCCATCACAAAAGCGAACAAAATCATCGACTAACATCCATGAAGCTCAACCATTTGCAACCGGTGTTTCTCAGTAAACTACTAGTTATAGTTCAATTTCAAAACCTGAGTCGATATCTGTTGTAGAACGGCTTTGGAAGTCGCAGCTCTGCTCAAAGAACATCCAGGTTACATGTGCCCTATGTTGACACTTGTACAAGAGTACCAAAGTCGGTAAGTTACGGAAAATCTTTCTCTAAAAGATTTTGACGTTCACTTTGCGATTCCAATAGATTTTGTAAACCATTACATACATCGGAATTGAACACGGCACGGGATATTGTTGAAATTCAATATAATGGTCAAATGAGTTATGCACGATTAACATCAACATTTCGAGCAACCATGGGCAACGAAACACTATCCGTAAGTGAATTCTTTTACCACATTCATCACATACAAAATTATGATGTTAAGGTTCGACTTGAACGTCCATATTGCACAATTCACTGTCCGCCCAATTTTGTCGTTAGCTCGACATTCGATATGCCATTTGTTCGATTACCATTACAGCGCTTTTCTGAAAATGTTCACTTTTTACTTGCACAACATACTGGTACCATGCCATTAGGAAGGTATGTATTGCTTTTCAGGTTCACAACGCGGTTCACTAAAATACTTTAGTTTTGTTCAATGTTATTCATTCTATTTTCCACGTTTAATTGATGATGAATACGGTGTGCCACTCGAACATTATATTACCTGCGTGAAAAATATCGAAATAGCCACCGATCAAGGTGTTATTAAACGTATTCAAACAACGATCACACCACCATTTTCTGTTCCACTCAATCACAGTAATCCAAATGAGAAATCACCTTGATGCAGCAAATTCCTTGATCATTTTAGTGGTGCCCGATCAACGTTCAACATCTTCGTCTACCTGTTCATTACAAACATTTGCACGTGAAGTCATCGATTTATTGAAGCAACAAACAGTTCATTGCCGTCTACCATTATCGAAATTCGTGACAACTTATCATATGAAATACAGTCGACATTGTCGAGCAGCTGATTATGGTTTTGAGAAAATTCTCGATCTACTCATTGCTATACCAAATGCTGTACAGGTAAACAAAGATGATTTTCTGGATTGGATGATAAGAGAGGAAATATTTCATGTGCAGATACTTGGTGACGGTAATAAACGAATACTAACATTAACTCATCGATGTCAAGTCAAAAGATTTTTCAATGATCTCGTTCGGATTCTGAAAAACAAGCCACAGAGATCCATGGCAATCAGTGAAATTCCAAAAGAATTCGGTGAGTCGCCCGACTGAAGTGTTCCATTGTTGTTTTGATCTAAAGAGTTGGTCGATTTTTAGCCAATTTTAGTAAAAAACCATTTGATATTATCGATTTCGGTGTTTGTTATCTCGATGATCTCATTGGTGAAATTCAAGACAACAAAGAAGTTGTTATCGATCGAGAACATGGAATAATAAAACTCTATCGAAAAGGTATGTATCTTTTTATAGACTGCTCCCATCATTCTTTTTTCGGACACCCGATTTTTCAGAACAAACGGATGTTGAGAAATTTGCTACACAAATCTTTGCTGATGATATCATTAATATGTTTCGTCATCAACAAGATTTCAATATTCCATTTCAACGTTTTATTCCAATGTATCATCACCATTTCGGTTATCAATGTCGCGTGCAATTGTATGGATGTTTACGTTTGATAGACTTATTCGAAGAAATTCCCCATGTTGTTCAAATACTCGAAGATAAGAATGGTGAACGTATTGTACAATTGACTCACGAAGCGATTCATCAGGCCGTTTTATTGAATATCACTCAACTTATCCGACAACATGATGGTTCAATACTCTTTGATCAATTGCCTAAACTTTATGCTGAAACGTTTCGTTTTGAACTCAATTATGAAGAAATAGGTTTTGATTCGATTGAAGCTATGCTTGAATCGATGCAAGACAAATTGACCGTGAGTTATATCTACAATTTGATTAATATGAATATTGATACGACGAATTGCTTCTGTTTTTTCGAAATAGTGTGTTCAAACCAACAAAAACACAGTAGTTATTCGCATCATTGAGGAACACCACTCAGATATTGTATTTGCTCGAAATGTCGTTCATATCCTAATGGAAGCACAAGGTGAAACAACAATTTGGTTACTCAAACAAGAAATGGCCAATCGTTTCCGACGAGAACTGAAAATTGAAGATTGTCAACATCGACTTAAACAATACGTTCAAGTAAGAAAACAGTCAAGTATAACAATCAGCTCAAACTCTATCATTGTTTTTCAGTTAATTGGTCAAAATGTACGTCTAACACCGCCGATGCGATTCGCCTACGAAGTCGTCAAAGGAATGCGTGCATGTGGTTTAGATAAAATGAATTATGAAGACTTTCTGATTGATTATCAACTACGTCATGGTAATGCACATTGTCCAAATCCATCAGAATTTGGTTATCCAACGATCGATCGTTTATTCCATGCAATACGCATTGTTGTTTTAACACGCGGTCATCGACAAACGAAAACTATTTCATTAACAGATGAATTTCGAAGTAGATAATTTGACTCGCATGATCACTCATCTATTCATTCTCTTCTAGTGCATATTCGTCCCACTTATTCGCTCCATTTAAACAATAATAATCCGTAAGTCAATTCTACTGTCGATTGAAAAATTTTTCCTTCTTTTATTCTAGTTTTGCTAAATGAGATATGTGTGTATATATATAATATTTATTCCAGAGGATCAGATGTATTCTTTTCTTTTTCGACGGTTCTCCTTTTGTTTTGTATTTATTCTCTCCTTCTTTTGTTCTTGTACGATCTTTCCTCGACTTAGTAGAGTGCGAGTCTTAGTATGTTGGAGAACGCTCGTTTTTTTTCTTTACAGGGCATTCCACCCTCATCCTATAGTTTTTATTATAGCCTTTTTATTACTATTATTATATTATATTATATTGTGAGTATGTGTGTTTTGATGAGAGATTTTTTTGTAAATGAGGAGGAAATGAAGGATAAAATGATGAATTATGCGATATATATATACATATTTATTAAAAGATGGATTGAAAAAATGTTCTCTGCTTTTCTTTTAACGATGCAATCCAGTACACACGGAGCTTGACGAAAACAGATTTAGTAGCAGTTTGGCTTTATGCTGTTGAGATTCTTGGTAACTACAAGTCGATGAATGTCGTTGTGGTATATACTTGAAGTTCTATGCAACAGAAAAGGAAAAAAATAAAATGTGTTGGTAATGTATAACAGTAACAGATTCTGTGATTCTGTTTATGATTTACTGTACTTTTTTATAACTCTTATTGTACTTGGTATGGACAGATTGAAGGAGTTTGTCAGCAACATCATTTGGCGAGCGAATATGTTTCGATGTTTGTGAATGAAGCGATAGAATAGGTTTGACTAGTGTACATGTTAAATGTTTGGGTGCTTCAGCAATATTTGGCACCGTCAGAGAGGATGAACTAGGATGATTCGATTGCTGTGTAGGCGATGTTACATGATTGAACTTCGAACGATTATTGAAAAGTTTTGGGATTGTTGCACAATGAATTGGATTGCGAGACGATGATTTACATTCTAATAAATCACATGTGGAACTGAAAAGACCTATGAAAAGCACCAGTTTACACTAACCAGTCATGTCTGATGCGGACGAAGATGATGAAACGGAATCAGTTGGCGAACTAATCGTTGATGCTAAATTTATCAGTCGAGTTTTAGATGTTTGCTGTTCAAGTTGATGTAAAAGAAATAAAAGATCGTCTAGATTCAATTTCGTTAAATCCATCTGACGAATTTTATTCAATAGACATGCATGATTTGATTCTCTCGAAAAAATGGACTCTAATTTTGTTGCCGTCGGAGTGGAAGATGTGTTGAGCATGTTGACGAGGAAATTATCAACGGGTACATTGATTGAATCTAGTTCTAGCTCAAATAAGAATGTCAAAACAATTTGCATACATACAGTTTACATCATTCGCATAGTTGGTTATCCAAACTGTTCGAGTTTTCCTTTCATCGTGGCTAGCAAATGGATAATGGTCTGTATGTTTTCGTGTAAATCTGTTATCGATTGCATTATCAAGCCAAAGTGAATGATGAATATCTATTGTAAATACATGGATCTCAAATATACTCGCAATTGCAACGTACCACGCTGTAACAGAGGATGCGAAATCATTCAGATGTCAAAGTCTCTTATAATGAAATTTAGATATGATCAGAACAAAGAAGAAGAAATAAACTACGATGTGAAGAAAAACGCGCTATGTCTTCGTAATGTTAATGAAAGTTCGTTCGTTGTCATCGAGACTCGATTCAATAGTGTGTTTCAGCGTATATTATTTATGACATCTATTTTGTAAATCGTGTTGGCTCAGTGGATTTCCTTATCCGTCTCAGACCATTCTTTTACACAGAAAATCATCAACAAGGACCTGCTGACCTCATTCGAATTGTAGCACAAAAGGAATTTTTGGTATTAATACGTCAAACACTGTTCTAAACCTTATGTATTGTATAGCTGTCAATTATATTTGGAATCGGCCTATCAGACCGGTGTAATTAAGCTAACGAATATGAATACGAATTGCTCAATAAAAATATCGTACTACAATTATGTCATAATTTGCAAGAAGACTGGTACTGTTAAGTGATTGAAATCAATAAGAATAAGGGGAAATGTTTCAATTCAGTCTTTGCACAGGCAACATTTGAGGAAATTTGGAAAAACACATGGATAGATCGTATGCGTAGACCTACTGCCATCTATCGATGATTATTTTACATTGTTATCGAGGCAGCTCTAACAGTAAATATGGTAGCTGTCATATGGCCGTTCTCGTCACTTGAATAGATGCAGATTGAATGAGAAAGACCGAATAGGATAGTATAATTTCTTTTCTTTATAAAGTCTACAGCGTCATTTCGTTTTTTCAAATATCAACACAAAGAAAAACGTGACATCCATCTGACAAAATCATATGTCCAGTAGATCAATTTGATTAATTACAACGTTTATGCGGATGTCTTCTACATTCTATTGTTAATAAGTCGACTGTCATATTATTTATACACTACATGTAGAACAAAAACAGACAATTGTTTATTGTCTCGTGTGAACAAATCAAATCAAATCAAATTGGATTTCAAAAACAAAACAATTGACTGATTATTACACGTTTTCCTCAAGTATTCGAATATTAATAAATGGGTGGATGTGTTAGTCATCGTCGTCATACTCATACTCATCGTCGTCGACGATCTCATTCGTCTCGAAGCAGTGCAACAAGTATTTACTCGTTTCTCCAATGATTATCGTAATTTATTTTCGTCTTCTGTTTAGCAGGTGGCACTGTCGGTCGAAACAAACCATTAAATCGTTCCGCTTGTCATCCCCGATGGAAATCAGATGTTGCCATAACAGAAAATCAATTGCGGCGTAAACGGGAAGAATACTGGGATACAGGTAGGTTTTATCGTTCGTGGAATACATAGGAAATTGCTAAACGTTTTCGTGCATTCATTTCCTGGATACTCTTACTATTGATATACTATCCAGGGATATCGAATGCACGTCGTTTCTTATCAGCTATAAATTATTTTGAAAGCGTAATCGGAAATCGACGTCTGTAGAGAGGAAATTTGAAATTTTACCTCTACTGATTGAAAACAGTTCATGATGAGCCATCTGACACCATTTTAGTCTTGCACGTAATGATGTGTTTGGCGAGCCGAGAATAATTTCTGATTTAGTACTCGCCCTTTGTCATCAAATCTCGAGATGATTTTCTTTGTGCTCTATTCGCTCAATAAGATATTAAAGTGTTCTCATTTGTCTGCAAACTGGACTATTTACATTCTAATGAATTTTGTCAATTTCAGCTCCGGCGTTCGATGGACGAAAAGAAATTTGGGATGCATTACGTGGCGCGTGTTATGCAATCGAACAGAACGATATTGACTTAGCACAATCAAGTAGAAAATTTTCAATTGAAATTTTGTCGTCTTGTATATATACCTATGTTACATTTCTTTTAGTCATCAATTGTGCTAATATATCTCTTCCACATGGCACATTGCTGGATTGCTATGATGAACTCGGTACGCGTTATCAACTACCTGTCTATGTTCTATCAGCACCGACAAACATGATTGATGGTGAACAATCATCGATCGACTCACGCGGTGATTATGAGTCAGGTACAAGCGATATAGGTCTGGCAATAACAGTAGCAGCTGATCGTGAGCGTGATTTCGGAGGAAATCATAGTTCATCGTCATCATCATCAACGTCGTCAGCCCATCAGCATCGTGTGACGACGAAATCTTCCAACACACATCATATTGGACATAATCCAATTGTACGGGAAATCAAAAAACATCGTCGGAAACAAAAGTCAAGTACAAATACTGATTCAGGGCATGATTCGTCTTCGACAAACACCACCACACCTCCACCAACTATTAATTATCAACCAGCCAATGCCGATCAGGATGTCGAAATCGCCATTAAATTTCGCTTGTCAAATGGAAAAGAACATCGATTATACTGCAAAAAGAATGAAAAAATACGACATATTAAACGACGTGTGGCATTGTTAGAAAACGGAGATATTGACTCACAAACCCAACGATTCTTTTTTGGTGGCAAACTATTACGTAAGCCATTTTTAGTCATTATATACCTTCCAAAAACAATCGATATGCTTCATGTTCAGAGTCAGCAGGAGGATGAGCAGACGACCCCCACGTTGCTAATCACGCTATGCGTGCAGAAGTATTTAGTACTGATGCAGTCGGCAATTATTTTCGAAGTAGTCTCATCAGCAAAGATTCCTATCATTATTAGTAAGACATGATGCTGGAAACAAGTAGATCACTTCGTGTTTATTAGGGATATTTTAATAGTATCACTTATGATAATTATTTCATTTATGTGTAAGTCAGAGATATCTACGCGTTTTTAGGTGATCGTTCTACTGTACGCGACGCACGTTTACAACGCAATTTCGTCGTTCAAGTCATTCTGACGGATAAGCCAGTCTCTTCGATTAATGCCATCACAACAACTGATCATATAACACCTACAACGGATGATGTCAAACATTCGAATTCGACATCAATCGAAATACCAATTTCAAAATGTTCGGATTAAGACCCTAAAGACCTTCGCCACCGTTCGCTTTTCATATCTCTTTGTACAAACGAATTCTCACGACTAGATTGTCTTCTTCTTTCTTTCTTTTCATTCTCTTGTTTATATGTTGTCAACAATTGCAATACGTTTGTTTTACTTCTTACTCTTACCCTTGATCGATCAGTCACTATTCTCCATGTTGTATTCATGTGTATATTTCTTTTGTGGTTTTACAAAGAACAGGACCTAAATTATTAACTGAAAGAAAGAAAACATCAGTCTCTTTTCTCTATTTTAGATTGATTTCAATTTATCATTGTTTTTCTCCATTACACTATGTCCGATTTGTCAGATCTTGATCGTCAATTAGAACAATTACGTCGTTGTGAATTAATTACCGAAAGTGAAGTGAAAACCTTATGCACGAAAGCACGAGAAATACTGGTTGAAGAAAGTAACGTTCAATGTGTTGATTCACCGGTTACAATATGTGGTGATATTCATGGACAAATGTTCGACCTATTAGAATTGTTTCGTGTCGGAGGTAAAATACTCGTTGAGAACATTTAGTGATGTTATTGTCTCATACTATATTGATATTCGATGATTAAGCAACTATTTTTCTCCTTGTTCGTTTCTAGGCGATGTACCTCAAACGAACTATTTGTTCTTGGGTGATTTTGTTGATCGTGGCTTTTATAGCGTTGAAACATTTTTGTTATTACTTGCTCTGAAAGTAAGATATCCTGATCGGATTACGTTGATTCGTGGAAATCATGAATCTCGTCAGATTACACAAGTTTACGGTTTCTACGATGAGTGTCTGAGAAAATACGGTTCAATCATGGTCTGGCGGTATTGTACGGAAGTTTTTGATTATTTAAGTTTATCAGCCGTTATCGATGGAAAAATCTTTTGTGTTCATGGTGGTTTAAGTCCATCGATCAATACTCTTGATCAAATCAGACAAATTGATCGAAAGATGGAAGTTCCACATGATGGGCCGATGTGTGATCTATTATGGTACGCAAACGACATGTTTTCAATGTTAGTCAAATGATTTCATTTAGGTCTGATCCCGAAGAAACACTTGGCTGGGGCGTAAGTCCACGTGGTGCCGGATACTTATTTGGTAGCGATGTTGTTTCGCAATTTAATCAAACAAATAATATTGATTTAATTTGCCGTGCACATCAACTAGTCATGGAAGGGTATAAATGGCATTTCAATGAAACTGTATTAACTGTTTGGTCAGCACCGAACTATTGCTATCGATGTGGAAATGTGGCGGCTATACTTGAGCTCGACGAACATCTCAATCGTGGTTTTACTATATTCGAAGCAGCACCGCAAGATCAACGTTCAGCAACAACGAAACGTGTTGTGCCGGATTATTTTCTTTAGGAAATTTATATTAATTTATATGTATGCCATTATGTGTGTGCTTGTGTGTATAACATTTTTTTCTCTGTCCCGTATAAATCGGTTCGGTTATTTGAAACAAAAAAAGATATCAGATATGACGAGTATGTTAATGAGTAAATGTATATATTCTATACATATTTGTTTCTTTCATGTTTGTTTTCCTAATTATTTTCCGCATGGCTATGACCTGACTACGTGTATATTGAGAGAAAAGAAAGAAATGATATGTTGTTCTCTGTTGATTAATAGTGTATCACTGGTGAGAACAGAAATCTAGTATAGATTGAATTTGCTACATTAGGTTTTCTTTTGTCAATTGATAAGGATAAGAATACAATAAGAAGCGAAGCGGAAGGTTCTTTTTTCCTTCTTCCGTTTCTCGTGTCTATAATCAATTCATATAGTTCGCCTAAAGTTAGATTCATTTCCAATATAGTTATTTGTTCGCCGTTCCTTTTGACGCCAGTTCGTTCGTGTTAGTAAAACAGGCACGCGCAAGAGCAGAAAAAAGGATAGATACGTACTGCGCAAATCTAGTTAGTTGAATTTCAACAAGAAAAAAGCATCCATTTTCTGACCTTTGGGTTTGCAACCTAGACGACGACTATAGACAAATGAATCACTGACGAGATTGTCAAAAACAGAGAGATAAACCACGTAGTAGTTTTCTTTCGAAGTCTTCGCCGAAGAAAAATGACGTCTCATTTGTCTTCTTCTTCTCTATCACAAACACATGATCGTACAATGAAACAGAATAGTTTATATGTCATATATCTATATGTTAATTGTATTACAGATAGTAGGAGATAACTCATATTGTCTCTTTTTTCTTTTCAGATGATGAGATAAATAATGAATACACTTTCAGTACGTGATCTTTGCTGTCTTTTCTGTTGTCCACCCTTACCGTCCCGTATTGCTGCGAAACTCGGTAACTATTTTCTGTTGCAATACCAATGATCAAAAATCAAAACATTTGTCTGTTTAGCTTTTCTTCCACCTGAGCCAACGTATTCTCTACATGTAGCTGATATACTTACTCCATCGAATGGTAGTACGGGTCAGAAAGATTCATCGTTATCTAAAGGCAAATCTTCGTCTGACGCGAATACACCTATTCGATATAAAATTGTTTTCTCTGAAAAAGCCGAATGGCAACACTCACAATCAGATATCGCAAAATTAGAACCATACTTTGTCACGACATCACGGCATAATCGTATTGCGTGTCTGTATGTGAATTGTACACCCAATCCGAAATATCATATTCTATTCAGTCATGGCAATGCTGTCGATCTTGGTAACAAGAAAATGCTTTCCATTGTTTCGATTGTGTTCCATTCACATTCTTTTCTTTTATTGTCAGGTCAAATGGCAAGTTTCTTTATTGTCTTGGGAACGCGATTGCAGTGCAATATTATCAGTTATGATTATTCAGGTTATGGCGCTTCGCAAGGAAAAGCAAGTGAAAAAAATATGTATGCTGATATCGAAGCAACCTATAACTCCATCAAACAACGATACCATATTCCTGAATCAAAAGTCATTCTCTACGGACAAAGTATTGGTAAGAGAACGGATATTTGGAATTGCTTTCCGTTTTTAAACTCGTTCGTTCATTTCCATTAGGCACTGTGCCAACGATCGATTTAGCTTCACGACGTAGTGAATGCTGTATTGCATGTATCTTACACAGTCCATTGACATCCGGAATGCGTGTCGCATTTCCCGATGCAAAACGCACATGGTGTTGTGATGCCTTTCCATCTATAGATAAGATTCATCGTATACGCTCGATTGTTCTGATTATACATGGTACAGAAGATGATGTTATTGATGTCAGTCATGGTTTTGCTCTCTACAATCGAGTGCATACACCGCACCAAATCGAACCATTATGGGTAGATGGCGCTGGACATAACGATATTGAAGTAAGCTTTTCATGAATTGTCTTCTCGATATTTTATGGTGTTTCTTCAGGCACACGGCCAGTATGTCGAAAGATTATTACGGCTAATTGATGTAGACATTCCACAAATATATTTGAAGAAGCAACAATCAGAGCAACAACAACAACAGCAACAGTTGTCATCATCAATGTCAACTCCACCAACATTGGCATCCACACTTATCATACCAGCTTCGACAACTAGTGGGGCAAATTGAATAAGATCAGGGAATCTTACACTTGTGAATGTTTATGAGCTTGATCATCTCTTGTTTATTACAACGTGCAATGTGATCTATATCCTTTTCTCTTCTCTCTCTTGGATCTATATACGAACATATATATATATTCAAAGATTTATTTCTTACTTGAATGAACTTGTTTTTTTTTCTTTTTCTTACTTTATCATAGTTTGATCTTGTGTCAAAGAATCTAAATATATATATATATATAAATATCTATTGAATTTCTAATCTTTGTTATTAATGTTGACTCTGACAATGAATATCGATCTCGGATTGCTGATAACTTCATACTTTGAAAGTTGAAATCAACTCTCCCATGTCAACTTATTCTCGGCGACATCTTTTGTTAAAAACTGTTTTATAGTTTTTCAGTCGCCAATCAAGATGTAAAGCAAGGTAGATAGATAGATCGACAGACAAACCAGACGGCTGGATAATGATGTAGTATAATGTCAGATAGAAATACATAAGAATGTTATACACTTATTTTTATTTCTGTGAGATAGCGAGAATATTATTTGTCAGTTGTAGAAAAAAAGCCCTTCGCTATGAATCATCGGTATTTAAAACCACTTTTTCTCATTTCGACAATAATCGTCTTAAATTGAAATATGACGTGCTGTTATATATTTCATTCAGAATGTATTTCGAGTGCACTGAGTGTGCCTTTTGCCATCCAAAAAGCTAGACAAGCATCGCATTCCATTGTATGTCTTTTTTCTTCCAATTTGTATTAGAAACGCTTGAACACCATCTGTTTCTGTTTAATATAAAACTAATGAATTGAATCGAATTGTTATATCATTTGATATAACCAATCGAAATCGATCTTCTTCATTTAAAATAAAAACAGCACGAATCTTTCATTCTAGATTTTCTTGTCTTGAATTAGAACGTATCATATGGCCACATCATCACCATCATCTCCGAGCGGAGGAGGTGCTGCTGCTGTTGATAACAATACTCGAGATTTTTATCAACAAGTTTCCACATGGTTAAATGAATTCTTTCACTTAACACCTTACACTGATATCGAATATTCAATCCGTTCATCATCCACGACTGTATCATCCATTTTAACAACAAGTGGAGGTACTGATGGCTCCTATACACGTTCATTTCCATATGAACCAACAAATCGTATAAGTATTCCGTCAGCCACGATAACACCAATACCGCCAACGATCACTGAACAGCAACAACAGAATTTGAATCAACCAACACCAGCAGTTTATCGCAGCGGTTATGTACTTTCACTAAACATGCTTTGGCTATCAGTGGATCAAAAGCTCTACTTGTAAGTTCAAATTGGCTTTTTTTCATCTGAGACACTCTCTTTCTCGATCTAGATGGAAATATCCAACAATGGTTGATTTAATCGAATTAGAATTCGATGCTATTGTTCTGGCTTGCAATTGTGTTCGTCGTCGTAAATCGACAGCTACGAATGTCACTAAAAAGCTATCTCATTCGACATCCTTTCTTGGCTCGTGGTTGCCAGCAGTGATCAGTTCAACACCGAAATTTCCGCCAACATTAACTACCAACGATCTTATTGAACATTTCGTTCATTTACTCATCATCTTAACTAGTCAAGACATATTGATCTACACGATCGATGATCAACAATCGAATAACGTTCAACGTTGGTATACAGCACCAACATTGAAATATTCATTAAATCAAATAGGTTATTTCGATACACTGGCTACATCAAATGAGCGATTCTTCCTTGGAGGACAATGCGGCGATATCTATGAATTTCTATATGAAGATACAATCAAACCTACATTGAATAAACTTGGTCAAACGTTCCTGTCGAATTTAGTACCAAGTTTTCTTCAGATTGGTTCATCATCACAAGCGAACTCGTCATCAATGACCGTCAAACAAATTACCATTGATCATCAGAAACTGCTCCTCTACGCACGCTTAGCTAATGATTCTTTACATATCTACGATATTACAACTGATAAAGGTCAACGTTTATTTACTTATTCATTCGATGATTTAATCAGTAAATTAAAACAAAGACAAACCATTGCCTATGATGATTATCGACCTTTTCTCACAATGTATACCGTACAACCTTACGAATCAGATTTGTTTAATTTAATCATAGTTACACATACTGGTATTCGATTGTATTATACATTAATTATGCCGTCAGGTAAAGGAATTCCTACAAATTCTGCTCTATTAATTTGTCTTTCTTAGTTCAAGCAAATACAAACACAACACAACAACCTCAGCAATCACGTTTGGAATTAATTCATGTACGTTACCCACCGACAATACCAAATTTACCTCAAACAAATACCCAACAAGCAATCTTTCGTACAGGTTATGTTGATATGAATTGTCTATTTTTGTTTACAACTGACCCGAATCGTCCACAAACATTCGGACGAATGATTTTACTGATCAATTCCGACTCAACAGTATTAACATCTACAATTTTATTATCATCGAATTTTAACGATTCAACATTAAGTCAACAACAACAACAGCAGCAGCAACAGTTTCAGCAACGTTCAACATCAGAAATTCAGTCACAGTTGTTCAATGAATTGTTTCTTATTCAAGAACAAATCTCCTTATTAACACTAAACATTGTTCCTTTACATTTCGATTTAAGTCAAACACCAACGCACTTACCACGTATCGGTCCATTAGCACAAAACTTTCGCTACATGATCCAAACCTACGATTCAATTGTGACATTCGATATTCCACGATCGATTGAACACTTGCGTTTGTTACTTTTCTATGATCAACAAATTCATTCGTTGTTAATGAAGCAATTTTTTACTTATTATTCTTTACGTTACTCATGTTCAATGAGTTTAGCATTAACCTTAAATTCATTACAAGACAACCATACAAATACAACACGTATCAATGACGATCGTCTACGTGATTTAGCATTTCAAACATTTCTTTGGTACTCAAGTTCAGCGTACTTGCAATATTTGGAAACACTTCAGCATCAACAACAACAACAGCAACTATCACTAGATCAATCACGTGTATATCAATTACAACCTCAACAACCATTCAATCGTTCGGCAACAATTATTCCATCGATATTTATCAAACAACGCAACTTCTTCGAGCGTTATATCATTCCATTACGTATCAATGCCATCTTATTCGTCTTAAGTGACATCCTTCGTCCGGTATGGAGTCAAACATTAATCGAATTGAAGTCGTTGTCCAAACAAGACAAAACTGTTTATTACATATTCCACAAAGTTTACGACTATCAAGAAATCAAACTTTTATTAAAACAGTTGCAATTCTTTTTGAAAAAATTAGCACCGCACATGTGTTGCACATGGTCAACCAAAGACGATCTACCTGAATACAATGAACAATTAGCACAGAGAATCTATGCACAACAAAATCTTCAAGCTCAACCGCAACAACAACAAATTTCGGCAATCAACGCAAACAACAATCTCTATCTTCGATCTGCTCTGACTGGACGTCCAGCTGAACAGGTCTTACAACCACAACAACAATCTATTCATCATGCTCATAGTTATCCAAACATTTCAAACTATGCACAATCACCATTCGGCAATCCAAATGCTTTGAATACATCTTTAACGGGTGGTATTAATCCAGCTGCTGATTTTACTCTGTCATCTCCATTGCCACCGGTTGCATCGACTGGTTCACTGTTTAGCTCTTCAATGCAAAATCTGGCACCAACGTCCAGTACACTTTTTCCTAGTACTCCAACACCGTTTCAACCAGCGTCAACGCTAACATCCAATCCTACAAATACAAATCAACAGTATTTTCTTTCGGCTACGTCATTATCATCCATAACTGATCTTCTGCAAGAAATCGATTATTACCGAACAACATGTCACATGATTGAACGGTTGATTGAGTTATTATCGCTTTGGCAAATAATTAACGAACATCGGACAGATATGTTAATTGAACGTTTACCTGAATCATATTTAAGTTTATTCAATGGTACAAATGGTCCGTTTACAGTTCGAACATTACTTGATTTGGATACTCTCTTTTATGACACCTTAGTTGCTGCTTTGTTAACATCCTACGAACAAAATGAGGCAATATTTGATCAATTAATGGGCCGTCTTGTTGATGAGTGTCCCAAATTATGCCCAATTGAAAAATTAATTCTCTACAAAGTTGATTTATTTCTCAAACCATCATCTACCTCATCAACGTCATTGAACGACCAACATCAACGTTTGAAACAAGCATGTCAATTATACAAACAAGTTTGCGATCGAGTCAATATCACATCATTCGCCATGACATTGTATACATTTCGTATGTACGATGAACTACTCGATCTTTGTGTTACATCCGGTTCGAAACGTGATCCATGCAATCAAGCACTGAATTACTATTATGGACAATTGGAAGAGCAACAACAATTTCTTGACGTCTATCAACGACGTTCGGAATGCTATCAAGCTCTCATTGACATACTTGAATTACTGTATCAACGCGACGGTGAAAATACCTTGAAGACTACGGATGGAAGTTTGACGTTGAATGAATTTATTCGTCATTGTCTATCGTATGATGATGAATTTCTTCATGTGAAATTACTCGATTGGATGATGAATAAGCAGTTTAATGAAAAAATTAAATCCTTTCGACAAGTTACACCATACTTAGAACGTTTCATACGTTTTCGATTGAAATTAACCAATTTCAATGATTATATCACCTTAGACGTAGCCATTGCTGTTCTTCAAGTCGTTAAAGATTACACAACACTGTGTCAAGTAAATTGATCGGAAATATTCTCAACACGTCTCTCTCTCTCTGTTTCGATCTCTTTTAGGTACTTCTCCATTTGATTGATCTATCAGATCCACATGTAACATTTGCGGATCGTCTCTGTTATCTAGCCGAAGCTTTGCAAATCGCACGCTCAGCAAGTGCAACTTTACTATCAACATCCTCAACACCTCAACAAATCAGATCATCCAGTGATCGACAATTAGCCGAACTTATTCCCACGCTCGAACAGCGCTTGCAAACAGCTTTTGTTCAAAAACAAATCTACACCGATTTGCAAATGTACATGCGTGCATTAGAAACTCATACAATGGTATCCACAACAACAAATGATGAGCTGCAGCAATACATTCAACATATTCAAGATTCAATAATCAAATTAGATTCGGCATTATTCGATGCGACAGAATTATTTGTTGATTATGCACAAAAATACGAACTATATGAATGTCAATTGTTACTTTTACAATTGGATGGTAATGAAGAGCCGACGATTCTTCAAACCATTTGGCGACGTTTATTACGAAAAGAAGTGAATGATTTGTTTCCATCGACGAATAATTTAACCAATGCTGGTAATTACGACCGTGTTCTTATGTTACAACAACATCTGATCGAACGTTTGAGAAACTGTCGAAAGAAGCGTTTGCGTCTACCATTGGATTTTATTCGTAGTGAACTTAAGCAAATCGTCTATACATTAAACAATCTGAGTGACAATGGTGATGCGATATCAGCAGAGGACTTTTCAAATCGAATTCTGTCAGATTTATAGAAATAATAGAATTCTTGTTAACATGTATGAGCACACTGCAAATAGGACTATTTTTTTCTTTTTTTGCGCCCTTTCTTTGTGAAAAACAGTTTGTATTCAAGAAATAAAAACAAACCATTCAAGACAATATAGCAGAAACTTTAATGATATGCATTTCATATGGAAGATCAACTTGATTCTGACGAGTATTTTACTCCACAGTAATAGGTTTTTTCAGAAGAAGTTTTTCGATTTGATCATTCTTTCCAACAGGACATTCGTCAATTTTACTTCGATGGAAATGAAATGCTGGATTGACCCATTTGGCGCACGTGCATTTCTCACCGACCAGTGAGTATCGACCGACTTTCGCTTTGCATTTCGAATTTGGACATTCGATTTCGCCATTATTAGTATCTCTATCATAGATGCCTGTCAGCCATTGAGGTTCGAGTGTGAATAGTTCTTGTAGACAATAATTATTCCCACTTGATTCGGCATTTTGTTTTGCTTTGTATGCTGAACTTCGGGATTGTAAATCAAATCGACCTTTGCCAGCTATATGCGTGACGAGATCATTATCTGTGAATAGAATTTGACGGCACAATTTACACTTGTATTCCATAGAGGATGCATTAGATTTAGTCACTGGTACAACGTCATCATAGTTATCTTCGACAGCAAAATGTTCCGGTGTTGTATACTTTTTACGACGCATTTGACTTGGATCGAAATTGTAGTTCATAGAATGATAAAGACGTAGTTGATTGGCAAAACCAGGATTAGGACAAACACATGGTCGTTTCATTCGCAGTTGTTCAAGTGCAGTCTCATATGATAGATTGTATTTTTTCATCAAGTAAGCACAAGCAATCGTAGCACTGCGTGACATACCTGAAAATGGAAATCTATGTCCAAAAGAGTGAACACATGTCATACTTTGTTTATACCTGCATGACAATGAATGAGAACATTTTGATCGTTATTCACAGCTTGATCGATGAATTGATAACAAGATTCGAATTCACCGATCAAATCAGCTGTATGGAAATCATAAGCATGAACATGTTTACGGATACGTTTAGCAGCTTGGTCATGTTCAGGACAAAAGTCGAGTACAGTTAAAATATGTGTAATCTGGAGGTCATCAAGTGCTTGATGATTTTCAGACGAATCAATGTCGCCAAGCCAAAGGTGATCATCAATTTTATCTGCTGAGAAAATTTTTGAATTGGAATATGCCACTTTTTCGGAACTAAATTATTGAAGTAAAGGTTAGAATAATCTGGATTAGTTAACTAGTATTGTCTTACATGTCCATGATTGTAAATGAAGTAATTTTCAAATTTCGAAAGACTGGCGTTAACTAATTTCTCTTCTTTTTCGGATCTTTCATAAGTTCAGATGACGATTCAAGAAGAACAAATCAAACCACGAACATGACAGATGTCACTTGTTAACAAATATAGCACAAGCATCTGATTAAAAGATGCACTAACTAAGCCCTCATTTTGAAACTTCGAAATCATTGAGTGAACCATCATTGGATTTTAGTGCGAGATAGGTCAAAACAATGAGCAGTTAATGATTTTCAGATGTCAAAGTAGAATCATACAGATAACAAAACTTATATCGAAATCGTCCATAGTGTTAACAACGAGTACGACGAACTGATCGGCAATAGCACATCTGCGCAAGTAGCGTACTTGAGTTTTGAAGATGGGGCGTTTATTGTGTTTAGCTAAGAGGCATTAGGCAACGGAATATTGATTATTTTCTCTATCGTTGTCGACTTGCATATGGCTGCTATTATGACTCCGAGCTCGTCTTATTGAAAACAAAATCAGAAAATATGAAGATTATCCCTGTTTAAATTTCACCTCAAAGTGACTAAAACATATGTATCCTCTCTCGCAGAAAACAGCCATAGACGCACAAGTTATCTGTTTGCTCGTGTGTCTGCAGGCGATCGAGCGACAAAAACGTGTGATGAATACGAAAACACTTGTTTCTCATAAGACTTCATGACTCTATCCTGAAAGCAGCTGTAGGTCGCTTGTTTGTTACCACTAAACCATGAATTATAAGGAATAAGTAATCTGTTTAGATAGAAACTTTCATTTTGCCATCTGAGATACAATATGTTTCTGCCTCTTATAGTCGAGATCGAAAAATAAGAATAGTAGACTGTCAGCATGAATTTATTATTTCCCTCCCATACCAACCTGAACTTGATTTACATAGGTAATATTCCTAATTGATTTGATACTTTTTTTTTGTTCGCCAACGAGATATAAAAGTCGATTGAAACGCTTTTGTCGTTCGTATTTTAAAACATGGAGTTTCTTTATTTTATAGTTTACTCGATTGTGTTCGTTTGCGTTCAAATATGTGTAATTGTAAATGTCTATTAGTGATTCTAATGTACACGGTAGGCAAATTTTGGGGGACAAGCCAGTGAACTTATTTCCTGGTACTTTTTGGTGACCTAAACATACCATTATCATAATTGAACACACTTTTTTCAATTATTTTAGTAAATAGACGGATCTAGACACTGTTCATGTGCTTTTCTAATATTCTAATAACGAATATAAATGTTCTTAACACATTTCTTATTGATAAAAATCACTGTTAGTGTATCGAATATGACTCGTAATCTTTCGTCTGACAAACTTCGTTGCAATTGTATTATCTCTACATAGAATGTATGGATATAATTCATACGAATAATAAAATTGCAGATGAAGATACTTTTCTTTTTCAAACAAAAGCACTTTAATTAACATATCAATTGAGAATCTAACTATGGTACAATCAAAATGAATATTGTGTAAAGTAAGTAGGAAAAGGAAGAGCATTTCGCACGCGTAGGTGAACATCTTACAATGAGATAGGGGAATAGCGCATTGCAACCGTTCTTTCTTCAATCTAATCGAACATAAGAAGGATAAGAATATCAATCAAACAAAAACTTGAAAAGAAGATCTTTGTTATAGTGAAGATTCTAGACTAGACATCAAAGATTTATATAAATAGGATCGTTATTTTGTTCCATCATTGATGAAAACATGAAAGTGTATCTTTAGACGATATGAATTCACGGCTGTAGTCTGTCTTCACATTCCACGTATTACTTCACGTCAAGTATGTTCCCAAACTGTTTTCATTCCATTTCTATTCCATACTCATATAAATTTCAAGTTACATCGTGCATTTTTTACATGAATGAATAACCCCAATGAATTACTCATTTATATCTACTATAATCATACCATAGGTCATAAATAATGAATAGACATAGAAAGAAAATTTTATTATGATTGGATAATCTAATGTAAGACTAGGCATTACTTACTCTAGTTTATTTCATAATGACCTAATTTTTATTTAATACGACTATCGTGTATATTTCATGCTTTTATTGCGCATTTTTTTCCTTTAAGATGAAAGTGTTAAGAAGTATTTTGTGCAAATCATTTCCGAAAGAAGTTCAATTAAAATAGGAATGTAATCAAATATGCTTGTTGAATTTATATTTCCTCCGTTGCTGATATACAGTGAGTAGAAAGGAGAAATTTCATTTGATGAAGAGATTCACCAGGTCTTCTGTGCTATTTTTCGCAATTAATGCTGAAGTTTATATCATGCCTGGTAAAACTGCATACGGTCGATTTGACAAACAAACAGAATCTCGTAAGATAAGTAGGAAATCATCGACACATTTCGTTGACGTATCCATTATATTCTGGTTGAAAAGCGACTTCGTCGTACATCCTAATTGGCTGTAATTAGCAGTTGATATAGTATTTAAAGTTGTCAGTTAATAAGATATCATTCGTATATAAGGGGAAATAAGAAGTTTGTCTATGTTTTTTGTATGCAATTATTTGCTAGGGAAGATTCCTCTTGTTAAATGTGAAGTAGATGGATGAAGCGAAGTTAATTATGATTTTTGAAGAATGTGAGTAGCTGCTGATTCTTGCTGAGATGTCCTCGTATGTTTTTGACATGTGAGAGAATGAACTGGTTTTCTTAAACTATCGATTTATATATAGCTCATAGCATGGGTAGAGAAAGATTTGTTGCAATCATAACGTCATTTTTTTCTTAATTGAATATAGTTTCTCTTCTACGAAACGTCCAATGAGTGTGAGTTATTTCTCGTTTCTTTCTTCGAAGGAGAAAAGAAAATATCAAAAAACATCTTTTAGATATATTCTTACTCTAATGAATACACATATGATATACATCGTGAGGAAATCTAATGGCAACTATTCTTCTTTAACCATTTTTGTTTTTCTTTGAGAATCTATTTTAAACTTATTTATCACATTTGTTCTATCGTCGACTAATGAGCAAGGATGGAGCAAGAAAATAATCGACGTCATTGTGTTTCCCACGCAATAAATTATTGCGTTTCAAACCGAAACACGATAAGTATTTTCTTCTGTCTGAAGGCAAATATTTTCCTAATGAAGTTCGCCAATGAGATTAAGTACAAAGTACTCCGTTTGTTTTCTTGTTCATTACACTACTTTCCTCCTACTATGACCAACTATAGAACTTCATTTTGATATAGAACAAAACAAAGCTCATTTACTAAGTGCCAGCTGACATGTCTTCAATCGCCGTCACTTATTGATGAGTCCTTTTTTTGAATTTAGTACATACATTGAAAGGATCACACAGAAGATCTAAGGGTAATTGTGTTTCTTTTCGCGTTTTATTGAACACTGTGGAAGAGTATGTCACCAATGATTAGAAGATGGAATAAGTGATTGTCAGTGTGATAAAAAAAAATGTTGGAGAACCATGAGCACACCTGTCTGTCACTTGTTTCTTTCCCTTTTTTCTAAGCAAGTTATATAGTAGAAAAGTTGTCTTGTCATTAGAGAAGTCTATCGTTTTGATTATTCTGAAGATACGAAAAGGACGAAGAAGCATCTCTAGCTTGTATTTACATAAGAAGAAGAAACATTTTCAATTACAGATCTAAACATCATGGGTATGCTATCGAATAATTTAGGATATAGAAGAAAATAAAACTTCTAGAAATTAATTTATTCGATTTAGACTCATTGTTAAACAAGTCTCTTGAGTATTTAGCCAATTGCTCCCAATTGAACGAATGCATGGGGATATAAGTGAATGTTTGACATTCATAAGTCAGCGACATTTATCTCTATAAGTTTCTTGTTGTCAATGTTATTTTCCTTCATCTCACATTTATTTATTATCATGTTATTTTGCATGCAAATGTGAATACATCAGTGTATATGAGAGACAACAGAAAAGGCGAATGAGAGATTTTCCGACGTGTTGAGTTGAACGAACACGAGATGTCTTTTCATACCTACATCGTCACATACCAAATGAGAAACAAAAACAATATAGTCAATATTGAGATAGAAAGAAGTAAGAAGAAAAAAGTAATTAATCATCATAACGGGGAGATATTTTCATGAACAAATTAAGTAAAACGGTTAGAAGGAGTATAAAAAGAAAGTCTTTATTATGTTACTCAGTGTTCATAGATTATTTAAAATATAATATGAACGCGAGAAGAATTTAGGTGGTCTAATACTTCGAAGCTTTTCCTACGCTTAACAAATCGCTTTCGAGGAAATAATGGCTTATCTCCAAGCCTATATCATTATTCCGTCTCGTCTTCCATATCAAGATTCAGATTAGAAAACTATACTGGTAAGTTGGAGCTGACTTGTCTTTAATGATCTTTTCCTTTCAGTCAAGCATAAATCCAACTCATAGGAGCATCAATATTCTTATGACTATGACATTCTCTAACGTATTCGCGCCGTTCATTTGTATTCATTCATCTAAATAGTCATTTATGAGAAGAAAATAGAATGATTTTGGTACTAACTTGAAGAACGAAATAAACGATCAGAAACAGAGTAGAGAGAAAGAGAAAGAGAAAGAGAGAGAAGAAAAAAAGAACGATGCGTATGTTTGTCATCATCATCCTCATCATCTCCCTTTCCGACCACTTTCAAGTATAGATCTATTCCATAAATTCACTAATATGTTATTTTCTTTTGATGCGTGTTATAACAATCGACTATATAGTTTCTCTTCTATTTCTTTTGATATATTGGATCGCTGAACTCTTCCTGCCACCTTCACGAGAATGCAGTTTGCATGCACGGACGCTACAAAATCGGCAATGATTTGAATCTTTCTCCTGTCCCAACCGGATTGTTGTTTTCATGATCATATTAAAAATATGTGTGTAGAACTAATGTGAACGCGGAAAAACAAGAGAAATGTTCATTGTGTCTCTGTGTGTGCCTCTCTCTCTCTCTCTTGACATATTCTGCTTTTTGTCGAACGGATTCTTTCTACTTAGATTCGAGTTTTTGCTTTAGATGTTCCCTCGATAATAGCTTTGTTATCGATATACATATTTTAATTAACGTCAATTATCAGATCGGATTATGTCTTGTTAGAAACCATGTAATTTACTACGAACAATCACGTCATTTCTTTCATATGTATTATGCACGTGCCAGAATTTCATCAGATTGTCTCATTGACAACCACCAATAATTCCAACGAAACATTAGCAATCATTATACATAATGAGATTACCGATGAACTGAAACGATCAGTTTTCTATACAATTTTAATTGCTGTTTGTTTATCGATAATTATTCTTTTGACTATTCTCGGCAATATACTAGTTTTAATTGCGTTGTGTATCAATTTTGCGCTTCGTTCACCAACGCATTTATTAATGGGTAATTTGGCATGTGCTGACTTGCTCCTAGGTAAGCCGAAGCTTTCCTTATTTGTCGTACCTGCCATGCAAAACATAGTACCGATGAAATCTTTTTTGACTCTGAAAAGAAAAACGACAGCCCCTTGAGTACATGTCTATGGAATGAATCAATTAATTATGGCCGTCATTCTCAGAGAAAGAGAAAAAACCTTAGTACTTAAATAAATCACACGGCTTTTTAATCAAATAATGACGACTTTGTTCAGTATCGTACAGCCTAGCCACGACAAGCTATAACTGGAGCAAAGTTTCACTACTAGATCGACTGTTCATTTAATCATTGAGAAAGTTTTGTTTGGCATAGTGGAAGTGTTTGAATAATAAAAACGTCTTGTCAAAAATGTCCATTCGAACGGGATACATTCAAGTGGCAAAACCAAATAAACAGTTCTATTCTTCGTTAGTCGTCTGTTTTAAATGAATGAGTAATGAATATGTCTTTTTTGGCGCAAAAGCAGCGTTCGTTGTAAATTATCTATATACGAATAGGAATAACAGAAAAAGCCTTTCCGAACCATCTCTTAGCATGTCAAAATGCAATTAATTCTAATTACGTATTTGTTGACTTATTTTAAAAGTACTTTTCTGATCAATTATGGTTAGGTATCACTGTTCTACCATTTTCTGGAACTCTGGAAATCCTCCATGGTCAATGGCTATTCGGTCGAACATTTTGCCATATATGGTTAGCTATTGATGTTCTCTATTGTACAGCCAGTATCTACGGTTTAATGTTCATATCTATCGAACGTTATATCGGCGTGACGCGTCCATTACGTTATCCCATTATTGTTACTCATCGTCGAACTGTATTTATCATATTATTAGCATGGACTGTTGCTGCCTTGATATCCATAGCTCCTTTCTTCGGCTGGTCTAACAAAGTCAAATCAATAGACCGTGTTTGTGAAGTTAACGACGATTTATCCTATGTTGTATTTTCATGTTCATTCTCATTTTATATTCCATTAATTGTTATACTTTGCGTCTATGGACGAATCTACGGCGAAGCCAATCGCCAATATCAATTTTTAACTGGTGGACAGAAGAAAGTGCATTTAAGTCAAACAGGTGGCGAAGAAGCTGTGACATTGAGAATACATTTACCGAAACAGATGTCGTTAACAACTTCGAATGGTCATCTCGCGCATACGACTGCAAACGGAACTCAGATCACTACGACTGGCTCGAATAAGATCTCAAGACTGAAACGTGAAAGAAAAGCCGGTAATGACAATAATTGTTTCAGAAATAAAAGAAAAAACTGAACAAAATTTATTCGTTTATTTCAGCGAAAACTTTAGGAATCGTTGTTGGAATGTTTATTCTTTGTTGGTTGCCGTTTTTTCTCTTATTACCAATTAGTAAGTATCTCTGATGAAAAGATCATTCGATTTTGTCATCCTAGCCGAACACAGTCTATTTTCCTCGTTTAACATACGATTAGATTATATTCGCTTCATTGGTGATATATTTGACTTTTTTCTTATCTATGTTTTGTAGAAGCATTAACATCGATCGATCCGGGTGTAGTGTTTTCCATTTGTTTCTGGTTAGGCTATTGTAATTCCTGCTTCAATCCATTTATTTATGCATTCTCAAGTCGAGAATTTCGGAAGTAAAGCAAGCAAAGCATACTAGAGATCGATCTTTTCTTGCTTTCTCTAGAGCGTTCAAGTCAATTTTAAGATGTCAACGTCTTAAACAGTACAAACCATCGCCGAACGTGCTTCGTAAATCGTCGCCAATAACTGGTTGGAAACGCTCGAAGGGTGGCGGTGAGCTCGATGCTTCTCATCCCGCACTATACAAATCGGATTCGTCGACCAGTCGCCAAACTATAAACGACAGTAATCATCGACATGGTGTTTCAACAAAGAACACTCAAAAAACGATTTATAGTACGCATCGATCATCTGTTAGTGATTCAGTGGCACACACAAACAATCGAAAATCATCAACACCCTCACTGGATAATACAAGTCCATGGCATCTTCGAAAGCCAATTCTTGTCAGATAGTTGTAAAAATACACAATAGTTTTTGCTGTTCGTTGAATATGTTTGTTTTTATTCGATTTTAAGCAAAACAAAAAAAAGTATTAACTTCGACTGAAAGTGTGTTCTACAATATGTCATTGTTAATTCTAAATGTATCGAGAAAATGATTAGGTAGGTTTGTGTGAAGCAGAAGAAGTCTCAACGGTTGTCTGTCTGACTTTATATTGCGTGCGTGTCAAATGATGAAAATTTGGTCATCATGTGTGTTTATTGCACCGTGTAGAAGAAATATAGCAGGTGTCGGACAAAGCCGTAGGGCGTTTGTTTCATTTTTTTTCTTTTCTCTCTCTTTGCGTGTGTTTCTAGTCTATTTCTCTGTCTTGCTAGCTAACAGTGGTGACCACTAGCTATTTGTTTTTTTTTCGGTACATTGTTTTCCAAATTACAGACTGACTGACGACGCTAGACATCTAATCAATTCTCTCTTGTTGAACAAGATATGTATATATACATGAACATGCGCGCGTGTCTTCTTTTTTCTCTCTCTTTTTGTTTCAAGTTGACATCTGAAAGAGGACGACGAAGAACGTGTGAAACAGATTAGTTCGTTCATCTAGTAGCTTATCGATTTCGATTATAATGAAGTTAGTGAGGCTTGTCAATGCTGATGAGAAGAAACAAAAAAAAGAGAGAAGAAGGAAAGTGAAATAGACAAACAGAAGGCCATCCGGATCCGCTACTATCCAACAACGGAAATCAGAATATATGTATAGTAGTGGTGGTGATCCCCCGCGGTGCTTTCATTTAAAGAGATGGATAGACGAGGTTGGGCTGCTCGATGACGCACAAACGGTCATCATTCTCGCATTGATTCATGGTCATTTTCACAGTATTAGGAAAGATCAGACTATTTTCTCATTTTCAAGTGAATAGATGATTGAGTAGAATGAACGAGAGGGAAAGAAGACGGACAATGAGGTAGACAGTCTCTCATCGATTACACTTTTCTTTCCTTCTCTTCTTTTTTTTTCCCGTATGACGAATGTGAAGAAAAAAGGACACACGATTCGCATGTCTTTTTTTCTCTCATCTGTGAATTACAAGTTTCTTTCTCGAGATTAGAATAAGTGTTTTCTTGTAGATTCGAAAGAGAAGCAGCTTTTGCATTAGAATGATAATGTCTTAAAACAGTAAGTAGAAGTCTTCTTCTTCCAGACCGGAAGTTCATCTCTCCTGGAGGCCATTTACTGACCGTCGTTTTATATGCATGCGTGAATCCAGTTGTTGAGCTTTCTCTCTCTGTCTCTCATCTGTTCGTGCTTCCGAATGAAAATCTTGAGTGTATTACATCATTTCTTACTACGATGACGTGTTAGGATGAATCCTACTTCGAAATGCATCCATCCATCTATTTCTGGATTTTATGAATGGAAGAGACAAAAGAAAGAGGAGAAGTAGCATGTATGCACGAGATGCTTCGAATTGCGTGACAACCGAGAGAGTAAATTAAAATTGACCAGTGCTGGCTAGCATTACCATCTTCATCCGGTAGTTGTAATAATAATAGAACTAGTCGGGTGGGCAAACATACGATTACATGCTCTCTTTTGTTCACAACCGACTAATTGAACATATCTACGTGCTATTTTCTTTTCTACTTCAGTCAAAATACAAATGGGACGTCGATCGAAAACGCCTGTGTGTGGAAATGGCATCGTCGAGACTGGAGAAGATTGTGATTGTGGTTTGAACAAGGTAATAAATAAATGCTTTTAATTGATAATCTGATCACGGATTATATTTATCCTAGCGGACTAACTACTATCCTAGGAGAGATGAAAGAAAAATAATAGTGGGATATGAATTAATTTGAAGATTATTTCCTAAGCTGTAGTCAATGCTCATATGATTAAAATAGTGTACTACTTTCTACATATGTAACGGGAAAAATTTGTGGTTTTTACTCGATATCTTATTTAGAATTGTGTATCTGTGGAAGCATGTTGTAATCCTCGAACGTGTCAATTCTATTCGGGCGCTGAATGTTTATCAGGTGCATGCTGTTCGGGTTGTAAATTACTTCCAGCAGGCTATCCATGTCGTGCTTCACGAAATACTTGTGACACACCAGAAGTTTGTGATGGGACATCAGCTCAAGTATGTTAAATCTTTTAGTGATCTGCAGTTCTACTCTTTTATATTTAGTGTCCGGATGACGACAGCTTTAAAGATGGGTCATCCTGTCAAGATGACAGCGGCACATGTTTTCATGGGACATGTAGTGGTGCGCAACAACAATGTGTTGACCTTTGGGGACCAGGTAGGTGAACATCTTCCTTTTTGAATTAATATGACATTGTATCACATATGCAGGATCAAAAGTAGCACATGAATCGTGCTATACAAATTTTAATCCGTCAGGTTCCATGACGGGCCATTGCGGTTATGATTCTCGCTTGCAAAAATATATTCCCTGCTTTAATAAGTATGACGGATTAGTCTGTACGATGAAAGCTCTCTAGAATTTGTTTATTCAGTGATGTAAAATGTGGCTTATTGCATTGTGAAGGTGGAATGCCGTATCCTCGTGTTGCATCGTCGAATTTTATGATTTTCAATGTAAATACACGCGAAGGTTCATTTGAGTGCAAGTAAGAATCTAAGGCAAATAATAAAAACCTCTCTCTCTCATCGTCATTCATGTAGGAGCATCTCTAGTCCAACTTACTCCATACTAGTCAACGATGGTAACATGTGTGGCGAATCAAGTTTTTGTCAAAATAATACCTGCATTGAACAAAAGTCAACATCGACATGTCATTCACAGAAAACATGCTCAGGAAATGGAGTACGTTATAACTATCAGACTGATCATAGTTACGTTCGATTGTGTTTAGATTTGTACAGCAGCAGGTTTATGTTATTGTAATACGAATTGGAAGGGCAAAGACTGTTCAATATACGATATGAAGCATCAAGATGCAATTTCATATAATCGTTCCTTACCCTTCAGCACCCGTTAGTTCAATCGATAGAATATAATCTGTATGCGTTATTGTTGTCTTTTTCTGTAGATCCTGTCTCTCCAACTGCTTTCGCTGGTGTTGCGACTATTACATTTCTTTTGTTTACTCTGCTAATTATCATCTCATGTTTATTCAGGTAGAATATTTCTCACTTCTATTGAAGTTATATCTGTGAAATTCTATTTTAGAAATAAAAAGCGATCTTCTCATCGAAAGCCACATGAGTTAACAGTCATTAATCATCCACAAGTGACAGTTAATCCAACTGATATCCAACCTGATCGTTCACAAGTCTATGCTCATTTTGACCATCCTAGCCATAGTCTGGTTTCAACACCTGTTTTTCCCCACCGAACGCCTTTGCATCGGTCACCGTATATGACAAGCAATCGTTCCATAACGAGTGCTTGTACTGGTCTCTCGTATTTGCCCACAGATACACCACGTTCTCTTCGTTATACGAATCGAAAAATGACGACAAATGGAATCTTTAGTGATTCCGAAACACCACGAACACGTGTACGTCGACAAACACGCAATAATAATGGTTCACCATCAGTCCACAGCAGTTCCATTCGTCATCCACAAACATATGCAACATTATCATCAAAACGGCTACATGATCCCAATCTCTCCTATCAATCGGCTCGCAGAATCTACGATGATATTGATAAACTTTCAACAAATGAAAATCTACGTGATTTCATTCAAGCACTCGATTCCTTTGCTCAAGAAAAATTCGGTGGTGAAACCGATTTACATCTGAACACCTTTGAACAGAATTCTAACATTGCATCTAGTCCAACAGAAACCAATGAATCGATCACATTGGATAGCGGCTATCAATCAACAAAACAATTAATGAATACAGATGAATATGCTGTTGTCGTAAAAACGAAACGAACAAACGAGAATTTTCGCGAACGACGACGATCGTATTCATCCAGTGAACATAAAGAACATTTTTAAATGTATTTTATGGTCTTTTTTAGTCTTCGTAAAAGTAATAAAAGAGTATAAAGAATGTTAATAGAATCAATCAGAACATCTGTTTTAGTTATATTACTCGAAGGAATAACACATACAATTACGTATAACCTGTTATTCACATTAGATTATCTAACATATGCTTGAATTATACACTTCTGCAAAAGCTTTTATTTGTTGTTATTCGATGTTTGAATAGAACCGTTGACCTTAGATATAATCTTGTTCCAAAGACTTTTGTTCTGTGTAAACAAATGTTCTCATTCTGATTAGAAAGTACCAAAAACTCACCTACTTATCGTAATCTGCCTCTCGTATCATAAAATTACTAAGAACATTTCCATGTAATAGGATAAACTCGGAAGAAGAGGAATGTTCTTGGCATGCGAAAAATCCGATATAATCGCTAGGGAAAACACATAGAAAAACTAATCCATGTAATATGAAAATGTTCTTCGTTATCTTTTTAGTATTCAGTCCTATACACACAGAGTCATTATTAATTTATCGCTCATCGACTTAATGTTCTCGAATTTATTCGAAGCTCGACTCATCAAGTGAATCAATCATCATCAGCCTACTTCATGTATTCGGCAGGAGTGTTTACCTGACATTAATATGCAACTCGTACATCTTCTGCAGCTAAATATATACGTTATGCTTTTCAACCATTAAATTGAATACAATTTCTTTTAACGGTCGTTTGACAAGCGATTATGTATATATGTACATTCAATCGTACCATATGACATTTCGTTTGAAGGTCAGAGAAGTGCCATTTATCTATTTAGTAATAACAGAGAAGTTTGTCTAGAAGAAACCGTTCGATGTATGTTGATCTTCGAAGATAAAATTATGCAGATTATTACACTCAGACTGTCTTGATTGTTACAAAAGAGCGAATCTTGTTTATTAATTGTAAAATATATACAAAAAATCTTTTCCGTTCTTCGCATCGATAACAACAACTTCAGCTTTCTAATAATTCGATGGTATTGACAAAATCCGTCGAACGGAGCCGAAAAAAGTATCTAGTAGATCTAATGCATTCATTTGAGGTCATGTTACTCTTGCCAGATCAGAACGGAAAATTCTGATCATCTTATGTGAAACTACACTTGTCTCATCGATTCGAATCAAAATGTTTTCATTTATTGCTCTCTAATCCATTGGATTATGATAACAAACAGATCGACATAAGCTTTCTGTAATCCAAGACGTGCTCTGATCACATAATGTCACTGAATCAAAACGAATTAGTAACAAACTCGCATTTCTATGCCATTATATGCTTCGAAGATGTACTAGCTGGAAAAAAAGAGCGCGTTGTCTTGTCTTTGCGCTGATGCGCTCATTCACTGTTCGTTGCCTCATTTGTCTATCAATAACGATTACTATTTCTACTGAGCATGTCATTCGTGGAGAAGGAACTCGTTATTCAATCCATTGTCCTCTTCCCAATGCACTGTGGTATGGACCTAACAATCAATCAATATTGATAAATTCCAACAAATACGAAATCAAATCTTCATTGGAAAATCTTCAATTGACAATAAATCATCTGACATTGGATGACGAAGGAACATATATGTGCTTGAATAATGAGACCGATCAAATTATAAAACAATTCCATATCAAACTTGCGACAATAGAAAATGTTCTTCCTCTTTTCTTTAGTCTAATCTGTTCTATTCTTCTATTCATTCCAATTTTTTGTTTTCTAGGTAGAAAATATTCGGGTATTAATCAATAAAACTTCCAATATATTACAGAGAGAGAGAGAGAGAGAGAGAGAAGAAAAGAAAACCTAATAACATTTGCGTTTTGTCAAGAGCACAATACTTACAAATACAAAATGAAAAGAGAAAGAGAAAAGAAGAAAACAATATGTCTTATGAAAAATAATTAATTAAGCGGAATGAATTTGACTTCCATTTTGATATGTGCAAATTCAAAATTTCAGATTTCGGTGTTTTGTTTGCTTTCCATTGAATATCAGACGAAGTCTTAAGCGAAGAATTCTCGAGATGAAACACGTGTATATGCATGCGAAGGCGATTTTCTCGGACCTTCTTCGAGTGCGTATGAACCTTCATCTTTCTTACGCATACGATAAATAATGAACATCACAAGAAGAATTGCTGATAACATGCCGATCACAACACCACCAATAATACCTGAAGGATAAAAGGTCACGAGATTGATAGATTTGTTCGATTAAGAAGACAAATGAAACGTACCAACAAGGATACCAGGTTTAGAAAATAAATCATGCCAAAGAAATGATGGCAGAAATGGGATTCGTGACGTTGTGGATAACTCGGAACCTTTCCTCATGTTATTATCGAAGATTTCAGATTGGGTATTCGGTGTATTAATCGATTTCTTATCACCAAAGATTTGTTCATCATCTTGAATCGTTGTTTCATCATCGACGAGTTCATTGGGATATGAATCGATTTCTTCGCCGTAATCGACTTTTTGTCCGTCGTCAATATGTGCAGGTGAACGTGTTGTTTTGGTTGAAATTACTTTGGATTGTGATCGAGATGTTGTCGTCGATGACGACGAAGTAGATGATTCGAGAGATTCTCCTTCCATATCATCATAGATATCTGGTCCACCTGAAAATAACAGTAAGCAACCAGTCAATGAGTCGTCATATTTCGTCAAAGAAATTCTCACCATCATAAGCTGTATCATCGCTACCTAGTAGGGTTGACACAGTCGAATTCGAACGTTGTTTACTACTTAATGGTATCATTCCCTCGTACTAAGAAAAACGAAGATTATCAATTTAGAAGTTGATTAAATGCATAGCAAATGGAATATTTCTTGCCGTTAAGCATGTTTAAGGAAGATTAGTTAATCGAATATAATCACACTAGGCTCTGTACAAAACTAGCATGCGCATCATTAGAAGAAAATGCCTGAGGGAGAGAAAAATGATATAATAAACCTACTTGGTTTGGTTCAGCGACGGCAAAGATTGAACCTTGAAGTAACATGATGAAAGTTATGAGACATGACAGTGATAGTAAAGAACATGGACAGCACGAGCGTATGTATGGATTATATTGATTTGCCATGATGATTTTTGTCAGTTAGAAACAAGTTGTCATCTTTGGTCGATGTTACAATTACTCGAGCACGAATAGCAAATGAAATCCATTAGTAGGACTGAGAGTAACCATTGTCGTTAGTAGAATAGAAGAGAGAGAGAGGAGGAGGAGAAGAAGAAGAAAAAGAAAAAGAAAGAAAACGAGTGTTCTTGTGTTGTCTGTGTGTGTTCGTCGAACGTTTGATATCTATCTAAAAAGAAACAAAGAATAAGAAAAAAAACTAGAATAGAATAAAGAAAAAACATATCTTTCTCATCCGATTTCTCTTTCTGCAGAGAAGAAACAAAAAATTATCATGGTCACTAAACATGAAAAAATCGTGACGGCGACTCGTCTTCCTCTCCCTCTTTCTTTCACCATACATACCACATTCACATTTCATCCTCTCTACCCACCCCTATCTCAATCAGTCGCTCGTTTACTCGATGATCGTAATCTTATTTCTTGCGCACGCATACCCATCTAGACCTTGAATAAAATGTTTCTAGAAGCATATATGTCCGTTCTTTACGCTGACCGTATACGTCTTTCCTATCAGATGCTAATCGTTAATTTATGCAATGAGTCAAAGCAACATATGTTTTTTTCTTCGAACGTATAAGACAGAGCGGAGTTAATTGCACTACTGACAAGTTTACAGAAGCAAAAGAAAATGTTATACTATTTCGAATGATCATCGATCATAATTTGTAATTGCTTACCATCAATTCTTCCTAGTAGTCTAGTCGACATCCGTTTTATTGAAAAGAAGGGAAAGAAGCGAGAATAAATAAGTGATCAAGAATCGGACTGTATTACATCATACATTTGTGCAACTTGAGCAAGACGGCGAGGCAAAAGAAAATTGAACATGCATATATGATGGAATAAGAGTATGAGAGAAAATGTCAACTTACGATAGATAGACAGCTGTGTATATAAATATCTGGGTGTGTCAGAACAATTACATCATCATTTAGTTCGTCATTTTTCTAACGATTGACACTGGCTAGAATTTCAGCTGTTTTCTTTCTCTCTTCTCCCCACTCAATTCGTTGACTTCATCAGAGTAAGATTTAATCAATATACACTTATGAAAACGTTTGTTCTATGTTTTCCTCCTCAGGTTATAAGACCTTTAGAAAGCTTCACATTCTTCCCTCATTTCTTTCTTCTCGCCTTGCTATACATTCATATCTAAATAAAGAAAGATTGGTCATATCGACAAGAACAACAATATTGATGAAAGGCGCACTCGTGCATACGGACATGAATTATTACATGAGAAATCATCATACTAAACTTTTAACTCATAGGCATGATTGAATGAGAAAAGATTCTACCGAATGATATATGTAGGATAAAGTATTATTTAATGTAATAAAACAATAATTTTCTTCTCAGCGCAATATAGGTACCGAACACAGCTGTCTCATCATATAACTCACCGAAGAAAAGAAACCAATTTCTTCACACATATGTATTCTATTTAACAGTCGGTTGCCGCTACTATATTTCAATTTCCTGAATAGCATGTCGCACAAATAGTTTTATCTCCGTTTCTTCTCCATGTCCGTCATTATTCTACTTTTACTCACTTCTTTTGTATATATGTATGTGTGTGTGTCTTTCTCGGTATGAGCAACACTCTAATGTCGATGAGAATGTTTCTTTGTATACTGTGTAGACTGTCTTCGTTCGTACACTGTCAACGAGTGAGTGAGCATGTTGGCTTGCTGCTGCCGTTCTTTTCTCGTCTTCTTCTTCTTCTTTTTCTTGCTTCTTTCTCCTCTTTGGCTCTCATAGAGCATGCTCGTTATCGAGAGAATAGAATGAAGGTTGGTCCCTTCTGTTCATTCGCTGTTCTTCCTCGTTTTATTCAAATCGGTCATCGTTTTGAAAGAACGCTTAAACAAGGTCAACTCATCCTATTGGATTCACTTTACATTTAGTCTTTCCCGCCTTTCACTCTTATTAAAACCGATGCTTCGACTCGTGATTGATAGACATACGACGATGATCAGGACATGTGTGAAACGAGAGAAATTCATCAAATACTATGACTAAGAACAATAATAATTATCAACTGCTGACCGAACACTCTCGAAATGTGTACTTTAAGATTATATGAGCTTTTCTCATATTTGTGTCAAAAGTTCGGTCAAGCATCGAATCGAACATGAGTAACATTTTGAAAAAAAAAGAAAAATCTTATTAAATCTTAATGAATAATACGCATGCCTTGATTATTATGTTAATAGAATGCATAACAATCACGTCGAATGAACACTTTATTCTATGCAATCTTCAATCGATCTTGTTGAGCATTATTACCGTCTTTTTAATATTCTTTTCTTTTACTCTCTGTCGTTCATTCTTTTACCATATGTATGTACATATTGTTCGACAATCAAGTCTAGACATGCAGTAAAACGAAGAGTACAATGTCACACACACATATACACGCGTGCACGCGCTTGTATATTGGTGAGAAGAAAGAAAGAATGAAACTAGGAGCTAATCGTGAAGATGATTGTTTATTTATATCTCACTCGGAAGATAACCAACGATGTACAGTTATCAATAATGTTGAGATTAATAAACGCGATGCAAGTTCGCAAAGAAAAACAATAAGTTATGTCAATAGAAGAGAACTTTGTCTGATTGTGCAATCGGGTAACAATAATGTTGACAGAAAATAATCAAACGATAGAGAATCTTTTTGCCAGAAAAGATAAATAATCAATACTATTCTTCTCCTCAGTATGAGCAATAGATTCTAATCATAAGTTAAATCGGATGTGAAAAAAAAACGAAAGGAAACGCATTCCAGCTGTTCTATGATGTGCAGATAATCAAGAGTAAATACTTGAGAAAGAACAAGGATATATTTGATTCAATTAAAATCCCCAGTAATAACGATAATGGTTTGCGAGAAAGAAAGTAACAAAGAATTATTCATTACCATCAATATAAAACAGTTAACAACAAATAATGAGATTATTTATTTGAGTATTGAGAACCCGAACAAAAAAACTATATACCGAAAAGATTCCATTCACAACACATGTTTAATACTGACAAAAAAAAATACCATATATATGTATTATGCACTGGGTGAGAAAAGTGAAAATCCAAAAGAAAACAATTCCTTTTTTCTCTCTTGGATATGCTGACACGACAGCTGACTAGACATTGATATGAGATTTTATAATGATCGAAATATAGCGTAAGTGCCAATAACAACCAGATGTGAAGCGAAATTAAGTCGAGCCCATTTATCAAGAACATGTTGCCAAGAATAACCAATTGATTCCTGTGAGCTATTATCGAATAGTTGTCCCAAATAGGTAAGATGCCACAAGCTAAGAAGACATAAAAACGTATTGACGAGCACGGTTAATGGGTGCCAGTATGTGTGTGTATGCTTGTCACATGAAGAATGTGATGGACATGTGCGCGCTGTGACACATGCGTCGAGTATGTTCGCTAATTTACGTCGAAAACCGTATTCCACGTAGGCAAATAAACCGATCGAGAATAACACGATGGATAGTTGAAAATTGAAACCATGTAAAAGGGCTGATGCAAGATATGTAACAAGAATGGATGCCAAATGGCCGTAGCGTTGTTTCATGGGCATGTAAACATAGATTTTTAGCCAATAGTGCATTGGTAAATTCCAATTGACAACAACATCGACCAGCGAGTGTGGCAATTCAATATGGAATGGTTTGACGATCGCTGATGAATGGGAATGACTCGATGACAACAAAGTCGAAGACGAAGTTTGTTTTGTTGATGATGAAGTGACTAGATTAGGTCGAACGAAAGTTTTACGTTTCAATGATGAAAGTAATGTCAATGAACTATTTGAAGAAGATTTTTTTGAACTACGCCGATTGAGTAGAGATCGATTGAGAGAAGACTCTGATTCTTCATTGATCGTTGATTCAGGTTCAACGGATGTGGAAGATTCATTTTCCATCGAAGTACTGCAAACAGATTTCAAGAAATCAATTCTTTTTTACAACAAAATCTTTTCTTACTTTATCTGACTAGAAATAGTCTGTTTATCGCTTGTTGTTATTCCGTCGTGCTCGTCTTGTTTCAGATTACTTTTCTTGTTCTTATGTTTTCGTTTTCCTGTTTGCAGATCTGATGCTTTCATTGTCATGTCAATCTTTGCTTGTTCACGAGATTTTCTTTCCGTATCAATCCGTTCTTTTGCTTGCTGACAAATATACGTATAGTTCCGGTATTCATTAGCATCAAATTCGAGTCCGCTGATTTGACCACATAGTTCACCGATAAAACAGACACTGTAATGGCTAAATCGATACGACAGCGCTTGAATATAAGCAATACGCCAACTGTTTCGCTGGTTGGCTTGTTGCTCATCATACGAAAATATATTTCGAAGAAACCAATCGGTTAAACAAGTGGAAACAAGAAGACAGATAGCAAGTCGAAGAAAATAATACGTCCATTTGGCTAATTCAAAAAAGTCGATTTTGCGTATGGAAGCTTTTTCGTGGAAACGACTGATATAATTTCGATAATTAACCCATGGACCAAATATGGTATTATGAATGGAAAGTATATAACTGAAAAATTCTATACTTGTCGGATAAAGTACCGATTCGTTTGTGTTCGTTGTTGATAATTTCTCAAAATAAGGATAATCAATGGCTAGAGAGATCATTTTCATCATTATGCACATTTGTACTCCACGAATGCCTAGAAAAGAAAGAGGACTGAATATTTTCAGCTCAACAGATGACTTTCAACTCACTATGCCATTTTTCTTGTTCAATCAAAATAAATTCACATGCGAGTACATAGATGATTGAGAAACAAACAATGATGTACGTTAAATATTGCTGACATTTTTCCAAACAGAGTTGAAAAGCTAAATATCCCATGAAGATATACGTTAACAAATATATCGATTGAAAGTGAAAGTAATTGTACAATATTAAGATACTGGAGCCGATCTGAATATAGTGAAGTGTTTGAGACTTGAATAATTTTGACAAACAAATCAGACGAAATAAACAACAAAATAGAAGAATCCAATATAATTGATTGACTAACTGAGACAAGGCGGGTGAAATGCAATTTTCTGTTAAGTCTATCAAGGAATACACTAACGCAGATGATGAAGATTCCGATGGAAGAGAATTGAATGACGTCGAACTGTCAATTGGCGTCGAAGAGTTTGGCGGTGAAAGTGATGTTAAGCGAACGTAATCATTATCGAAAAATTGATTTATGTCAGCGGATGTTTCAATGCCCGATGCTAACCAATCATTATAATTCCAAAGTGATGAATCTTCATCGTAATCTTCTTCGCTCTCATCCAGAAAATCTGACAGCTCTTCGTCGATCATTCTTATCTACAATAGAATATCAAGAAATTCATTCTCATCATCATCATCATCATCGTATAAAAAGAATCTTTTCGTCAATAAAACAAAACAGAGATCGAGAGAGACGACTTGTTTTTATTTTGATCAAACATACAATCACAAGAGAGAGAAAATATAATGAAGAAGGAAAGTTATGCTTTGTTTGCTAATTCTTCGGAAGCAATGGCTTGAAAATCATTGTATAAATTCAATAGTGCGCCTGTGTTAACATTGGTATCCGCAGCGATGATAAAAACTAATGGGGGAACATTGTACGTTATTATTTGACGAGCTGACCAGTACGTCACAACTGTCTTCAATTTTTTCAAATTCATACGTTGGCTTTGATCTTGCAAGGTTTGCGCCGGTGGTATAATGGTCTGTAAATCGAGCTGATCCACCGCTTCCGCTGTTGGTAGTTTTAATATAGGTGTGCCATCTTTATCGAGAATAAGTACTGCTTCGATTCCATCAATGTGCGCAAATAATTGTGGAAGCGTCATTGCCTTGATTTGCGATGTGGAAGAATACTTTTCACGTAGATAAAATCACGTAAAGTAGAAGAAAAACTAACGTGACGACGATGACGAAAATGATTATAGGAACACTTAAGCTATTGATTGGAGGTATCACGAATACCAATGGAAATGCTCTATACTAGATGTCACTATTCAATCAGATATTGCGATCTAGAAAGAACATTTATTTTACGTTAACATTGTACAACATCGAATTACAGTCGTTTGTAATGTATTAATTAATTACTGTGTAGAATACATTCGAATTTTTGGCATATTTGGCGAAACAAATATTAATATGATAGAAACAATCAGCATTGTAAAGGTCGCCGAAAGCCACTGAAATTGTGTTGACCAGTATGGTAAATGACCTGTAAATTGAAAATATAGTCCGATGCTAAATGCTGGCATGCCGGATGCAATTAAAGTCGTTAAGACTATGAATATTCGTTTTAGAACTAGAAAATCACGTTGATCAGTGGCAAGTTGACGTGCAGTCTTAATACTCGCACTGACCTTTCGAATATAAAACATTGTGTAAGCATAACACATTGTTGTCAATGAGATTGGGATTGTATGAACAAGTGCCAATCCAATGAGTAAACCCCGAACGTTATGTATAGCGATTTGACAATGATAATCATATGGTAGATACTCGAATGTTCCCAATAGGAGAACTGGTATAACTTGTACGAAACTGAGAAGCCATTGAAGAACTATACCACATACATATAATCTAAATGTTTGCAATGCTGGTTTCCGAAACAGAGTAATTCGACACAAGCGATAAATGGCCTGAAGTAAATAAGAATAGAAGAAACCACATCCACTAACATAGAATAAGTAGGCTTTCCATTGGCACCATTGTCCATCAAATGAGACATCGACATACAAATGCCCGTAGAGAGTATAACAATATATATCCAAGACGATAGCACAACCAATAAACAGACTTATATACATGTTGATGCAGAGTAGATGGGCCGTGCGATCACGTTTGATGGTAGACTTATGAAAGAGCATGACACAAGACATTACTATACATACTAGCACTGTTAGTGCTGAACAGACGATGATCAAGGAATCCAGAGTAATGTTGATAGTTCGCATTGACATGCTTGTAGATCTTTGTTAGCTTTAATAAAATGCCATAAAAAGAAAACTATCTCAAACATTTATAGTAATGAAATATTCTGGTTAAATCCGAGGAGAGACTCGAAGGAGTTTTGTAAACAAGAACTGGAATTACTTATGACGTCCTTCTCTAATGAATTCCCTGCTTTCATGAAAGGCAAAGAAAATTTTGCTAGATTGAATGTTAAATTATACACGGAGGAAAAGGAGGTTAACGATAGAATTTGTTTGCAATTAACAAATATACTTCGCAGGCACTTATCAGCCGAGATACATTTCTATTTTCTTACATCTTTTACGCAACTGATGATAGTTAAATTAGATATGAGCCCTATAACTCCTTGTAGTCATAGAAGTTGAACGACGTAAACTAGTTAGAATATTTCAATAAGATGAATCTCGCGTCGTGTATGTATTAATACGCAAATAAAACAAGATTGGAGGTAATTTAAAAAACGAAATAAATGAAAAGTCAACATTCATCAGACGAAGTATGAACAAATCAAGGCGAAGAGAAAGGAAAACTAATATGTTTCAAACTTTATTATGACTAGGTAGAAGAGTTTTCCACTAGCGTGGAAAATATTACACTTATTAATCAAATTGAGATTTACATTATATAGAAGAAAAAGATTGCACATATAATATATGAGTGTTAATCATGGTATTAAAGATTATATCTAGTTATACTTAAGAAAAACAGCGAATCAAAAAGTTAATCAGTATACGTATCAGTAGAAGTAAGAAGGAATGACATATTGTTAATAGAAGGATTTTGTATTCTACAGAAGTTGTGTCATAATGTCGCAAATACCATTTTCACATTAGGTTTATCCGTGGACAACTTGTTTACAATATGAACATTTGCGATTTAACGATGACAAATACACTCTGAGATTAAGGGCGACTTTGTAGGTTACGCTCAATGATGAAATAATTTTGTATTTCAAGTGCAAACACTACACGAGTGTTTAGTTTTTGAATTGGAAAACAGACGTGAAAGAGATTGATATTTCAAATTCGGATAACGACAGTATCCATAATCATCTTCGTACGAATTCAAACTATCATATCAAATGTAATCATTAGATTGCGTTCAAGATCTCATGCAGCTGCGGATTTCCAAACATGAGACCAATGTCAAAACGGACTAGATATGATCATTCTTCATCAATTCAATCATTCATTGTTAAATACATATGTTATCGTTTGTGACATATACAAAAAAAGGCTTATATTGATATGCCAAAACGCATGCACGTTGAGAATGCAATAGAAAGCATTCAAAAGGAGATTCATAGCGTTGTTATTGCGCGGCACGAACGTTATCTTTGTACTTCGTCTTATTGTTGCGAAAAACAACATAGCTGTAAGCGAAGAATTCTCATTCATATCACGAGTTTCATTACTGGCGATGCACTTCATCTCATGAAAATATCTAAAAATAATATCACGCCATACTGATACGGTAAGAAAGATAGAACAAGTTAAAGCTTAGCTGTATTAAATGTCCTCAAAATTCTGAAACCTCAGAGTTTGTTGCATTTTGTGACGTATGCATTGCCCTCCTTCTTTGAAATGTGTCTGTTTTCCTTTTCTGTTCGTTGAACCGTTATTTGGTTTAAGTTGGACTGTCACATGAATTCTTTTCCAACCAATAAATGTTCTCGAATGGAATCTATTATATAGTATCGTAGTGACTAACTAGAAAGAGCAAAACGCAGAAAAAGGAAACTCTATCTTGTTTTGTAATTGGATGAAACAAAGATCTGGTGAGAATGGAGGAGTTGAATGGGATTTAATGGAAAGATTTTTATTGTCAGAAGTAGAATAAACAAATGAGTTGTTATACTCAGTTTTATTGTTGTTGCTTTTTGTTCCACAGACTATTGTATATACATTAGACTAGTTTTAGTGAGTTTATAAGATTATTATATAAACATCGAAATGGACCAAGATGTTCGTTGTTTTTATGACACGTTATAAAAAAATAACCGAACGTTTTTGTTTTGATTTTTCCTATTAATCATCGAGACGTGTAAGATTATGCTGGCAATGCCATCGATGTTTTTCTTTCCATCTTATGACGTCATTAGGTCAATATACGAATCTTTTAATCACGTCGCCGAATAGATATCCGTATGGTGGTATTTTTCTTCGAGAAAGATGTCACTCTCAATTCATATGTTTGCTTATAAATATAGTTTCATTTGACAAAAAAAACCTATTAGAATTTATTTTTCCTTTTCTGTGTTTATGAAGTATATTTACCGTCACTTTCCTACCCACTCTTCTCTGATATGCATATCTATTAATTGCTTTTGAATTTTAGGTACCGGTGGTAAGATCACCCAACAAACCTGTTACATATAACCATCGATCATCTCGGAACCCCGTTATATCATCAACCAAATTAGATAATTAGACTTCAATTATGGCTCCGAACGGTGAAACAAACCATCAAATCTTAACAACTTCTCATACCGATCCATCCTCATATAAAAATAACGATGACCGTTTACATGTCTATATCAATAATCAATGGTATGATTTGACTCAATGGCAAAATATACATCCAGGCGGTACAGAAATACTTCACCATATGAATGGAAAAGACGCCACGGATGCATTCTACTCTCTACATAGTGATGAAGCCATTAAACGATTATCACATTTAAAACCATGTTCATCAGCCCATGTTCAGTATGCATTACCATACATAGAAGCCGATGGCGTCTCAACGTCATTTCGAAAATTACGAGAAAAATTAATCAATGAAGGATATTTTAATCGATCGATCTTTTGGGAGTTATTTTACCATATATCCGTTTATACTCTATGTTTACTCGGCACATTTTCATATTTTTACTTGGGTTCCAAACTTTTAGCTATTCTCTTAATTGGCTTCGGTATGCAACAAGCTGGCTGGATTGGTCACGATTATGCGCATGGCAGAGGAACATGGATGCGATGGTTATGCCGAACATTATCAGGTTTTGTTAATGCATTTAGTCCAACTTGGTGGTCACATAAACACAATACACATCACGTCTTCACAAATAACCTCGGTATCGATATGGACGTGAACAATGATCCTATATTTCATTTGTTTTTTCCGAAAAAAGAAAACGATGTTTGGTTTCGATCTTATCAACATATCTATTTTATTCCGGTCTATTCCTTATTATATTTAAGTTGGCGATGGCAATCGATCCAATACTCATTCCATACAGCCAATTATCGTGAATTGCTCTTAATGTTACCGAGTTACATATGGCTCTACTCACTTGGTTGGCAAGTTGCTCTTGGCTCTGTTCTCCTTGGTGGATTTTTAGTCGCTGCTATCGTTACAGCAACACATCAAAGCGAAGAAATGCTCACTGATTCGAATCATTCGTTTGTTGAAACACAGTTCCTAACAACATGTGATGCTCAATGTGACAACTTCTTCATGGAATGGTTGTGGGGCGGAATGCAGTATCAACTCGAACATCATCTGTTTCCAACAATGCCCAAATATAATTATACGCGTGTGAGACCAATTGTTAAACAATGGGCACAAGATAATGGCATTGAGTATCGATCTGAAAATGTTTGGTCGATTTGGCGTCGAAATTATCAAACATTAAAATATTTTTCCAAAGCCTGTATGAACTAATGGGGTATTTCAACCAAAAAGAAAGGTTTTAGTTCTTTTATTCATTTTTTCTTCGTTGAATGAAAAATCAGTTCATGTTCTTTGCGCAAAACCATTGTACTATGTAACTCTCATTAAACATTTCAAAATAAAATAGATCACGAGCAGTCGACGACTAGCCTGCAGCGATAGATACCTGAATCTTCTATTAATACATTGATTTGTATCGTATGATAATGCTCTTCTAATCACTAAACATCATCTGATAGAGTTACTTGAAACTCTTTAGGCATCACAATATCGTCTTCTATCTGAAGTTTCGATATTAACCATATTGGATCGAATTCCATGTACGGTTTTCCCAGGATTCCAATACTAAAACGAAATCATTGATTATCTACCGTTGAAATCGTTGTTATTATTTACGTTTGCTTTAATTCAAATTGAATGTTTGGTGAGTCAGTTTGCTTGCCATGAGTTCTAAACGTAGAATATTTTGTTCATCGTTAGAAAACAAACTAGACAGGAATACATATGAGAATCACCTAACGGATGAGGTGGTGCTGGCAAAGCGAATGAACGTCGATATGATGACGAACTGTAGAAAGATATAATCAAGAAGTTCTTTTTCTCGTGATAATGAATATTACTGTAATAGGTGGCGCATAGCAAGTCGATCTCTTGGCAGGCAAAGACAGAAAAATGTAGATTGAGAACATGAATAGAATTTTTATCTTTGATCAATTACCGTTTAGCATTTTCTCTCTCTTCTCGAGTTGCTTGTTTGTTCACTTTCTTATCTTATAGACAGAGTACAACGATTCAATTCAATTCCTTAAGAAAATCTTATACCTTTTATTACTATGTGACGACTGTCGTCAAGATTTTGATATTTTAACTGTCTTGTTGACAGATCACGGAGTCGGTTTTCACGCTGAGACATAAGTAATTGGTGTTTTTGACGATAGTATGGTGACCGACCATCGAATTCTAATCGTTTCCAGTTTCAATATTCTTTAACGAAGAAAAAACGCTGACATACCCTGTCTAGCAGATGTGTAAAAGAGATACACATTGTTCATAAGGGATATTAGTCAGTTTACCTGTTGAAATCTTTAGCGAACAAACTTGTGACGTGAGTTTGTTTCAATGAAATACTGGAATGCTGGACTAAATTATCCTTTCTTGTAAACGACGCTGGATTTACATTGCTTGATTCTTGTACATTCTGTACAATAAAATCTTTTTTAGATGAAATTTAACAAATCGATAGCGAACTTTCATGTCCGATAATTTCATTAATTCCACATCACCACCGGCTCGAAATAATCTAACAAAATGATTTTCTCATTGATTTCAAACCAAATCGTGAACACCTACCGAGCTAATTCCATTCGAATTGAATCCAAATTTCTCTCTCGATTAAACGTAATCCATATGAGATAGGTCGAAAAAATAAACAGAGACTCATGTATACTTCGATCGATGTTCATACATGAATAGAAGAGACTATCAAACTCTCACATATGAATCATCCAGTCGATTAACTATCTTACTCGCCGTTACGCATATGATGGAAATCTTTGAGATTCACACCTAATAGTAGAACGGCATATTTACAGCCAAGCTCACGCAATGACTCGAGCAAATAGGCATAGGTATACGAAAGTCGATCTTTCTCCGTTTGAGAACGATCTCTATAGAAATCATTTAGTAAACTATCCGTGTTTCAATACAAAACAAAATTACATTTGCTTTCCGATTTTGGGCGATGTGTTAATAGTTGCTTCAAACAACCAGTGGAAATAATTGATCAAGTATAGGAGATATTCGTGTACTTGAGAAGTTCTACGAAACGATTGGTCTGACTTTTCGTCTGTTACAATAGATATTACTTTAGGTATTCTTCGAATTCAATTGGTATATAAAACGTTTCACTCATGACATTCAATGATGCTTCTAGAACACGTTAAACAAGTTTTTTACGTGTTAGACAATTAAAAACATTAGACGAACTAACGTATCACGTCAACTAATGCAATTTGGCTATTAGCTTTTGTTTTGATAATACGTTCCAATGGCCGATATTGTTTTCGATAAACACGCAAGCCCGTTCTCAGATCAATCTTTAATATTTCACGGGATGGTGTATTTGTTTCTTTAGACTTTTCCTGCCGACTTCAATTAATCATTAAACTAATCAGCAATTTGCCTTCCATACCTTCCATAAACAAGTTCCTTTTTCTTTTCATTCCACAACCAACGACCGTTACTCGGAAAAGCTAATAACTACGTGAAAATCAATTCTTTCTCGTTTTATTTTCGCGGAACCGACACATACTGAATCAGGTGAACATATTTCAGTTGTTTTGTCTGAATTTTCAATCATCAGAAATAAAATTGCTTTAGTTTTCAAAAATGCGCTTCGATATTCAATTATGAATTTCTTTTGTTTATGAATAAATAAAAAGTACAGAAGTTAATGATAAATCTTGCATATATATACACACACACACACACACATACACATACAGATAGTATTAGACAAGAAGAAACGCGAATACATATATGTATATTCAACACCGAGACATTCGAGAAAAAAACATTTGTTTCATTTACATCACTGTTACTTGAAACGATTTAAAGAAGTGTTAGTATTGCACATCGATAATTTCTTCATGATCATCATCATCATCATCATGCGAGGACATTTCTTCGATGATTTCTTCACTAGTTGTACTACTGCAATTACTTCTTATAGTTGTTTCCAAAAGTTCAATCGAACGATTGTCATTGATCATTGTAGTCGAGAGTGATGATGATGATGATGACAGGGATGGTGTTGAAGGTGAAACATCATGCGTTTTTGAATGTTTCGATAAATGATCGGAACGCATGAAGCGTTTGCCACATTTCGGACATGCAAAACGTTTCTCACCAGTATGTGTACGTAAATGTCGTTGTAACTCATCTGAACGAGTAAATGCTTTGCCACAGAATAGCCAATGACATCGAAATGGACGTTCGCCAGCATGCCAACGTAAATGTGCTTTTAAATGTGAGGTTTTACCATAGATTTTTTTACATATATGACATATATGTTGACGTTTGGATGTTGAAGAATCATTTAACGTGGACGAAGGTTGATTTACACAGTTGGGGCAACGACAACGTTTACATCGTCGTGTGATGGAACCGAATAAACTTGATGAGTGCTCATTGACGCTCCACCATTTATCAGATGACGATTTTGCTATATCTTTACGTGATGGTGTTGAAGACGACGAGATCAATGAAGGTGCTCGAAATGACGACGATGAAGAGGAGGAGGGTGGTGGAGGAGAATTCGAACTTGAGGAACTTGAATTCAAAGAAGTTGATGACGAATTAGTTGGAGAATTCGATGTTGACAGTATTGCAGCGAGGGAGTGAGGGTGAATGGATGTTGCAGGAGGAGGTGGTAATGATAATGGTGGAAATGCTGATAGAAAATCCATATTACTCAAAGGAAACCGTGTTTGTAATAATTGTAATGCTTTGTGGCGAATAATAGCTTCTGTATGTAAACGATCCAAAGTTGACCAGGAAGATGGCAAAGGAAGTGGTATTTGTTTTTCTGTTTTAACCGCAGGAATTGAACGGGGATCTAAAGGTATAGGCCGTGCAATTGTTGGGTGAGTCATTGTATTATTCAATCGATCCTAAAATATAATGTGAACCAGTTGAAATACTAAGCAAGCCGGAAATGATAATGAGAAAATTTCTTATTTTTTCTATCAATCATGCACATACACCCGCCTTTTTCTGAAGTTTCACCTACGATGAAAGAATGTATATATATATATATATATATATATATATACGGTCTCACGCGTTGATTCTTTAAGTGGCTCGTCAGTGCCAACGAGCCGAAAAAAAGGATGGTGGGTGGGAAGAAAAAGATCAAAAGCAGACCAAAAATGCTGAATATATATATACATATATATCTAAGCTAATTTAGCTTAAACTAGAGCAGCACGTGTGTATGTATGTTGTTATGGCTCATTATTTGATGCCGGCATACTCTACTGTGATAATCTGTCGGCAAGTGGCCTAAGTTGCTACTGCTTCTTTCTTTTTTTGTTTTTTTGAAGATGAGAAGTGGTGGGTTCGGGTTAGTATCAACTTAATTGGACAACGAGGGAAGTGAGAGGCGGGCGGCTCAACTGTTTATGCGTCACAATGTGATGAAATAGCGGTGCATATGCAATTGATGATTAGTATGCAAATCGAAAGAAGCTTCAAGCTATAACTGACCGTTTGTTTGATCACAGTGATGATTGAGAGCAGACGGATAGTCTCGATGCCCCAGGAATACTTTTTTCCGAACGAAAGTACAACTTAACTTAGTTCTCGCTTATTCAAGTGTGGTATAGAACAACAAATAGAACCGACAGCGTTCTTTGAAAACTTACCATAATCAAATTTGTAGGTGTGGAAGATGAGTTGTATGTCGGAATGAGAAATGGATGAGCCAGAAGGACCATTCTATTTTGTCTCTAATTCAATTGAATGTAATACACATATTCTCACTTGAGCCGATATTTTTCTCTACTTCTCTCTTTCTCTCTTTCGTCTTTTACGCTATTTTTTTAAGCAGCGTATCTATCTTTTGACTCCGCCTTTGACACTATGTACAGAAGAAAGACGAGACGGCAGTTTCTTTTTCTCCTTTTCTCTCTTTCCTCTATATATGAAGATATTGTTTGACGACTCGTTCTTTCCTTCTCTTCTACGATTATACCGCCTTTCTTCTCTTTACATATTGGTGTTCACCATCCCTCGGGTGCTGTTCGCATTGGTTGTTAAGATAGATAGACACGGATATTAACCAATAGCAAAACAACCTGAAGAAGAAAGAGAACAGATTCTTCTACTCTCGTTCTCATTTAATTTAGAGAAGAAAACAAAAAATTCGTGCAAAAGAATGGGCGGTGTCGATCAAAGGAAACAAAAAACTTAATCTCGAACCGATCCCCTTTTCTTTGAGTTATCCGACATGTTGATTCAAGTAATCAGTCGTCGTCGTCGTCACCATCACCGCCGACATGGAGATTATCATTGTCTCTATCTCAACAGAGGTTTACATGATAAAAAAAATAATTGAATTAATCAATATCTCAACGTTCGAAGAAAAGAGTAAAACTGACTATTCCGTATCAACATCGAGGTTATTATTCCTACGCTTGTTTCTCTTTCTCTCTCATTTCTTTGACGCGCGCTAATGTACTTAAAAAAGTTCAAACGAGAATAGCGATGCACAAATACACGTATGTATGAAGTGCCGGCAGCTATTTTGCTTCTTTCGTTCCGTACACGTCAAAATGTTCAGATTAGATTGAAAGGCGTACATAACACGCGTGTTGCTTTCTTCTTTTGCTTCTTTTCTTGATCATGATTGAATGAATACGAGTAAGTAGTCGATTTCAAAGACGAACAAATATAAACAATCGACAATTGAGTGTAAAATCGCGCACACACGGATACTGAACCAATGACATTGAAGTCTATAACCATCGAGAAATCAATAATTTATAACTAGATCGATAATAATAAAAAATCAACGTGTCGTTGATGGGTGGTGTCACTTGCATGTCACATTTAAAAGTGAAAACGGATGGTCGGTGTCGGTTTGATCATCAAAAGAATCCATTTGACACATGTGTTGTGAACGCAGACATAAGCATACATTTAAAAATTAGACCGATCTCCTATTCTCTATTGATATTTATTACTGCCTTGCACATATTCGTCAAGCTTATTATTGTCATCATCATCATCATCATCATCACCTCTCTTTTGTGTTCGTGCACGCAAACTCACGTGCGAGAATATTTTTTCAAATGAAAAAAAAAGGAGAACCGGCGCTGTATATCAATTGGAATGTGTATAGATTCTAAAAGTAATGATAATTATCGCATTAGATTTTCTTTTCTTCCAAAAGTCGGTCTACTTTGAAGATTGATAGCAGGAAGAAACCTTTAACTACACCCTTATTTTCATTTATTCTTTTTCTTTTAATTCACATACGACTGATTCTATCAAAGAGATAAATAGTAGAATAACGAGAGTAATTTGTTCACATTTGAGAAAACGGAAATTTAATCGTGCTTGAGAGATTCCGAACACATTCAGCCAAGAAAATGATCCGCTTGATATACGTGCTGTTTCGATGTCAAACAGAGTAGTTCGTTGATTAGTTCATTTGCCCTGTCCTCATCATCATCACAGTTAGTTTGTCTATCTATTTAACCATCTAACTGTCTCTATTTATTCTGCACGAATCAAAGTTTTCTTCTTCTTCTTCTTCTTCTTCTTCTTCTTCTTCTTCTTCGTCGGTTAAATCATTAGGATCAAGAGAGTTTGTTTCATCGATCAGCACGCGGTCTGATATACATCGCACGTCTTGCCCCACTCCACTTGTCTGTATAACTAGCCGTTCATTCTTTTCTTGTCTATATTTGTATGAATGTTGAAACAGGCGGTTCCAATCACGCCTTTCGTTTTCAGCCACAAGGGAAGAAGGCCAATCAAGACAGGCGGCATAAGATAAAACGACAAGCAACTATACATACACACGATCGCCCTTTCACACCAACATTCCCGTTACTCACTTTGTTTTTCTATACTTGACCACGGCATACAATATAATGAACTTTGAAATGAAAGAGAAGATTAAAATATAATGAAGAGTAGCGCTTCAATCAGCGTTAGTCTATAGACTAATCATGCATCTGTTTTCTTTTCTTACTTTCAAAGTACGACCTAGAAAAATTAACGATTCAAAGAAAATCACAATAGCGATTCATTTCCTTAAAAACCTTCCCTTTCTATGAATGGTTCAATAAAATATCTATTGATTCATTGAACTGGTATGAATTTATCGGATTAGGTATACGAGTACTTTTATCGTCGTCTCAATTTCAAAAGTGCATCCTCTTCTTATATTTCCACTTGATTAACGTCGGCGAGAACGTTCGACATCCGATTTGAATTTCCTTTTTCTTTTTCTTTTGCGTCGCTTTCTCGAATACTATCGTTCATCCTGATGCATTCAATCGGATGTGCAATCTAGTGAGTCTACGAATACCTTGACTAGAGAGCTGAAGAAAGCGAGAGTGCCGGCATTTCTTCTTCGTATTTACAACGTCCATCAACACTCGGCACACTAATCATACGCGTCACTACCTGTCGTATCCCTCCCGCGCTACGACAGCATGATTAACGATATACGTCTTCCGCCAAAAGAAAAGAGATCAAGGGAGAAGAAAGTATTCATCATCGAAGTGCGTTTCGCCAAGACGACTATGACGATAGAAAAGATTATACAAGTATAAGAAAACGATCGGTCGTTTATCATGCATGCTTAGATGATATATAACCCAAAATCTGATCGAGCAAATCAGTTGACTTGCGGAGGCACTATCAGCTAAGATATTTATTAGAAATCAATAATAATTTTTCTTCTTTCTTTGTTATTTCATTTCGCGATTACGTATCGATTAGGTTTCTCAATATATACGCATCGTGCAAATATCAATAAAACGTTAATATCGGATCAACAGAGAAAACCTATGAGGACATTTGCCAAGCAAATGTCTAAGTTATTAAAAACAGTTTTTTATTTGTTGGATATTTAACACTATAAATATGAGATGTCTCTTCGTCATAAACTAGCAATTCTCTTTTTTACAATTATTATTTGTTCAAGGTACCGCCCTTCTCATGATGATTGAGCTTGTCAAAAGTGTGATATCTCACGCTCGTGTTATTGTCTCTGATTTCTTCTTCTCCTTGAACGGTTCATTTCGTCTATCGGCATGTTTTTTATCTTGCCACGTATATATGTGTTTGTGAAGTGTAAATGAGATCGATGCATGAGCGGCTTGAACAAGCTAACAAGAGTAGTCGATGACACCTTCAAACAAACAATCATCTTTTCTTCTATTTGTACAAGAATTCTTAAGTACCGACAAGTAGATAGGTAGGCAGGCGGATAAATATTCAAATGAGTAAGGCGAGAAAACAACAACAACAACAAATCAAGGTGATCAGTCACTCTACAGCTTGCAAACATCTCCTCCCATGAGAATGATCATTAATGTTAGAAATGATTACATCGTACTATCTGATTACAATATGCACATGATCGATGATTACGATTCGAAATAACGACATGAGATACATACATCTTTGATGTTCAACTACCTTATGAGCTTTTATTTCACAACGGTAATCATGCACACACGAGAAAATGCCGAGACGGTGTTATGAATTGTCATTAGTAGATTCTATAAAATAGTAATTAGACTTTAGCATTAGGAGAAGGAAATATCGACCACATAGATGAGGTTTATTTTGGTTCGAGATGTGCACTTTCGATTTTTAAATAGCCAACAGGCGCTATTGGATCTGATGAACTTACGATTGTCTTCACTTGATCACTAAAGAGAATATTTCAATGATCACAGTCAAGAAAAGCTTTGTTTTAACTTACAGAACAATTCGCTGTTTGAATAGCGAACAGTCTAATGTTAATGTTTCAAATTCTCCTCCTTCGCCGCACACATTGATACCATATTTTTCTGCCTGAATATAGGCAATTTCAATCCCAACGAAACGCTTGATAAATGACTCACTAATTCTTCTAAGATGGGACGCATTTCAGCAATAGTTTTTCCCAGATGCTTTCTAGGATGTAAACCTGAAATCAAACGAAGGCAACAAACGCATTGAATAACGATTGAAATGAACTATAATCTTACCCAAAGCAGCTGTTTTTATTAGAATAGCTTGAACATTTGCATTGATCATTTCATTGAGTAATTCATGTTGATTACGTTGCCATAAATATGCTAGCACTTGTAGATTCAATCGTTGACAACTGAAATGAAGATAAATTATCGAAGAAAACAACGAAGTAACGAAAAGAGAATTTACACATTAGCAACACGATTATTTTGATATTCCGAAAAGATTGCACCGACAGACACAGCTTCCACTGCATGTTTATCCTAGAAAAACCAAGGCCAAATCAAGAAACAAATTTCATTTTCCACTTTGCTTTTATCTGAGCGAGTAGCTCGTATAAATCCTCGACTTCGTCACCCGTCACGGGTTGATGGTATTCTTTATCTGTTGTTTGAGCGTCACCTTTGATTTCGGCTCGATAGAGTGGCAAGTTCATTGCTTTGGCAATTAAATCGATAATCTCATGTCCGACACTTTGATACATATAACTATCGAGTTCATCTAACAACAATGACATGCACAAGTAACATTTCACTTCAATTATTTGTTACCGATATCTTCTTTTGGATGAAGGTTAGCGAGAGCAATGATTTCATGACCATGTCGAACACATTCAATCATATTATAGGTACTATCTTTACCACCACTGGAAGAGAAGACAATTGAAGAGAAATTTATTCGAGAGAAATCCATAATTACCTGATTAGAGCGACGACACGCATGTCGAAAACTGAGTAATAAAAAGGAATGATAAGCGATCTATAAGCAAAAATAACTTCATGCAAGAAGTTGATCTTCAACTATTTACACGTATGGGAAGGAGTGAGATTCTTCGAATGAAAACTGACAGTTTGTCAGTGAAAAAGACTAAAATCATGAATCATCGATTTCAATGGGCAAATGTTCTCATTCCATATGAAAACTAACTCGTATCTCCTGCTGAGGTCGCTATCGCATGAATGAGTCTGCAATTGATACTTCTTGTTCTTTTGTGATATCTTGAAAACAACAATATTTTGTTTAGTCAGATCACGTATTACTTTCATTTTAATAGATTTAGTTAAATTACGAACATTAATGTGAAAAAAGACCAAACACTTCTTGAATGTGTCAATGTTTTTCTTTTCATTATCAACTCAGGAGTAAATAAACAAACAAATAAGGAAAAAAGAGAGATTTACACACGTGCACAATACAAGCATGTGAAAGAAAAATTTCTATGTACAAATTACAGTAAGATAGGCAATATTGATATACACTCAGAATTACATATATGTATATGTGTAAAGGATATAGTAGTGACGAAATTTTAGTCACGAAGAGAGAGAAACTTTCGAGATATCTGACCCACGACGAGAGAGAGAGGAGAGACAAACTCACTGTATAGGCGCGCAAATGAAAGCAAAAGAAAACAAGAATGAATAGGACGCAGATCAACATAAAGAGAATTCCGAAAGAAGAAAAAGGGCAGAACAGAACTCGATTGATAACAAGTCGAAAATGTTTCTTTAGATTATCCATCAGTGTGTGTGTGTATTCAGGCTGCTCATTCTCGTTTCTCATAAATCACTTCATACAAAGTCGCTTTCTTATCACCGGAACCGGTCACAATATAGTTGCCATCTTGTGATACATCGCAGCTTGCTACCGATAAACATACTTTGCTCTAAAAGAAAACAATCAGGATTATTCAAATTAGAACTTATTTTCTGTTGCGTTACCTCAAACAACTTCGGTCCATATGGTGTTTTTCATCCGGTTACTCGATTGTCTTTACTTGTTGAAATAAACCATTTACCAGATCGAGTAAATTTCAATGTTAGTACACAAGTTTCATGCGACGTTAAACGATATATTCAATACGTCAATCAAACTTTGTTCTGTGCCAACTGCTAGCCAATTATCATCAGTGGGACAAGATCCCAGGGCGAAGATTTGTGAATCGAATTCAAATTCATGCACTTGCCGACCTTCACGTATATTCCAACAGCGAACAGTATTGTCCAGACCACCCTTCCATACATATAAGCCATCTGAACGACAATTGAACTAGAGTTTACCATCGCCCGATATTGCTAGTGCGTAACACGCCGCTGCTTTTGATTGTATTTTGTCTTTAGGTCGTACCATTGGTGATGAATTTGAATAACTACCACCACGATCTATTGCTGATCCATTAGATCTTATTGATGAACTGATGTTTAGATCCCAAATACATACAGAAGAATCTTTGCCACCAACAATCAATGTTCGACCATCCGGTAGTAGTTTAATACAACGTATGTAAGCATCTCGCTCCTGAATAGATAGGTATTTCATGAATACTTTGCTTCATTGAAAAAGTATTATATATTCTTACCAAACAATCATAGTGACTAAATGGGTTATTCATGGTGAACGGTGAACATCTCCGTTTGCACTTGCATGATGGCCAATATTTTGTTTCAGATCCCATATTTTTACACATCCGTTTCCACCTGTGTAGATATGTTGATTCTAATCCGACAGTTACCGTACAAACCACATCGCCATGCATTATATTGTTTAGTACATTAATACGACGTGGACAATCTGAACTATCAAATGCATCCGACGGAAATGTGTAGGACTGTAGTGGCGATGATGAATCGAGGGATTCACAATAATAAATGTTGTTTCGTTCCATTACGTTGAGTAATATTTCCATTCGTTACAGCAGTCGGCGAAGTAATCATCGACAATGCCTTTGCCGGTGGTTGGGATCGTGATGGAATATTATTTATTAGACTGGGACTTATAGAAATGTTGCCTGAAAAATTATTACCAGGAAATGCCCCATTGAGAGCTAACGTTCGATTGATATCAGCAGTAAAAGCAGTCAAGTTTTCCGGCATGAAGGCACCATGTGACCCGAAGATAGCAGCTGTTGAATACACACACACACTGATCATTTTTATTAAGAAACGGATTCGGCAAAAGGAGGACGGGAAGACATACGAGGCAGTTTCGGAGAATGACGGACGCCACTATTACTGCTGCTGCTACGCGAGCTTCCTTTGTTCGACGATGCGTTTGCTCCTGTTGTAACAGGTGCTGATCCACTTTTTTCACTACCCTACGAATCATACCAAATATGCAACATATACTCAACCAAAATTCTTGTCACGTACCTTTTGTGAAGGCGTGCTCCGTGTTGAACCATTATCACTATGGGGACTTCGACTACTATCATCGTTATTTGATTGTTTATGACGTAAAGCCGAGCTGAGCTTGGATGAATTACCATTTTCATGTGGTGAACGAGAACCATTCGTCATTTGCTTATCATTCTGCAAAGACGACACATTTTGTAACACACTGCTCTATTATTCACTTTGTTTTCTTTTTACCTCGTTCGTATCATCCACGACTAAATCTCCATCACTTCTGTCTCCGTCACTTTCCTAAAGTGAAAACGGAATTATATGTTCATATCATCAGCCCAATATATTATTCCTCTTACCTCGTCCCGTTTCATCTTTTTCGATTCATGTGTATCCAATGGTGAACGACTATGACCTCGATATTTGTCATTGATCTGATGTGGAGAATTTGCACTTCGCTATGAGAACAAAATAAAGACTGTTGATTTTATTTGTTGGATTCACTAGGTTTATACTTTATGCGATGAGGCTGCTGCTGCAGCTGCAGCTTTTTCTGCACGTTCAAGGTTATCTAATATGAAAGAAAACGGTATTCGAGCTCTTCGAGGGTAAATCAAAATTGCATACCTTTTTCATCTTTGAGAAAAGCTTGTTGAGCTGCTGCAGCAACTCCTTGTAAAGCTAAGAGACCAGGCGGCAGGCCTCCAGCACCAGGTAAACCAAATGGTGATCCTGCATGTGCCGCTGATAACGCCGCTAAGTGAGGTGCTTGGGAGTGTCCGTGAGGAAAGCCTGCGCCTTGAGCGTGCATCTGTTGCTGGAAAAAGAAAATCCCAAAGAGAAGTGTTCATTTCATTACTTTACAGGACTACATACCCCAATAATAGCATTCAATTCACCAACTGTCACTTGTTTCGCTCGTTCAAGTGTTGCAGCTACTTGATTTTGTTGCTAAATGGAAGAAAAATAACAACAGGTAATTCTTCCTCTTTCTTTCCTCAACAAGCCATCGAATTTACTTCTTGAGATAGGCATGGAATGATTTGATGACATATTGCTAAGTACCGTTTCGCCAATTCTGATTGTCGATGCATTTCAACATTCAGTCCATAAGACATTTCATAATACTTCGAAAACAAATCAATAACAATAGATCTATCACATTTCATACGAAATCTAATTACCATAACATATTGTCGATGAACTTCGATTTTCTCTTGAGCGAGTTTTTCACATTCGAATTTTAAACTGAAATGCACAAGCAGAAGCTCTAACACAACTCTTCCAAGTGCATAATTTACCTTTGACACTGTTGTTGCATAACACTAAATTCTTTCTTCAATCGTTCACAGTATTCACTTATGCTGAAATCGACCTGTGAAGAACCCTAGAATAATCGATTCAATTCATCAAAGATGTTACCATCTGTTTCGTACCTGTTGTCCACTATTACGTCCTGGAAACATATTTCCACTCGATTTGTCTTGTACACTTGTATTTAAATTACCGGTATGAATCGAACCGGAACCGGTTCCACTACTACTCTTCTTTTTCTTCTTACTACTATTGAAATGTAGTGAGTGATCGTCGTGCAATTTCGATGAATGATTTGTTGAATGCTGCAAGCTGCTATTACCAAGTTTGAGGTTCGTGTGTGAGTGAATTTTGACGGCTTTAACTATTCAGATGCGCACGATGGCGATGTTGAATTAACAACAATAGAAAAGTGAAAAACAACAAAAACAAAAAATGACAATGTCAACATTCACAAACACCGCCGAATATATACGTGAAATGGGCGAAATGCAATTAATGGATCAGAAGTGATTGACAAAGAATATAGTTATAAAGAGAGGAAAAAACGATTTTTTTTCGTGTATGTTTGACTAAATTCGTACAGTAATTGTGTGAATGGATATTTCGTACTTTCTTTCAGCTTCTTATTTTCGATTATTATGAAAAGAAATTAAACAAACACGATGAGGACGACGACGACGATCGACATGTTGCCATGATGTATTTATAGTAATCTAAAATAGAGTAGAATTAAATAAACAGAATACATGCAAATCCAACAAGCCATTCAATTGCGACACTATGCACTTAACGGGTTTTCATCGATCATGATTGTTACTCGAAAAGATTGACTGGATAAGAAAGACGGGGTAGCGGAGAGAGATGGTGATGAGAAGAGAAGAGAAAGACGCGTAGTAATATGTCAGTAATAATATACTAAATAACACGTGGACGAGACAACGATCGCCTTGACAATGACAAATGATTATGAGATCTAATTCTAATCTATTGAAATAGATACTCAAATGACAAACTACTAGCCGCTAGTAGGCATCGAGTTTGTATAAAGAAAAGAATAGAAAGAAAGAGAAGGATATATTATCTTAGAACAACATAACAGCGTGTGTGTATTTGTGCATGAACGACGAACATGTTCTAATCATTTTCTATTAGTTTATGTATATGATGGCCGACGATAGAAAGTAGCAATGCGCGTCACATCGGAAAAAGAATCGACGACGACGATGAAAAGAAGAGAAAATAACCATCATTGTCATGACCTGACGCGGCCGTCTTGTCGGCAATCGTGCCTGCTGTTCTTACTGCTCTGCTAGGACTGCTGACGAGTGATAAGGTTATACACATGCAGGAAAAGAAAAACACACTAGTCGTCGACGACTACGAATAAAAGAGAATACATTTGTCTTCACCCTCTCGACTACAAGTGTCCAATTTACACACATGATGAGGAATATGCAGATAGAGGAATGAATGGACACGGATCGAGAAGGAAAGATACTTAATTAATCGTGATCGTAAAAAGCGACCGAGCGAAAGCGGAGTACAAAGGGCTAGTACGACTACCATCAACTTGCATAGGAAACAACAGAAAAGATCAAAAGTCGTTGTTCATGCTGCATATTTATGCCCAGAGGACATCACGCACCAGTAATAGAATTTAAAAAACGAGAGCACACGATGAAGAACGCGCGTGCTTGTTTAAAATAATTGTAAGATTGAGATCATGCATACATCTATATCTGTATACATCGATGGAGAAAGAGAGACGATGTATGCATTACTGATAGAAAACGATTAGCATTTCGCAGAGGAAAGAAAGAGAAGAAAATGAGAAATTGGAGAAGATGAATCCGTAGTTAGTGGAATAATCCAGATGAATAAGTCTCTTGTCTGCACCGTTGCTTTTATATATCTATTATATTCTTTGACATATGGTCGTATTAAAGAAATACAAATCTATAGATCTAAACACTATTTGATTACGTCAAGTACCATCCAATTAGAAGTAGGTTGATATTGAGCAATTGCACACGTTAATCGTGCTTATTCAATTTAGTAGCTATTAGAAATATTTTTTATTTCTCTACTATTGTCCTACGTGGTAAAAAGAAAACAATAACATTAACAAAGACTTTTCTTTCATCTCACTAGCTCACTAAGCACAACGATAATCAATATGGATGTGTGTGTATATACATGTACACATACACATATTCGTATGTGTGTGTAGATGTACATCAATCTTCGTGCAAATAGTCGTACATAGACGATGAAGGAGAGAGAGAGAAAAAGAACAAGGAGAAAGCGAAGAGCACACGATGCGATAGCCATCACAAATTGTCATGTGTGTCTAAGTTGACTTGTGTACGAATGTATAAATGTATCTCTGTATGTGGCGATATCGTACCTAGCTAATCATCTGAAGGTGTGAGACCACCTGAGAGCAGAGCGTGTGTGTATATATATCTATATACCTATAGGAAGAGCAAAGAGAAGAAGTGGCAACAAGATAGAAAATGAAGATGATGAGTGTTATTGATGACGTGCAAGCATTGTCTAGAGGCTACGGGTTTCTGCTTTCTTCCGATTTCCTACCGTGCTGTTGTTACTATTCTGTTCATCAAAGATCTGAATGAATGAATGAAGCGAAGAAGTCATAGATGAAGCAGAAGAGAGACGAGAAGAAAAACGGAAACGAGCCAAGATTGATGATGATGCTCACAGTAATAAAAGGGTGAGGAAGAGAATGAAGTAGAATGTGCTATGCGACCCAACAATAACGACCTACAATGAAAGAAGACAACGAGTTTAATGATGTAGTAGTGCGAATCTATTACTAATAACGAGAATGAAACAAACCATCTATAACCAGCATGCAACTACTTTCTCATCTTATTCGTTAGCATACTACGATTAACCACAAATGAATGCATGCATGCATGCATACAAAACAGAATGACGAAATGGGGTATGTATATATGTATACATATAAATACATAGATGAAATGTTAACCGGATTGAGCAGCCTGTTCGACTACATTTCTCTTTTCTCATTATTGTTTACTTAGCACACATTCATCTCTCATCTAAATATATATTAACAATACGAGCAATTGTCGTCATTGATAGGTGTTCAAGTCTCTTGTCTTACTCTCATCGTTTTACTATATTTGGATATATATGTGCTTATTCTTCTATTGAGATTTAATTAAGTCAACCAGCTTATGAACTTCTCAAGTGTCACTTTCCTTGCACTTCTTATTCATTCCTACTTGTACATTTATGTGTTCATCGCCTAAAGACATTTTTACTCATCTACTATGTGTCAAAGAGTACAAATAGAGCTTATTCTCTAGGGAGAAAACGAGCAGTTATGTTGAAAGGTATTTATGTGAGTGTAAGTACATCGATCGTTTTCAATATGTACAATAGAAGGGCAATTTCGAGGTGTCAATAAGAGAGAAAGAGAGAAAAACTTGCAATTGCCAAACATAATGAGATTAAATGCATGTATGTATACATATTACGGCTTCATTGTATTGTTAGCATAAGTTGAAAGTATAGTTGTGTTTCTTCCCACTTGGTATTTTTCATCTACATCATTGTCGTCAAATGACACACGCCAGAATGCATTCGTCTTCCGAAAGAGAAGTGCTAATCAGTTAACATGATGCAGATGACGGAAGAAAAGCGTCTGAGACTGGAGACAAAGAAACAAATAAAGAAAGAAGCAGAAAAACGAGTTATATAGAGGTAAGACCAGTTGCTGATAGCATTAACGACGACTATAAAGCGTGTAATATAAGTACGCAAATAATGCTTCGAAAGAGACGAAGAATGAAGCGAGAGAGAGAGAGAGAGGGGAAAAAGAAGTCGCTGAAACGCGTTTACACATTCATGACATCAACAGTAGTAATAATTGACTAGAGAGAAAGAATCATTTCATGCTTTCTAGTATGCGTGTATATATATATGCTCGGTTATACATTCATATACTTATTATTAAGAATGAATAATGATGATAAAGATAACGAGATGGGGAGAGTAGTAAAAAACCGATAACAAATCAGCTTCATCATCAACAACATATAGCAATTAACACTACCTAGTGAGAATGAGCACGACGAAATCGAATGAGAACGAGTGTTTTTCACATCAATTGATCGATAAATTAAACTACTCTAAAGTGTGAAATCAAATAAAAGTATATAATGACAAACTGTAAAAAAAAAGAACGAATAAAATGAAACATGTTTGCTATATGCGAAAATTGACATGTAATGTCGATGAAAAGAAGAATGGAAAGAGAAATTTTAACCTTTTTTTGTTGTATTTCTCTTAAATATAATATTGAATGCAAATATTAACAAAAATTTCGTCCGCATCAGCTTGAAGTAATCCGATTGGTTGATGCGTACCATAGCTAGAACGTACTATGACTCATAGGACAATGTAGCATTCTTATGCATTTTGTCACGAACACAGAAAAATGCATTTGACTCAACAAAAGAATTTTCGAGAGGGAAAACCCGATTTTGCGACGAAAAAATTCTTGTCGTCGATGTCTTCTGACCTTCAATGAATTGTTATTTCGAAACAAGATGGCGTTTGTTATGACTAATCAATGTTACACGTAGACAAAGTATTCACTCATTTTTCTTTTCATAAGTTTTTAGGTAGGTAAGATTAAGTGTTTTGTTGACGACGCATAGTCATGCATTTTGCCCGAGATTTGCACAATGTTTTCATGAATTCAAGTTTACAATAATCTTCCAAGTTGAAGCTTAGGATTTAAGTTGGAGATGAAGAGATTTTTTCTCAAGGTCAACCGAAATCCTCATTTGTCATATTTGATTACCAGCCAGTGAGTGTATTTAGTAATCAAATGCGATTATACAATTGAAAAGAGAATTTTAGTTGAAAATCATGCAAGATAGGATTAGGAATTACGATGAAAGATCTAGATTGTTCGCAATAGCGTTGATAAAAACAAAGAAAAAAAGTTCCTAGCGTTTGTTTTTCTGAGATAATCTGGAAATTATTTCTCTTAATAACTCGATGAATACGCGTCAAGCATAAAATTCAATTTGAATAAATTGAATTATTTTCCGAACAGATGATGTTGTTTTCATGAACTATTTCATTCGTCAGTGATACCGAACATTGAATTTCATTTTCATTTTAGATATTCATGAACAATCGAACCAATTTCGACAATAAAATCTTTCGAAACCGATCACAATTCTTACACAAAAATGATCATTTCTTCATAACTGAAATAGTTATCTCTTTTCTTTCGTAAATTCTTCTTCTTTCCTCTTCTGCGAATAATTTACGTCATATTTGTAATATGAGTCAATTAGTAGGAACAAAACTAACGAGAGAAAAAAAATATGACTCATGATGCCGAATTTCATCATTTCTTTTCTATGGTGTCATTTATATGTTTACATCAGATAACTTCGACAATTACACGGAATGCGACACGTAATTTTTCCTCAACAGACAAGATCTGTGTACAATTGCAATGGATGATCAAGATGCAAATACTTTCGCGCTAAATATTTAATCGATTGTGTTATAGAATATCAATGACTATTATCATTGTCATTACGATGGAACTTTTTTGGGTAAAAGATTTAATACATGTCGATTGCGTCAAGTTTATCTTGCCTCACGTAAAGATAAAAATGTCATATCGTGAATAATCTCTTTGCTTATGGTAACGGTCATATTTTCGTGGTACTATTTCGAAATAGTAAAGGAACTTGTTGTTTATTCTGTCATCTATTCAAGTCACTGTTCAGATGTATAAGAATATCGATTATTTATTTCCTACTGAAGATCGACATTAGTCGGTCGAGTAAAGGAAACTTCAAGTTCATACGTCATTGTCTGTTATGCGTAGGTGTAGATCATTTGCTTTTTCTTTCGTGATAGAGCATAAGACAGGCGAATAAATATGCAATGAATATTTGTCTCGGTATATTTTTTTCCAGCGAAATTGTAATAAACAGTAACGAAAAATGTGATGCTTGAGTTTCTTTTTTTCTGTTTTACATATTCGTCCGCTTCAGCGAGTAAATGCAAAAAACCAATTTTTTTTCTTCTCTTTCTTTTCTGTTTTCTTCTCATTTCTCGTTGACGACAACAACTAACAACGCAAAAAAATAGTTGTTATTTTGCGTTTGATACTCAACTACATTTTTTCAATCTAGCCGATGATATTACTTCTCATTTTTTATCAATTATGTTCTTACATTTCGAATTTTATGTGAATAGATGCTAGATATCTATTTACTTTGCAAGGATTGAACACATACGGAGAAATAACGAAATCTTTCTTTGTTTTAGATATATACATTGAAGCTCTAGTCATTTGATTATTAGATCAAATCGTCTCTTTGAAAAGCTTTGTTCCAAATCTGATATTCATATCGACACAATTTGTAAGTTTAGTCTGAATATCATTTCTAATCATTGTTTCTTCGATCGATAGGTTATATCAGTCTTCATAAGATCAAAACAACCGATTGACATTTTCTTTGGATTGTTTGACACAAAAAAAGGATAATGACAATGCCAGCGACATTGGTTTCAATTGCACCTAGCCATATGTCTACGAATGCAAGCAATATAGTTAGAAACAAATATACGAATGAAGAAGAAATCATTTTAGCTTTGGCAGGACAGTCTTCTGAATCTCGTCTGTCGCACTCACAACAATTAACCAATGAATCAGAGAGTAATGCAAATCGAGTGATAGGAAAATATCGCATACCAAAAAAAGAAAGGTAGGTTAAGTTCGAAAGAATTCTGTCTGTTACTATTATACGTTTTGATATCGGAGTTTTTTGTACAAATTTTTGTCAGATTTTTCGCAGATCAAATAATATATTTTATTTTGTATGATAACAAATAAAATCAATGAAGCAGATGCTCTGCCGATCAAGGATTTTATCGCTGCGATGATCTCGATGTGCCAATCTAATGCCATCTTTATTTTTTTTTCTTCAGGAAACCTGATGTTGTCTCACCAGTTGACACTAATCAAGTGCAGTCAAAAATGAATACAACTACTAATCAGCCAACCGATGAATCGAATGCTCAAATTGCAAAGAGGAAGATTTCTCTCAATGATTACAAAGTGAATAAACGTGTGAAATCAAGTGATATTGTACAAGGCTCAGCAGCAGACGTTGATATGCGAATGGATACAATGGAAAATAATAAAGTATGAAATTTCTTTTGATGAATGCGAAACCGGTACTAAACGCAGTCTTGTCTGTTCTCTTCTAGAAATCCTCACCAAGATCTATGAACAATACTTCGTCGTCTCCTTCTGAACAGCGACCAATAGTTAGTCCAAAAGTGGAAGATAATAGTGCGAGTAGAGGTATGACGATTTTGACAAAATTGTACGAAATCTATGATCTATACATCTGTTTTTTTTTCTTTTCCATTCTAGATTTAGTGACAAAGAGTAATTTGAGCGAACCAGGAGTAAAGAAATTAATAAAAAAGAAAGTAGTTTGGGCCGATGAAAAAAATAAAGCCCTTGTACAGACATCGTTTTTTGAAGTAGACCGTTCTGAAATGACAGATATGCATGCATTTGCACGTCAATGTGCAGAAAATATGTCTATAGCGCAACTCGAAAAACTATGGGAACGTGATCTTCGTAAACAACGAAGTTTACAAGATGTTAACACATTTGATAATAATGATAAACAAGTTTTACCTCCATTACCAACTTTAATACGTATTTTATTACCGGATGCCATAACAACGCCAATAGTGAAGTCACAGGAACGTGCCGTTCAAGAAGAACGTGAAAAAAGTGTTTTACAGGCTCTTTTCATGCGGCCATTTTTACCGGATAGTCCAAGTGAACCCGATGGTGATCTTCTTGGAAGTAATACGATTGAACGAAATAAACCCAAAACAATACCATTGGAAGATGTAAGGATAAAAATAAATAACACAAAGATTTATTTGTGTAATAAACGATGGAAATATCTCGTATATAAAATGAATGAAATCAGAAGAACGACTGATGTTTACTGGAATGAATTTTGTAGAACATTAGCAAAGTTCTACAGATGATTCAATTTAGTAGTGCTTAGATATGCTGCTAAATGACGATTGTTCTCTGTTTTTATTTCATGCCATTCGTTATTACCTTTGCTACGGTTTCGAATGTTTTTCTTAATACTCACTTCTTTTCAGAGAGTTTGATCAAAAGCTGGTTATCTGCCATTAATTGAATCTTTATAGTAGAGCAGTAATTATCACTGAAATGAATATTATCATTGACTGTTGATTCTCTTATCACATGTCTATTACATTCCGACAGCAGTATAAAATCTTCATTTCGATAATCTCTCGTAGTTTCACTGAAACCTCTTCATCTACTTTTGTTCTCATCTTTTTCTATCAATGAGAATCTAATCTGATATTACATTGAATACAAGGAATATGACTCTATTAACCTTATATTTTCTTTTTAGAATACCCCACCATCCGAAACAAAACTGTCACCTTCGAATGCTAATCAAGAATCTACACCCACGAATGTCACTGTTGCTCCTGCAAATCCATCACAGCCAGCAGTCGTACCAAGTTCTTCGTCGTCGTTATCATTCGACAATTCGTTATCTCCTGAAGTTGCTCAAATCCTTGAACGCGCAAAAGGCAACATACCATCGACAACAGTAGCTAATCCATCAATAAATCCACCTGCAACATCGATTCCAGCTGCCAGTATTGCATCAACGCTATTTTCTGCTCTATTCAACCTCAAACGATCGAATGGAATGGAATCGGCAACTGGTACACAGATTTCTTTTTGTTTCCTTTCATCAAATTTACATGACTATTTTCTACTTTTAGCACCACCAGCCAATTCGGTACCAAACTTTCCGCTTAATTTCAACGTGGCACCGCATCCGCCTCTGCCTACACTTTCTATGAACCCATTATTCGCAAATGTTCTATCATCGGGACTATCTCTACCTCTATCCTTCAGTAAGTAATTCATTGCACCATTGTACGTTATTAAAATCCTTTTCATTTTATTTAGATAACCCGCTGCTCCAATTGCCGTCGGCAACGTTCAATATTCCAAATTCAATCCCATCAGCAACGCCAGCTGTTGATACAACTACTAATTCGAATTCAAATGATATGTTCCAAACTTCAACAGTTCCCTTTGGTGCAGCATCAAATCAAAACTTACCAACGCGGTTCAATCATAACAGTAACAAAAACGAACGTCAAAACCACAATTTTCGCGGGCACTCCAGAGGATATGGTTTTCGTCGCGGTTTCAATAACAATCATCCACGTCGAGATTTTCATCAAAAGCGAAACAATTACAACAATAACAATAACAACAACAACAATAATAATAATCGAAATGGTTTTTCATGAAATACAAGAATTTCCATGAAAAAGATTTAGATTAGTTAACAGAAAGATGGGTATTTATTAACTTGACTTTGTTTTATTTCTATAATATTGGTTTTCTTTTTCTTCTTGTCAACTATTACTCTATATTGAAAACTATTTTTGTCTTTCTTGATAATTCTTGTTTGTTTGTTTGTTTTTCTTTTGTATATTTTACAGAAAAACCTTCATCATTCTTTCGATAATCAGAAACAAAAGCATTCATGTTCATTAAATTTTTCGTTTCCTGTCTATTATAAACTATTTACATTTTGTTCTGCACAGCAATTCTTACTAAGAGATTGAGGGTGGGGGGATGTTGAACTTGTCAGTACGGCCGTTTCAATCAAATTTTTCACTCATAATGATTCGTGCATTCATTTGACAAGCTGTAGTTGAAAAAAAAACGAGGCGTCAATGTTTATTTGCGAGTAAAAAAACTAATATTATTAACAAGAAGAATTTGCCGGGTGAATGTCTTCTTCCTTGATTGCAATTATCTGTTTTACAACAAGTTACATCAAAACGAAGAACACCGGCCACAATCGTTTGTTCTTTACAGTTCTTTGAACACGCTTTCGCGATAAGCACTGCACCGGGCAGTTGAATTCGCATCTTTTGACAACTATCTGCGTTTGGCGTTGTTGACGCACATGTTGAATTCGTATCGGTTCCATCGTATTGATCTTGACAGTTGATACAAGTGACACAACTAGTTGGCTGAGCGTTAATTTCAAGAAAAACTACATGGAAAAAGAGATCTATAAGCTGATAAATTTCGTTTTAATATATAACATACGTAAAAGATTAATTAAAAATCCAAGGATGACTTTTGAGTGCATCTGTTCGCTGATGACGATCGTGCAAGTCAAAGTAGAAGAAAACAAACCGATTCGTGTCTGTGATCGACTAAATATACTCATTTTTTTTCTTCGTTAGAAAAAAAGTCGAGAGAAAAACAAAAATTTCCTCTCTTCTAATAAGACAATTAGTTTCCTTTTTCTTTTCCTATTGTTGCTGTTAACATATAAAATCTTTATTTGAAGTATTTATGTAAATTTCATACATGTAGACACGTAATTTGTTTAGCCTATGTACAATAATTGAACAAGAAAGAAGAGAAAGGGAGATGATAGTCTACATCACGAAAACAAGAGAATATAAATATTACAAAAGTTCTGAACCTGAACTTCGTCGTCGTCGTGAAAAGAATTTACTCCATGACGCGATCGTTTTGCTATTTAATACCCAGCCCGAAGAAATAATGCCAATTGCTAACATGCAAGTATATTTTATCATGAATATTTCATAGCGTGGACGAAGTTTTTGATTATCATTGATTTGACAATCTCGAATATTCGTGCAAAACTTTTGTTCCACTTTCCATGTTTGTAACCAATTCAGATAGTTCTTTTGTTCATAAAATAAACAGATAATCAAGATGACTTGAGGAATTATATAAACAACACTGAACGTTCCAATGCGAACCATGAAACGCTCGAGTTTATCGGTCTTTGTTCCTTCGTGTTTCATAACTGTACGAATTTTAAATACAGATATAAAACCACTCAGAAGAAAGCATAAACCAACACATAGAAATATACAGATGGGCACGAGGATAAAACCACGTTGAACATTAGGATCGTTTAAGCCTGTATAACAAACGCCTGTTAAATAATCACCATCCATTGAACGTTTACTGATTAGTGCAACACTTAAACATGCTGGTATACCCCATGATGCTAAATGAAAATAAACCGATTGAGATTCGATGGCTTCATGACCCCACTTCAAGCCGGCTGCAAGAAACCATGTTAATGTTAAAATAACCCACCAAATCATTGATGCCATACCAAAATAGTAGATCAATAAAAATGTTAATACACACAATTTATTATGTGTACCTTGCACAAGAAATCGCGTTTGGCCAGTGTAGGAGAATTCTTCGGTATTACAAACAATATTCGAACCATAGAAATAATCAACGAAACCGCCAACATAGGCACATGCGACTATGAAGTAACAGATCGACAAAAATAAGATCGGTCGTTCAGGATAACGAAAACGTGATAAATCAATAGAATATGTTATGATGGTGAATAAAGTTGATAGTAAACATAGAATAGCTAATACACCAACATAATGACGTACCAAATAGACTTGATCAGTTGTAAATAAACTACGATTGCAGGGCATTGCACAATTGAGATCGTTATCAAGTTTATATTTTAACTCGGGTTGTGTCGTACGAAATTCTTTGGTACATGAATCATCTGTATAGAAGTCATCTCGAGATGATATTATTTGTTGATTTTGATCTTTCGGTGCTTCAAAACACGGCTGTTCAGTCGGATATTGAGGACAACGAAGTGCTTGAGGCCAAGAGTATCCGAATTGTTTCATAATAGATTCACAACCACGACGTGCTTCTTCACATAGGTTTCGGCACGGTTTAAGTGCGCTCACTAAAAATCAACGTAGACAATGCGAGAAAATTCAATAAAAACCAAAACCGTCGATCCTTACAGGTCGGTAATGGTGCACAGATAGGCGTGTAAACACTGCAAATGAAATACTTCAAAGATTTAGAACAATTGACATTGAATAATGGAAGAAAAAATGCCATATCATAATCAGCCTCTGGAAAAGAAATCATCAAGCTTGACGAAAAAAAAAGAATTCATTTCTTACCTTCTGCTCGCGTATGTCCAAGAAGATTGGGAAATATTGTCATATTCCATGGCATTGATGCACATGGCCGTGTACTACTCATTTCAACGCATTGATTAAGTGTTCCACCATTCGACGAACTTGCGCCCATAGGTAATTTGGAAAAGAAATCATTTGATTGACAATGTAGAATAATTAGGAAGAATAAAAAGATATGAAGATGCATGAATAGATATTCTACAAAAAAATATTACAAAAGTAAATGAAGTTTGTTCGGAGATACTCCGTATGAAATTGATAAATGCTAGTGTTGCTCCCTCTTCCAAGATGATATCTTCGTCTTGTTTTGTTTTTTTTTCGTTGGATATATTATATCTAACTTCGACAGAACAGAAGGGCAAACTAAAAATCGATCCGTCAGTATAGCTCGTGTGTCCTGTCTATTTTTCTCTCTATCGAACGTCGAACAATTATATGTGTATATATGCGTGTGTGCTTGCTGTGTCCAATGTATGTACAAATGAAGCATATATTGACGAGGGGCAGAAGATGATGATGATGGTTGGGTGTTTTCGACCTATTGGATGGAGAGGGATGAACGTTTATAGAGAAAAGACAAACGATGAAGAACGAAAGGAACAAGATGATGTTGATGATGAGAAAGAAAAATTGAAGATAAATGGATTTTCGAATGATGAGAGGTCATATAGATTAGAATTCGAATAGGTGAGTTTAATCGTTTAAAAACACATTATGATCGATTCTATTTTGATATTTATTGTGCTTGAGAATTATTTAAAGTTGAACGAATTTGTTTTTCTTGAAGAAATTGGCAATCGAAGTCGATGACACAGAATTGAAAAGAAATGTCTGCAACGAATCTCATTCAACAGTGAGAATGTTTCATTCATCGTCCGAATTCTCACCGCAAGCAATCCTATAGATGTATAGTTTATATCAATAGACGGAACATAAACAAATGATCACATTGTCTATTAGTAAACGTATCGTTCCAGTGAAAAAATGTGTCTTTCTCTCAATGAACCTTCACATATCATCATCACGCGTAAATGACGCAAGAAATTCTTTGTTGATATAATATCAATATCGTTTCCTGTCGATTGTTCCATCACAGAAGAAAATTGTCATGAAATTGTGAAAAAAATTCATGCACAAGTGTAGCTTCATGTCTACTTGAAATTCACAGATAACACATGCATGATAAATAATTGTACTTTCTCATCGAATGTTTATTCAACTAAGAAAACAAACGAAATACATATTATATCGATGTATCTTCAACACATAATCGGAACAGTTCTTCGAATTTGTTTTTATCAACATCAGTGATAATTTCGACGTTCGAGGCACGTTTAAAATGTCCATACCAATCCGATATCATATGACCAGATGCTACTGCACCAAATGGTTCAACGCACGCATAGACATGTTTTACTTCCTTAATTATTGATTCGTCTAGTACACAAGCCATACAAACAGCATCGCACGAATTGAGGCCCGTGAAAAGTTCAGGATCGTTTTCGATGGTTTTAGCGAAATCAATTAAAAATTGAGATATCTCGATGAAGAGACGAGTTCTAGTCGTGTGTTTTTTACGAAGGAAGTCTGTTTCCAGTTTTTCGAATGGTATTGTTGACATACAGGTTAATTCGAATGTAATAATTCGCATTTTAGTTTGAAATTCTTCTAAAACTCGTGAAGCAGCTAACGGATCAGCAGCAAAGTTGAATTCGATACCAACTAAAACAATTTTCAATCTACATTTGAAAGAAAATAAACAACAGAATCTTATTTACTTGACAGTGTCTGAAATTTTGGCACTGTACAATTGCCACCCATGATATAAAGCGTTTTCAAATTTCGATTGAAATCCGGATCCAGTCGATGTGCAAGAAAGATGTTTGTTAATGGTCCAATAGCAGCAACAACGAGCTCCCCTTTATTTTCTCGAGCGAGACGTGTTAACGCAACGGCAGCTGGCTCTGCACTCAGTAGATCTATATCGATATGTTTGTCTCCAACAGCATTACCAAAACCATCTTCACCATGCACGTGTGGTGCATACTTTTGTCGGCCATCGATTGCACGATCAGCACCACGAAAAACTGGAATATCCGTTCGATTGAATGCATGTAAGAGATAATGAACATTACGGATACCATTGACTAACGATGTATTTCCTGTAACGATACTGATACCAAGGATTTGAACATTTGGATGTGATAGAGCCATCATTATTGCATGGCAATCGTCAATACCAGGATCAGTATCGATGACTAATTTCAAGGGATTGGTTGGTGTATTCATCTGAAAATCAATTTATTTTTTTTTTGGAATCAGTAGTTTAATAGAAGAGAAGGCCATGATATCATGACGTCTCTCAAATTTCTCGATTAAACATATTAGTTCATATTTCTCTCTAGTATAGAGAAACCTAATCTTTTAATGTTATTTGTTCCTGTACACGTAGAAGATACAAATACTTCGAACTACGTGTGATTAATTTAGACAAATATGTCTCCTAAAGGAGAACGAGAGTTTCTTTTCAAAAAGAAAAAAAGTTGAAAGTATCCTTTCGTCGACGTTCTTCTTTATCTTTATTACAATCTCATTTGACGAAATCAGATATTTACAAACAGAAGGTAAACAAAAGGAATAGAAAAAAACCCAACATTTGAATGATTTCAAAGTAATCGATAGTACATCTCCTTTTTATTTCTTTATCTATCTAATCGAAACGATAAAGACAGGAATCTTTTCAAACGATATTGTTCGCCAGCGACATATACAAGTGACACTATCGCATTGGTTAAAATCCGCTTCTTCATTTCTCCTCTCGGAACTGAACAACAGAACAGAACAGTAAAAACACAATCAAATTACGATTTAAATCACATTTCTTCTATTTCTTCAACGATAAAAAAAAATGGATATTCACATAGTTAACACAATCTTACGCCTATGTTCGGAACAGCAAACGTGTCTTTTCGAAGTAACTTATCTCTGTGATTATTGTCTGGAACAACGTATATGCACAAATTCGAAACATGTTTTGGCGAGCATTAGAAATTATATGGAAATATTTAAGATTAGTCACGATCGAAATCGAATAGAATTCTATATGCCGGTTCGTATTGGGAAACGATTAGAAAAGAGGTTTTTTGTTTCATTTCAAGATTCTTTTCAGTTTGAAATCTGTCGAAGTTGTAATCCGGATAATTCATGTCAGATCAACAATGGTATATGTCCAAAATTACACGTGTGCTATGATTATTTCTATACAAGTTCATGCCGCCGATCTCTCAATTGTCCCTATCCACATAGTTTAACACAGAAATCTCATGGAAGTACTCTCAGCACATTGAAGAATTTGGATTTAGACGCGCTAACGAAAGCGTTCAAAGTTTATTGTCAATCGAAGGTAAAAATCATCTTTTCCCGGTTCATCTGCTTTCATTTCGGTTGCTGTTTTTGTAGAAATATTTGCAAAATCATAATTCATCTGGCATGTTTCAAACAAGAGGCGCACAAGCGATTCCATTGTTATCGGTGAATAATAGTTTAAATCAATCGTCAACTTCCTCCACGAACACTTGGCGACTGACGAACACACCACAAATCAATTCGAATATATCCTGGAAAACGAATCAACGAATGACATTTCCTTCAAAACCAGTACTTCCAACACAGCCACAACAGAGAGTGCATTCATTTTGTATGTAAATCGAAGAAAGAAACCGAAAACTGACTTTATTTAGCGGCATTTTTAGTTGGAAAAGGTCTTCAGATATGCTGGACACCATCACAGGACATTCAGACACATTTTATTGAAGTGGTCTTTAGTAATCAAGACAAATGCGATGGAGGACCTATACGTACACATAGCCTCTACAAACATCTAGGAATCGCTCAATTATTCTATCAGAATACTGACAGTAAACACGAAAAGAAGAAAATAAACGGAATTTTAGAAACAAGTTCATGTTTTAGTTGTCGATCGGGTGGTCAATCGTGGACCTGTCATATTTCAATCGTTTACATTTACATCGCGTCGTCTGCAACGAACGATAGATTCTCGTCATTTGTGTTTTCTAAACATGTCTATTAATGCATCGCATATTCCACTATATATTGATACTGTTTCCATGCCTCACAAGACAAATCATTTCGACTTTTATCAAGATGATCAACAGACCATCGTTGTTGAATACAATGAAGATGTTGGTAAGAGACAATTAACTATTCTCTCGCAAATTTTCTTTTTACATATGTTTTATCCTTGAAGATTATTCAAAAATTTCTTCCAATGTTCGCAGTCATCCAGAATGCGGCAAATTATCGATCAAATGCATACAATTATATCATCCTGAAACTCTATTAATTGAATATGATCAAGAGTACTCGGAATGTGATATAAAAAACTTGTTTAAAAACGAACGAATCTTTCATATCAAAACCTATGCACATTGTGCTTTCGTACACTTCTATTGTCATGATGGTAAATCGTATACGAAACAAAGAAAACATTGACTCTCGTTGTTCACTCTTTAGATCTTATACGTTCGATGAAAACATCATTCAATGATCCTATTCGTGTAACACCAATTTATGTGGAGATTTATTCGCAACAGCATCTAGAGAATTATCTGAAACGACGTCAAAGTGAATTCAAAAGTAAAGTAATATCCGTGCAAAATGTAATACCATTGATAATGAATGACGAAGAAGCATCATCTCAAATTGAATCACATTCGACAAATTGTCAAGGATCAGGTTGACAAACACAAATCTTGTCTTTATTTCTATCTATTATTTCTTTGTAGAAACTCCGCCGAACGAATGTGAACCCGTGATTGAAGGAAATATATCTCCACTCAAACCAACGGAAGGAACAATTGCTAGTGAAGAAAATCCAGCCAGTAATAACGATGATCATTTGAATGAAAATTTCATAAATGATATTCTGGGCAGCGATGATGATTTTCATGATTTACCTTCGGAATTCGACGATGATGATCTACTTCTCGATGAGACAGTTGATAGCAATGGTGATATGGAATTTTTACGTAGTGCAGCAAAAAATTTAATGTCGTCATTAGCGGAAATGGAAGCAGCCAGCAGCACTGCGAATACACTTGATGCACCTCATTCGCTTTTATATGGTGACGATTATGTCATAACAATCAAGAGTCGTCGCTTTGCAATAGCTTTTCTCGACTACACACAATTCCGTGTAGAGAAACAGCGCAATCCAGATAAGTTCCGTTTACTTGCGACATTGAAGAAACAAGCGAATAATAATCAGCTCAATCAGAAAAAACGAAAAGATACAAAACAACACGAGGAGGATATGCCATCGCCAACGCCAAATATTGCACCCGACCTCTTACTAGCAACGGATACAAAATCCACCAAGAAAAAGCGCAACAAAAGAAGTAAGAAGAAGAAAAATACGCCGAGTAATACAACTGATACTAAAGGTACAATTCAATGACCAATGGTGATGTTATAAAAGAAACAGATTGTGTTGTTGTTTAGACAAATCTGAAGCGATCGTTGAATCAGGTAATGACGGTGAAGATGACGAAGACGACGGAACTACTCATGTTCTAAACAAACAAGAATATACGAAAAATGATTTTCCCACTCAGCGACTACCACATGTTTATCTTGATGATGATCTTAAGCCATGTATTTTTGTTACCGGTGAAGAACATCATGACGAATATGGACATGAAATGTTTGAACATGACGATTGGCATAATATCGTTGCTGGAGGAAAGCCAGTTCCTGTTTCGAAGAAATCCAAAAAACGAAAACCACAACCGTCAGTTGAGTCGACTGAACAGGTCAGATTTCATCGGTTTTATTCCCTCAAACAGTCGATTTTATTCTAGATTATACCTCCAACGCCAACTGTTTCCAATCCTCGTCCACAACCATCAGCAACTGATTCAAACTCGTTGATCATCCCTTCAAACTGTCGTGGTTTTCTTCATCAACCGAAGCTTTATGAAACATTTCGTCTACGTCTGCGTCGTTCGTATCCATCGATAAATATTCATTTTAATCCTGATACCTACACGATAGTCATCGATGGAAACATCAAAACAAATGTTCAACAATGCCTTCAATATCTCCAAACACTTCAAACATACAAGCATTATCTTTCCATTCCGCATATTGATTTTCCTCAAACAACAGTGACAAACATTGTTCGAATGCAACAATCAACTGCTCAAGTTAAGCTCATACCAAATGCTGACTATAATCGAATATTTCGTTCAGTATATCGCTTAATAGATTATCAATTGAAACAACAGTTTGCTCAACAGCAATGCATTTATTGCCGACGATCGAGAAACCAGTTTCGGATAACTTATTTAGAATTTTCGTGTGAAAAACAATCGACCAAAGAAACGGATGAGTCAATTCAACAACGCGTTCTCCAATTGTTAAATACGCGGTTTAATTACATTGCTGTGGCGTTATCAGCTGATTTATTAAGAACGAAACGTTGGGGAACGTTTTATAAAAGCTTGACTGATCATAAAGATATCAATAAGACATTATTGATACGAAAAGTCGATACCATCATACAGGTTTATGGTTTACATGCGCATGTACAACAGATACAAACATTAATAACGAAATTTGTCGATGTCAATCGCTACGAAACTGATGTGATCGAAATTGAACAGGTAGATTTGAAAAGGAAACAACAACATTAGAAAACATTTCTCTTTAGGCGAATGGAATATTTTCATTGTTTGAAAAAGATTTTCATGAAATGGAAAATTTGGATTTGTTCCGTGAAGCAGAGTTACGTTTTATCTATTCCCAACGACGACATACATTGTTTTTTCAATGCTTTCAAGACAAATTTGAAACAGTGAAAAACCGTATAGAAAAATTGCGTAGTCAACTATCAGCCATTGTTTTACCGGTGAAATCACCGATTCTCAGTCGATATTATTCGAGATCCAATGAAATTCAACGGATGGCTGGTATGATGAAAGAAGCTTTATTCTCTAGTCTTGTCGTATTCTTGTTTTGTATAGCAACATCATCGTGTATTATTACTGTCGAGAAAAACACAAATGCAAATCGACTAAATGGTAACGATAAAAAAGAAGAGTTCTTCGTTGTTATTTTATTATTTTTATTGTAGATAATTTAGTTAATCTAAAAATCATCGGCCGTTCAACAGATAGCTTAATAAAAGCGCAACGATTGATCAAAGATTTTGAAGAACAAAAATATTCCATACGTAAAATACACAACAATGATATTCATTTATTCAATGATCAAGACGTATGTAGAGAAAATAGGCCTATCTCGATTTAGAAATATGTATCTTGTAGAGCGAAGCACTTCAGAACGAATGTGGAACATGTAATGTCTCGTATACAATTGATCAATCGAATAACATCATTGAGCTGGAAGGTCTTTCCGGTGATTTTATACAAATTGAGAAGGTCATCAAAGATTTGTGTTTGGGTGCGGCCCGACGTGCACTCGACGATCTACTATATTCTATCCAATGGGTATATTATGATACAACCACAGGTAACGCCGTTGCCTTCGGTGAAGCTATCAAACAACAACTAGAAAATTGTTACATACAAAAACAAAAAGGAATTGTAAGAGAAAAAAGGTGATCGATCGAAATGCTTATGTAGTCTTGAAACTGTAGGTGAATTTAAGAGATCGTAGTGGTCATGCGCATATGTTTGATTTGGATCAAATGATTGAAATCATTCCTGATAGAAATTCTTCGATACGAATGAAAATCGAACGTCGAGATTTGAAAAGTAATCCTTTTTCCAATTGTTTTCTTCTCGTTTTCCTATCGGATTTATTAAAGATCCTCAATCAGTACAATTACCAGTATATTGGGCATCCATGACAAAGCCGTGGGATCGAATACTTCTTGCTAGAAGAGATGATGCCAATGAATGGAGTACGATTTTCAATCAAAAAGCTGATAATTTCTCATCCTATCTCTTTTTTTCCAGAAGTCAATGCAGAAATCCAAAGATTACTCAGACTACAGTATATGTTGCCGGAATCCTGGATTGTTGAAGTACGTAATTACAAAAAAAACATGAATCGTTCGAACATATTCCACCTTCTTTTCATAGGTTTATCGTATACAAAATCCACGTATATTTCAGCAATATGTTGCTCATCGAGAAAGTTTTGCTGCACGCTCACAAGCTACTGAACGAGTTCTTTATCGTCTAGCTCAAGATAATCTAGTAGACGACGTATGTGCTCATGGTTTCAATCAATCACATACGGATTCTGCTTGTAAGACATCGAATTTCATCCACAAGATACACATTATTCTTTCTATTATTAGTTTCTGTTTATGGTCATGGCTGTCATTTCTATTGTAAAGCGATGGATATCGCTCGTACAGCGACTCTATTAGCAAACAGTCAACAAATCATTCCTATTCATATACAACAACAGCAACAACAGACGCCAACAAAACCATCGATAAGATTTTTATTTGTTTGCAAGGTTTTAGTTGGTCGATATACTCGTGGTGAAGCATCGATGAAAACTTGTCCATTGGGCTATGATTCCCTAGTTGATAATATTCATTCACCCGAAGTTTTCGTTACTCACCATGACGCACAAGTTTTACCTGAATATCTCATTGCTTATCATAGTGCTATTTTCTAAACTAGATTTCTACTTTGCTGTCGCTTTTTTTCCTACTACATGTTTGTTTCCTTCTTGCTCAAAACTGTTAAGTGATTTTTCACACATCGTGATTATGATGAAGAGAACAGTCGACAAAAACATTTTTCGTTTTAGTTCTTCGTTGTGATATTTGTTTCTTTCCATGAATGTACATACATTAACAATTTCATAAATAAACACGAGCAAAAACAAGAAGCAAACAGTGCCGGTATAAATAGATTTATATACTTCATAACAATATAAAAAACAAACGACAACAACCAACAATTCTCAAACAATATTAGCTGTCTTTCTTCCGCAAAGACACCATATAATCAAACCTAGAAAGACGCAACATAAGCAATCGCAAAAAGTGAAGAAAAAAAAGAAAGTACATACCACCAATTGGAAACAATACGATGATAAGAATCCAGAGTAATTTTCCAGCAATGCTACGATCAGATTTCAAAACATCGACGATAGCGATGATATCAAGAATCAAAATAATCTAAGTGAACGAAATCAATCTTTCCATATTTTCCGAATCCGTTTAACTTACGAGACCGGCAATACCACCACCAATACCTCCACCAAGCTCAATGGCACGATCAGCAGCAACAAAGGGTAAGATGTATAGAAATGAAACAAAAATAACCGACAATGGAACAGATAATGACGATGCCATGACTGAGTTCAGTTAGTAACAAAAGACACAACTGGAGTTTTACACGAATAAAATCTCGTTTGTTAATATAACCGTAATATTCGTTTTTTGCACACACTATTTATCTGACTATGTGTGTGATTAATCAAAAGAACTCTTTGATTTATTTCTTATCTTTGAGGTACAAATTACATTTACAAAGTTAACAGCAAACTTATTTCTTTCGTTTCTTTAACTCTTCAGTGAGACAGCATTGCAATGCACTCAACAATTCACTTCATCGTTAGTAAAGATATGAATGCGAACAAAACGTAAACTTCGCCTTTAAAATTTAGTCAAATAATCTACTGATAACGCTGTACTGAGTATACTTTCACGTGTTCTTTGTCCTCCTGCAATGCCTCAGAATATTGTTACATAGCTTGTCTTGTTTTCTCGTTCTACTGGCAATAATTTACATCTAACTTATGATCAGCTCAGAAATTAAAACTGCATAATTACATAGTCATGCATTTCATAATATAAATAAAATACGCGTATAAATCATTTGATCGTCGAGTGTCTGATTCGTTCTCATTTTTCAAACGAAAGGCTAGGTGGAATGCGTGCTATTCAATGTCATAAAATTTTTTCCGAGCCATTAAGCACATTTCGCTCAAAAGCACAGAATAAAGGTATGACTTTACTTTTAAAAACATGACATAACGGTAGACGCATCAGATGGTCATGGATGATTAGCTAGGTATAATGATGACAAAACTATCGTATATAAACAAGAAGAGTATGCACCATTGTATATACATACATATTCTTCTGTATCTATTCAACATATGGCTACGCACCATTCCAGTACTTCAAAAAAGAAATCTTCTCACCATGGTCAGCATGCTGCTCGCGATGGTCATACAGGAATGAGTTTTGAAACGGAACAACATTTCGTCAATGTGAGAAATAAAATCGCACATTATGTGGATGAACAAGAAGCATTCGAGTATGAAGCCGATTTAGTGTCACGTCCAAGATCTCGTTCACATAGACTTCGTGATTTCTTCGATGAAATTTTCGTCGATGGAAAACCCGTATCGAAATCACAAATAAAATCATCAACGCCAATGGCATCGCGAAAAGATCTTGCTCGTCATGATTTCAAAACGCCTCAACCTGTCCGTCGAGAGAAAAAACAACCATCTAAATCACATGCTAAATAATGTTACATTTCAGTTAGTTTAATGTTTGTTTTTATTCTGTTGAGCGATGGCCATTGACCACAGAAAACGGTCATCACAGTCAAATGTTTTTTTTTTCATGTAAATTATATATAAACTTTTGAGAAATTTCAATAAACAGTCAAACCTTATTCGTCCCACAGAACATATTAAAATGACACCCATTAACACTTCGATATTTTTTCATATTCTTAAGTAAGTGTGGCAATATCAATAAATTGAATTCCAGGTCGTATTGATTGTATACTGATTAATATTGTTTTCGATTTTTCAAGCGAAAGGAGAGTGTATTTAGTGATATCATATTTCTTTTCAAATTGAAAAATAAAAAAACAATGCGTGGTGAGTATCAACGTAACTTATCTTGCATCTGTTGCCTCCGCATTTGACTTGTTAATTCAGCTGTTCGCCTTTGTCTTCGATATTTTCTGTAGGTTGAGGACTGTTTCTCAAGAACAGATAACCAAGTCCAATGATGAGTATGTTATATTACTCCTTTCTTTACATTTTTCAATTACGCCATTGAATTTTTTTTCCATAGTCTTCTCATTATGGGGTTTAATTATTGGAGCTATTCTATGTCTATCTTCATTAATTACCTTTGTCAGCATTTATTTACGTAAAAGATTCAGACGCGATAGTGTTTGGCAAGCATCAACAGATGTACATACAGTTATCTCATCTGAACCAGTATCCAGGTAAGACACATAATATGCTAGTTTCTTTCTAGTGATTATATTCTATTCTAGACGATCCTCTACATCCAACTTAGTCAATTCAGAAAAGCCATCGTCAACATCATCTTCATCGTCACGGTCTCGTTCGGCTTCCTTTAGTGAAGATCTTTCTGCACGTCTTCAAATTCTACCATCGAATACATGCTATCGTTCGTTCACACCCCCAAATTCCAGTTCAATGACACGCTCGAAAAGATCATCATTGGGTGCAAATATCCGTTTACCCATGATGTCGAATCCTTCTTCCACGTAAGACATTCTAGTCACCACCATGTATTTTCAATCTATTCTTCAGTATGCCTTCAATGAAATTCCAACTTAAATATGATCATATGATGGAAAAATTATCTATCACTATCTTTCAAACATATAATTATATACCAAGTAGATCAATCGACATACATATCGATCGTTTTCATAAAATGTCATTGTTTTAGTGAAACATACTCAAACTATGTTTGTTATTGTTTATTTGTTACCAAATGAAGACGAACCACGACAGACACAATCATCATCGAATGGTATTTTCAACGAATGTTTTCAATTTCCCGTAATATAAAACTATTTTTGGTTCCGATTGACAACATCTGCATATATACTATTTTTAGTTGCAAAAAAGCGAGCTATGTAAACGAACACTACGCTTAACTGTTTACACGGTTGATTCAAACACTCGTATTCGCAATAGCCTAGGACACGTTTTTCTTAAACTCGATCAATTTATAAACGACAAAACATTTTCCACCGATATCTTGTCAGAGTATCTTACACCCGACTTGCAAATTCGAACCGATTATCTTGGAGAATTAATACTAACGAGTACTTACTTGAAGAATCAAAATCTCATTCAAATACGAATTCAACAAATGAAACATTTACATATTGATCAAACGAAAGCACGAATTCCGTTGAAAGGTTCAAACAAAAAATCGAGATTATTCTTAGCAATCTTTTCGTTTCTTTTCTAGCCTATTTTAGTGGACAAATAGTAACGTCCTGTAAACAATGCTATTGGACTAATACGGCTTCATTTCTTATTTCTTCATTATCGTCCATTCATCTTGAACAAGAACTAAATCTAAGTATTCATTCACAAAATGAGCAGAACATAAACTGTCATCTTCGACTTCATTTCCATGGTCTCAATCAAATACATAGTCATGCTCGATGGCAACAACCACTTCGATCGAATATACCAACAAGTCTCACTGTACCTTTAGTTGCGGTGTAATATTACGTCACTTTCTTCTGCCATTGATCGATGTCATGAAATAACTAATAACCCGATTACTGTTACAATAAAATGTATTTTTTAGGCAATATACTTTGGGTAATCGTCTGGATTGATGCCGATGTAAAAGAAATTCTTTGAATACTTTAAGTGCATAGGTGTTGCACAGTTTTGAATTCTATAAACATTCGAAGTATGAGTACGGATTGCTCGTTACGTCATCGTACTAATTCATTATCTTGATCGGTATATTGTGAATCATTAGTGGCAACGGATTGTTCATTTCGAAGAGGTTTTAATTTATCTGACGAAACTTCGTTTTCGATCTAAGATGAAAAGTGTATTCGAATGTTAAGAAATAACGAATTACTTTCTTGAGTATGTCTTGATTGTTTAAAGAATCAAGAATCGTTTTCGATACAGGATTGAATAGATGAATACTTGTTGGAAGATAGATCGATGCTGATAGATAATTATCAACAGAGAAAAGAGATGTTAAGATGTTTTCGTCAAGTGTATTTGAATCATCAAGAGAGTGAAGAAAGGCGAGGAAATTTTGAACAGGAACATTTTCATTGATCTAAAACAAGGCACAAGTGGAAATGATGCCAATGAGTATGGATTTACTTTCGGGTCGATTAGACTTTCATTGATTTGTGAATCATGAGTGACGCCGTTTTTCTTATCTAATTTACGGGATTGATCAAGAAGTTGTTTGTAACGACTCGCATTTGATCTATGTACAGTTGTTGTTTCTAGATGGCTGTCGGAAGGCAGTACCGACTCTTTTCTTTCAACATCATCTTCTATGGATGGTCGAGATTGAGTATTGATTGCAAAAATATTGTCTGGAAATGTCTAGAATCAATTGTGAACATATATCAGTGTGTAGCACCGGTAAACACGAACTTCATCTTGGATTAGCCTTTCTAATTTTTTGCGATCAGCTAAACTCAGCAGTGCTGTCAACTGATCATTTCGACAACATTCTGCTGGTAATATCGATTGACATTCCTGACGTTGAACTCGTGGATTATTGTTCGTCTTCATTGAATTCGAATACTGAGCACGCTGATGTATACTGAACGATTGTCGTTTCAGTTTTGATAGTTGAAAGTGAGTTAAACACTGATGACCACTGCGTATCATGTTCAATCGTTGACGAAAGTCGCCGTATTTTGACAAATATCTTCAATGAATTCAAACTGTATCCTGTCAATTCAACGTAGAGAAACATACTGATTCCATAGCTTCCTGTAAACATCAACGTTTGCATGAAACTCACGTATCGATACAAATGCAGAAAACTTACTCAGATACTTTTCCACAAGACATACTCAATACTTGAAAATCAAAGAAACTTGTTGCTAAGACAAATCTATTTGCTAACCATGCAATGCAACAAATTCTATTTGTATTTATTCTCTGTATTCATTGTTTTCGGTTCATGTCAGCTCGGCTAGACCCACTACGTACATAAGTAAAACTCTACTCAGCTTGGTTAAATATTATCGAGATTTTAGATTCATTGAATACTAGCTTACTTCCGTATTCGAACACAACGGATGAAAGTAGCACAACAGAGATTCGTGCACAATTAAGTGAATTTATTCAATGGTTTTCGCCTTTATTGGTCACACTCTCACTCTCAACTGCACTTGTTTGTCCATTCCTGTGTTGGATTTTACAAGAACGCTGTTTGTCGAGTAAAATGAATGATCGATCATCAACACTACTGACGATGCCACAACTACTTGTTGTTGGTTCAGAAACACAAAAACAAGAAATTAACAAAATACCAACAGGACTTAGAACTAGTTGTGCACCCTCAGAACAGAATCTATGGTACAGTGCTACAGAGATAGCATCATCGTTTGTTTGACATATCAGATAAAATATAAATAAAATGTTGAAAATCGTTGGCGCTTTAATTGGCAAACCATTAGTGTACAATGACAATTCATGCTAATATACAGGCTGTTGATGATTCGAGACATACAGTAAGACTAGCACGATTAGCAGGTACTTTTTCAATAAAGTAATCGTGCGTGACTTGTATTTATTGATTAAAGATGAAACAAGTCGTTTACTTTTTGGACATACCACAAGCTTGCTGGACGATCTATTTCTTCATCCATTATCAATCGACTATTTGAATGTTTATCTTTCATTACCAGTAGATATTTTTCTTTTATCTATGTATGACACATTAACTTAGATCTTTGGACAACGTCTTCTCTATCATCATCAAGCACAACAATTTGAATTCGATCCACCAGTGTCATGTAAACATCGAGTAAAACACTTCTTTCTTCAACTTTCGAAGTCACATGCCATCAATGGCCATAGAATGACAGCGAACTGTTTCAAGAAACAAAACAATGGTTGATTGACTGTCGTCTAAATAATTTCATATATACAGACCTTTACATTGAAAGTCTACTTGGCCTATTACTAATTAAATCAGATGGTAAAATATCCATGTAATTACCTGCATAGGACAATACAAGGCACATGTTTTTTCAGAGTCGATACATGCATTCATTGACTCGAAAGAAATCACGATTGAAGAGCAATCATACATATTCTCAACGGTAACTGATATTCGACGATTTCACCAAGTAGACAAACTGTTGTATAAAACGAATGATTGCTTTCTTCGCATCATAGTTTCTTCAATCTACCACGGGTGTAAAATATTGGAATTTCTTTATTGATTCGATGCGTATTTTACAATCTCGTTATTCGTCTCGATTTAATCGCATTGATAATTCACATTTGAATTTCATTCATAAGTACTATTCTCAACAAAATGAATTTCGTTCAACCATGATCGATGGTAAGAAATCATCTATGCCTGATTCAACCACATCCGATGCAGTCTGGTTTCAAATGGCAATGAATGCCATGCATCAATTACGTACATATTGGTTGCCACGATATATAAGTGAAGTACCATCGATGATGCAGTGGAAAATAAAAACAACGCTTGCACCAATGACAGTTACTGTGGACAATGTTGATAAAGATACTCCTCCATCAAATTCTCAATCTCATACTGAGGAAATATTCGATAAAGTTAACTTCGTTAAAGTTACGTTAGATAATATTTCATACATAGATCACAGTCCGCAACAATCTCTTCTCATCGATTCATCTAAACAACATGATTTTGAAGAAGACAATGAAGTTCTAAACACGTTTGACAATCATCATCAAACAAAACCAGACGACAAAATTGAACCAGATCAGCAACCTTCTGCACAATCTATTGAAGATTATGCTACTGATCATAATTTCGAATTATTTTATCGCATCTTTGTATCCGATTCTTTAGCTGGCGGTCCATTCCTCCATTATCTCTCGTTAACATCATCAAAGGACGAAGCAACTTCACTTCAGACTTGCCTTCATTTCATTACCGATGTAGAAGTTGTTTTGTCTACACCATCAGGAAACTTCAAAACAAGAATTCTTAAACAATTTATATCTCGGTAAATGACTTCACGATACAAAACAAGATCATTTTCCTTTTTCTTTTGAAAGATATCTGACAAACTCGACGATAGACCACCTGCCTATTCAATTATTTGACAATTTCCATGAACAAAGAACCGAGTTCATCGACAATCTACTAACAGAAAACACCGATAAAGAATCACTCTTTTGGAAAACTCACTTCAAGATAACAAAAGTACATTAACACTCTTCGTGCCAACATTCTCTCTACGTGTTGGTATATAGATACTTGTTCCTCATTTCCTCAAATATATCAAATTCGATCGATTACGGTTTCTTCTACAAGTATGTCAAATGATATTCTTTGCTCAAACTCATTTTTTCTTATCGAATCAAGAACAATACTACGAATACAAATAACCTTCTCCATTGTATGCCTACGATCAACTTTGAAAAACTTCGAGTCGGCCAGCAGACTACTTCGAAACAGAAAGATTCAGATGAAGCACCGTTCATCTCGCAAATCAATCGAAAGAATTGTGGAATACAATTGAATGATCTTTTAAAGCCATTGAACGAAAGGCAATATCATACAGCTGAAAAGCTCATCAATACAGACGAGAAATGTGAATTTCCGCCAAGTAAACGACTTCGTCCAATGAGTACTAACGAACTGAAACAAGAATCACGTCAATTTTGTACGGCATCTCATTGGACAACAGTATTCAAATGCTTGATAAAAGACTACAAGTGCCGTTCTCTTCTATAGGTGCCTGTAAATGAATCAAAATCACCTGATCCAATCAAACAAACTTCAATAGAAACCTTGATTTATCCAGATATGATGCAAATAGATTGTTACGTATCTAATCTGATGAATGAAAGTCTTCATCTATACGAGATCAATCGTGCATTTGAAGTGGAAAAGAGACCATCGTTGATGGGTAACATTAACATGCATGTATTCCAAAAACACGATAGAAAATTCCTCTCATCGAATGGTTTCTATTTTATTAATCCACCAAATAACAGCATTGATCCTTCTATTTCTGCTTATCTTTACAGTAATCGTTCACGATTTGTCTCTCAATTTACACTTCATCAACAGTCTCACGCGTCTCCAACTTCATTCTCTGGTTTCATCAAAGATTTTACCATCGACGACTCGGGTATTGGACATCTATCATGTAATCTAACCCAAATTGATCGTCTCAAACTGAACACAAAGATCAAGTTATACACAAATGATCATCGAGAATTCTTACTTGCGAATTTACAATCTTACACAATTGATTCACATGCACAACAATTGCATTTATTTCTCGATCAGTTCACTTTACCAAATATTACGAAACCATCAGCATTAAAACAAACACATGATGCCTTCCATGAATCGTTATACCTTGCACCGCAAGATAAATGTAACGACGTCAAAATTTCGATCGCTGACAATCAAACTTCACCATTTTCTATTGATGACCAGAATCAGTTATTAACATTTATTCAAAGTGAATTAACTAACCAGATTTGGCCAGCGCAAGAATATCTCGGCATAAAACAACAAAGAACATGGCGTGCATTCCAGTTAGCCGCAGAAGTATCAAGTATCGATAGCAGATTAGCACTAAATTATCATCATGACGTCGATTGGATCTCTACGGATTACGATCTAGGATCGTTTGATGAAGGAGTTGATACAATTCAACAAAAGTTCACTAACTCTAGCACAGATAATATTGACAGCTGTTGCAATCAATACTATTAACACATTGCTCATTGTCTAAAATCAATATTTCTTCCTAATAAACTCTGACATCTAATCAAATAATTATAAGATGAGAAAAGGAGGGAGAGAATCGTGACTGGCATTCGAAGAGTCTCTTCTGCATGGTTACGTTCGTCTCATGTTAATAGAACAGACGTCTCGATAAACAATATGATTATCTTCATTTCTCTACGATTCCTTCTGCTTCATCAAAGAAGTTCATGCTTGAAGAATCACCAATACAAATATTCAACAAATTTACTAACTCCTACAAAACATTGATCATCGTCTTTTGATAACAATTTCTTGAGGAGGAGAAAAAAAACTGAAAGTAAGAAACGTTCTGTATTATCATTCAAAGACAAAAACAACAACAATGACGATGATGCTGATGACAAATAGACATTTAACACAAAGTTTCGGCATAAGTCGGTTTTTGTATATTTGTATCTTTCGCATAAATATCAAAATAATTCGGATTACTCCATTGTGATGTATGAGGAAAGTATTGTGCAACTTCAAGATCACACGGATCATCGGATGGCGGAATTTGTTCATAGATATTATAAGTCGGACGCTGGTACAACTGTTTGCTTTTCGCTTTTTGTCCGATAGGTGTAAATGCACTCGTTTTCGTACTAATGGTATCACTCAATGAAACATAATTTGATCGGCTATAATCATAGTTTTTATTTGTATAGCGATATGGATAATAATTGAGATATGATGAAGATAATTCAGCAGGATAATAATTATGACGACGATAATAGTTAGTGTTCTCGAAATTAGCCATTGTAGCCAAACGACGATAGGATGAAGATGATGAATATTGCGAAGTGTTATTGATCGCCGAATAACGATAGGAAGGCTGATGTGAATAACATTCATGTATGGAAGCGTAGTTTTTATATGATTGTGGCTGTTGTTGTTGTTGTTGTGTTGTTCTTTTCGCTTTATTATTCATGATAGGTTGAACATACACAGAATAAACCTAAAGTGGTTGTTTTTTAGAAACAAATAATATTTACACGGCAAAAAAAGATAATGACGGTTCCCTACCGGTTCAGTATAAGAATTTTGTTTATAAACGGATGATAAATAATGAGACTTGGGATTAGATATCGAATTTTGTTTACTTGCCATTGTATAAGTCTCTTCTGACAAATGCGATAATGGTGTTGTCGATGTTGCTTTACTACATGTTGGTACAGTTGACGTCGGTACGTACGTTGATGATGAAAGTGGTTTTGAAGTCAATTTTGATTTCGCACGTTCATATTGTTTACGTATGAAACTTGATAGACGCGAAAGATTTTTATTTGTTACAGATTTATCGTGAGTAGAATTCGTTGTCAATGTAAGTGTCTTCTTTTGTGTTTGAGCTGATGAGGATGAAGTCGCTTTTTCATATTGGATAGGTAAAATTTCATGGATGGACTGAGGAGATTCATTTGTTGACGTGGCTGATGACAAGTCACTGTGATAGCCACTCGAGCTTGTCGTTTGTGGAGATATACGACGAGTATCAGTCATTGAAAGATTACCATTCGAACGCATAATTATAGATGAATATGATAATGGTGTTATGGGAAGTGACGTTAAAAGACAATCAAGACTTGCCCAAGCTAAAAGAAAATAAATAAGCAATTATATCGAGATATTCATACGTAATTGAGATCTGTAATTCTTTTCTTTTTTTTATGAATGTCGTCGAATTGCCATCAGAAAGACAAATTCCTTTTGGTATTCTGATGAAGTAACGTATCAGTCGCTGTTCTTTTCTTTTGAGACGACATATAATGTTTCAATGGTGTTTGGCAACAATAAATTTTTTTTGTAAAGAGAGCATACAATCTACTGTCATCGAAGAACAACTGAGAAGAATAAAAAAATATATCTGTATGCGTACATATGAATTCATAATATACTTGACCAAGAAGAAATAGAGAGAGAGAGGAGGAGGAGGAGATAGATGCAAGAGGCATCATGGGGAACAATTAGCGTGATAAGTGGCCTCCACATCTGTATATACGGATGCATGTGACTTTTAAGAGCAATGCCTAATTTGTACGCAATGAAGTAAAAGGATGCCGCTGATGCCATATACATATATAGATGTATGTGCGCGCGTGTCTGTATATAAATACATACATACAATCAACGACACAAGTGTATTGAGCGATGATCGTAGGGCGGCGACTATAACCAGTTACTCATTGCTGCTACTACTGATGATGGAGATTATGTAACAAACTCATTGATAAATATATTCGAAAAAAAGTGGCTATAACAATACAATCTGCACATATACGTGCATGGCAACGATGAAATGTCTACCATCACTTGAAATCAATGCATACAATGTATCAATCTAATATATATGAAAAGAAAGAACAAAATGTATCGTTTGATCATGTACATATGCATACATTTATCATAAAGCTAAGCAAAAGCTGTATAGCTTCATTCTAATTTTCCAATCGAATGAACGAGAAAATATGCAGGCGGAGAAAAACTCTACAGAAATGTCCTGTATGATTACTGATTCAATTCAATTCTCTCTTTCATTCCGTTCATTTAATTTCAACGGCACTCTTCAGACTAAACATATTGTCTTCATCTTCGATTTCGAGTAGCTACTGTATTTTAAACATCCATAGTAACAGACAGTAACAGTCATAGCGATACATGAGACATACTTATAACAAAAAAAAATCATTATCATCATTCACTAGACGTAGTACGTATACACTAACAATATTCGTTATAAGAGTGTCAATAACTATATACATTCATTTCTTCGACTCAATATAAGGTATGTGGGATTGTCGCGACACTGATGATATTATGATAACAAACTACATACCACATATTCGACAATTACCTTTCGAGTTATGATGAGAATACTGTTGAGTATAGAGCAGCTGTTTCATCTCTTGACTGTCTGATGCGAATGTCTTTCAAATCAGATACGAACACTGTCTTTTTCTTTTCTTCTTAATACTTTTTTTTCACACTGAACAATGAATTGTACAAGAAAAGGGGAGAGAGAGAGAGAAAGAAGAGAATTGAAACTTGATCAATCCGTTTTTATGTGTAGATACGTGATTATGTCACTTCGCAATAAACTTGTCTCTCATTCTCAAGCTTTATAAACTGTTTCTATTTACGTAAAGGCATAGATGAACTCCAATGTTTAATTTTTCGCTTCCTTTTATTAAAAAAAAAGAAACATAGAAAAGCTAACAGAAATAATTATTAGTTTTGTGACTTACGATTCAATAAACATACAAATGCTTCATGTAAAATGAACAAAGATGAAACAGAAGGGTGGAACTGTTCTCTCTCTCTCTCTTTCGTTCTTTCTCGTTTACTTTTGTATGCATACGACTGCTCTGATTACGTCAACATCAATTTCTATCTACGTATGTAAACAATCTATTGTCGACGACGGCGCCGGCCTCATACATATGCAGACCTTTGTCCATGAACGTATTTCCTGTAAAGAACATACGAACTATTTACTTCAGAGACTGTTTAGACTACATCTCTGTTCAGCATCATCNTCGATTACCTTGCTGTCGAATTATTCTTCTTGTACTTGGCTCTATCAGTATGCAAGCCGCGAGTGTTTGCTCTTGAACTTTAGCATCATCTATGCGAGAAAAACTTGTCAACACGATTACTCCTTATGTTCGAAGTAAAAGGTTTCCTTTTTCTTTCTCTCTTTCTCTCTACCACGCTCCTTCTCTTCTCCTCTATCGATCTATCTTTTTCTTTCTAATAATCAATGATGCTCTTGATAGAAAAAGAGAATACTGGGGTGGGAACCGGCTAACATGTATACATATTATATCATCTCTCATACGCGCGTTCTTCATCTTTCATCTTACGCCATTGCTTAGCTATAGTAATCGAGCAAATGATAGCTTTTTTCTCATCTTTCTACATGTCCGTCTCGGCAAAGCATGATCAAGAAAATATATTGTATATATCTAGGAACGATCTTCTTAGTCTTGCAACAGCTGCTGACGAAACTCGCAAGGTTCAGTTTGTTCCCTTAGAAATGTTGAGCATCAATTATCAACATAGTGAATCCTAATCCTTTCTCAATATATGAATGTAAAGAAGACAGAAGTATGCAGATTGCCTTGAAATATTTGTCTTCATACATATTACACATATTTCTAGCAAAGAGTAATGTCTACTTATGTCATTGCTTTTTTTTCCTCGTCTTCAGTCAACCGTTGGCTTCTTGAAATATTACCATCTGATTGCTAACATCGATGTACGACGAAAAAAAAAACAGAATTTCTACTTACATATATAATGAAATATAAATGATACAAACTTGGAGGAAGTGAAATTCATATCCGTTTTGAATCTTACCCTTTGGATGTGTTATACAATTATACGGATGAAAATATATTGACAGATATGTAGGCTTGTGTATGCACATTTACTTGTGAGATTTTTCTAACGTGTGCATACAAGCAAATAGACGTGTGTATTGGTCAAACAAGCATCAATTGTCGTCGAAGTAATCGTATGCTGTCGAACAGACGTGGTTAGGATGTTTGTTGAAAGACAGAAAACGAACTGTTAAGAAACATTGCAATGAGTTGATGACACATACGATAAGATCGAATAATTTGACAAGAATGATGTAGAAAATAGGTTGATGTTTACATCAAAAAATGATTTATCACAAATGAAGTAGCTGAAAGAAGAGAAAATCTAATTAATTAAATCATAAGAATAATACTGCTCAATAGAATTCGAAGTACATCTGATGACATACGTTTTTCCAAGGCAAGATGACAGTTGTCATCTGTTTACTTATTTATTCATTAAGTCAATTGTAAAATCGGATAATTCAGAAGACCTTCGAAACAAGGATAAAACATGTTAGTCGTAGGCAGTGTTGATTACATGAATTAGAAGACACCGAAGAATATTCGAGCTATATTGTTTTGTGGGTGTTGATATGTGGAAGAGAGAATGAAAACGGAGCTGTGCATATCATTATTAAATAACTCTAACAAAATTCACAAAATTGATTTTCATGGTCGTTCAAACAAAGTTAGAAGGAAGAAAGCGTATATCAATTTACCTACTTGCTCGAAAGTCTATTCAATACAATGAATGTGCAACGTTCATTTCATTGTTGTTGTTGATGCCCTCAAGCAGATAAAATTGTATGCCGTCTTGATAGACACTTTCAAAGTTAGAAACAATAGTCTCAACGAATGATTAATCAGTAGGTGTTGTTTGTCACAGTCATAAAAGATAAAAGTCTTTGTATGTCTAATGTTTGATGATGAAATAGAAGTAGTTTGTATCGTGATGAGATTAGCCTATGAGAAGACCGTCGGCGAAAGAGTTAATTTAATTTGTTAGGAAAAAAAAGACAGAGTCTTCTCACGTATTTATCTAGATCGACATGCACGAGAGGCACATTTCTCTTTATTCTTTTATTTGTCATATATTTTCACAATCGACAAGTCGCAGTCAATATTTTTCCAATTATGAACAAGGTCTTATTTCATTAAAACCTATTGAATAGATTAACCGTGAATATGGAAAAGAAAACTAAGTTTATTTTTCTGTTCGAAGAAATCTGTCATATGCAATTTACATATTGTTAATTTCAAGATAGAACGAATTCGAAGATTTATTCGCCTTGAAAAATCGCACATACACATGTCAAACATTCGATCATAATTAATTTTTTATTTACATCAGATAAGAATAGAAAAGTTACAGAAGAAAATTATTGAACTAAATATTTAATACATGTTGGCTTGCTCACTTGTGCAGTGGAACCAGTTGCTGTCAATATTCCTGTTGCAGGATCAATAGAAAACACCACTAAATTGTTCGAGTTTTGATTAGCAACAATTAAATATTTTCCATCAGGAGTAATATTGAAGTTTCGTGGATTTTGACCTTGAACACTTATATACTGAAGTGGTGCTAGAATGCCAGTTGATTGATTAACTGAAAAGACAGCAATGGAATCGTGGCCACGATTGGATATGTAGAGGAATTTTTCCGAGATTGGATGTAGAAGAAGTTCAGCTACATAACTAGGAGATGTAAAATCGGATGGTAAGGTAGAAATGATTTGAATGGGACGTAAACTTGGAAAGTAACTGTAAACTGTAACTGTTGATTTTAATTCGTTGGCTATGTAGACAAATTTTTCGTTGGAATTAAATATTAAATGTCGTGGCCCATCGCCTGCTCGAGCTGTACTAACAGCATTTATTCGTAATAGTGAACCATTGTTGGGAAAAAATCGATAGACAAAGATTTTGTCCGCACCTAAATCTGCACTCAAGAGATTTTGTTCGATTTTATCCGGTAGGATACAATGAGCATGCGCCGATCTTTGACGATCGGGATCAACGGATCCGCCCACGTGCTGATCAAAACCACTATAAGTTTTCAAACTACCATCGGAACCATCGATTGGTAGAGCAGCAACAGTTCCATCATTGTAATTTGCAACAAATATATGTCCACCAGCTCTGTTTATGGATAAATAGCATGGACCAGCGCCACCTGATGACTGTTGATTAATGTATGTTAGACGTCCAGGCTGACTGGTATCGATTTTGAATGCACTTATTCGACCATTTGTTTCTTCATTAGCAGCGTAAAGATATTTATGTGTAGGATGAAGAAGTACATAAGATGGATTAGGTGCTGCAACAGCCAAACCTAATGGCGTCAGTGTTGAAGTTGTATTGTCAAGGGAAAATGCATAGATTCCTTTGCTATCATTTGCACCGTCGCCTGTATATGTGCCCACAAATAAGATAGTAGATGCAGCATTGACAAATAATGGCGAAAACCAAGAATTTCCTAAGCAAGACGAAAAAAAACAACAACAATAAGTTCGAGTGATGATTATTGAAATGTGTACCAATGAAACAGATGAGAAAAAGTAGAAGATACATGATGATCAGCTTATTATCGAATGAAAACGAAATTGTCAGCAGCGATCTTATAAATATTGGACACATCTGTCGAATATTCACAGTATATCACTGATCTGAAAAGTGCAATCCTGATAACGAATAAATATTCAAAATAAAAATTTCGAAGGCATCTGCCTAAGTAAAATAAAGTTCATCGAATAGAAAAGAATGAAAGAAGTGTGTCTTGTAAGTTCGCTTCTCATTCTCATATTTGTCATTGTCGATATAATCCTTTGTAAGCGCTAAGTACGAAATACAATAGTATTAAATGATTTGTGTATTCATCGGCTCGCGATGACTGCTCTCCTAATGACACAACTAAATGCTTCTCTTCTTTTACATGCTTTACTCATTAATCTGTTTCGATTACAGAAAGAATTTAATCTTACATTGATCACATATCCATTGTGTAGAGACCACAAACTCACAAGTGTTGATTTTCGTATCATTATCACAAACAAGAGTGTGACACATATTTGTAAGCAGTGGATTTAATCCGATACATTCATTTGGTCGATAGTACAAGTTTACGATTTCCTAGAACGGCAAACATCGGTTCATCTATATCATTACTGAACGAGTATCAAATAAAGCATGATTTGGAATTTAATAACAATCAACGGTTCGAATCAAAGATAATGTAGCGTGTCTTATGAGAACATTTCTGTTGCTGATGAAACAGTTAATTATTTAAAAATAAACTATGAAGATTAATACATTCTTTCTTATAATAGAATAATGAAGTAGATGTAATGAACGATATTTCTTTTCAACATAAAAAATTCTATTGAAAATAAGAAAAGTGTTTGTTCAAGAGAATGAAGGAGGGCGTTTTAAAACGATGATTATGCATTCTTTTCTGTTTTCTACTTGATGGGATAAGTCAAAAATTAACCTCGCGAGAAATGTGCGCCAATTGAAAGTACCTAATTGGTCATATCTCTAAGTCAAGAAGAGTTCTGTCGAAATCACAATGAGAACTATTCAAAGTAGTTGCATTGAAATTAATAAATATAAATAACTCTCTTCGTTAGTCAACAATTAAGATTTAATTTCTATTCTTTTGACAAGTTGCCTGACATTAAGTGGCAACGTGAAATATCGGGACATTGTTGTTCATTATTAATGATAATTGACATATACTTTTTCTGCGTCGATTCTTCAAATCAAATGTGTATAAGAAAAGTACTCCAAAACCTAACTATAACAATAGAAGAACCTAATATTATTAATTAGCAGGTTTATTTATAAAACTTATTTGCGTTGAAAGAAATGTCAGAATCCAAGATTTTCATCAGTCTTTTTCATTTATATGTATATATGTAAAAAAATCGCTCTGATTAGACGAACGTTCAGTGGAAGAAACTGATCATATAAATACCGAATTCCCTCGAGAATACACAAATCGTCTTCTGCCGAGAATTCCGTTTCATATATTTGAATACAATTTTGAATATCCGATAAAATCAATACTTTTGAGCGTAAAAAAAGAAAGTTTTTTAAGTATTATTTGATTATAGTTAACCTTTGTCCCATTCCTATGTATTATACATCTAACGGAACAACTGTTTTCAACCAAGGATACCATTATTATGAATGTATACCCAATCACCCTAAAAGCACAATAATGACAGACTCGTCAATTTATTAATGCTCTTTTCCTTTCACATCGTAGTTACTCAGATTATATAACTTCATATTTAATGTTCATTTTGTAGATACTTTTCTTTCATAGATTCATTCGTCTCAAATCGATTCTTCACAAAGATCTTTTGCGGAGAAACAACGTCAACAAAACGCTTCTTCAGCGGTTCCTTGCATACTCAAATCACTAGTTCTATGCCAATTTTGCTGTCTTATTGAAAGATGATGGCGTAAATATCACATCGATCTCTTCGCGTATTGTCTATAGCATAGTAAACACAAGACGTGTTTATATGAGCCGAGCATAGGCAATTAACAAGATGATATAATTACTCAGCAAAAGAATCTAGCTATAAATATCCATTAGTAACAGTCAGATCACTATTGTCAAGACAAACTAACAAAGAAAGAACGATGATACAACAGCACGTTTTCCTGCCAACTTAATTAATTAATTGAATAGATCAATATCACGTAAAGATGCTGGATATGAAATAGAAGAGAGTGCAAATTTAGGCTACTTTGTCCTTTTTTTTTCTATTTACATCACTTTTATTTCATTCCATATAACAAACTAACGAGTAAGAGGAGAAGAGGAAAAAAAGCAAAGAAATGTAATAGTTCTTTTCGTTTTCTTCCAAAGATAGAGAGAGAGAAGGGAGGAGACAAAGATTGAATAGGCATGTATGTGGCGTTCTATTTTTAAGTTTTGTAATCAGTGTCAGACATTAACTTCCAACGCCAGACCATCAGATGAAGATGACAGATTTCTCCTTGGATTTTTTCTCTTTCCAATATATTTATACATTCGCTTATTTGTTCTTGCACCTCATTCAGCGAAATTTTCACTAGTAAGTTAATTGGAGATCAACTATCTAATCATTTATTTATTCTTCTTCAGATGAATTCGATTAGCATTATCAGATGTAGAGAAAGATACTATTCAATAAGATTAATGTTTATTGAACATGTTTCTCTTTCAGTATTATGTGTAGTACAATTCTTTATCGATTCTTTTCTTCAATATATCACATCGTTTTTATCATGTTTATTTGAACTTTGTTCTATCGATTAGATGCAGTGTCGAAGTGAGAGAACAATGTCTGCTTTTAAGAACAACGAAATCCTCTTAGTACGAGAAAAGATTTCCGATGTAATGATCATTTGCATAGTAAATAACTGTAGACAAGACGTTTAATTTGTAGCAATACATTATTATGACAATAGAATAAAGTGCTCGTTGTTTATACGAGCGTTTTATCGGGCACAATTTTAAGAAATTTGTATTTCTTTTTCGTCTTTAATTGTAAATTACAAGATTTTTTTGTTATAGAATGATATGGCGGATGCTTTTAATACAACATTAGCGTCTCTTCCTCCAACTAATTTGGTACCGAATGAAGATGAAACATTGAGCTCATTGATTTTCTTTACGGTTGTTTACGTACTTGTGCTTATCACTGGTCTCGTTGGCAATTTTATTGTTTTATTTGTTATTTTAAAAAATAATGATCTCAAACATTTCACCAATTATTTCTTTGCGAATCTAAGTGCAGCGGATGTTTTTGTTCTTATATTCTGTATTCCGACAGCTATACATGATATATGGGCGAAAGATCAATGGTATATGGGCAAATTTTTCTGTAAGTTTTCATCTACCTCTCTTCGTGGACTTTTCGTATGAAAATCGTTTCTAAAGGTTTAAGTAATCAGTATATCGAAAGTTGTGCAACAAGCGTTTCTTCACTGACAATAACAGCAATCAGTTTCGAACGTTTTATTGCCATCTGCGAACCCTTTAAGGTAATATTCTCTTGTCCTTTTCGTCTTCACACATCAACCGACTTTCCTTTAGGTTCATGATATATTCAATGAGACATTAACTTGGATTACAATATGTCTGATTTGGGCCATTGGCCTCATCTTTTCTCTCCCATTTTCGATCTTTGCTGTTCATGATCCATCATTTAATCTCACAGACTCATTAAATGATACTTCAAATCTAATTACCGTTTGTCATTTAGACGCTAATTCAAGCGTAGCTCGTGCTTCTATTACATGGTTTATTATTTTACTTATTTTTATTCCGTTTTTCGTTTTAATCTTTATCTACGCGCGTATCATACTTGAATTAGCTCGTCATCGTGCATTAAGTTTACCCAATGTTACCAAAAGTCAATCACAACAACATTCGTACGACGATGAAACAAATAGTTTCACTGGAGCCTCAACATTCAACGTGGATAATCAACAATCTCGTTCGTTTCTTGCTTATAAACGTTTTGAACAAAAACGTCTGAATACTGTGATTATCTGTGTTGTAACAGTGGCATTTTTCGCTTGTCAATTTCCTGTACGTATTATACAATTAATTGATATGTATGGCCGTGTACGTAATGAAGAAACCATGTCTTATTTAACATGGATCTGGCTATGGAAATTATCGAAACTATTGTTTTTCTTGAACTTTACAGCGAACCCAGTAAGATATTACTAAAAAATGTCTCATAGGAATTGCTTTCTTTTCGTTTAGATCATTTATAACATCTTATCCACTAAATTTCGTCGTTCATGTCGACGTCTATTTCAAATCCATCGATCAATAAGTCTCATATCAACTTCTTCACGTAAAGCCAGTATATCGTCATATCTCTACTCAAGTATCTATAAAAATCGTCGTCGTCAGAGTAGTTTGCGTAACAATCAGAGTCAACTTTACCGATCACATCGATCGAACAAACCAATAAGTTTATCACGAAATATAGTAAACTCAAATCCAACAATATCTTTAATGTCAAATGAAACAAACAATATCAGTAACAATGGAAGAGAACAAATAGCTTTTACTGAGAACGACAATCGAGATTTGGAAACAATAGCGAATAAAGAAGAGATTCCCATTTCAGCGATAAACAGCGGCAAACGTTCACAACACCCATTTCAAGTTTTATGCGAAGAAGACGAAGAATACGAAAGTACAATGGAATGAAATAGCAATCTTTTCGTATGTGTACATATCTGCAGTGTATTTCTTTGAGAATTTTGCAAAGAAAATTTCATTTTCAGTAAAGGAAACAACAATAAATAAACCAATTTCAATGTTGTTTAGTAATTGTAACAAAAAGATCTGTTTATTTTCTATCCTGTCATTTGGTATTTTATGAATTTCGGCCAGATGAAACATATATGATATTCACATATGACAGATGATATAATAATGGGCTCAAGGTCTTCAAAAGTCAAGATCAACAGGATCATTAGTATTGTTGCTAATCATCGCCATGATCTCGCCTTTCTTTTTTTCTGTTGATAATTACTTATAAATCATTAGAATAGGCAAAAGAATGTCACAGACGTTTTCCATTTCGACGAAAATAACTAGTGATTTATCCGGATTGATAGATCGAAAAAGTGTATCTATTTTTCTTTCTTATTATTCACCAGAGACAAAAAAAATGATCTTCATGAACCTGGTTTGTTGTCTACACACATCATCGACCTTCTTTATGTATGGTAATGAACTCGTCAACAACACATTTGCTCGGATATCGACATCAATAGAGACAGTTTCAACTCGTCTATTGTGTTGTCATTTATTTTGAATAAGGGAGAGAGAGAAAGGGAGAAAGCAAAAAGTAAATCATACACTGAATCAATTCGGATGTATTTTCCAAAACTATATCAATGAATACTATGATGGCTAAATTAAGAAAAGCAGATCTTTGCACTAAAAGATCGCTTCTCTCGTCAGAAATATTGATAACCTCTCGTACTGATTGACAGGCTGTTTACACAACAAAAAAACACAGTGATTCAGTAATTGGAAAGAGCGTTTATTGTTTCTGTTTTGAAACTAATCGATATGGATAAGATGAATTTATTACGTCGAAAAACTAGATACACATGAAAATATTAGACATTTTGATAAAGTTCAGCTATAGATACAAAGGAACTAGGTAAATGTTTCACACATATTGGCAATGGAGAATATTCTCCTGCCGTCGTTGTATTCTAAAGTGAAAAGACGTCAAATATTGACCGATGATCGAATCGATTCTCAAACCTACCGTTGACAATTGAAGTTGTTTAAACTTAAAAAGAATCTCTTGTTTCTTTTCGTCAGTTGTCTTTTGTTCTGTCAGACAGCTAGCACATTTTTCTGATTGAGACGAAAACGACAGATCATAAATAGGTTCCTAAAGAAAACTTTCGTTCTGCTGTTTGTTCTTTTCCTCCTTATCGAAATTTAAATCTTACTCGACACATCTTGTAAAGTAAATAGAGTAGATCCGAATTAATGATGAGTTCTTTTGTTGCACGCGTGGCTGCAACATAAAGAATATTTATATTTTCTCGATGATCATCAGGTGATAATTGTTCAAGTGTTGCATCGGATGAACGCGGAAGAAAATCTTCAGCTAAGACAACAATCGGAAATTCTAGACCTTTTGCTTTGTGCGCAGTTGAAAGAACGATGCCTAATGAAAAACAGTGAAGATTTGAATCAAGTCTTCGAAAGATTTTTCGTTCTCACTAGCTTGAGATATGTCCGCACACGATTTGTCTAGTATTTGTTTGATTTTGTCGATGATCGAGTGGCGGTGGAGGTTAACAAGCTTGATTTTGCCTATGAGTTCATTGTCAGCAGCTTCTTGGGAAAATTTTTCGAAGGTTTGAAACGATGAAAACGATTGTAGTAAAGGATCTCGTATCTGGTAATTCTCTAAATGAAAGTAGCATGAAATAATGTTGTCTCCTGTTTCGTATTCAATATTCTACTCTGCCGACGTTCTTCAGGGCTCAGCCAAAGATAGAATACATCAAGAATCTTATCGAAGCCCATCGCTTCTTTCCCCTACGACAATCAAATTGAACAAACACGTAAAATTTCATTGCATTCACTTACGCCAACAAAACCCACATTCTTCAAACCTTTCTCAATAATCAGTTGTACAGCACAATTAAACAGATGATAATTTGTTCGAAATAGATATGCTTTTTGTTCGGTGCAAACTTTATCGGTTGATGCAGATCGACCATCAAGAAAATCTAGAAAATAAAACTTTTTGTTCATCAAATACACAAGTGGCTGAATAAGACATACTCTGTTTATTGTTTCCAACGAGGTATTTTTTCTCATTGCATAATCTTTGTAGAATAAGATTTGATATAAATGCTATATCATAACCAAAACGAAATGACTGAAAAGAGTCGGTTCAACGAAGGAAATCAATAGGGAGTCGAGTTTCCATACCCGAGTTAGATAATATGTGATGGTCGATTGAATTAGCGTCATGGCGTTGACAGCGCCGCGAAAAGCGTAGATTTGTTGATGTTTGTCTCCGACGAGTATCTTCGAAACACGTTGATTATTGATAATATCGGTAACCGCTAGAATTAGCATTTAAATCTGAGATATGTCCTATGAATAGGGATGTAAGTCTACCTGGAGTAAGATCTTGTGCTTCATCGACAAATAAACAATCATAAATTTGTATTTGTGGTTTGGATAATTGATACAATTTTAGATAACCCTACGGAATCGAATGTTAGTTTCGATCGGTTTGACAGTTGACTTACATCATGCGTCATTAATACACGTGTATCTCGAACATTTTTCATAATCGCCCAGATACATCGTGCATCAGCAGCTAGATTCTAAGAACCAAACGATTGAATATAGAAGGCATATGAACACGGAAAAAACCTGTTTTTCTTGAGGTATTAAAGTGAATCCACTTGATGGTAAATCTTCCACGTGTTCATCGGTTATTTGTGGATCAGCTGATGCGATGAAATTATTTAGTGTATTGAATACATAGCGGGCACGAACATATATTGCATTAATCGATCGACCCTTCTCACCGATAGGTGCTCGATCAGTGACAATATCTACGATGTTTTTGATCCGCAAGTTGCCCAAATAGCCATCGAATTGACGACTAGAAGTACAATTTCAATACATAAGAATGACGAGGCATTTGAAATATTTGTCGTACCCGATTTTCGAATAAGCGATCGAATGAATTGTTTGACATTTGACATTCGGTGGAAAGACTTTTTCTGCGTGGGTTTGAATGGATCTATGAAAAAGAAGAGTGATCGTGAAATTGTTGACAAATTCTGCAATTTTACTTATTGTAAGCGATGTACAGAAATGATTCATCCATTCGTTTTGCAGCATAGGCGATCAAAGTCGTCGTTTTACCTGTTCCAGCATAGGCATTGATCTTCATTGTTTCTCGATTTTCTAGATTCTGGCAGACGATTGTTTCTTGTTCGTGTGTCAACAACAATTTTGATAAACTAAAATGAAATTATCCAGAGAAAATCAAAACAGACTCATAATGATTTACATTGATGAATACGTCGTGTAAGAAAGATCATTGTTGAGAATATGCTGAGAAATTGGATTGAACTGAATTAATGTACGATCTTCAATTTCTTTTAAACAATAATATAATCGATATGGATACCTAAATGAATACGTGTAAAATGATACTTTTGTTGTTGATATTCTATCTTACCGAAATTGTAAATCGTGTAATCGAGTAGCACCAGAAAATAATGTTAAAAGAAAATAGAAGAAATCCATAATCACTTCGTATTTTAATTGTGACACTGTCATCCATAGATGAAGTAGATTTCGAACTGAATCGATATTGTCCGACAATATATAAATTCCTGCTGTTACGCACAGTGGATTGTAAATCTATTAATTGTATGTCAGACCAAACTATTTTAATGATAAATTCTACTTTACTTGTTCATTGAAAATAGATAAATGAAAATCTTGTTGATGTTTATTTTTTGATAAAAGATCGATGGCATATTGGTAGAGGACATGTTTTTTCAATTGTGTACTCAATTGCATAAGTATCGATGAGGAAAATTTGAATTGAACGGTTCTTTCATCCATGACATCGGCGATAATTATTGAAGATAGTCGTCTTTCGGAAATCCTCGTCAAAGAACGATCTAATTTGTTCAAAAAACTACTTACTGAAGAATAGTTTGAAGCACATTATTTGTAGGAGTTATCATCTGATCGATCATTTTCAATGTCAGAATATCTTCGTATTCATAACGTAGATGAATTTTTGCCCAACGAAAAAACTAGATTGATTCAGATATTGACATCTTTTTTCAAAGGTTACTTATTCCCATTAAACTCACTCTTTCATCTTGGATAACGTTGTACCATTTTCGACATACTCTTGCGATTTGTGTTAATAATGTCTTAGTTGGAATGTAAGAGAAGATGTGTTGAATAATTTCTAAAGAAGAGATTTCGATTCAAAACAAGTGCAAATGTAGATTACCGGTAGGTAAATCAAGCCATGGTGGTGGCGGAGATGCAGATTTTGTTTGCTGGATGGTCGTTGATGGCACTGAGACAACATCATGGAAAAGACTACTTTTTTTGGTTCGTTTCTTCTCAACGGGATTTGACGTAGTCTTGAATGAAGTTGATAGTTTTCTTTTTGTGGTTTGTGTATTGATTTGAGACGGGCGTTTTTGTGTTGTCGGCATGAAATCATCTTGATCGGTGTCTTCGATTGAATTGTTGATCAGTGCAGAAAATAGACCCGCAGACGATCGTTGCTGTGTGGATGAAGTCGAATTATTTCCTAAAAATGAGAATCAGTTGAAGTTTAAAGAGAGAAATTCGTGAAGTTTCTAACCTTTTTTTAACATTGTTTGTTTCACAAAAGATCGATCATTGGCGATACTAAGTTTTTCTTACTGAAAAAATGAAAAGAGCGCCATCTTTATTCGAACTATGGTTGGTAAATTTTATTGAAAAGTCGAAGGAAACGAAACGTTCGCACTTCTCATTATCTTTGTCTGAAAGCTCAAAAAAAGCAAAGCTAACAAATGGACAGCAAAAGTAAGAATATCATCGGAAACAGTTTGCAAAATTCCATTCAATGTTTCATTTTCAGACGAAGAAATCAGTTCCATATTCGAACGTTTCCGACAATATCTTACGAAAAACGAAACTAAATTATTAATCAATGAATTCAATAACTATCGAACAACTTGGTCGCCAAATAAATTTCGTATGTTTCTAACCAACGTTCTAGTTGTGATGCGAACATGGGCAGACAGTCAACAATACACGACTAAAATTAAACAAAACGAAGACTGGGATGCTGAAGAGGTCACGACGACGACAACAACGCATGCGCCTATTATCGATAAAATGAAACAATCTGGACATTATTTATTTCTTGCGATTGTTGATTATCTTCAATCTGCAGTGACCATGCCTGAACAAATCGATCGAATGTCAAGCGAAGTTGAGTTTGATATGTGGAAACGAATTGTAACCAACAAATGGACAATGAATGAGAAAGTACGAGTTTATATAGGAGTTTAATTCCATTGAACTTATTTTCTAGTTTTATATTCATCTCTACAATGAACATGTTCGATTACCGACACGATTAACTCGTTCGCTTCATAATGACATGTATAATTTCTATGTTACAACGGAAAAATGGACGTCGACAACAAAACTTCTTCTCATCGAATTGGGTTTTATTTATTTATTAATTCATGATAATTTCTTTCTCGGTTGCAATCACATTCTAACAGCGAATACGATATTTACTTTGCAAGATTATCTTGAACTAACGAAACATAGTCGAAAAGATTCAACGAATTATCAACGAAAGTTAATCACGTCAATGAATACACCAGAGAAAATGAAAACTTTCTTAGATTATTATCCCGATGTTGATCTATCAGATCTGATATCAGGACATCCCGATCTGAATCAACAGCGAACGCCTTTAACTATACTCGATCGGCTTCTTAAAATGGATCCATTCTACTATGAAACCATCGATCATGTTCCTTTAATCAATCAACCTGATTTTACCTCAACTCATCCGTCAAATCGAGCAGCAAATATGTTGCATTTATTTCAAAATCTTATTTCCCGTGATGCCAAAGTAAGTCAACTATTGTTCATTCATTCCAACTGAATATTTTCCCGTTTAGTTCTCAATTCATCTCGATAGTGCTCACTACCAAAATCTTCGTATTCCATTTTATGTGACGACACTTGGTTTCTATCTTCTATCCGTTCTTCACTTTCGTACTTCATTCGTCATTGCTTCATCTGATGCACCTGATGATAGTGATACTGAAAATATACAGGATTCATTTATAATTACCAACATTCGATCTCAACAAAATATCAGTCCTATTTATTTAGATTCAGTTAATAAAAATTATATTTATTATCTCGTTAAACGTGCATCAACGTTTGCTCCGTCGTTTCGTTCGTTTTTCTTCAGTCATTTGAATGTATGCTGTCCATTACTACACAAACCTGAGTTTGTCAATCATGTTAATTCAATTGCAAATGTTCGACTCCGTTCATTATATGATGAAATTCTCGACAAACGACCTCTGCTTACATTGAAAGATCGTTGCCGATTATTGATCAAAGAATCAGTTCGAAACTATCCGTTCGATATTCAATCCTTGTCTCAATTACCATCAACGTTACAATATTATTTATCATTTGATATATTCAATCCAAATTTTGTTCAATTAACCCTAGAAAAGCTAAATGCAGCGAACGGAAGAATTAAACCGTCATTTTTCGATGAATTACAGTTTCATGAACACGGTCTCGATCAGATCAATGGACATAACGAATGGGAAGATCAAGTACCTGATGATATGGATTATGACAATGAGGATGATCACGATGATCGGGTAAAACTTTCTTGAAACTTAGAGATACATCTAACTTTGTATTCTTCTTGTTGAAGGATTACGATGATGATGACGCCGATCTATTCGATGAAGAAGGTCTTTATTCCGACAATGATGACGATGATGATGAATGGTAATGAATCGTTTGCTCTTTCTAGTCAGATATAACTGTTGCTTGTATATAATTGTGATTTTTTTTGTTTTTGATCATAACGAAAAATTCTGTGTCGTTTTTTTTTTCAAACAAAGAAATATATATATAGAGCATTTTCGAAATCGTAGTATCGAGAAAATAGATCACTGAAACGAAAAGTAATATACTGAAGTCGATAATTGGCGCTATCTATCATAAATAACAATTCTACTGGCATTAATGATTTGTCTATCTTTCAATTCAACCGGACCGTTGAGTCCAGTAGTATAGAACATATCGCCAGAAAATCCATATTCGATAGTTGTTGTTTTTTTCGTTATTAGATTAAACATTTCTTATAATGTCGAACGTGACAACGTTATCAGCAGATCAAGGCAAAAAACGTCCATCTGTTTCTTCGAAGTGTTTATTGAATATTAAATCGATTGTTACTCAAAATGTTTCAGCAAATCGTAATAGTAGAAATTCGCCTTTGCATTTAGCACCATTACCATTAGCTGATGACAAAATACCGTCGAAAGAACCTATTAGCCATGCGGACAGTGTGAAAGACAGAAATTTGAAACTAAACGCTGCGATCGAAAGTTTACAAACATCGTCGATGAAAGTGGTCGTTCCAGAAAAGTGAGATATTATATCCTACGATAAAAACTACATTGATGCTTTGTCTAGTGAAAATGATCAATTGAGACTGCAAACAGTCATCATTGAAAAACAACAAGAAGGTAGGATAATTGTTTCGGTAGGATTTTCTGTGTCGAACTCGTGATTTTAGAAATCCAATCAAGAAACGATTTGCACGATGAAACATCTGCTTTTGAGGAATGTACGTATAGTCTTAGTAGGGTGAAGTTGTAATGGGAAATTCCCACCTATTCATGGATTGATTTATTTCAAATCCAGAATGTTGATTCTTATCTTAGTATCTACATTTGTGCCGGTCGTCATGTGAATATTCTCTTCTGAATGAATACTGTAACGTAAATATCGTCGTATATCGCGTATATACATATAGTGCTTAACTAATAAGATAATAAAAGAGCAGTCAGTAAGAATTTACGTAAGTATTACATTCAATTGTCAAAGAGTTTCATTTGTTTGTCACCGTCACAGACTTGTCTATTCGAGAGATTTTATAGTTTCCCGGTTAGATAGAAAGATATACATTGGTATAGAATTTCGATAGTTCCATTCATCAGCCCACAATCGCTGGAATTTTGAATGCCTGTTGACCACGCATCGAAAAGAAAATATCTGAAATTTTTCTATCAATACTCTAAAAAAGCAACCTGTTATTTATTATCTAGCTTCATCCGTTATCAACACAGACTCAACCACTGTTCCACCACTTCCATTGGATAGCTCGATGTATCCATTCTGTTCACCATCATCGTTATCTGCTCAGGTCAAACCATTATTGTCGTTTCCGGCTCATTCGTCAACTCGTATCAATGAAGAATATATGAGACAGATGCGTCATATCATCGAAACATCGTCGTCATCATCGACAAATTCGAGTGAACTCAAACCCATTGAACTTGCCATTCATATTCATCGGTTTGATTCCACATCGCCCTCATTATCAACGTAAGTAAAAGCCAAACTAACTGCTTTATTGATTTCGTATTTCTCTCGTAGTATCGAAGTCGAGAAAGATCGGGATATCGATCTCCATGACCCTCTAATTTTTACGAATGATTCATCGAATTTAACAGTTAAGTCGGGCACTCCATCATCTAGTTCTGATCAATCTATGCGAACAAGAAAATCTTTCGATGATCATTCGAAAAAAATGTATTACAATCAATCTCGATCATTCACTCCAAATTATCCAACGAGTTATGCACGTTTGCCACATTCACTACGTCAACAACAAACTCTGTTCAATTCCTTTTCACCAATAGAATCACCTCGATTACCAAAAGCAAATCCTCCTATAAATCGTCGTTCATTTCCTCATTTCGAATCTGTTCGTACACCTGCACCAAAAGCGACGTTTATCGATCCTGATCTGTTCGATTGTTGTCAAAGGTAAATGTTCGCCTTCGAATTCATCAACAACACTTGTTGTTCTAGTGAAAACATCTATTTCAAAGCTGAAACTACTCGAACACGTCGATCAGTCGATCGACAACATTTAACAACAATTGAAACGACGTTACTTGAGTCGGAGGCTCGTTCGAATTATTTTCGTGATGTGAACAATATACGTGAAATTATGCTCGATGCATCGAAACGTTTGACAACAGACAATAATCTCATGTTACCACTGTCCATCGTCGACACACACTGCCATTTCGATTTAATCTTTGATCGGTAAAAGTATTTTTGTTTTTCCCGAGTGTACTTTATCTAAAACAGAATCTTTCAGTTTACATATCCGACATAATAATTTAACAAAATATTTCAAGGATTACAACGAGTATTATCCACCAGGACTTTCATTCGAATTAGCTATACAAGTATTTTGGCGACCGCAACAGCTAACTGAGAGTAGGTAGATTTGAACCGATTGAACGTCATATAATTTTCATTATGAATAGAAAACTGGAATGAGCATTATTCGAAATATTTGGATGATGAACGTGTTTACGGTTCGTGTGGAATTCATCCACATTGGAGTTCCTCGTGGAATGAAACATCTGTTACCGACATCGAACGATGTCTTCAGCACCCGAAGATCGTTGCCATTGGTGAAATTGGTTTAGATTTTGGGCCTAAGTACAAAGAAATACTTTCTAGACTATTTTCTATAACATCTGTTACAGGAATACATGTGCAAAACATGAACAATGTCGTGCTTTCGAAGCACAATTGAAACTAGCCACGAAATGGTCAAAACCAATCGTTATACATGCCAGAGATGCTCACCAAGATGCATTTCCGTTAATGAAGAAAGTAAAGTCACGATCTATTGAACTTATCTGCACGATCTTTTCGTTCTAGTATCTTTCTTCTGATCACAAAATACATTTACATTGTTTTGTTGGTACTATGGACGACGTTAATCTCTATACATCTTATTTTAAAGAAATCAAATTTGGTTTTACTCCATTGATAACTCGTAAAACTTTTTCACAAACAGTTATTCAGCAACTGAAATTAACTCAAATTTTATCCGAAACTGATTCACCTTATTTTATTCCCGACGAAGTATATTCCTTAAATGCAATTCACTGAAACCACTCATATCTGTATTTATTTAGTTATCGACATACACACGCTGTGCACATCCTGGTATGGTCTATAGTGTTGTCGAAACAGTTGCAAAACTTCGACAATTACCTGTCAATGATGTTGCTGATCAATTAAGAGTAAATGCTCGTCAAATTTATGGCGTTTGATCGGATTTATCAAGAACTTTTTCTCTCATTGTCTTAGACAGTTTGATATCGTCTTATATCATAAATGATCTAGTCAATATTGTTTGCTCATTCGATTTTTTGTACGTTAATTTTCTGTCTTTCATTCTACTTGATTGAGTGAGATCAACTTGCTTGATAAGATCAAAATTCAATTCAATACACGGATTATCTTCACAACAGAAAAACTAGTATACATTTCATAGCAGCAGACGATAAATATACACGCGATCGATATAATCGTAGTTTGATGTTTTAAAAATCCATCTGCTGTGTTTCAAAACTACTATGCAAAGTTCTCGGACGCATTCCTACTCAATGAGCATTGTATTGGTTGTTGTATATCTACATCTTTTTATTGGTCATGTTATAAAAAGATGTGACTGTTAGGATCATAATTCTTTTTTCTTATCGAAACCGACTCGCGTATTGGCAAACGTGTGCAAGAAAATTCGAAGACAACGGCTCGTGTATTTATTACCCTTTCAGTTTGCGTTTAATACGAAAAGATAAAGTTACTTATCAAATAGGCAACCCCGCATTTAACAAATATGAGCAAAGATTTTTTCAGGCAAAATTATTCAGTCATCTGTCTTTTCTCGTCTGGCTTTGTTAGTAGAAGCAAAGAAAGAAGTAAATCTATACGCATAGTCTTATGTGTTTGAATCACGAAGCAGAAAAGACATTTGAATACTGTGCAGAAGAATGAATCTATCGAGTAAATAATTGGGTGAGTAAGTTATTTTCATCTTAGGAACATTGAATTAGATAAATACTTATTTTCCACCAAGAGAACCGATCGTATAAATCTTTTCATAAGATCACGTTCGTCATTTATCCTATAAAACCGAAAAAAAAGAACTAATTTGATTCGACGAATTAACACTGAAGGCGTACACTTTTAGGTGTCGTATTCTAAAATGACACTTCATTCCGATTTCCGTCAACTTTAATGTAAGTGTCATTGATATACGCTCAATAAATCCGACGGAAAAATGAACTCTTGACATAAATATCGATATCTACTTTTCTTCTTGCAAATCTCCAACTAAAAAATGTAGCATGCGCCGGTAAAAGCAACATCACTTGCTTCTCAGATTGAAGTCTCAAAGAAACTTATAGTGTTTGTCAAATTGCATACACTTTTTTTCTCGTGCGAAACAGGGAAAAGAAAACTCATTATAGTACAGCATCTGATATTCACATCAATAATGCATTGAGACTGATGCTCGTGTTCAAGTCTTGCGTTTTTTTTATTATAGAGCGAGAAAAGATCAAGTAGTTAGAACAAAATTAATGGTTTTTTTTTGTAATAAACACGCGTAGTTTAATTTATTTAAGACTTCGATACGCGAACTAGTTTTGTTACTTTTGATTTGATTAATAACGTTCGAATAGATTTTATTTTATGAATGCTCTAGTCGCTTTCTGTAATTTGCCACTATAATTTCTTATGCTGAGCATAGCAGCACGCTCTCTATATTTATATCAGCGGACAAATATTGGTGTACTATGTTTGGATTCTGCTTAGCAAATGTGTACCGTTCGTGAGGAGTATATGTTATTGAATGAATTGACTAAATCGTTTTAAATGTAAATCGATAAGAAAACAAAGGATGCCTGAAGTCGAACTCTTGTCTAAATCCATAATTTTCCGTTTACAGTAGTTAATTTTAAAGATTTCTAGTGGTTTTTATACCATTTGTCTAGATCAATGTCTAATAATTAAGCTGAAAATAGATTGACTTATAAGCAGCAATCATCGTCTTTGCCATATTCGTCCTGTGTTATACGCAGAATACTATCTAACTCACACAAATCCATGGCACAATAGGATTGTTCTTTGGAGCTTCCAAAACTTTACTAAAATATATACAAGTCAGCAATATTCACACTTTTTCAATACAAAAAAAAAAGAAACAATTCGTATTGATCAGCAACTCTCTCTCAAGAAAAGCCATGGATTTCTACGAATAATCGATTTTCTTCCTTATGTTTCCCTTCTTTTCACAATGCCACCCGTTTTGCTATCAGAGCAAGACTCAATAGTTAAAAATCAAATGTCGATTGACTCCATCTGGTGCCATACAATTAGATCTTTATCTCTATTGTAGATATTACTTGAATGAAGACGTTTAAATCACTTACTTTCAAATCAAGAAAGGAATCGATTGTACTCTTTATCATATTATTGATTTTCATTAGCTGCTATCAATGGTTTGTAAACAAACCACCGTCTACACATCAACTAATTCCACAAATACCTTCTAGTTTATCACGAGAGATCACTGAACCGAAGACTCTCATCTATCATCATCCACTTTGTTCATGCAATCGATCATATACTGCACAGAACCTGATTGATAATAAAAATTCTCAGTCACTTTGCAGTCAATACTCCACATATCGCGGTTTACATCAACGTATTATAGCAATCAGTATGTACGGTCCAAAAGAAAATGCTTTGTTTGCATTTAATGCATCGTTAAATTTTCTCCATCAACTTATCATTGACATGAAGAAAATCTATCCCAATTGGATTCTAAGAGTTTATCATGATGCATCGATCAAAACTGACGTTATCTGTCCGATTGAATGCATTCATGATCATGTCGATTTTTGCAATACAAATGCATTAGAAAAGTATAGTAATGTGAATGATTATATTCCACCAAAGATATGGCGGTTTTTACCAGCTGGGGACACGTTCGTCGATGTTATGGGTAGTCGTGATCTTGATTCGCCATTAGGTCAACGTGAACTAGACGCTGTTAACGAATGGCTATCATCGAATAAATCTTGGCATGCTATGCGTGATCATCCATATCATGCTGTTCCGATGCTTGGTAAATCTAGTCAGTTTTTATAGCTACTATTGCATAGAATGTCTTCTAGGTGGTATGTGGGGCTTTCGTCCAGAACAGAATCGAAAATTCTCTGCTGAGCTATTACAAAAAATGTTAGATCGTTCATTGATTACACGTTATGGTACTCGTAATGATCAAACATTTCTCACCGAACAAGTCTGGCCTCATATTCAAAATGATGTCATTGTACATGATGGTTTTCTATGCACAACATGGTATGGTAAAAATTCTCGACCATGGCCAACGCGTCGGCCGCCATTCAATGGTACTGATTGTTTTGTTGGTTGCGTTCGTCCCTGTTGTACACCAACGAAGACTCCTTTTGGTGAATGTCCTGTTGCTTGTCGGCCAAAAGAGCATGTAAATTGGACATACTGCTAGAAAATAACTACTTTAATTTTACATCGATACTCATTTCTATAATCAGATATAATAATATTTCTTTTTTACAAAATCTTCCAAATCTATTTTGATCTATTCTTATTTGCTAAATTGGTTTACTAAATTCTAGTGAAATGTTTTTAGAATAAATATGTAAATGAATATAGTCGAATGGTTTCATATATATGGGTATACGTGTTCGAACCTCGCGCTCGACGTTCTCTTTTCTCCTCAACGCCACAGGCAGGATAGACATTAGTTCACCTGGCCTTTCCAGTTTGTGGAGAAGAATAAAATGCAGAATGATAGGAAGCTGGAGAGATTTTCACTGTCTCATCTAGTGCCGTTAACTCATTCTATATCTTTTTCTCAAAATCAAATTTTTACAAAAGTATATCCATGACACACTAAGCACTCAACATCGCATGATGTCATTTGTTGCATGCATTATTCTCCGAAAAACAAAATTGTTGGAAGCTTTATTGATTCTAAATATAATATGAGTCAGGAAACGTGTCGTAAGTTGGTTGTATTCAATTTCTTGTTGTTGTTGTTTTATGCGTCATGATCCTCAACTTTATCGATGTTTTTCTTTCTTTTCCGTTCTATTCAAACTCGTTGCGAGTCAAAGGAAATTGCCATCTCGTGCTGCTATCAAACCACATATATATACGTTCTTCTTTTACGATTGGACAAGTCAATAATGGCTTGTATTCGCGTTTCGACATAATTGTACAAGCATAATTCAGTTCTTCACCATGTACAACTCAATAACTAAACTCGAAGATTTTTCCTTGGAAGTCATTCTGGAAATTTTCGACTACCTTTCGGTAATCGATCGTTTCAACGCATTTCATAACCTTAAGAAAAAGCTAAACTCGGCGTTGTACTTATCCGATCTTTGCGTTGATTTAACCAATATATCTCGACAAACGTACGAGAACATCTACCAAGATGTCATTCTCAAGAATTATTTTCCACGGGTACGTACGCTAAAAATAAGCAATGATTTAACGACTGGTTTAATCAATACCGTTTTCAATCAAATCAATCTGCACGATTATAAACAACTCCGATCGTTAACATTAATTAAACCATGTTACATGACATTGGGTAGTCTTGCCCTTTCCATTCCATATTTAACAAAACTGGAACATCTGTCGATTGATTCTCACTCATATCCACACGATTTTTTTCGTTTAATTACGACAACATCGTCATCATTGAAAGCATGCTATTTACCTGGATTAGAAATTCAAGATGAAATAACATTTTGTTCGAATTCAATCACGTGTCTAACAATCACAGTCGAAGATATCGGTTTATTGTTAAATCTGTTAGCTGTTTTTCCTTGTTTAACTTACCTTCATGTTATTTTACGATCGACATTATTTATTGACGATGAAAATTTTCCTCGAATGAACATTCTTTCATGTGAAAGCTTACAAACATTGAAATTACATGTACTCGAAAGATCGAGCATTGAATTTCGTGAAATCGAAAAATTCTTTCAACAAACAACTCTCCCGCAACTGCAAACATTATCATACACATGTACAACACCATCTCTGGATCATGTAGATGCGGCACGTTGGAATGAAATTCTTTCGGTCCATCTGCGAACAATAAAAACATGGAAATTCTTCGTTGAAATCCCATATAATTCGAATTCATACACGAGTATGAAACAAATCGTGGAGAATTCTCAAACAATTCTTCCATCTTCATTTACATTCACATTATCCATCAATTACCAATATTACATCGTTCATACAAGCATCTTTCCGAAAAGACATTTTGATTTATCCTTAAAATCATCAAATTCAGACGATTATGCTAATTGCGATCCAATTCATTGTGACTCAACGATAAAATATTCAAATATCAATTCCCTGATCGTTGATTGCAGCTCCCTACCGAATTTGACAACTTTACCTAAAATTATTCAACATTTACATCTAAAAGGAACCAATAATAATTTGGTTCTTTCCAAATGTCTGAAATGCTGCTCAAACCAATTGATTACATTGAAAATATCAGGCTTGATGGATGATTTACTTTGCTTACCCAACCTTCGACAATTAACCATTCAGAATACAATGTTTAAAACAGATATGATATCGAAACTAGTTCAATTTTGTCCTCGGTTAGAATTACTCACAATTGAAATCGATTCGATTCCGGATTTTTCCGATCTATTCAATCGTCTGCAATCAGAATCTCAATTGAATGAACTTAAATTTCTACGTGTATACTCACGAGATCCAAAGCATACGTGGACATCTTGGTCAAACGAAGGGAACGACTTATTTTCAAATGTGAAAGTGATTTATGAAACAAAACATTTATTTCTATTTATTTGGTTCTAAGAAAAAAGAAAAATAGATTGAAATAGTACTGTACAAACAATTTAAATCCATTGAAGTTTGTTTCCATCGAGCGAATTCAATGCTCGTTGTATGGAATAGCGTTGGCGACGAGAATCTTTTTGATGATAAAGTAAACGTTTTAATGGAATGAAGTTCGTTGATTGATGATTTGAACGACGTGGTGTCGAGGTCAGATATGGTTTGAGTAGAAGACTCTCGTTAGGAGACGTCGTTTTGGGTGTACTTGTGGTAAAAACATTGTTTTTCGGTGATGTTTTCGTGAGTTTTTTGCGTTGATGTACTTTTTTATATTCATCGTATGTTGTCGAATGAAATCGTTCGTTTTTATGTAATAAACAAGGACATTGACGATGATCTTTGAAACATGTTTCGTGTGAATTGATCGAAAGGTTGAATGGTTGGATATTTTGCAGAACTCGATTCATTGGATCGAGGAGCTGTAGTTCGGATAATAGTTCATAAATATGGTATTCAATTTCATGAACGCGTTTTTCGTTCTTGTTTGACATTGCTTTGGATAATGCAGACAAATTAGCGATCTAGAATGAAGAGAACATCAGATATTCTTCTCGTGTTTTGCTGTGACCTAATCAATTTGATTTCGACATGTATCTACTGATAGTCTTCAATGACACGACTGTCTGTTTTTTTGATGGCAGGAAAATGAATTGTATCTGAGATTGTAACAAAAAAAGAAATAGCCCAGCAGGATCCCATCATCAAACGAATCAATGGAGATGCACATCGTATGACGCCTGCTGGTGATGATGTACTATACTTGTTATTGACGGTTGACAACCAAACTAGTCTATCAACACGTCGATGCGGTTTTCATGCTGAGAACAAGCGTGATTGATTATAATGATTCCATTTGTTAGTTAATTATCGTTATCATCGAACTGACTGATTTGTTCGAAAGAGGGGAGGAAGAGAGGCAATTGTTTTCGTTTCGTTTGAACGATTGGTTTAATTTTTTTCTCTTCTCTCCCTCTCTCTCTCTCTCTGACTTTTCACCGGAAAATATATTCATTGGATATTGATTGAAATGAGGAAGAAGAACAAATAAATCTCCTGTGATCATCAATCAAGCGTATACAGAAAATAACAAACTGATTTTACATAGCTAAGTAGACTCGATGTTCTTTGAATTCATTTGAGTAGAAAATACCATCGATCGTTATCGTTACAAATATATTTGTCAATAAAAATCGACTTTTGTCCTATGTTGTCGACTTTTATGAAACAGATGTGCTTTTCACAAGCACTCACTCGCTATTGCATATTCAAAATGTTTTCTCCACCCACATCTTTCACTCGAATAAGAATGGCGTAATTGATATATTCATTCTGCAGGTATGTTGACAATCTGGCACGAGTAGTCACCCATGATAATGATGATGAATATATTCGATCGATCGTTAAAAGTAACGATTGGATTGTTATTGTTCTTATGTCATCGTCTTTAAGCATCTGTTTCATACATGTATGTACATATCGTGGGCTGACGATTGAATAACGAAACGAGAACTGCTTTATGACATGTGGATGAATGAAAATCAAATCAAGCTGTGAGTGCGAATGGCATTGCTACGAAAGCGGGAGAGATCATAGTCGTATTGTTCATCAAAAGGAAGAATAGAAGAGAAAAACAAAACCTAGATAACACTCGCCTGTCAAGTTAACTGACTAATATGATGAGCTAATGCCTGAGGATATGTCTTATCTTCTTCTTGTTTTTAAACATAAGAATAGCTTGAAGAGAAGTCTATATGCATGTCAGCAAATAAACAATATTCATTTCATCAGCCACGACATGTTTGTTACGACGAAAGAATATGCAACGTTTCTTTTTTCGTTGTTCTACAGTCAACTTGACGTTATTATAAGCTTATGTAGACGTAGTAGTGGGTGTTTTTTTTTGTATATGCGGATGACGTTAATTAAGTGGGAGAGAAAAGTAAAGAACAGAAAAAAAGAAAATACAGCTTTATTATATATAAAACCAAGCTGATAGTAGTCATTTTCAGATACAAAAGTCTAACGACAAATTATTTCTAAGATTTAATCGTAAAGATGAGCAACGTTCAACAGCGCACAAAAAACGTTTACAAAATTCCGTCGCTTGACATGACGGACAATCATGTTCAACCACATTTTGATGATCCACGATCACCAACCGCCAATCTCACACGGTACGGATGATCAATTGAGGTGTTTTCGTCTTATCTTGTTTTTGCTATTCTAGGACTCCGGTAGAAGTCAGTACACATTATCTATTTGATCCACAGACACGAAATAACATTCCAATCAATTCCACTAGATGAATGATGCATCTTTCTGTTTTTTCGTTGTTGTTGTATATATAAATATTATATGAATGAAACCTAATAAAGATTTCAATGAATATTCACATTCGCAATTTGTTTTCCTTGGTATTTTTTTTCATTTACATCCACTAAGGTGTATGATGTTTGATGCAAGTTATATAAATTAGCTGATGACTAGGTGAAACTATCTAACTATTCAATGAAATAACAGGAATTCAGACCGGTTTATTGTGCAAAGGTTAAATGCGGAAGTTAGCGAACACGCGAACCTTTTATTGACAATGCAAGGAAAATCAAGGTACGAGTCAATTATGAAATCAAGATAAATACATTCATGAATTTGTAATAGATCGCTATTCATCAGCTTTTACAATTAGCTTTGTGTTTTTTTTGGCTTTTTCAAAAAATTGCTAGATCATGAAGTACACTTTCATTCACAATAGTTAACAGGAAGATCCGACTGCTTTATTTATCTTCTCTTTTGATGAGATTTCAAACTGGTTGTGACCCGCCTTCTAACGATCAAAATATTAATGGACTCTTGACTGTTTCTTTCGCTTTCATTTTCTTCTCATCGGCGATGAAGACAAATGACTACTACATTTTGTCATTGCATGTGTCTATCTATTCTCGTTCTCATATCTTAAGTATAAATCACTTATACAAGATGCCACTTAATGGTTTCGTTAGCGAAGTGTTTTTCTGTGTGATCATCATACAGAGAGTGATCGGTGAGAAAATATCAATATGACTCGTTACTAAGAACAGGCGAAAAAAAAAAGAAATCGTAATTACACAATATTACAATGCACATCCATAATTAACTCATAGTTGAAGATGCTTTCTGATAAACGCCCATATAATTCATGAAAATATCGTATGTGTGTGTGTATTGATGAAAGAGATTAACAAAAAGTTGTTGTTTTTCTTTTCTCTCCGGAAAGTTGCATATATATATGTCAAATTAGTCCGCTGGAAAAAAGTAATAATCTGACAGGAGAACACGAGAACACTTTCTGTTAATGATAGAAATTTTGAGCTTGGAAGGAATAATTAACCGGCAATTTCAAAGAGAACTTGAAGAAATGGCTGCATTCGCGTGAACATGAGGGCTAAACGCATAGCAGAGAATTAATCAACATAGTTGAACCACTACCTGTCTAATAAAGTTTTGTATTCACCCATCTTGTGTGATGTCAATTTGATACGTTCATATTAATTATTAAAAAGAAGTATTACGTACGTGTGCTTGAAAAATACTTCAATCACAAAACGTGCCGTCTACCGCCATCTATAAGTTTCGAAATGAATTCGTCTAAGAAATCATTCAATCAAATGGTTTTCATCGATGCGTTATTCAGTATATAAAGTTGTCATGAAACATTGTGAAACCGCTTGTATCTTTTCGAATTATACCAATGTCTTCGTTAAATGATATGGAGTTGTTGGATGATATAGCCGGCGAAGGTGTTCTGGAATCGCATCATATATCTGATGAAGATGATTTGCCAAGTGAGGACGATGATGACGACGACGATGACGATGAACTTGATACAACAGATATTACTCACGTAAATATCTTGATTAGTTCATAGAGTTTTTCTGTCAATGATTATTTTCAGGATACACTTGCTATTAAGAAACCTTTGGCAGGGATGTTGCCGAATACTTATGACGGAAAGACAGCCGAGGAGCTTTTTCCTGCATTTAAACCCAATGCTGTGAGTGATTACATACGTTAGAGTTGCTGATTTTCTAAAAAACAATTGTTTAGATTCTTCAATTCAATAAAATATTTGGTGTCGGAAAACCCAATCATCTACCAAAACCATGGGCAAATTTACGTATGCGATCAATGACTGAAGTAGATTTCCTTGCTAGAAAGAATTTCTTGTTACTAATGATTTTGTTTATATTAGAATCTCGAAAATCAACTTCGCGAAGCAACTTTAGCAGACTGTGTTGCTGATAACGAGGTATTCGAGAGAATAAATATTTTCTTTTTTGTATTTGAAACGATTTGTTTTCGCTAGACACAATTTCTCGGCCGTTTACCTCCAGTAGTAAACGAACCGATATCAGATGATCACGATTCGCCAATCGGCGATATGAAAGTTCAGAATTGGCGTGTGGGTCCTGCACGTCTATGGTACGATCAAATTGGCCTGAGTTTAGACTTATCCACATATGATTATGGATTCAAACAAAAACCTACTCAAACATTACAAACACAAACTTCCAAAGAACAGTTGACAGAAGAAGAGGAATTAGCAGGCAATGTGTCATTACCTGTGAATTTGATCCGTTGGGAAGATGACATTATTTATGATACAGCCGTGTTGCGCGATAAATTAGATTTGAATACACCAAAGATACGATATTGTGGTTGGGTACCGACGACAACTTATCGCTCATTGGCGAGTTTCCAGAAAAGTGTTTTCGGTACGAGAGAATTTTATGAGTCGATAGATGAAATACACGATCCGTATCGCCTCTTTCTTTCAGGTAAAAATGTGGACTATTTAGAAAATGGAAATGGTAAGTTTAGATGCAGTTTGACCGTACTCTGAGGAAAGCCGTGTGTGTTTTAGATGATGATCCGAAATACAAATCTTGGTATTCAATTTTTCCGATTGATAACTATGATTTAATGTATGGTGATTGGGAGAAAGATATTATTATCGATCCAGAAGTAGGATGATGTTTTAAGATTGAAATACCTATCATTATTGTTTAGAATATGGAACGTATTCGTGAACCATCGGAGTTGATTCTTGACGAAAATGACGATCATTTAATTTTCGAAATACCAACAGATCCGAGCGATTGTCAAACTCGTCAACAACAGCGTAGTCGAGATATACGTGAGAAAGCTGAAGCAAATACTCCGATTAGCCCTACAAAAGCTGGAAAAGTTCCACATAAGGTACAGACAAAACCATTTACAAATTCATCAGTAATCGCCCGTGTTTTTGTTCTTCATTAGGATACACGAGGACGTGTCACACGAAAAGTACTCACAGGCAGTGGACTATTAAAAGAAGCGGAAGATAATGAGGATGATGGGAATGATCAAACTGATGGTCCGAAAAATGATTTTTGGAATTTATCCAATGATGAGTATTACAATCCAAGACTAATTGATTCTGTGGGTAAAAATCTCGGTACACTGAATTTGCAAGTAAGTGAACGAATTGTTCTTTTCGAAAAGTAGCACATTCTCTACGGATAATCTTTAGCATGCAACACCAGCTGTTGAACTTTGCTCTCAATTATTTCCTACACATTTAAAGGCGAATAAACTACGTCTCTTTCATCGACCAACAATCAAGAAATTTATTCATAGCAAATTAAAACCCGGAGAGTACCATCCTGTTCATTCAATTCAGAAAATAGCTGAAACACGTGCGATTGTAAGGCTATCATTTGCAATCTGTACGCTATTTAACTAAGTATATTTCGTTTCAGGAAAGAGAAAAAGAACGACAAGCCTATGGCGGTGGTGAAATGTTTTATATGCGTCGTCTACAAGATTTAAGCGGTCTAGATAGTGATGTCATCCTTGTTGAATATAGTGAACAATATCCACCTTTATTGAATCAAATTGGTATGGCGACAAGAGTAAAAAATTACTATAAAAAGGTAAACGATCGATTACCAAACTATCGTAAGACTGAATTCGCATTTGTTCGATACTTTAGAAACCTGGAAAACAAGATAATCCTCCAATGTTAGACTATGGTGAAATCGCCTATGCTCACACGTCACCTTTTCAAGCCGAGATGCTTCCTGGAGAAATCTTACAAGTAAAAAGTGAAACATAGTGAAACGAGATTTCATAAAGTTCGTTTTTTCATCAACAGGCATTCGAAAATCACATGTTTCGGGCGCCGATCTTTCACCATGATGCTCTGTCGACTGACTTTCTTATCCTACGTACGAAACAAAGTTATCACATTCGAAATGTAAAGAATATTTTCACTGTTGGCCAAGAATGTCCCTTACAAGAAGTTCCTGGACCGAATTCGAAACGTGCGAATATATTCGCACGCGATTTTCTTCAAGCGTATATATTTCGCTTATTCTGGAAAAGTCGAGATAAACCACCAAGAATAAAAATGGAAGATGTACGAAAAGCTTTTCCACAAAATGCCGAAAATAGTATTCGAAAACGTTTGAAAATGAGTTCGGACTTCAAACGTACAGGAGGTATGTTGTGTTTAAATGAAATCGCCGGCTAGTTTTATTTCAATTTATTTCTTTTCAAGGTGTACACTGTAACTGGTGGGTATTGAGAAGCGACTTTCGATTACCAAGTCAAGAAGAAATCCGACAACTAGTTACACCTGAACAATGCTGTGCTTACTACAGTATGCAAGCAGCAGAACAACGACTAAAAGGTGAATAGTTTGCAAACATTGATAAGATACACTTATGTTTTCAACAGCTGATAAAAGAGCATGGAAGTTTAATCTACATCTTCTATTGTAGATGCTGGTTATGGTGAAAAAGTACTCTTTGCCGCCGTAGACGACGAAGCAGCTGATGAAAATGACCAAAGCAAAATCGAAGATGAAGTATGTTGATCATCTATTCGTTACAAAAAGATGAATTTTGTTGTTTAGGTTAAATGTGCACCATGGCACACAACTAAAGCTTATCTTGATTCGCTAAAAGGCAAATGTTGGTTACAATTGCGTGGTTTTGCAGATCCGACCGGATGCGGCGAAGGCTTTTCATATGTTCGCGTTTCAAATAAACCGAATGCTCGAGTATGTGATGATTTCTATTTTATTCAAATTCAAAATTTGTTTCTTCGATTGCTCGAATCTATTAGGAAGCAGAAACCGAAGCCATACAAACGAAGAAAATGGTTACAGGAACGGATGCTGATCTACGTCGTCTTCATTTGAAAGATGCCAAGAAACTTTTGAATAAATATGGTGTCACGGATAGTTCAGTTCGGAATCTTTCTCGTTGGCAAATTATTGATATTGTTCGAACGATGTCGACACAACGCGCACGGGATGGCGAAGAAGGGGGTAAGCATTTCACAATCATGAAATGTGTCATTTTTCATTTTGATCTTTTTATTAGCTGCAATGGCCAAATTTGCCCGTGGAAACCGGTACAGTCAGATGGAATATCAAGAGAAATACAAAGAAGATTGTCGCAAGATCTTCGAAGGCCAAAGCAAAACTTTATCATCGAATCATTTGACATCAACAGATAATGAAACAAGTGGCGATGAAGATTCGGACGTCGATGAAATGAGAAAAAATCTCGAATCAATGCTAGAACCAACTGTTTCAAAACAATCAGCAGATACGAAACCGCATGTAGATACAGAAGATACAACGAAGAAAACAGTATGTTAAGGAAAATCATACGATGCGTCTGAACTCTATCTACACGAATGTTTTCTTTTTATTCGTAGAGTAATCGTGTGCTCAGGATTGTTCGTACCTATGCTGATGATAATGGAAACGAATATCAACGTGTTGAAACTGTACGAAAGCCTATGGTTGTTGAGGCATACTCGAAAATACGTTCAACGAAAGATAATGATTTCATGTAGGTGGCTCTCTCAGATGAATTTTATTATCTTTCTTTTTCGTAATTTAGTCGGCAATTCTTTACTCTCGACAACGATCAACGCGACAGTCTACGACGTGAACGTCGACGTTTGCAAGAACAACTACGTCGTGTCCGTCGACAAGATCGTTTGCAGCAACGTAATACAAATGAGCCGTTGAATACAATCGATGGCCGTCATTCTCCGTCATCGCGTTCATCGAATCCGTCACCCATCCGTAATTTACATTTACAATTGAATTCAAGCGATCTACCGACTTTGAAATTACCACTTGATTCTGATGCATTGATGAAACATGATGGCAATGCCTTGGATGATACTCATACAGATTTGTTCATGGATCATACTCATCAGATCACGTCAGCGAGTCAACTATTGTCAACATCGTTCGATAATATCAATAGTAACAGTCAATCAGGATTTGCTCATTACTTCAGCTCAGCGTCGTTCGGCGAGGAAGGACCGGAAAACAATGAAATGATAAGTCCAACAGCACTAGCGAATTCGTCAGATCCATCAACAATGCAAAAGAAAAGAAAAAAATCCGAGAAAGATCTAAAATGGGTAAGTTTCATTTCTCTGATTATCAGAACTGAACAAGTAAAAGAAAACTAATTCTTTTCGTGTTCTTTCTTAGCTCAAATGCGGTGCCTGTGGTGCTCAAGGTCATATGCGAACGAATCGGGTTTGTCCAATGTATGGCAAAACAACCGGTGGAAACATGCAAAACAATCCTCATGTTGATAACGAGGATGCACAGCATAGCTTTGATTTACCAGCGCTCGATGCTAATGCTTCGATGAACATCGGCGATGTGTCAGTGAAAATGGTCGAAGGAGGTGGTACAAAATTAATCTTTGCGAAAAGTGTTCTGGATAAGTAAGAAGATTGTTTTATTTTGTATTGAAAAAAGACAATGTTCAATAATTGTTTGACAGAGTATCATCAAAGGATACGACAAAGAAACCGAGAAAAACGAAAGGATCAAAATCCTTATTGGCCGGTACGAAATCTGTAGGAGATGGTGATGAATCTACAACGAATAGCCAATCGAACCCTATGATGCCGCAATTGAATGAAGATCGACCACCGACTCCACCACCCATTGTTCATGTCTCCAAGATGCAATTTATACCGCCGATCAAATCTTCGTCGTCATCTCCGCCAGTTAATTTAACCTATACGCCTAAGTCTAGTGGTACGTTGAAAACGACTTTGTCCCATGCAGGAAACCGACGTAAAAGTTCAACAACGCCAACTATTGGTGACAACAATTATAAACTTAGCCAAAGTCAGATGGGATCAACTCCAACTACCACATATCGTCAACAGCCAACATCAACACCACTATCAACCGGTCCGCTAGGTACCATGTTTTCTTTTCCACCAAATACACCGACTACACCGACACCATTATCAGCTGGTGTTGATTATTTGGATAAACGTGCCAGAACCGTACAAAGAAGACGAATTGATCCACTTGTCAGTTTCGCTACTTTGCTCGAAAGTATTCTTAATGAACTTCGAGATATGCCTGAAGTAAACTATATTTCGATGAATTATCTCATACTGATGATATCTCTTTTCAGGCAACGATGTTTTTAGCACCGGTCAACCCTCGATCATATCCTGCGTATTATGAAGTTATAAAGAATCCAATTGATTTACAAACGATACGCCAACGCGTCCTTGCTCATACTTACAATAATCGAGAAGGATTTCTAAATGATATGCGACAATTAGTTGATAATAGTCGTCAGTTCAATGGCGAATATCATCAAATTACACGTGATGCTCAAACGCTAGTGGCCGCATGTTTTCAAAAATTTGCTGCTGTAAATATACACAGAAGGCGTTCAACGGTTTTCTCTTATCAGTTCATATTTTTTTGCTTTGATTTCTAGAATGAAGATAAATTAATGAAATTAGAAAAAACCATCAATCCATTGTTAGACGATGACTTCCATGTTGGCATATCGCATTTATTCGAACGTATATTAACTGATCATTTAATGAACGTCGAAAATTCTTGGCCATTTCATCATGCAGTTAATAAACTTCGTTTCAAAGATTATTATGATATTGTTAAGACGCCAATGGATTTAGAAAAGATCAAACAGGCAAATAAAACATTTACAGCGATGTTTTTATGTCAGTATATTATTTCTATTTCAGAATATTCTTAAGCATGTCTATCGCTCACGTGCAGCAATATTAGCTGATGTTGATTTATTATATACGAATAGTGTACAATACAATGGTGTAGGTCATGCAATTACGGCGACCGCGGCAAAGATAGTTCAGACATGTAAGGAACAGTTTGCTGAGCATGCCGATCAATTCGATGCATTGGAAAGAAATCTTGAACAACAAACATTAGCAATAGATAAAACTGTTGATCAACAATCGAATGACGAAGGATGGCAACAAATGATGACTACAGAAACAACCAATAGCTTCGCATTTACTGCTTTAGAGCCAGGTCAGTCAAGAATGCTAATAGAAATGATTTGTCAGAAAGTGACTTTTTAGAACCAGATACAGATATAAATAGTCCGACAATACCTGGCATGTCACTTGAGACATTTATTGCAGGTGATTTCTCGGCCATGGAACAAAACATTCAAGCCATGGATGCCGAAGTAGCCAATGAACAGAACGATGACGCCGAGCGTGAAACTGTTGAACGAACAACAACAGAAGACATTCTCGGTAAGGAGAACGGTTGTTTTGATTTCTTCATCGAATTCTTCATTTCTTGATTTCATAGGTGACATCAGTGAATCTGATACATCCGATGATGATGATGATGACAGATCAGCAGCACAGTCATCATCTCTTGGCATGCATCAAATGGATCCATTCGATAACAATCCAGGTGCTCACCATCGGAGTCATTTGAAGAAACGACTGAAAACATCCCATCAACAGACAACATCGACCGATGCAGCTGCACTTCAATTATCTGAAGATGAACTCTAAATGTTTTATTTTGTTTATAAATATATACAAATGTATGTCTGTTCTTTTCGTATGATAATAAAACACTAAACGTGATTCAAATAATTTTCCATGATTCAATCATGTTTTTAACATTTAAGATGTCGTCTGAAATTTTCGATGTTTTGGTTATTGGTGGAGGCATATCTGGTCTATCAGCAGGAAACTATTTATTCGACCACAACGTGAAAAACTTTCTAATTCTCGAAGCTCGCGATCGTGTAGGAGGTCGAACATGTACAATCGATTATAATCAGCATGCAGTCGATGTTGGCGGTGCTTATGTAGGTCCTTTTCAAAATCGTATTCTTCGGTTAGCCCGCGAATTTAATGTCCGTACTTATCGTGTTCATTATAAAGGAAAGAACACACTAACACTTTCAGATGGACGTCGATCGGTTTATAAAGGAATAATTCCAACTTCTGTTGGTATATTTTCATTATTGGATGTCAACTACATTCTGTGTCGCACGCAAGAATTGTGCGAACAAATTTCCAATCAGGCACCATGGTCGAACGAAGCATTGTCAGCAAAATACGATAAAATGACTGTTGAAGATTGGCTACAAACCTTAGGGGAAACAGAAGAAGCTAAAGAACTTTATCGAAGTGCCGCTCGTACCATCCTTTGTGTTGAGCCGAGTGAAGCATCAATGCTTGCTTGGTTGTCCACTGTTAACAATGGATTAGGTATAATGCGTTTATGTGAAGTTGAGAACGGCGCGCAAGAGCGCAAGTTTCGCGGTGGTTCACAGCAAATATCGAACCATTTGCGCGCTAAACTCGGCACTGATCGCGTTCTACTTAACCATGCTGTTAAACAGGTGCAATGGTCCCCGACGGGAGAGTTAGTTAAAGTGACATGTGCAAACAATCAAGAATATACTTGTCGTCATCTAATCATTGCTTTAGCACCGTCACTCTATAAAACCATTGAATTCGAACCTGAATTACCGGAAAAGAAACGTGAAGCAACTGAACGCATGTATATGGGCTCGATTATCAAAACGATAACAATATATGATCGACCCTATTGGAAAGAGAAAAATTTTTCTGGAATTACGTTTGATACATCACATGTAGCAAATCCGGTGATATTCACTTATGACGACTCGTTCGAAGAAGATCGTTTCTATGCTATCATGGGTTTTATTGTTGCTGATTCGAGCCGACAGTGGTCAAAAATGACGCGTGAGGAACGTCGTCAAGCTGTTTGTAAGCAATATGCTCGTGCGTTTGACTGCAATGATATGATTACAGGTTGTCAAGAATACATCGAACAAGATTGGTCTGCCGAAAAGTTTAGTGGTGGTTGTTACGCAGACATAATGCCTAAAGAAGTTTTATCATCGCTGCGTGAACAACTTTGGGTACCATGTGGAAATAACGGACAGTTGGTTTTTGCCGGTACTGAATTAGCAACACGTTTTTCTGGATACATGGATGGAGCAGTCCAAGCAGGAGAAAGAGCTGCATTCGAAATTCTTACTAAATATTTGAAAGTAAATGGTGAGCATTTATCATTGACATGGGTAGATGAAGAACCAGTAGATCCACGCGAAGAGTGTCGATCACCTGATATTACTAAACTTATGTATGGACCATCAAAAATCGAAATGCTATTACCAAAAGCGTCAACAGTGAAAACTCTTTTAAAAGTGGCGAGTCTTGCTTTAGTTGGATTAACGGCTGTTTTTATTAAATCACGATATTTTTAATTATCCTAAGACATTACTTTGACGTGCATTCTACTTTTGATTAAGAATCAACTATCATATTTATTTCCGCAACAAAAGAAAATTCTTTTCGAAGATGTCGCTAGCTGCCATAGGTCTACTAATAACTTTTTATGAAAACTTATTTATCTGATAATAAATACAAATATCAATGAGAAAAGTTTGGTTGTTGTATGGAAAACATATATAAATATACGAAATCATTGACACTCGAATCTGATTGCTTGATTCAAAATTTTTTGTATAAGATGATGATGTATGAGTCATTACTCATCAAACTGTATGGTTTACGTGTATATTCACTTAAGAACTTTAATTAGGACATTCCTGCAGATTAAGAAGTAGATACAATTGATTAGGGTTTGAGATAAGGAGATTTCATTTCTATTGAAGTCTTTTTATGTATAGATACAACGGAGAGACTGAAATTGAAATGGATGTACATTTCTCTTCTAGATTTGATCATACCGTTGTAGTATTACATTTTGCTTCCGATGGCAACAGCATCTGATGAAACAGCCTCTATTTCATCTCTTATGACAACTAATGGTAGCTCACCTTGCACAAACGGTAATACAGCTTCCACTGCATCAGGTTTGACGATTTTCTTCGGAAAACAAGTTTTAATGTCGAATTTTACTAGTTGAAACAGTTACGAACACTTTCAATTGGGGCAGCTATCTCAAAACAACTGATTCGCATGCGGCTCCTGTCAGTTATTTTCGTCATGTAAACGAAAGACTGAGATCGATTACTTGAAGGAATCTAATCTCTTATCGCATTTAGGCACCACTGCATAATATGTGGTCACAATTAACACCAGGAATGAAGATTGAAGTCATTAATACAGATTGTAGTGGCAGTCCGAATGATAATAAAGAGAAAGTCTTTTGGTTTGCTTTTATTGTTCGTGTGGAAGGTTATTTAGCCCTATTGCGCTATGAAGGTTGTGAAGATGATTCATCGATGGATTTTTGGTATAATCTTTGCAATAAAGACGTTCATTGTGTTGGATGGTGTGGACAGAATGGAGTAAAATTAGCACCGCCGAGAAGTAAGCAGACACAAAGATTTGAATTGAAGTAATTCGCTTGAAATTTAGCTATCGAACATCGTCAAACCGATTGGAAAACGTTTCTTATCAATAAACTCGTTGGATCAAAGACATTGCCAGATAATTTTCGTCAAAAAGTAAAAGAATAAACGTCAACCAATCTTTTTCGAATGGTCTCTCTCTCATTTAGGTACAAATGTCACTTCGATGTCCGTTTCGAAGAAATATGGTTGTCGAAGTGATTGATAAATATCGTGTATCGAATATGCGTGTTGGAAAAATCTCTGAAGTGGTACGGAATAGGATAATAACCTTATTATCCAGACGTTACATTTTCTTTTTTTCTCCGTCTAGATTGGCGGTCGTTTGAGAATCAACTATGAAAACGTGAGAATCGAGATGTTGATGGCGACTTGTATAAACATTATATAATCTTTAGAGTCCTGGAGAACACTTCTGGGTACATCATACTTCGGAATTGATTCATCCTGTTGGCTGGTCACATACAACCGGACATGAATTAGAGGCAACCGAACGTAAGTTGTATACATGCATAGCGCACTCTTTCAATGAGTAACTGTCGATATTTAGAATACAAGAAGGAAGCGATCAAAATGATCGAAATGAATTCCTATCCAGCCAACGTTGCGACAGAAGATCTTTTCCGTAAAGTAAGACAAATGAAGAGTATGACCTTTCACGAAAAGATAATGAACGAATCGTTTAGGTGCCGATACCGTTATCAAGTGATGAGGAATTTAAAGAAGGACAAAAACTAGAAGCTGTAGATCCACTAGAAATGTCACGTATTTGTCCAGCAACTATTGGCAAGGTAATTCTCGATGAATATTTCTCCTAAAATACGTCTGAAAAAACTTTTCAACGAAAAACAATTGGCTGATTTTATAGGTACTCAAAGATGGCTATTTTATGCTATCGATTGATGGATCAAGCGTTGAAGATGGTTCAGATTGGTTTTGCTATCATTCAAGTTCACGTCTGATATTTCCGATTAATTTTTGTAAACTAAATAATATTCCATTGTCACCACCCATTGGTAAACTACCGAATCGAATTGATCTTCTTATTCAGTATCCGTGTTCTAGGTTATCAAGGTGAATTTCAGTGGGATAGATATCTACGAGAAACCAATTCAGTCTATGCCCCACAAGAACTCTTTCAAGTGATTAAAGTATGATATATTCACAATATTGAAGATTTATCTATAGTAAATTGCTTTTCAGGAGAAAACTGTCAATCCGTTTTCTGTGGGTATGAAATTTGAAGCTGTCGATATGATGGCGCCACATTTAGTATGTGTTGCAACAGTTGCTGAAATTGCTGATAGTCTTATACGTGTTCATTTCGATGGATGGAACGAAGATTTTGAACAATGGGTTGATTGTCAGTCGCCAAACATTTATCCAATAGGTTGGTGTGAACTTGTTGGTTATAAACTGGAACCACCCAAACAGCCGGAACAAGAAAATTCAGGTAAACTTAAACTGATTCCTATGCAAATCAATCGTGCCGACTTTTTAGAATCAACCAAAACACGCCCGAAAAAATCATCGAATCGAAAGTCCAACAAACGAAAACGACTTAATTAAAAAGTAGTTCCATACAAAGTAGACGTCCACCTTTTGACACGATTGCTTTTCTGACGCAAATGTATATATAGACAATGATTTTGTTGTAAATGTAGCGATGGCTAAGAGAGTTGTCTTTCATTCTTCGTTTTTTTCTCTTTTCTTACTTCTGTATAGAAAAACATGTTCTCATTAGATTAGCAAATAGAAGAACGACACTGTTTCCGTAAACTTAGTTTTTTTGATTATGCATTTCATGTACAACGCAGGTGCTTCGATTTTTTTTGTCATTAGTCGGTTTTAACACTGTGATGTACTTGAATATATACATATGTGTGTGTGTGATTCAAAATGCAAGACTGAGTCGATGAAGTGTCTTGTCATCCTGATTTGTCTTGTTTGTTTTCTTTTTCTTGTGCGCGTGTGTGTTCTCTCAACAGAACAGTTCTCGACACCGCGAGAGACAATTTTCTGACTGTTCGTTTTCTTCAATTCTGTTTTCTCTTTATCATTATCTGGTATCGTGTTTAGTGAATATGGTAGTCTCATGATTGTCTAGAGTGAAACATCAAACATAAAGATAAAAGTCGCGCTGCATATATATGTGAGATAGAACGATAAGAACAAAATAGTTGTACTTCATGACCAGCTATCTCTATTGAATCTATGGGCCTTATTTTTGTACGGATATCCTCAAAAGCTTCGTGATTTCATTTTTGAGACAAGAAAGTCAGTTTATTCATGTAAAAAAAAAGAAACAGAGATTGTTATTGATGGATTATCCACGTGTGCGTGGATCTTGCCAGACTTTGCCTATAGTTTTAGCAGTTGTAGTAAAATCCGAACATTTACCATCACCTCGACCTGTGAATCCACCTGATGGTGCACAAATACGATTGCATTTTTTGTCATAAAGTTCATTGAATTGATCACAACAGTTGCTACTGAATAGGAAAGTTCTCTTGTTTTGGTATAAGTATTCATATACAGTAGCTGGTGGATTCCAGACTGGCTGGGCTGCAATTGCATTGATTCTCTTCTGAATGCAATGCGGAATTCTTGCCTGTGTTGATAAACTGATCAACACAAACGAAATGCATAAGATTATCGGCACCGCACTAGTCTTCATATTGATACGTAGCAATCTTTTGATGTGTGTATATTTGCACTGCAAAGTCAACTGAAAAAGAAGCCAAATTGGTTTCGTTATTTATATTGTATAACACTAGGACACTCAGTGATGCAGAAAAAAATACGCAACTATTGGAGTGCAAATTCTATTTCAGTAAACTATCGCGTATTTATCAAATGTGACTCATTACGTGAAGAGTACTGCGTAAGAGAAAAGCAAACATGTGTAGTCAATCTCTTCCAGTAACTAGTGACCTCCACGTTTCAGGTATCCATGTAGAATGATTCTGATTTGCTCGTTGTATTCGAGTAAAATGAACTGAAGTAAAAACCTGAATGGTGAAAATTCATCCATATAACATAGTAATTGCAACACTTCTTTGCAATTCTTTTCAATAATAGAATAATAAAAAAGCACAGCAAGGTCGTCAAATGTGTCTTGCGAATTCTTTCTTTTCTTCTTCAGCTCGATATCACTATATACAACGAGTAGTCCTATTACGTTTTAGATCATTTGTGATAAGAAGGGAATTGAGACTACAGGATGTTCAGATCAGGACAACGAAAAAGAGTTACAGTTTCACGTCGGAGTGGCCTTATCTTTCCAGTATCAAGAATACATCGGGCCATCAAATCGCTACCAAATGTTCCTAATCGAGTATCAAAAGGTGCATCCATTTATTTAACAGCAATTGTTGAATATTTGACTGGTATGTATATTGAAAGAACAAAACCGACGGTAAAAACGAAAGCCATGGTCATCTTGATCTTTAGCTGAATTATTGGAACTAGCTGGTAATGCGGCCAAAGATTGTCGTCGTACACGAATTTCACCGCGACACATTCTGCTTGGTTATGCTCATGATGAAGAATTAAATAAAGTAAGTTAGAATACTCCAAATTTGAAGTGTAATTATCGTGTTTTTCATTGCTTAGGTACTTCGCAATTGTGTTCTTCCACAAGGAGGAGTACTTCCAAATATTCACAGCGTTCTCTTCCCTGCAATTACTACTCAAACGAAAAAGCAAGCGACAGCAAGTAAACCATCAATATCTCGAGGAACAAAGAAAACTACTGATCATGTCAACAAAGCAGTCGTACGAAAACCAACGTTAACGAAAAAAGGACAAGGAAGTTTTACTGTTCTTGGCGCTCCAACATCGAAAGTAGAAAAATCGACAAAGAAAAGCGTTTCTTTCATGAGAATATTTCCTTTACAGGCAGCTGCAGTCAAGGGTACCAACGTAACAACGTTATCTGAACGTGTTCTTATTCGTGGACAAAAAGTAAATCGAAACGAACTCGAAACGAAACTATTCTACTGACGACATATTTGTAGCTAACTGTCGTTCAAGGAAGTATAGTTAATATTCAAGCTGATGCAATTGTTCATCCAACAAACAATTCGTTCTATATGGGTGGTGACGTTGGTTTGTATACTGAATTGAATTTAACTCGTGATAGAACTCAGATGTAATCAATAGGTAAAGCTTTGGCGAAAGCAGGTGGACAACAATTACGAGATGCTGTTGCTGATGCTGGTAGAAATTCGGCGATAGCGAATTATGGAGATGGTTTGATATTTGATTATTTCAGTCTTAACGAAGATACAATTATTTGTCTTTCTTTAGTAACAATAAGCACAGCGCCGAATTTGACCGCATCGCATCTTATTCATGTTCACTCGCCAAAATGGAATGCCGAAACTCAGGATCAATGCATTGGTGATTTGGATAGAGCTACATTGAATATTTTAACATTAGCCGATCAACAAGGCCTGAAATCAGTTGCCGTGCCAAGCATCAGTAGTGGACAGTAAGTACTTGCCTTTCACAGTTAGAAAACAAGTTTCCATTATTCTCTTCTAGCGCTGGTTTTCCGAAACAAACAGCAGCACAAACCATTCTTGCTGCTCTATCGAAATACTTTCGACAAACAGCAACAACTAATCTCGAACAAGTATTTTTCGTTTTGTATGACGCTGAAAGTGTAAATGTATACACAACTGAACTTCAACGTATGGTCGAATAATCCTGATAGCAAACCTATAACAGTGGTTTATTTTTATGTGATAGTTCTTTTTTTTCGATTTTACCCGTTGCTTTGTGTTTTGTGCGATGTATGTGTGCGATTTGAATGTAATTATTTGAAGTAGGATGACAAGAAACACAAATGGATATTTGTTATACATACATTATCAAATTATTTAACATAGGCAATAAATTGTATTGTTTTGCTTTTAGAAACAGAAGAAATGACAGAGGATACTTCAAGATCAACTGAGCTCGAAGATTTATTTTTTCTTCATGCTAATTCAACAAAGCAATATCTAGTTAAACTTTCTCCTACGGCTATTTCTATTGCTCCACACGGTGCGCAACAGAGAAATCAAACGCGTTTTATTACAATTGATGACGTCTATGGGTGTTTATGTATGAAATCACGAAAAAATGCAATCCAATGCCATTTAACGTTGTATTTATATACAACGCGAAAAACGAGAGTTTGTAACACGCCGATAACAAAACAAGAAAAGTTGCGTCGCTTACGACAAATCTTAACCTATGGAAAATTCAATGATTTTGAAAGCAATCTGAACGAAATGACTAAATGGCATGATTGTGTAACAAATGCGATTTATTTAAGACGAAATTTACCTCGTAAGTGGAGAAAAGAGGTTTCCCGCCGTCAGATCATTCTCTTATGGATGTATAGGTGATATTGTAATGACAAAACGTGATAAGCGTGCATTGGTGTTTGTTAATCCAGCTAGTGGTTCTGGCAAAGCCTATCGCCTGGTCATGGAACACGTTATAGGTGTCTGGAGCGAATCTGAATTTAATCATCATATTGTTATTACAGGTAAATAGATTATTTCGTCAGATTGTTGCAATTCGAATCACGTTCTCTGATATAGAATATGCTGGCCATGCTCGTGATTATGTTAAAACGATTCAACTCGCCGATTGGAGTGGTATTATTTTAGCATCTGGTGATGGTCTTGTTTTTGAAGTAAATAATAGCTCATTAATGCCTTCAAAGAAAATGCTCCTACCGATATCTATTCACATATAGGTGATCAATGGTCTTATGAGTCGACCTGATTGGCAAGAAGCACTACGATTACCAATCGGACACATTCCTGGTGGATCAGGGAATGCCTTCATTACAAATATTATACGTTATAGCAAGTAAAACACTGTTCCTACTAAGGAACAAATGAATTGAAATTCTTGTTTGTCTTCTAGACAGCCGATCATGAGTGCCATGAAACAATTTGTTGCGCAAGCTGCTGTACTCGTTGCCACACATCAGGTGATACCGTTCGATTTATCTGTTATTCACACCTGTGATGAGCAACGTCTTTTTTCATTTCTCTGCGTGGAATGGGGTATTATTGCTGATGTTGACTGTGATAGCGAAAAATATCGTTTTCTTGGTAAGTATTCATTGATAATGTAATTACTAATTGTTCAATGTTGTTTCCAATTATCTGTATAGGTGAAACACGTTTCACAGTCGAAGCCATCAAACGCATTCTTCGTACGTAGAAAAAAAAGTACAGGTTGCCTTTTTCAATGCAAATCGTTTACCTATTTTAGATCCCCGTGTATATCATGGTTACATTGACTACATTCCATACGAAGATTCTGATACAATAGTTGATTTCAATCAGATATCAACACATGCAACTACAACTGACTTTCATCGTGATTTGTTGCCGCTTAACGAAGTCATTCCAACTGATTCCACTACAACTAAATGGCGACGGATCAATGGTCCATTTGCTCACGTTTTAATCACCTCAAAAGCTTTGATATCAAAAGACGTTGTCGCCAGTGCAGTGTCAACTCTGTCAGATGGTTATCTCACACTGCAATTCATACGCTCAGATGGTCCAACGCGCAAAAATCTTGCGAAAACATTTACAAAAATATCTGATGGAAGCCACTTTGATTACAATTTTGTCGAATGGATGCGCATTCGCGCCTTTCGACTCGTACCAAATGATACAAATGGAAACCTCATGGTCGACGGAGAAAAAGTTGCCTATGGTAAGCTGATACGCAGATCGATGTTCTCTAACTAGAGTCCCTTATGATTTTAGGTCCAATTCAAGGCGAAATCTTACCAGGTATTGGTCGATGCATGGGAAAATTGCCGAACACCGATCGAACATCAATAGATATCTGACGCGATTGAATTAGTTCTTCGTTTATTTATTCAATTTGAAAACTGGAAGAGAGATCTTTTCATGTGCGTTCATTTTCGCAAAAAAAACATTGTTTTTCTTTGCCAATTTGTTTTTCTGAACCTTTTTCTGTTAGTAATCTCCTTGCTGAGCTTGTACATGCCCGCGTACTCATATTTTATAATTACTCGTTTACAAGATTCTGCTAAAATATACACGTCAGTCTTTCGATTCTTTTTTGTATTACATTTTATTGGAATAAATTACTGAAATTCACACGCTGATGATTGTTTTCTTCGGTATTCTTCGAGGAACTTTTTCACAACTATCACTCGATGTGTTTACTTTCAATAAAAGCTCTGATTCGTTATCGAATTTGCCAGCGTGTCGATGAGAACTAATTGAATTCAATTACATATCGCTTATTTTCACTTGCATCGATTTTCTTGTTCGGCGTGCGCGAGTGATATTGAAATTCTCAATTATCCAGGGAGAGTGTTTTATCTATGATAATTCCAATCTGCAATTCTTCTCTGTTTAATAAAAGCGAACCATGCGAGGCCGAAATTGAATTATTTATATCATCATTCCTATCGAGATCATTCTCCATTCTTAACCCATGTCAGGCGCGCCTGTCTTCCATCTTTGAGTCACTTTTCTATTTTGTTTCCACGTGGAACTCTATTTGAACTGTTATGCTCATTGATCATTAAACAAAAGACGATTTTTATTTTACGTCTAATGATGAGCGTAGCCGTGCTACTATTTTTAGAAAGTATAATTATATATTTTGACAGTGTTAATTCAGCTTTCATGTACGGATATCCCTTCTATCATTATGTGAAATCTATTCAAAAAGTCTACGTTGAATTTAGGTGTGGTATAGCACCTCATAGACAAGGATAATAATATCGTGCTTTTGGTGTGCGTGGAAATAGAAAGCTATATTTTAGTGGGTTGTTATGTATATCAATATGTTGATGTGCTCCGTGAAAAAATTTTCTGAAGAAACAATATCTTTGTAATTATAGACACAGTTGTTCCGTTGCCCACACGGCGACACTTCCTCTCAGCCAACGAATTCAACTAATAAATCTTTATCACAGACATAAAAACAGTGATTTCACCGAGTCGCAAGGAGAAATCATGACACGGTTTCTATAGAAAATATTGACGTTCAGTCAAATAATGCTTCACGTGATATGGACGTGTATGACTGAATATAAAGACAAAAAACGCGCTTATTTTCTTTCTACTTTACCAATATTCGATCAATTATTCCTATCGTCCTTCAAATTCAAAGAAAGTACAAAGGTTAGAGAAAACTAAATTACGTCTTCGAATAAATCGGGAGAAGAAGAAGAAGAAGAAGAACCACCGTAAGTGGAAAGACCTTGGCTACATGAACTAGTACTTGAATGATTAGCAAAGAACGTATTTGTTGAGTATTTAGCTTAGTAAGTATGATGAAAATGAGATCATGCTCAACGACTTCATGTGTCATCCGTCGACGCAAATGGATTTGTCGGTTTAAAACGACATATTACCATGTCACGTTTCGTGTTCAGATAAACTTTGATGTCATAACGATTAAATATACAACAATGTTGAGTTCACTTCTCTCTTCCTTGTTGCTTTGTTTTTTCAAGCAATAAGACAGGCGTCTCAGTTGTTCCATCATTCCATTTCCGTCTTTGCTTTTGTAAGTCTTTTTCTTCTCCACAAACGAATAGTGTTTTCTCATTATTGGCAACTTTGAAACCACGTCCTTGCACTTCAATGCAGCTACGAATGCGAAAGCCTGATCAGTTTAACATCTTTCAGTAACGATATTATAAAAAAAACGTATGACTGGAAGCAATCAAATCAACCGGATTCTTCGAGATTTGCAGAGATTTTCCTACGTCTTTTATTTCATGATTAAATGAAGTGTCTATCCACGTCTGTTGGAAATTCTACGCTTTTTCTCCGTGATGAACCTTGACGAGATCGAATAGTCTTATTATTCATGACTATTAACAAGTTTAATTGCATAGAAGATTAGTTTCAACAATAGATATGATTATTATAGAAGTTCTATGCACGCTGACACTCTCATTTTCCGTTTTAGAGTTTAAGAGGTATCGAATTAAGATAGATGCGAAGTTGTTTTTCTGCTGAGGATATGAAACGAGAAGCGATTCGGCGTGTGTAAACTATCAGATAATCTGTTGTAAAAGAGTTGTTTGTTAGAATTTCATGTGATTGTAAAAGAAAAAGTCGTGAGCATGCAAATCATAATTGATTAGTTTGCAGTTGCGCTATCTTAACATGCGAATAACAGATAAAAAAAATCGATCAATATTAAGAATAAAAGCTAGACTATTGTCGGCGCTATTTTATCTTTCTCAGTAGGGCAGAAAATGTCAGTAGAAAAGGAAAAAAGAGATTTTTTTCTTCTATTACTTCGTTTCAACAACACACAGAGCATTCTTTTTCTATTCATCAATGATTCACATACAGAAAACCTAAGAGAGATGCAACAGCACTTTTGTATCTTGTAGTCATTTCTTTAATTATTGTGTAGCATGCATTTGGACATATCTGAATACTTCCTGCTTCTACTTGTGTGTTTAGTCCGTCTAAGTAAGTGCCTCCCCGACGCAAATAACATGACGAGCGAGCAAGAAAAACAACTTTTTATATTTAGGTTTTCAACTTGAATGCCTTCAATGTACAAGTCCTATTCGACGGGTTTCACGTGATTGGGATCACTCATGTTTAGATGGAACTCTCACACCAGTCAACTGTTCACAACCACTCAATAAAACTGAACCACCTTTCATGCAATGCGTATCGGCCGTTCATCGATTGGGTAATCGGCAAGGATCAGGTATGATGTTAATTAACTAATATATATGCACTGCAGGATACAAGTGCTTCTATATATAAATCCTAGAGAAGAAAATCCGTTTCTTTTTGGTAGATAGACCTATTAAATATTTATCAATAGTTAGTTCTTCGGATGTTTGTTTGATTCTACGCATATTCCGAACAGAATATTCCACGAAAAGTACATAGACAAACATGTGCCAACTGATCCTTAAGTATCTTGATAGAAGATATCTTCTCGACTAATTAAAACCTTTTATTCTTGTCTTGCGTTAAAATCATCTCCTTCAGTTCTAAATACTTCTAAGCGACGCTTATGTCAGAAATTAACATATGAAGTTGTTTCTGTGTTTGTTTATAGGTTTACTCATTTATCGTGGCTGTGTAAAAATAAGTGAATCTTTTCAAGAATGTGATCCGCCTATACCAATTGATATTGATAAAACAATAAGTTTTTACTGCAGTCTGACATGCTACGGTGATGGATGCAATCGGCATTCTGTCAAAAATGTTATATCATCTATGAGTACACTATTCGACAATCCGCAGCATTTATTGAATATTGTATGCATTGTAATTCTACGGAGTTTTGCGGGAAAAAATTACTAGAATTGAAGCTCACCATCGGTTGTATTTCAAGGAGCAATGTACCGTTAAGGATTCAACAAATGATCGATCAGGTTTTCCGGTTGTATATACATATCTCTATTTGACAAGCCGCTTGGTTTTCTAAATATTTTTGTCAATGTTGTTTGAGTCAAATGAAACTTTTTCAATATTGTTACTTTTACTTCGAATGTAAAAATATTCGCCGAGATATTGACATTTTTATACATGAAAACACTTGGATCATATTCTTTTATTAATAGCACACTCAAAAACATCTTTTATCTCAGTCTCTTCTTACAAAAACATCGTGTGCTCTGGTCCAGAAATGGATAGAATGATTTTTACTTGAGATTAAATCAGAATTCCTCTATTAATTCGTACACATCCACAGGGGTTATGAGAATAACAAAGAGATTGAATTCTAGCCTATTAAACTATTATTTTATCATAATTTGCTTCTGATCTATTTTGACATTTGTCAAACGTTTCTGCATAACTTCGTTTGTCATTTGGAGGCAAATATAAATAGCGAGCATCCACTTACATTTGTTTCGTCTCGAAGATGAGATGCATTGATGTCAATCGTAGGTAGACACTTGTTGAAATGCACACATCGACAAAAATAAAAGACATGTACTATCAATCTATCAACAATACATTATATCACTCGACACTATTCCAAATGTCATGACAATAGAATAGAAGTAGTCAATTGGCGTCGAGAAATCCAAAATCCAATCAGAATATTTGCCGGAGAAGTGCATTTAATGAATCGGTAACTAAAACAAAATGTTTGTCGTTGTCTGCTTTCGACAGATGCTTGAAACAGCATTATTCAGCAACAGACAGTGACATCCTGTCAGGTGCAGACATTAATTTTCTCTTACTTTCAGCTGCTCGAAATCTCGGAATATGAAATCGATATTCCAGCCACTTTCGGAACATTTCACTGTCTTTTAATATTAGATAATATCCAAGTAATTGACGAGCATAGATAAATCCATGATCGGCTAATAATTGACCATACTTTTGACCGATACCAGGTACTGAACAAGTCAACTCGATATTCATTTCATAGTCAAATGTGTTTGCATACCTGCAGTTATAGGTTTGATTGATATTGCTTCATTCGAAAATTGACATCGTTTATTGCTAATCAGCTGGTTTTCGATGCGTTGATTCGATATCGGCCATGCATTGTTGACCAACTCGAAAGATAAAGGAAGTCGTTCACTAGATTTCTCTTTCGGAATGTTTGTTTGTTTAGGTATGTCAATGATAAGTTCGCTAGGTCTTAGAATGATATTATCTTTTGCTGTAGTATGCCGCTTGATTTTCACTGGCTGGCGCGCAGCTTTTTGCTCTTTCGATCCACAACAATTTTGGTTTGATGCAATTGAATGAAAAAGAATAGATTTATTTACGAACAAACGTTGAGGTTTCGATTGACAGAAACAAGATGAAAATGACATGGAAAATAGTAAAACATAGACGCGCTTTGAATTAGATATTTTCTTCGCGTGAAATATAGATCAATGTGTCTTTTTCGTGATTTTCAGTACATTTCGAAAAATAAAGAAAGTCGGGCAACATGCGTCCTAGTATTCTACTTTGATAAACTACATTTCTTTTTATTCTTATCACACGTATACGTATATTAACTGATGTCTTTCTTGTCGAAATCTTCATTCGTGTGTGTTTTTATTTGATAGCAGAATGATGAAAAGCATATTTTTACTCGTTATCTGTGCCGCTATTTCACAATATACTCGTGCAGATCAACCAGTTACTGTCACAACACAATACGGCGATCTACTAGGATATCAAACCGATACAGCGCGTGTTTTTTATGGAATTCCGTTTGCGCAACCTCCAGTAGAACATTTAAGGTAGATGAAATAGAATTGTTCCAACTATTTAGTATCGACCTTTTTCTTTCTATAGATGGCAACCGCCTGCACCCATACAAAAATGGGCACCAAGAATAAGAAATGCTACTAGACCGGCACCTGCATGTCCACAACCGCAGTGTAAACTTCCTCCTATACTATGTCCAGCTTCTGTACGGTTAATCGTTTGAGATGATATCTATCTATTTTCGTTATTTCTAGACATCAGAAGATTGCCTTTATTTGAACGTTTTTACACCAATACCGTCGCAAACACCGTCTGCTACTCCATTACCCGTAATGATTTTTATTACCGGAGGCAATTTCCAATTTCTTGATGCTTCCGCACCTATCTATGAATCGGAACGTTTTGTCAATACAACGAATACAATCCTTGTTTTCATTCAATATCGGTTAGGTATTCTTGGCTTTTTGGCCACAGGTACAGGCCCAAATGATATTAAAGGTAACTATGGTATTCTCGATCAACGTCTCGCTATTGCTTGGGTAAAAGCAAATATTAATGCATTCGGTGGAGATCCTGATGATGTAAGACAAGACAACCTTACTCGCAGTGAACCACATTTTTTCTATTTCTATAGATTACTCTATTCGGTCAAAGTGCAGGTGGACAATCGACTGCTTTACATTACGTTTCAAGCGATATGCAACAATACTTTCAACGAGCCATTATTCAAAGTGCGCCACTCACCATACCATTCAGGTAAATCATTTACGACGAAACGTCTTCATCTTTTATTATTATTATGAACCTTCCAGAACCTATCTTGAATACGTTACCCCGAGCGTACTACTTGCTGAACAACTCCATTGTGCTGTTGGTGACATCGACTGTTTTCGTCGTGCTTCGTACAAGGATATTGTTGTTGCCCAAGCTGTGATCAACAATATGCTTACTTCATTCAAGCTTCTACTATTCTTTGAACCATGGGTACCTGTCATCGATAATGTGCTTGTGCACGGTCAACTTCTTGATATGGTTCAAAATACATCATTCCCGTTGAAAGAACTTATCGTTGGCACATTAAGTGAAGAAGCTGTCTTTTTTATTTACGAAGGCTGGGGAAAACCAGTAACACCAGCCACGTATGCTGAAGTTGTCTTAGCTACATTTGTTGAGAATGCATTAAAAGTTCTTGAGCATTATCCACCAGACAGTGTTACTGATGTGCGACCACTCTTATCACGCATTGCTACTCAATGGGTATTCGCATGTTCAAATCGTGTATTTTCTCGCAAAGCAGCTTCATATTCCTATGTGTTTGGTTATCCACTAGATTTTGATGGTTGGGGTAATGAAACATACTGTAATGGACATGTTTGTCACGGTGGTGAACTGCCATTCTTATTCGAGTCAGCTTGGACAAATTTCACAGATGCCGGACGACGTGTTTCTCAAAGTATGGCCACGTACTGGACGAATTTTGCTAAAAGTCAAGATCCAAATGAACCGATACGCGTTGACACACAATGGCCACGTTTGTCAAGCGGAAATGAAAAATACATGTACTTCCAAGATCCATTACAAGTTCGGGAGAACTATTTGAAAAACGATTGTGACTTTTGGGATAGTATTGGATATAAAAAAATTTCTCTTTGATTAAATAAATACATGATAATTCACAAACCCTGATCAAACTTTTCTTCCTCTTTGTAAAAAATACTACAACGTATGGAGTGTGACGGAATTTACGAATTAAATCACATGAAAATATAAGTATTTTGCAAATAAAATGGCTCATTACTAGAGATCTGACACGTTGCCCCTGCCGACTTATTTTGCAAGAACTATGTGTGGACAGGCATGTGCGTCTTCAGTTCTCAAGCAGTAAAACAATACCCGTAAAACCGTGACTGCCTGCGTTGTATTCACTGGCCATTTAGAGTTGTAGATGGGTGCCAATACGTCAAAAAATGCAAACTGCCTCCTGGAATCAAAAGGTTGCTTGTACTCATACTGAAGTATTTACATATACTCAATCCAGAATGATTTTCTAAAAGCTATGAACAGAGACACACACTTCATACATTGCTGGCAACTAATCTTTATATGACATCAACTCGTAGGCAAATCTTACAAAGTTTAAATATGGGATGAAGTTCGAGCCGTATTGTCGAGTAGTTTCAGAGGCTACGAAGTGATATACACCGGTGGATTGCATCTGCATGTACATCATAGGTTGTATAAATATGGTATTTATCGAATTTAACAAATGAACTGTAAATGCTCGTCATTTCGATATGGGAAATCAATAAGACGAGAAAAATTATGATATTCTATCTATCTTGTCAATCGAAGCTAGTACAACTAAGTTAAACTGTATCTTTGACATTAATGAAAATCTACTTTCGCACGAATTTCAGAAAGTAGATTTGAAACTTCTTTTATTTTGATTATTCCCGTTTAAAATCATTTCACTATGTTATCGCCTACTATTTCAGTCGAATAATCTTTAATTCTTCTTTGTTAATAAAGCGAATGTATAAATCGCTCCTCTTTTCGCGCACAGCAAGATTAAATCATTTTATGCTTAGTTCAAATATGATTTTTCCCTATGATTATTATCGTTTCATTTACATTATGTTGCTTTTCAATTGTCACGCAATGTTGGGAACGAAGCTAAAGTTCTTATTTAAAGGAGACAATAACATAATAAGATGCTCTGAACACGATTATCTCATTTATACACATTGGTTTCGAGCAGTTAAACAAAATATATCATGTCCAAATCAAGCTAACTTATTTGACACGAATTTTCCAAATGTATTTACGAGTATTGTTGATAGACAATGTAATTCCGAAAAGACTGCCTATAAAATGAAAATTTATGTCAATACCTCAACAGAAGACCAAGTTTCAACGAATGGCTTATGTTCCGATGGAGTCTCCACAATAGAGAACCATAATCTGTCTTTTTTACAGGGCACTTATCAGTTTGAAACTGTTAACTATAAATTCAAAGCGACTTGTGGTCCGTTTGGTGCAGAAATCAACTTTGAAGAAGAGCCTCTGGATAACGTTCAACCTGACTTCGATTTGTTTTATATATATTTTAAAACTCAACCTACGGCTTGTCGTTTAAAGTTTTATGCACCGAACGCAACAAGAGAGAACTACTGCCAGATTAAATGGCGTGGTGAAACACGCATGACCTGTTATTATGATCCCGCAGTAACCACCTTAGATGGACCAATTGATTGGAACAAAATGGATGCTTTTATCACGGGAAACTCTATTGCGCCTAAGAAATGGCTAGATCGTGGTGGATATTACTATCACAAAACATCAACAAACGACATCACCACACTGGTAAATACTTTTGAAGAATTTATTCTTTACAGCATTTGTAGCCTTTTCACTGTGTAATCAAGAGTGTCTGCCTTATTGACGGTCTAATAACTCTCAAGTCTAATCGTATACACGAGCACGAGCATTAAGTTCGAGTATCCATCGATAATAACATTTTCTTTTATTTGTGAACATCTCATTGATGACTAATATCGCAGGCAAATAATGCATAATAACTGAATTCTAGAACGTCTCTTTCTATTCAAAGTTCCTCGAGCCTTCTGATATGGCAAGCGTTAGATATTGCTGGATGAACTTCTATTGAATCGTATGACTCCTCTTGAAAATATTACGCGGAAAGTTAATGGTGTGGCAGTGAGAAGCTAGTCTGAATGGGTCGGTAGCCGCAATAAGAAAGAAAGCTAAAACAGGAATTAATGCTCTTTCTACTTTGACTAGAGCATGAGTACAACCACCACCAGTACGTCCACTACTACTAGAATAACAACAGCAACTACATCTACTACTAGTACAACTACGATCACTATAACTACTACGTCTTCTACTAGCACAACTACTACCACTACATCTGCTAGTACAACTTCATCCACTACTAGTGCAACCACAACGACTACATCTACCACTAGTACAACTATTACAACTTCCACTACTAGAACAACAACAACAACAACAACTACGTCTTCTACTATTACAACTACATCCACTACTAGTACAACCACAACAGTGACGAAATCAGCTCTTACCAGTATTGAGACAATTACTACTATTATTTTCCCAACCAGAACAACCAGTACTACAACTACAACTACAACTAATACATCTACAACTACAAATTCAACTAATACAACTACAACTACTATTACTACAATTGCTATCAAGTCTACATTAAAGCAGCTACATCCAAAACAACCAAACAAGACTCTATCGTCGAACAAGACAAACAAAAAGAATTCGTCAGCAATCGTTCAACAAAGAAACAAATCGAAAAAGAAGAACTCGTGGTCTTTATCTAGCTATGTCCCAGTTTTGTTAATCGTTATTGTTGTAGTTGTTTTTTTATTTGCGAGCTTTTATTTCTATCGCTCTAAATTACAAAAGTCTAACGAAGATCAATCGATATTGCCAAAAAACAATAGCGATGAATCGTATGTGTCGAAGACTCCTGACTTCAAATCGGAGCTAGCTGATCAAGAAGACGAAGAAGAGCAGTCTGCGTATGAAATAAGTCCACATCCTACATCAGGACGTACGGTCAGTCAATTCGATCCGGATCTATTGTAAAGTATCGAACAGTATTTTTTCCTACATTACAAAACACTTTTTGTCACATATGATTTATTAATCTATCTTCTGTATATATATAACATAACTAAAGAAAATGACAGACTATGATGTCTCTGTGCACATAACAGTTGAAATCTTTCTATTTTTTATTTATTGGAATGAGATGGAGTAGTAGATGTTACGTCAGTTGACACCTGGAAAGATGAAACGAGAACAATCGATAGAGTTAATTAGTAACGTTTTCTTGATTGATCTTACTCGACGTGTTGAAGTTAATGACGATGAATAATTTATTGGCAATGCTGGTCGGGATATACTGACACGTGTTCCATCCGGATTCGTTCGATACGATACTCTTGAAGGTGTTACTGTTGTTTTCTCATTTGTGCTAGATGGAATCAACGGTTGTGAATCATTCTGATCGTTACTTAACTGTGATGATTGAGATATATCGTTGGAACGATTTTTCTCGTTTTCATTAGAGTAATCTTCGATGATAATAGCAGGAGGATGTAGTTTAACTACAGGTAGATGAATCTCCTGTTGGCTAGATTCATCTTGAGCAAATAAATTACTCATGACTGTATCACTGAGACCTTCACTTGAGTTTTCGTGACGTTGAGATAATAAATGAGATGATTGAGACGATTTTTCTGAAAGGTGATTTGTTGCCGCTGCTGTTGTGGGCGAAATAACCAGAGATTCACCTTCGAAAATTGTAGCTAATACATGAGGTGCTCGAACACTATATTATGTGTATACACATGAAAAACAAAATTCAGCAATTAATAACATATGGATATTACTTTGTCGACATTGGATTTGAAGATATTTCAGGCGTTGTTGACGGTAAACATTCATTTGGTGCTACTGTTGACGTTGTGTCAGGAGGAGTCTTCTCTTCAATCGGTTTACCTTGCCTATATCGACCCTTTTTCAATTGTATTTTTGGTAAACACGATGCCATTAGATTCGTTGGTGTACGTCGAGCTGCCGCAGGTGTGAATTCAGTTTGTTCTTCTGACCCTTGATGTACTTGATTCAGAGCAACTTCAATGGCTGCATACGTGTCATCACTAATGGGTGCCCAGGGATTACTTTGTTCGTTTTTATCAGTGACATGAGTGGATAAAGGTTCTACTTGACTATCTGGTTGAGAATCGTCAATAACAATAGGCTGATCCGACGATTGTTGTAATTGACAAGTATCGAGAGCATTGGGACTTTCGAAACTGTTGATGGTTGATGATGTTGAGGTAATAACAGTGAATGTGGTATCGGGCGGATTCGGTTCTAAATGTGCAAGACTATTGGAATCAGTTGCAGAGGACGACGAAGTGGATTGGTCAGGTTCGACATAAGTAGGTCTTTAAAAAGAAGAAGAAGAAATGATTTCAGACGCAATCAGTGAGCGCGTAGGTTTACTTCATTGATGATTTAAATCGACCCGAATGTTCATTATCGGAAGATTCTGTAATAATTCTTGATTTTTTTAGTATCTTTCGGCTCTTAAAACATGCTCACATTCATATTTGAGAGAAGATATGCATTTCCTTACAGATTTGTTAAGGTCGATGGTCTTTTTAGATGATGTTGATATTTGCGTTCGTAGATGGTGACTTCCTTGATGATTCAGGTAACGTTGAACAAGTTCATCTGTCATTGGTAAAATCATCACATGCTGTGGGGAATATTGTTCTATATTAACCGTTGAGTTTTTATGAACGCTCTTCTTACTATTTGTTAATAACGATAAATGTTTCGAGCAACAATTATACGACGAAAGTGTCGAAAGAATTGAGCAAATTAAACAAGTTGCACATTTCGGTGTTCTCTTATAGTCATTATCTGATGGATAATTATCAGCATGGGCAGGACTAGATTTTTGTCGTGCTTTGTTACTTCGAGATCTTTGTCGAGATGCTGCCGGTGGCTTTTCTTCATCGGAATCACTAAGAACGATGTACGTTTTGTTGCTTGGTACTGGTTTAGATTGAACTGCTGGTTGCTGCGGTTGCCGTTGTTGTCTGTTGTCATTGTCATCGTCTTCATCATCAAGCCATAAATTATTACGTCGTCCAGCACGTAATTTATCCAACCGTCGGTTGACTTTCGACGTTGTGACTGATGATGACGTTGAGGGTGGGGGTGATTGTCGTTTGCGTTTCCCTACTTGCAAATATTCATTCGAAAACAAAGAGTTCTTATGTGAAAATACACATACGCAATGATTTTTTACCACTACTCATTTGACTAAACTAGATGATCGAACAAATCTAATGAAAAAGACTATCTGAATGGGTAAATTTTCACTTTGACACTGCTTAAACAATGATCCTCTTCTTTCCAAGAGGTCGCCAGTATCTCTTCAAATTGTCAACTCTATGTACCTTTTGTATCACTCTTAATAAATTTCATAAGAATGAATCTGTCTTGGATGAGAAATAGATGCGCTTCAATAAAATGCACTAATGTTTCAGACATCTGATGAGAACCTAATGAAAAGAGAATGCGATCAGATTAATCACAAGCAGAAACAATCTACACATGAAATGACGTCGGAACCATGAAAATAACTCGCTTTTATTACAACCACATACGAGAAATTCATTGAACTCATTTCGAACGTATCTGTAGGCGATTTTCTTCGAATAACTTCAACATACCTCTCGCGTCACTGAACATTCATCAATTCAGTTTCATCTTTGATATGAACATTATAAAGCGTTGTTACTGGCAGTAAACAATTTCTTTCTTATAATCATGTCGAATAGTACAGTAATCCACTCGTATATAGCCAAATTAAACACTATTCAAAGTAAACTAACATTGTATGCATACATCGTTATTTTCATCAAAGAACATATTGGATATATCTTTGTAATACTTTAATATTTACGCGATCTGATGATCACCAACGTTCGTGTTCGTACGGTATCCTTGCATTAATATTGATGAATTTCATTTTTATTAATATGGTTACAATAGTTCGGTTTTCAGTTTATTGGCAATACGCAAAGTCAAGGAACTTTAAAAATGTGTTCATGCTCTACGTTCCCATCCGCTGAGTAGCGTGCAGACCTCAAATGAGAATCATAAATTTTCAAAGAAAAATGATGATTATCAATTATTTATCATATGACATTTATTCGACAATATGTCTACATTATTTCAAATCTTCTATTTCCATTGTACAGCACGAAATAGATAACTCAAACGAATACCTACAGCTTCCATATCAGTGTAGCTTATACATTACTTTATTTAAATTTGTCTTCGACATTTTATATATATCTACCATCGTCACACAAGTTTCGAAAAACTTTGAGACGATTATTGTCGTAGCAACGTTTAAGAGGACATAGGTTTCATTTATAAAGAACTGCAGATACTGATTCGTCGGACCAGTCTATCTCTCATTGCATTAGGATTCTTTCTGTTTTCTCAATTGGGTGTATACTAACATTACACATATTTACACCACAAATGATCACTGATTTGTCAAAAGATTAAAGTTTATTTTCGAATGAAAAATGATAAGCAAGAAGAAAATAATCATAATCATAATAATAAAGTAAAAGCTTCGTTGGCGATTTATTTCTTCGGTGCAATCAAGCCTTCTAATTGTGCCTAAATAAGAAACAAGTAGAGAGATACAGATGAGACAAACCATCTCTTTTTCATCTTACTTTAAGTTGTTGATTGGTTTTCTTCAAGAAATTGATCTCTTCCATATGCTTTCTTTCTTCTACTTGTCGTTGTTCGTTCAGTTTCTTTTCAGCGGCTTCAGCATTCGCTTTTGTTTCTTTCAATTGTCGTTCTAAATCACGTTTATCTTCTTCGAGTTGAATCAACTAAATAACAAAAAGCAAGAATCTTCTCCTAGAATTCCTTTGTCACATTCTGATGTTCACGAACTTTGCGTTCCAATTCAGATTTGCCTTGTTCAGCCATCAATGCTTTTCGCATACCGAATGCTACACTACTTTCATACAGTGTTTGATAGGCACGTAGAGTCATCTGTAATTCATCGCGTACGCGTAGAAGAAGCAAACCACGCTCAGCGCAGTTGATTGCCACTTGTCGAATGAGTTCATCTACAGAAGAACTACAGTGAACAAACTCGATTAAAGTCGATATTTACCAAAACATTGAGAGAACAGTTCACGTCGTACAGGACAAATACCGGTTTCACGAGCTTGCCGTTGTTGCAAACGCATATCTAATTGTTCTTGTAAATTGATCACATCGAGACGTGTCGCTGGTGTTGCTGATATACGTTGACAATAAAGTAAATCAGGATTGTTCGGATCTTTCGTTATTCTAAATGAAAACTTCAAAGACGATCAAGTAATCGAATAGTTCGTACTTCGGTGGAAGAATTTTATCAAGAATTTCTTCTAGTGATAAGTCTTTCACGGCTTGTTGCTTCTTACTAATACGTGGTGAGTTGACACCGCCGCTAACATCCATAAGTTGCTGATCTAATGTTTGTTGTTTCCCAGCACCCTTCCGATCTTTATCATTTTGTGCTGTTATCAGTGATGGATTATCGAATCGAACTAAGGAGCCTGATGGTGGAATGATCGACATGATCTCTGTGTAAAGAATCTAGAAATAAATTGGCAATCGAGTCAACTCTTTTGTAGAATCACAGGGATGCTGATTAAAAACACGATTTAAGCAACGAAGGTTTCTCTCTAAAGGTTTGAAGTGTCGATAGTTTGTTTCTGTGTTATGTTACTAAAATTTTCACGCCATTGATGCTTGTTTTACACGTTGGTTACTAAGGAGCAATGTTAGCAATTCCACGCGAGGAAGATATTACTCGTAATGAATTATAGAAAATTTTAGAAGATATTGTATTTAATTCAGAATTTTATTCAATTGATACTAAGGAAGAAAACTGCTATTTGGCGGTTAGTCGACCAATCATTCACGAAGGATGAATTGAGTTGAGTAGAGAGTTTTAATCGTTACTCAACTCATATCAAATATTGCTCTGTTCTCTCTATTGTGCTGTATGAGTTTAAACGGAAAGTCGCCTGACAAGAATTTCACGAAAAATCGTCTATGGTTAACCAAGTGCTGGATCTCTGTATGAAGATATTCGTAATATTTCTCAAGAATATATTGATGCTAGAGACGGAGATTCGTTGTGTTTTTGAAGGGCGAAATGACTTGATGGTGATGAATTTTCATATAGTATATTCTGTACGTTACTAATACTGATTTTCTGATACATGAAAGTATCACTTTTGCTTTATTAATAATCTTCGATATAAACTGGTGTCATCTCCAATGAAAGCATGACTAAGATCTTCTCTTTTCGAACAATATCGATGTTTCTTTCAGCCAATAACATCTTATTCAGTTCGTTCGCACTTGTATTCGTTCACATGTGTCTATCTTTGCATTGTTTCGATGTGAAAATATGAAATTAGACTGTAAAATTAAGATTCAAGATCGACAGAGAACAAATGGATTAGCCACTATCAAAGCTGCGAAAGGTGTTGTTGGCCTTGCCAAATCCAATAGCGATGAGTGGGTTCTCATCGTTCGACTTTTCAAGGATACAAGCGCCACACAATATAAAGTATCTATCGTCTTCAAATTACTTGATTCAGAGAAAACCATCCAATTCTAGAACAGAGATCTTTGATTTTTAGTTACGTAACAATGTTCAGGCACTACTTCACAAGATGATTAACAATGGTATGGCTACTGTTCAAATCAAAACGCCAAGTCACGATGTGCAATTATCTGAAGTAAAATATCCAAAAAAGAAGCAAAGCTATTTCATCGCTTTTCGACACTTAGGCGAACGTCGAGTCTCTTAAAACTCTACTTTCAAGTATACGTCTCGCCTCGGCTGGTAATGATCTTCCATCTACGATTAAGTCGACATCTGTAAATGCCGTACAGAAACTTCAGCGTCCAACGCTTCAATTAACCATCACTCAAGTCAGTGATTATCCCACACTGAAAGGTTTTCCATCGACATTAGAAAAACTTACTATTAATACCGCACAACTCCGAACGCCAGTCGATCGTCGAATTTTTACATTGAAAAATCTTCACACACTTGATCTCTCTGAAAACAACATCACGCAACTACCATCGAAAATCGAAATGCTCCATCTTCACACCTTAACTCTTCGCGCAAATCAAATCAGATCCTTTCCAAACGATCTGAAATGTCCTGTGCTCAAATATTTAGATCTAAGTCAAAATCAACTCTCAGCACTTGACGAGACAATTTTAAATCTGAACACTCTCGAACGATTGATTTTGTCATCAAATCACATCAAGATCATTCCCAGACACTTACTACGTTTGTTGCCACAGTTACAAGTTTTCAATATCGCATCTAATCAGATTCGAGTCATTCCTAATGGTTTAGCTGCCAGCGGTACACGTTTACATACCTTTCATTACGGCGAAAACCCTTTGGTAACAAACAAGTGTATCACATGTCAACGATTTAATTTCACACTTGTGGAATTAGCTCTTCGAACGGTTGTCAAACACAGGTAAAGCATAAAGGAATTCATCATACCATCTTATGAGTGTTAATCTTTAGAATTCCTTACAATTTTCAAACGTTGCCACGAACTTTATGTTCGTTGTTGGTTAAATATGAATTATGTGCGCACTGTGCTGCACCATGTTTGACTAATTTCGGCGAAATTTTTGTCCCACGGCAGTTATCAGCTAATGGAGTTACAGTTCATGTTACAGCTGCAAGTCAATCATTTGCTGTTCCTGTACAAGAACGATATTGTTCAATGAAATGTTTTAACTATGGATTAAAACGAGCTGGTAACATATCGATCATCGTTTTGCTCCTCAATTGCTCCAATTAACTTCTTCTAGGACTGACACAAATGCCAATATAGTTCCTTGTTCGATGATAATTGAACTCAACATGTTTCTCGGTGATAATAGAGTAATTAAATAAATGATGAAATAAAAAAATCTGACATTTCATTTTCTGATTATCGAAAAATTCACAATATTTTGAGTATCAACATAGAGAATAAACTATCTTTTACATAAATGTTTCTAAACCCGCCCATGATCGGCCAAGTATATCTATATCTGTTGCTTGATCGATAATACAATCAACTTGCTCATCAACCGCCAATCTGTGATAGCGATTGGGTGCATATTTGACTAGAATCTGTGCGCGTTTGTTTTCGGTCTGATCGCCACCAACGATCTTCTCCATTTGCCGGCGTGCTTCTTTCAAGCTTGACGAACGAAGAAAACTATTCAATTTCAAATCCGACCTACGACACAGAGAAGAATCATCTCCTTTTATTTTGTTCCTTAAACAATCGCTTACCCAGTAATCACTGCAGGATTGACACCGTTCAATTTTAATCGTGCACTTTTAATTCGATCTTTAGCATAAGTATCATCTGAACGGTGCACATTTGATTCTAAAATCGAAGTCGTTTATTTTCGAGATAGCAATTCTCATCGTCAAAATGGCATACCATTCTGTGTCACTTGTTTACTTGTTTTCAATGCATGTTCCTAATGAGTACGTTAGATTACTATGGTTTTAATTGCTAAACAAGGCGAGCTTACCATCCATTCCATTAATGGTTCTTTGATGAATACATCCATTGTGCTAAGTAACAAATCGGAATTATCACGTAATGCATTCATTGTATGGATCATAGTTGCACGAAATAAACCGGTAGTACCAATAGGTGACATCAATTGAGTTAACTGACGCGTTAATCGAATAGGAATCAATTCAGGAACTGGTAAATGCTAAAAGTTCATTGATATCAAAGATAGATATTTTTGGTCAAGCGATATTTCTTTTACTTACAATCGTTGCTGCATTGAATGCTGATCCAAAATCGATACCAATCACTTGTCCCGATGATGTATCAATCAAAAAGCTAAAAAGTAGACCCGATAAGTGCGAACATCTTTTCATTTTCACATGAAACTTACTTCGATTGATGTCGATCACCGATTCCAAGTATATATTGACTTGTACAGAGAACTGCATAGCTAGTAATAAACTGCCGCCGTAAAGTATAGAAGCCTTCATGAGAATTAGCAATCTTATAGTAAGCTCGTCGAAGTAAATCTGCAGGCACAACCGATTGTATATGATTAAACTCTTCTCGAACTTGATCTTTCGTTAAACTAAGAAACAATTCTGCATACATCAAGGTATTATTTGCAGTTTTAGCAGTTGGCTTCGCTTTCTGATAGGCATTGGTCACATAATCTTGATAGAGCTTTCTTGGATGTTGACCTTGGTTTGCTATAATGTCAAGCTCAGCGTCCGTGTACGATTGTTCGATTAGGTCTTTCAATGGACGAGTGTTATCTAACCACTCGATTATGCCTAACTTCGATGACATCGGGATAACTGAAATGATCAGACATCACAATTTTTGTTTTCAAATATATATATTCCATTACCTTTGTAAGTTCGCACAGCGATATGAGCTGAATTCGATTGATTGCAGTTCGGATCATTGGCATAGAGATCATTCATAATGGAGAATAAGGCTTCAATTCGTTGATCTTGCCGAATGTCCTCTCCACCTTTGACTAAAAATCGATAATCATTCTCATCATCTCCACGAATTGTTAGGCGTTTTGGTAATCTTAACGAATGTAACACCAAAATTTTCTCATCGAAACCAACGATTTTAATATGATGCTCTAACAATGGTTTCTTTTTACTCGTATATTGTCCGGGTATTTCCAATTCTCGTATTGATGATTTGTCCAGCATGCGGTTTTGCTGTCGAAATCTCGACGAAAACCATGTTGAATAATCATTTAGATTTGATTTGTCTTGTAGGATGGTTTTTAATTTTAATGAAATATTTCCCAATGCTAACCGTGTATCACCCAAAGATATGTTGGGTAAGAGTTCACCTTGCTTGCCGAACAAGTCGTCGATTTCTTTTTCAACGGCATTCTTGAATAACGTCCGTACAGATGTTGTCTGAAGTTTGTCCGTAGATTGATCAGCTTCATCGGTTTCCATTACATCAACGAAGAGTGTTTCTTTGAACCTGATCACATGAGATTTCAGTCGGTCAAGATCGCGCGATGATGATTCCACTGATAATAAATGAAACAATTCTTTCGACCATGTATCGTACTGCTGCTGTGGATTTAATTCATTCAATGCTTCAATAAATTCATTAACCATTGGAATTGACCGGTTCAATTTTTGATGGATCGACTCGAGATTGTGTTTGAGAATCGGCTCTTTAACCGTTTGCTGTAAATTTTCATAACTCAGTTGAAATGGATAAACAATCGACTGAGGATAAAGTTTCACAATTTGTTCAATTAATGGATACAATTTAATCCTAGAAAACAAACAACGATTACAAATTAAGCGATAGTCGATGAATAGAATTTACGCAATAGGCTTGTCAAGATACGCTGTAAGTTGATACAAACAATCGAAAAACATCCAACAAGGAATCTCGTGTATTCGATTAGCGATTAAATCCATTGTATTTGGATATAAATCAACAATTTGCAATAGACGTGAGAATCGTTTCACGCCTTCATTTGATCCATATTTCATTGATGAGATCACCGATTGAACAACCAGTTCAGCAATTTGATTACTTTGGTTATTTTCAAATAATTTCTCCAGAAGATGGTTTTCATCTTCAAGATTTTCATATCGACGTAGATAATCATCACAAATACTCGCCAATTCATTGTAATCTCGACTGAGAATAGTTTCCTTTTCCAGATGAACACTTTCCTGTTTGCTGATATTTTCTTTTAAGATCGATATGCATTTGTGAAACAATTCCGAGATCAATTGATCAGCTTGGTGAATTTCTTGGATATGGCTGTCCAAACCGTACAAATACATTTCTAATTGTTTATGTTTCGCGACGGGAATCTTCTCGTCTTTTTCATACAGAGCGTACGCTTGTGGTTGTACGAGTAGAAAGTCGATAACTATGCGCGAAAATTGTGAATTCAATTGAATATACGTCGAATTTAGCTGAGCGGTTTGTTGATCAGTGATGTTCAATGATTGAATTTTAGTTTCCATTTTTTTCAACTCTTTCGCCACACTTGTAGACAGAAGACTTGCTAATGTTGCTGTTGACGACTGCACTTGGTAGCGTTTCAAATGTACATCGCAGTAGATTTCATTCCAATAGATAGATTTTACCAGTGGATTTCGACATAAATCGAGACGTGGACGTGTTTCGTTCAGTTTTGTTAGCGCTAATTTGAAATTACGCTGACGCAATGCACAATAAGCCATGTCAAGTGAAGATTGAACTTTGTAATCTATTAATAATGGATCGAATTCTTTTGCTTTCAATCGACTGGTAAATGTCATGCGTGGTCCACCGATTAAATCGTCGAGAATCTAAACAGAGTACTTTCCAGTTTACTTTTACATTCTGTATTTGAACTTACGTCCAGAAATAATGATCGATTGGTAACAATATCATCCCATGTTTGTATCGAATCACGTATAACATCTGGTAATTGCCATTGCGACAGCAAATCTTTGTGTAAACGTTCCAGAAATAGGTCTCGTGTTGTTGTATCCGTTTTATTATTTGTCAAATAGCGATTCTCCAGAGATTTTAGTAAAGGTAAATTATATTCAACAAAACCAAGAAATTGATCGAGTTCATAGTACGGTTGAATCAATTGTATGGTCGTTTTTCGACCATATTCGCTTAAACGACTCAATGTAGACCAACGAAGCAAGAATTGTTCTCTCGCATATTGAATATAATATTTTGCACCTGAAATGGATTGAAATTTAGTTCCGATCAATAAATTTCAGATACTTACGATCGAAATCTTTTTGGTAGAGAAAGAATGTTGCCAATTCAAATGGATATTGTTTTTCAATATAGGATCGTTTAACGAATGTCGTTTCGGCATTACTAGTTGCTGCTGTATTATTCGATGTCGATGATAGATTATTAAAGAATTCGCATAGATCTTGTTGTTCTAATTGCTCTTGTTCAGTTCCGGATATTAATAATTTCAACTTCGAACGTATTGCATACGGCATCAGATAGTTCAGTTGGTGTGCATTCGACCATAATGTGTCGAATGTTGTATCATCGATAAAGATATGTTTGGACATAATTGTCCAATTGTTCAGTTGATTACAACAGTTTAGCATTGACTGTGTCCAAAATTCGTGTTCTAATTCAAGAACGGTATCTTGAGTTGAATCATCGACGAGAGGATATTGTTCTAAAGCTGTAACATAACTGTTTAAAGCTAAGAGGAAGTCAGCATGACTTTCTTCTTCAATTGCGCGTAGGGTAATGGATTTCAAGCCGGGTGTTTGAGAAAAGATTCCTCGAACATCGTCGTAATTTGCCGATGAACGATAACATTTCGCTAATTCAAGCCATTGATCAATTTTCTTGTATAACTGCTTACTAAGATCAGGATCTGATTTCAATTTTTTCTTCAATGGTCCATGAAGCAACTGATTAGACTCGATCTGTTGACTGAATCGTATGAAATATTCGATTGTTAATATGCCAACTGATTCTAAATGACTTGCGATTGCTGAGGCGCTGATGTATTGCGCAGAGATCTGAATCTGTTGAGGCTTGGAGAGAACAATATCAAGTAGTGCAGCAACGAACGATGGATAGAAGATTTCCGATTGAGATAACATCACATCGAAGCGATATTGAATCGTCCGCAACAAATCATAATATTCATCTGACGATAATCGATCTTCTAAAGCGTTGAGCATGGATGTGAACAAACTCGCATAAAGTAAACGTGCTGTATGATTATCGTATTGTGCAAGCGCTTGCAAAGGTATGATGATATCACTGTAACGGATCTGAATATCGGGTAATTCACCAATGCGATAGGTGCGATACTTTTCAACTTGATTTTCTTGCTTAAGCTTGATTTCACTGAGAAATTGTTTCTCGTTTTGTTTCTTTTCGTTTTGTTTCCGAGCGAAATATGCAGCTAGAAAAGAATGGAGAGATCTAATCTATGTCTTCGCAATGCAATATACGAACCATGCAATTGTCCGGAATCTTTAAGAAATCTTCGCTTCAATCGAAATATATCATCATCATCTTCGTCGGCTTGCTGTGTTTGTGTTACTATTGCATTATTTGTCTTCGGTTTTTTATCAACATCCACAATTAACGAAGTCGTCTTTCGCGGTTGTGTTGACAATGTTGGTAAAGCGAACGTATTTGTTGAATCAAGCGTACTAGTTTGTTTAAGCCAATTGTAATTCGTACCATTGTCCAACATTTGAGTTGGGACAAATTGTTGACGACCGGACATTTCTTGAGTTTGTAGAATCATCGGCGTTTGTGACACCTGTTCTCCATTACTCTGATGATTACTATTCTCACTTAATGTTTGCATGAATTGTACCGGATCCATTGTCATTAGATTCGTATTCGTCGTTGATAGCGACGATGAATCGAGACTTGATGTTTGCGACTGTAATGTGAATAAAGGTATCATGTATGTATGATGACGTTGACGCCAGTTGCATGCTAACGGAAATTCTTGAAATAAACATTTGTCCAACGGATTCTCGAATATGAAATGATTGTAATCCGAATTATGTGTAGTACGTTCAAGAAGAAAATTTGTACAATAATTTAGATATTCATTTTCAGTCTTCATCGAATACATTTGATCGACCAGAGCCAGGAGACGATGATGCGATAGAGTACTCAACCGTTTCGGATCACACCAGAAATTTCGACAATTCACACGGATATATTCGTTTTTACTTGATAGTAATTGAAGTAATTGCTCCCGAACATGATGATAGAATGATTCGGACAGCGGTGTAATCGTCTTTTGAATTTCTTTTGTTAGATAGTTCGTTATATAATCATACATCCATTTGTAAATTTCAAGTGTCCAGGTTTGACATTCATTCGGACCGTCAACAGATAGAACCTGAGCAATCTCATATAGTTGTTCATGAGTTAAATTTGGTAATAATTTATGCAGTAAACGTAAGGCAACGGCACGAATGCCAAAGTCTCTGAAAAAAAGAGAAGATTTTCGTCGTATTGCTTTGCAAATTAGAAGTTTATTTACTTGTGAATGAGGATATCCAATATTCCTGCGGCGCGTAATTCTAAATACGCTGATTCGAATTCAGTGATATTGGCAATTAACGCTTCCAAACATTCGATCTTTAAATCTCCATACATTTTCTTCAAACCAAATATTAATTTATTCATCACACTATAAATTCCAAATACACAATTTAGAAATTTCAAACTAATTTACTCGCTTACGATTTCTCAACAATTTGTGGATAATGCTTTTGAATCGAATAAATGCATGTCACATATATATCTTGCAAGCCTTGACTGTTGTACCACTTCAATATGGAATTAACTTGTTCTAATAGTCGTTCACTTGATTCTTGTTTGATTTTTCGCACGTTGAGTAGCATACCGATGACTTCGGCCGCTGCAGCATAAATAGTCCGATAAGTATTCTTCATATTCTTTAAAATTGTGTCATGAAATTTATCTTCGGTTAGATCATTTGGTAAACTCGACAAAATTGAGCCGGTTGTCACTGGTATGGCGTTGCCTGTCGGTGTTGGTGGAATGTAGTATGGTAAAATTTCATTAGCTAGTAAGATTCCGATTAGCGAAAGGCCAATTGCATTTTGTTTCGATTTCAAATCTGTTTCAGCAATCAATTTATATAAGATCAACGTTGGAGCATGAATACGTTCTTTCCAACATTCGACTAACTTCTTAATTAAGTCTAAATTTGATTTCATGACAACAGGGTTTCGATGTGAACAATTGGCAAAAAGATACTCAACAAGGCGTTGAACAGCTGTCGAATCCAGTTCACTTGGTATAGCTTGTGTATGCCAAGATAGAAGAATTACAATTGTATCGATAATAAATGTATTCAACCCTTCCGAAGAATTTTCAAACATTTGATTACACATGTGAATAATTGGTGTTAACCAATAGCGTGCGTAAGGTTTAAATATCGTATGGGTATGAATGATTAAACGCATAAGAAATAATTTGATGTTAAATGCTAATAACGGATCACTGAATTTCTTGTACAAACATATCATCCATGCTGGCATATCGGCTGACTGTGATAGATTATCATAACGCGGGATGATTCCACTGGTTTCCATATGTTTTAATAAGCAAACCATGGGCACCATAGAGGGATGAAGGTTGAGTTCGTCCATCTCCATATCAATAAATTCCGAACCGATTTCATCGTCTGAGCCTTCGATTAGCGCGGGTCCGTCATAATCTTTCTGTTGAAACGATAGATTTGTTGTCGACTGTTCTGTTAACGAAGTGGAAAGACTCTTATTCAAGTCATTGTGTTGTTGATTGACAGCAGCTGACGTAAAATCAAATACAGCTAATTCATCAGTCAGACTACTACCGAATAAATATTGCGACGACAGATACCGCGGTGTACTAGCAAGACGTTGTTGTTGACTGGGATCATTCGACTTCGATGCTGTCAAGATTTTTTTGCACAAAATATTTAATAATGTACGCTTATCTTTCTTGTAATATCGTTCTAATTCGAGTGGAAATGTATATTTGTGATCTGGATCGATCAAATTTTCGAAAACTTGTTCATCCTTGGCTGGATTCGCATCGAAGATGAACGCTTTGTAAAGTTTGGCCTCGGTTTGAGTGCAAATAAGTAACGATATCAGACAATTGAACGAACTTGTAGCCAATGCCCGAATCAAATGAATTTTAATTTGTTTTTCAACTGTATGGATTCCAGCTAACATCATATCTAATGATTTTATTGGTTTTCCATCTACAAATTGTCCTCGGGCCTTTGTAATCACATGTTTCGTCAATTCTTTTCCATCAAAGTGTTCACCGATTTTAATTGCGGCCAATGGAGTTTCGACATTTAAAAATTTTCGTGCTTCTTCTTGTTTCTTCACATGATCGTAAAAAGCTCGTGCGATCGAAGAACTCATACCGAAAACGTCATCCTTGTTCAGAATTGTATACATATGGTCGATTAAACGATATGTACAAACTTTATTGATCAGTATTGACATTAACGCGGCGGATGTTAGATCAAGTTTCACATCCAGTTCGTCGATAACTAATGTGCAGATGTATTTCTTGTAGAACTCGATTAATGTGATTTTTCTGACTGATGTGAGAATTTTGAGAATTAATTTCTCTAATGCATTTAAACGATGTTCCGTGCGAAACAGGGAATTCTTGCCGAAAATGATCGAATAGATATAATCAAGTAGATTACTTTGCTTTTGATGGTCATTAAGTTTAATCACATATCGGCTGATCGACAGAAGAATTTCTTCTTCGAAAACATGGCGCTGTTCGCAGCATAACATCCAGATCAACAGTTCGAACAAGATAAATGACGATGATAATTCCAATGCGGAAAGTATCTTTCGAATGGCCGCTTGATAATCATGATATTCTTGTGTACCCGGAGGAAATTCCGTGCTTTTCAACGGAAAACAATCAGCTGTAAATGTGTGCAATGTTCGGCAGAGGTCAATAGACCATTGCTTTCGTTTTTCTTCACATAGATTTTCATCTGTGTCAATAGCAGCAAAAAATGCTAATAGGTCGAGTAAACGTGTCTTAAATGTTAAATTCAATTGTTTGTCAATTAAGAGTGCTAAGTACATTTGCGAAATATAATCAAATTGTTCATGAGTAATCAATCGATGGCTATCGATGATAAAAGTTTTCGTCAGTAATGTGACAATTAATAGTTTATCGTCGAGATTCGTCGAAGAGCAAAGCGAAGAGAATTGCGGCCAACATGTGTAAATTCCATCGACAAATTGTCGACCGAATTGTTGACGGATATCTTTCTCACGGCTACATAAATCAAGAACTGTACTTAGGAAGGCGACTGTGGGACGGCATTGTTCAATCGAATTGATTTCACCGACATTATCTGTGATGAAATGTGGCGTTGTACCAAGCCAACTGGTTATTTGATGTTTGAACAACGTTAGAAGATAAGTGCCGATTGTTGTCATTCCTGAATCGGTATGAATACGATTGGATTGAAAGAAATAGGATAAAACTTCACTTGGCTAACAAACACGAAAAGATACCGAGGTAATCTATTAAAGATGATCTTTGTTACTTTGATGCCGAGATAGATTATGTAATCGAAAAGAGACTGTAGAGCACGTTGGATATCAACAGTCAAAACAAGATTTGCTTTGTCGAAGTCATCTTCATGACTGATCATCTTCTACAAATGAAGTACAAAGTAGAATTGTTAGAGAAAAAGGAAATCTTCGTACCGTTAACATGATAGTCCAAAGTTCCATCGCATAAGATTCTGATTGCTTTGGTTTTGCTAATAGGCGAACGTCATGAAGGAGGCGATAACCACGAGATAGTGTAAAAATCATTGGCCACCGAATGATATTTTGTTGTAATTCACTCATTAAGTTATACGGTCTAAAAATACGCGTAAAGTAGTAGTCAAATAGCTTTTCAAATTACCCATCGGTTTTCGTCATCTCCAATGCAATATCATAGAAAGGTTGTAATAGATGATCAGGTAAATGGTTTGTCATAGATTTCAGTAGATTCGTAATCTAAACGAATAGGTGTTTGAAAGAAAAAGAGAATCTCTTCGCATACTCGTTCTGGTAATTTCTTATTGATTTCTTCATTGTTGATGTCGAAGCCAAGTTGTGTTGGATTTAACACACAAGTTAAGATTAATTTGACTAAATCCTGACTGTAGAATGAAGTATCGATGGCTCGTATGGTATCCTGAGGATATTTTGACCACAGTGCCGTAATGAAATTGAGTAAACGAACAATAACTGTGCACTTCGCACTACAAGAACAAAGCGATGTTTTCCATAGACATTTCTGTTGATCTTTGTCTTACGTTTCAAACTGATTGATATCCGTTGGCGTGAATACTTGTGGTTGATTTGAAGACGGAAAGTACGCAACAAGATCCGATAGTGTACTCATGGAAATCTTACTAACAAAATAGGACAAAGCAACAATGAAACGGCTCTGTTGATTATTATCTATAGAAAATCCACTGAAATGCATATTATTCTGTTGGAAGAAAGATCTACCTTGAAAGAGGAGCGGATTGAGAAAACCTTGAGAAAATATCCAAGTATAACAATCTAGTGAAGCAATTATGGTATCAAGCCATTGATGAACCATAGAAATTGAGAATTGTTCACCCATATCGATTAGATATGGTTGATTTGCTAGATTTGCTTTAAATTTGGTTTTCTTTTCTTTGTTCAATGTTCCTTCGAACCTAAGCAAAAAGAATTCGTCGAAAATAATAATAATAATAATAACAATCGAATGATTCACCGTTCAATGAAATAGATGTTGCCATCTGATTGAACTTTTAATTCAAAATATTCTCGTATTGATCGAATACCTTCAGTTTCAATTCAATGAAAATTTGTTCAAATGTTTCAAGTAACAAAATCTCATCTCCTACCTGGTAGTAGTGGAATGAATGTGCAAACTAGTTCGATACATTTTCGTCGACATTCAGTTTCGATTCTTCCACATTGTCGAAGTAACCAACGAACAGCAACATCGAGCGTGGCTTCTGACCACGATCTAAGATAGTAATGTTAATCTTAAAATACTGCCGACGAACAACGAAATCTTACGGTGGACGATGGCGCTTTGGTGTTTCTTTAACGAATATTGAGGATTTTTCTTTGATGATTCGTTGCATATGAGATAAAGCTGCAATGGCTTGTTGTTGAGTACCTGTAAAGAAGATCAACAATATTGATAGATATCATTGTCAAGTTCTCTTACCTAACGATGGATTATCACTCTGTGCAATTGACAAACTTTCGACAAAAACATAGAGCAATTGAAGTGTATAGACATCGACTAGCACTTCCGATTCTCTACAAAATTATAGTCAAATTTCTTGATCAGAACAAACAATTGAAAATATTTTTCTACCGATAGAGCGTATAAATAGAATTCCATGCTAATGTCGATCCGAGTCTTTTGAAACTGTTTGGATGCATAGAGAAACTGATAATACGTTTCAAGATTGACGTCGCATTTTTCAAATACGATGATTGATCATAGCCACCAGCATGTTTAACAGTCCATTTGAGAAATTCTCTCAGACAAATACCACTGAAATCTCGAATGGATGCGTTTCGTCCAGAAATCATTCCATCCTAGAATATCTCATTGAAATCGACATATTTTCCAAAGATGAGATCAAACCATGAAAGTGTCGAGCATAGACATTGTCTCTGGATTTTCGTAGTTTTGATTTTTTGTAAACCAATGAATCATTTGGATCATGAACGTAGTAAACAATGTTTTTGTAAACTAGAAACTATTCACGATAAAACATAATAAACATTTACATCTCTTACAGTATCGGAATCACATGAAAGCTCGAGTACAGCTGGAAACAAATGAGCATAGAGCTTTTCGTACGATGCCTATGTGTACATAAATAAGGAAATGAGAACTATTTTATGAAAGCAAACGAATACACACAGCAGCGTTGCTTCGATTATTCGCATTTTTCCCGATCATATAGAGCATGATGGATTGAAGTAATTCACAAGCTGTGATTTTGGCTTGTCGATCTGAACTGTGCAACGCCAGATCAACAATACGTGGAAGGAAAATATCTAAACAGTAGACGTAGGATTCGATACAAAGGGCGAAGAATCAAAATACCAAGATGAATTGTTGGTTTAATGTCATCGAATGGAACGTTGAAAGTCAAATGATTTTCATTGTCCCATGCTACAGCTTCTTTGACTAAATAATTTGAAGTGTCATCAATCAGATAATGACTGGTTCGATTGCCCAATGAACCAAGATATTTCAGTATGCGAAATTGAACTCGACGAATGTCACTGTCTTCGAATAGCTAAAAGTAAAACACTATGAGTTCGAGTTCGAATTTACAATTCGAATCATACGTGTTTGATCTGTTTGGTTTTTTTCAACATTCTTGTTGGTAGAATCGTTCTACTTTTCGAGTTCAATCGTGTTTTTTCTTGTAAAGATGAGATGATTGCTCGAACATTCACATCGTCACCTACGGATGCAAAAAACACATACATAAAGTTGTTTTCTTCGACACGATGAGTATTGGCATTACCTTGATCATGAGATAAACGTAGAAAATCATCGAGATGTGGTAATATTTGATTGTAAAAATTCGGTAGATTTAACGATGTCGACTGTGACCATCGTTCAAGACTATTGATCGTTTGTTCAGCTAATGGCAAATAAGTTAAACCGATATTCAATGCAAGCTAAAATATGGCCAGAATGAAAACGTTGTTTTTCTCGAAGGTTTCTCTCTCGTTTACTTGGATTGCTGGAACATAATCAGCAAAATCATAATCAATACATTCCGAAGGCAAGGAAATGATGAATTGTAAGCATGAAATCAAAAGATCATCTCGATATTGTTTTTGCCGCGATAGGACTTCGTGTGCAAATCGTCGTGCCAGTGTATTAACTGATGTTACCTGTTCATTTTCAATCATATCTGTTTCCATCATTTCGATTCCACCGCGAGTTGTCGGAATAGCTCGATCGGACTAGTCAAATAGTAAAATATTGATATGGAACAATAAGAAGAAATAAAGTACTTTGAAATAATTTAATTTTAAACATATATTCATCACTAAAGTGGCAAATCGATACAGACCGCTAACTAACGGATACCTATGTTAGAATAAATGTTAAAGGTGAACTGTCAATGTTAAATTTACTTGGTGGAAACGGTGATGATGTCATACAGAAATCGAAATATCCATTTTTGAAATAAATCAGGTGATTGTTCTGGTAGTAGATCCCTATAAAACAGAAGAAAACGTTTGATGAAAGTATGCGATTGACTTTTTTTACTGGCAAAAATCGACGAGATTGTAGAATATTTCGAAATCTTTAGGTTTGACAGGTTTCATTCCAAAAACCGGATCAGTTGTTGTTGTTCCATCGTCATTTTCACTCTACACGTTCATTTATAACAAATAAAAGCACGAGAACTGATCTAGTCTTACTTCCGGTTTTTCTTTTTCAACACTCAGATCAAGTCGGTCGATAATATGTAAAATTGAATCAATCATTTCATCGTATAACGAAACGAGCATGTTTTGTCGATCAAATATTGGATATGCATTTGTATCGAATTCTTTCAATGAAGTTACATTCAGAACTGTCTTCCATAACGGAATATAGTTTTCATAGGTAATTGTTTTTCCAATAGCAATAAGAGATTTCGCTTTGTCGTCAGGTAGGTCGGGTTCAACATCTTCTAATTGTTGTTCGACAGTAGATTTCAGTGGATGTGAACAACAACGAATGATCGCTTGGCTTACTGAAATAGAAAAATAGCGGAGTACAAACTTGTAATAGCGAGCAAGTTTTACCAATTCGTGTTAGAAATGGCTTGTAACACATCGGTTTCGTTTGTAAAGCTAAAATCATTTTAATTACAGATGAACATGTGGTTGCTTGTGGTTTTGGTTGATAACGTGGATAATAATCGATGGTCATTACAGTTAAACGTTCTAAAGGTCCAAGGAATTCTTCCCCAATCTAGACAACAGTATGCTGAATTTGTTTTGCTTAATCAAACAATTTATCTTACGTTTGTCATTTCAATAATAATCGCTGAAAGTGCATCAAGTAGATTGGGTAAAGCATAGAAACGTTCATCGAACACATCTGATGCTTGTGACAATGTGATTGTCGGCATGGCGATTTGTTCGCATCGTTGAATGAGACCAACAAACATGAATTTGACATCTTCATCAGTGCCATACAATTTACACGCCTTCAAAACACGAATGTCAATCGAAAGAAACCATCTAATACAAAAATAATCGTCTTACATTTGCGAAAATGCCGTAACCACGAATACCCATGGCTAAATCTCGAATCTCCAGTTCAGGTGAATCAATTTTATCTCGAAACTCTTTGATGAAATATTGAAATGTTTGTACAGCACGGCGACGTTGTTCCGGCGTGTTCACGTTCGTTTCTTTCAAAGCATTCGCTACCTGGAAATAAATGCATTCAAGTTAGTAACTATCCACCTTCTCAACTTACTCCAAGTAAAAACGTATCATAAGCTCGTTGTGCAATTTTTTTCACATCATAATTATCATGAGCATTCCATGCACGAAGACAACGAAGTATATCAGGATAATCATCATAGAGATATACAGTAAACAATGTCGAATGTTGAGCAAATAATTCCAATCCAGCTATGATCAAGTTCATGATTACATTGAGAGAAAATATGTTGTCTCAATTACCTTTAACTAATGCATATCGATTGAGATTGGTTTGATCTTGCGTTTGAATTGCTCGTGATGCGTAAATATAGACACGTTTTAAATTAGATTCACACCGAATCTGCTCTTCTTTAATTCGCTTATCCTCGTCCTTACTCTTTGTTCGAGTCAACGAAGGTTGTTGAACTAATGCAAATCTACATTGAATTATATGACTAACTCATGACGATTAGTTTACCTGGAGTAGATGACGGCACAAAGTTGTATAGATAATAGATAAGACCTTCCATAGCGCCAGCAGCAATTAACATTTCGAATTTGACAGCATCTCGGACGAGCTAGAATCGGTTAGAATCAGTTCTATTCAGTGATCGAGCTCCTTGGTACATACCTGTTCATGTAAGTATTTCAAATACTGTCCCAATAACAGTGGATCAGAATATTTGCGCATGTGTTCAGGAAAGTATTTACATAATAATCCCAAAAAAGCCAATGAAAGTCCCTTGACTAAATGAAATATAGATTGATGGGTCATGTGTACATAAAAATTACTTGTTGCTGTTGTTTTTGAACTTTGCAATCCAATCAGGTCGAGGAAAGTCGTGGCCATTTTGTCGATTTCGTTTTCCATGTCAAGAAATCCAGCACTTAATTCGATCAACTAAACTCGATAGATTTTAATGAATTATCTCGTTTGCTTCTGACGACTTTACTTGTGATAGAACAGGAAAAATTGCCGCACGTACATCAGACGCACCATCGACATTAAAAATTGTTAACAGAACTGATTTCAGCTCAACAGCATGTGAAAGAATCTTATTCGACGCAGTCTCGACAAAAAATTTCAGAAATTGAAGAATTTCAATCTTCGTTTTCTTCAACTAAACACCAAAAGAAATTAAATGACTTTCCTCATAAAAAGAGCATATCTACTTCAGGTTTTGAACATGCGCGTCGAAGAAACGTTAGTATATTCTTTTGTCCACTGAACAAGGCGGATGAACACATTGCTAAAATTCAACTAAATACGCATTTAACAGAGAAATCTTATTGATACCTGTTTGCATGGGTGATGGTTGTTCAGAATAAGCTTGAGCTAAATCAGCTACAAGTGTCGCACATTGTTCGTCAATGTCGGGAATTTCGCGAAGTCGATCGAGATGATCATGCAATTCGGCGATATAATTATCGAAATTTGACGTTCCGGAATGATCCGTCATGTTTCGAACTGATTAAATGATCAAGAAAAAAATCCGCACTTAACAAAGGCCCTCTTTTGGACGAATAAGAAAATACATTACTGACATCTGACTGTGTGAACAGAAACTATAGAGGATATAACTAAGAAAAAAACTTTGAGTTTATGTGAATAATGTCGAAACGCGTTGAAATGAATGAGATTTATTTGTAGACATCTCCGACATTGAGAAAAACGAAATGCCAAAAAAGACTCTTTTTCGCGTCGTTTATTCGTCAAGTTCGGATGAACAGCATCCTGCGAGTGAACTGAATCATCATGGGCCGTTAGTAAATGGCTGGCAAAGTGCACGTTTTTGTCAATATCCTCAAGAATTAGTTCTACAGTTTGACAATTATGTTCGTCTTCGACGTGTTCAATTACTCGCTCATCAGTATTTAATTGGTAAGAATTTGTCGGTTAAAAAAAACATTACTCAAACTTCTCATGATGGTTTAGCGTCAAAGATCGAATTTTTTCTTGGAGATTGCACTTCAGATGATAGTATAACACTTGAAAATGCGCGTTATACTCGTCTCGGGTAAGTGATTAATACTGTCTTATCAATGACATTCGCTCCAATGATCGGCTGTGCTCTAGATATATAGAATTGTCTGGTAATGAACGAACAGATTTCAAAGCACGAGAACTCAAGTCAATACACGTCGATGCAGAAGGATTGTTCTTAAAACTGATCATACATAGAAATTATACCAATCGATTCAATTTATATAATCAAGTAAATATTGACTTTGATCGACAGAAATCATTGATTTTAGTGCTGTTAGGTAAGCATTGTTGCAATTAATTTACTCGGTGACGATGTCGATAAGGTAAAAAGACGAACATTATTCTTTGTTCGACATCTAATATGCAAATTTTAAATAGCTGAATGAGACGAATGAAAGTCAACTAGATACAATACCAGCTCGGTAAGCATGCAAAGCGGAGCAAAGAGGAGATGTTCAGTTCCGTTTTTGTTAATACAATTTTAGTTCGGATCAAATCTCTATCATTGATGATCTAGCATTCGCTATGTACCAAGATCCCGAAATAGCTGCAATTATCAAGAATCTCGATCGGAAAAAGCGAGAATGTGTGCATGGTATTACGATATGACAAACGCGTGATCTTTCTTTATATAATGATGCTTTACAATGCCTAGATGAAAGATTTGATCAAGCACGACGATTCAAACAAGCGATACAAGAATTAATAAAAGTTTGTTGAAATCCGTGACATCAATTTGATATAAATTGTACTTTAGGTTGGCGAACGTCTCGCTCGATACGAAGTTGAAAAACGTCAAGCTATTGAAGTAAGTGTTATAAACAAAGGAAACCATACAAAAAACTTTTCAATTCAGTTGTATATGACAAGAACAAATAACGGTTGCTGTTTGTCTTTTAGAGTGAAGATTATGACGTCGCACAAATTAAAAAAGATAAAATGGAACTTTATCGGACAGAAACTTATAGACAATTGCAAGTACTTAATCTTCTCGATATTGTTATTGTAAGTAGCATCGTGCGACTTATTCGATAAAGTGATATTTCATCATTTTATAGGAAAATGGAAAAGGAACGGATTTCTTGAAGCGATTACAAGACATCATAGATAATGAACAAGACCAGAATAATTTCTTTCATGAGGTAGTTCATTTATATGTGTTATAGCACGTTTGTATATATTTTTACCTGTCGATTTTCAACTTTAGCCATCTCGTGCAACCAAACGACAAAACTACGGTATATCATTCATTCATCCAACGAAACTTCTGCTTCACACAGTTTTTCCGTTTAGGACGATCTCACCATACGGTGCAAAATCGTCGTTCACCAGAATCGTCTGTTTCTTATGGTGCACCGCCAACTGTACCCGATTCTACAGCATCTCCACAACCAGTTCAGACGAATAGGACGCGTCGAACTGGTTACGTATCGCCAGATTATCCCAAACCACGTACTCCTTACGAAGATAAAGTTATTCCAACATTAAGAAATCGTAATCGTACCGATGGTGGACATACGCAGGGTTCAGTAATGGCAAATACAGATGCGACAGGACCGACGAATGAAGAAACCGAAAGTGTCTACGGTGGAACGAACCCCGCACCAAATGATGATGCTACAGCGGAATTGAATCAAGCAGAAATGATTGAAGCAAATCAAATGATGATTGTATTCGACAAACAATTGGTAAGAATATGGATTCCACCTTTCGATAGACGTATGCTACATTTTTAGATCGGTAAACTCTATCATCGAAATCATGCACAACGCGAGGAAGCTCTAGATGAAATCTATCAAATCTTGAAATCATTCTCCGGCGACCAAGAAGACGCTCGTGCTTATTTACGTGCTGGTAGTTTCGTTGTGGCACGAATGTTTCGTTTTGATGTACTAGCAACATTTTCTCATTCCTTAAAACTTTTTCATTTATTAATGAACGATTACGTACGCAAACATTCCATACAAAAACAAGATATTATCACTAGTTTAGAACGTGTTCTGCCTGTTTTATTGCAACGTACAGGCGATTCCAATGCTCGATTAAGGCAACGCGCTCAAGAAGCGATCATTGAATCAGCATCCTATCCGGAATTGAAGCCATTACATGTTATACCGAACCATTGCGTTACGCCATTTAATAAAACATGCGCACCACGATTGGCAATAAGTCGATGTGAACTTATCGAAGAATTGATGAAAATACTAGATGTGAAAACAGGTGAAAATGGTCTAAATGTTGATAATGTTAGCAAATTTTGTGCACAAGCACTTGAACACAATGGTAACGAGATTTTATTTTGGAAATTTGTATCTGTTTGTCATATACATCTTTCTTTTTCTAGCCGGTGAAGTACGAGAATTAGCAATCAAAATTTTACTAAATTTATACAAGGTAAAACTGAATAAATCTTTTGCAGCATAGCTGACTTCTCGACAAATTTGATGTGTCTAGAATCAAGGATCGATTGTCAAACGTTATCTTCCACCGGACAATGATCAAACACGACGAGTTAAGAAATATCGTGATATTTTCGAAGCATTCGATCGAATGGATGGCGTAAGAGTGTCCTATTTTGACTGAACAGGAATTAACTGATGTTCGACTTTTTCAGATAACAAATAATGACCCATTGGAAGCCGAAAGAAAATCCGTTGGAGCGTCTGAAACAGGAAAACGTGATAGTCAAAAACAACAGCACACTGCTCGTGAACAGAATAAATCCGTACAAGAGACTCTTCTGATGTTAAATAAAACTCTCTATTTCTTCTCTCGTTTTAGTTCGATGCGAAATCGACTCGAAGTAAATCTCGAACACCCACACGTTTCGATCGGAAAACACCGACAACAAGTGTGGCTGATGAATCCGAATTTACTCCAGAAAAGTATGTCAGAGAGATTTTCCTCAACATACCCAATTTTACTGCACTGTTTGTTATATCTTAGTACGTGTATATTTTGTGGCGAGAAAAATGAAGATTTTATACGCGATGGTCTCGAACAACACTATTGGGCTGCTTGTCCAATGCTACGGCGATGTCAAGAATGCAATCAGGTTCGTTTGTTCTCCTGATGTTTGTTTTCTTTTTGCAATTAATTGTGTTTATTCCAGGTAGTAGAAGTTGCTATTTATGTCGAACATTTGTTGCGCGAATGTGAAAACAAAGGCAAATATCAACAATGTCCTCGTTGTTCTGAAGCGATTGGCAACGATTTTGATATTCATATCAAACTCAAAGAATGTCATGAAACAAAACCAAATACAAGTCGGTGTCCATTATGTCATATGAACATTCCTGAAGGTGATGAAGCATGGCGTAACCATTTAATGGGTGCTGATGGTTGTGTCAAAAATTCACGACGAGTTTCTGAACTAAAACAAGGTAATGTGTGAAGATTTTGAATGAATTTCTGAATGTTTGTGTTTTGAATAGGTGGACATGCGTCTCAACAGAAATCAGCCGTTGTTCCCACAACTCAAGTCAATGCAATGAAGAAAAGCACGGCAACCACCGGACAGAAAAAGATGTCAACGACTGTGAAATAAAAACATTGAAAGAATTCAATTCTTTACGAACAATTTCTACTCGCATTTGATTTTCTTTTTCTTGTATATGTTCGTTTATACCAAATGACATCTATTTTGTTTTGTTTTTTGACATTATCATCCACCTTGATTGTTGTTCGGTAATTTTCGTTTCACTATGTTTTCTAATCATCAACATTTCTCAATCTGAATAACTAATAACGAATCTTCTCCTTCTTCTTGTGTGATTGTTTTGATTTGCAACATCACTGACTGTTGTTATCATTTAACTTCTTTTCTCATGTACATATCTATATCTCGAAATAATATGTACATTCTAGCCTGGGTGTCTCTGTAGTAATCACGCACAAAATGGATATATTGACAATGTAGAGTTCGTTTTATTTTATTCACCAAACAAAGTCAGAATTTCTCTTTACGCACTTCTCGATCGTGCCTGCTCTTGTGCACAGCGATACTTGACATGTATATTTCATATATATTCTAGTTAAATTTTCGTTTTTATTATGGTGAGTATCGTCTTCTCATAAGAAGATATAGCATGATCAAACTTAATCAAGGGATTAGTGGGTGGTTCGGCATAAATGGATCGTTCAGCTTTTTCATTTTGCACTCAATCGAGCTAATTTTTTTTTCAAAAGATGCACTATGAAATTCTCTACAAATTTATCTAGTTTGTTCTCCTACTTCCATCTTCAGTGAATTTTCCGGACATGGAAAGTGAAGAATTCTTTTTATCGAATACATCAGAGTCAGTAGCGATCTCTGTATTTTTTCAGCTAAAGTTATCTGTAAAAGATGAACACTAAAATTCTCTATTAAATCGTGTACTTTATTTAATCTACATGGACTTTTGATAGACAAATAGTTCGAAAAGTGACTTTGAAAGTACGACTTTTCATGTCTTGGAGATTCCCTGTAGATGGAAATGCAAAAAAACAAACTAGATTATTTCATAGTACATCTTTTGAAAAAACGATCAACTCAGTTGAGTGTAAAATGAATAAGTTATTGTGAAAACCTTGAGCAGCCCATCTAAGCTGGGTCACTCGTTTTTATCCAAGCAAAATAATATCAACCATCATGTTCGTAGAAACAACAAGGTAGTCTTCCGTTCATAAATATGTGCGTTCTTTTGCGTCTATACATCCAATTAATTGATGATTTCATGTTCCGAAGTACATCTTTTAGGATACTTGCGTTTTCAAGCGAATGAAGAAAACAAGTATTCTATTAATTATCAAAAAACTGAGAACATGTGGCACACGATGCATACAATATCAAAGATTCAAACACAAAGACGATCCTTATATCATATAATAATCTTTGAGATTTTCATTAGAATGTGGCCTAATCCTTTCATGTGCCAGCAAAATGATATCAAAGTTCTTTCATACCGGAAATATGACGATAAATTTGCTCTCGGATGCTAATAACTGAATATAATCACTCATAGAATAGATTTGGCGCCTACATTCACTTTTAACGGATAAAAATCCGTTTTAACTCTATTTATGATTGCTTTTTCTCATAAAGATGAATGATCATCTAAATCATCTTTTCTTCTTCTTCTTTGTTTTGATCCAGACATTAAAGATCTGAGTCCCCGATTAAGCGTTCGTGAAAGATTTTCTACTTAATTATCTAGATTTCCATTTAAAACTTCGTCTCGAGGTCACAGAAAGATTATCTTAGCTATGGTTCATATCAAGTATCATATTATTATCATGTGTCACGATTTTCACGGCGTTAGAAATAAACACGGGAAGAGTGCCTGAAATAACTTTCTTTACTTGTCGCGAATTCAAACTATAATCTTAACAGATTTCAAAAATTTATTTAACGAAATAAACGACGACTAGAAGAAGAATGAAACAAGTTTTTAATCACAGTTTAATAATAACAGATGTGTTCGATAAGGATTCGTTGGCAAACGTCATTGGCGAAGAAATAATTGTTGTTACACCGTTATATCCGCTACTATTTTCGTCATAGCCAATAACTGAATCATTCGATATGATATTCAGTTGATCTTCATCAATCGAGGATGGCAAATCATGAACCAGGCAAGTTCTCAGACGTTCTTTTCGACTGTAATCATTCTTGTACGGAACGAACTGTAAGCGAAAACATGTGGTCGGCTTGCGTAGCTTCCAGGAAAAGCGTAACTTTGTGCGGAAGATATAGAAAAAGATGGAGTGTATATGAGCAGAAAATTGATGTTGAAAGAGATAAATAAATAGAATGCACATACGTAATGGAATGGAAAAATAGGCTAAAAGAAAAAGAGATTTGAAGAAGATCTTCACTGGTAGCCATTTGAATGGTGTTTGACAAAAACAAAGAATAATTGTTAGTGAAAACATGTAGAAAAGATGAGTTAGAGTTAATAATATATGTGAATATGTAATTAAGCGAAGAAATGATCTCAGTTGAATGATTAATACCGATTGTTTATGAGATTCAGCTGATTTTCGTCTTCCCAAGGAGCGAGACTTTTCATACAATTGTTCATGATGATTCGTATCCATATTTGACATCTTGTATGTGTGAACAATGATTAAATAATACGATAGTAAAATGAAATAAATCAGTGAATGAACTAGCGAAAGAAAATTCGATAGATAGAAATTCTTCTGTCCGTATGTACAACGATTGATTCGATAAGAACTATGTTTTTTCTTCTCGTTAGTCGATATTTGTTGTCGTCTAGTTCTCTTCGTTCGATTGTTGATGGGATTAAACAAATCATATGGAAATTTAATTATAATTTCATTACCAGAACCATCTTTATGATTATCAAAGAGTTCATCATTTGAATGATTGTGAGAATTCGATATAATTGCTGTTCGTTCGTCACCTCGAGAGTATCGATCAAGATCGGCCATGAAACGATCATGAGAACGAAGTTCCACATTGGACGTGTCATAGAATGATAAGCGTATTTCTTGAATGTTAATTTCGTATTTCGTTTCGTTCAAGGTGATTAAGTGAAGTTTCTCCAGTTTTAAATGCGTTATCCAGTTATTATCATAGACAATGAAGAGAAGACAAACAAATGTCAAGGCACGAAAGTTGATTCGATTGGTGTTCGGGAGAAGGTTATGGGTGAGGAAATATCGAATATGATAACGACTCAAAGCAAACAGGAATATCAATGTTAAACATTGACCCGATTCAGCTGAAGATTTCAAGTAGTATGGCCAACGGCAAAGTTGATTATAGAATTGCTCGGTTGAGTTGTATTTCAGTGCAACTAAGGATAATAATTGAAGTAGATCGTAGAAAGTTACTGCATACAGGAAGGAGTTGAGATAAGATAGATAAACATTCGTCGATCGCGAGAGTAAAATAATGATTATTCCAATGGCGAAGAGTCCAGTCGAGATGATTAAAACATGAAGCATACGAAGCGAGATCGTGTGGAGGAAAAGTTCTTCGATATCATCGAAAAAGAGTCTATAAGTTGGTAATAAATTTTTATCTGATTGGTTATGAAACATGGCAATGATTTGAAGTGTGTATGTTCAACTTCTGCTTTCTTCGTCTAACGCCAACTGCGACCTTTATGCACGAGAATGCTAAAACGGAGTTGACATCACTTGGCATTGACAATAATTTATTTAATGATAAACAAAATCTGCACTAAACGACGCTTTATTATCACGAATCTAAAAACGTAAAATTGTCCGTAAATAATAAGAGGGTTTACGCATGACTTCTATATGTTCCCTGCCAAGAGAGGAGAGAAACGATGTTATCGAGAAGTAGAAGAAAGAAGGAAGGAGAAAAAGACATTTCTTGTCAGATTGAATCATTATCTCATTTACGAATCTTCTATTCCCATGATATCAACGAAGATTGATGAGAACAAATCGAGCTAACCATTATTTCAAGATCTCTATCGTCTTTGCAAATAATGATGTCGATTTTCCATCAAAACAGTTCTACTTTATACACACGTGTGACAGTAGAACGATATAATCACCAATGCTATCATTGATTAAAGCTAGACTAACGCAGATACGTCTGACGAAGAGAAAACATGCGTTAGATATAGAATACGCTTCGTATATCAAATGAAAGGATTTGTTGAGCCTTAGACTTCGTTTGTAATATGAAGAGATTCTGGTGTTTGTCTAGGGGTTTAAAGAAAAGAAACTATTATTCAAAAAACAATAGGATTAACGTTTCTCGTGACGTCAACATACAAGCAAACATTGATAACACATACATATATATATAAATAAACCTCGCTTGCATGCTGTGCATATTGCTAGAGAAATTTATTCAGTTCTGCATCAAAGGAGCTGAATAGACGCACGCGTGGTTCATGTTAGCTCTTTCAGTTAGAAAACACCCACAAGACGAATGCGCTTCTGTAAAAGAATGATTACCGCAAGCAAAATGTTCTGTATGAAATATCACTTCAATATTCTATGTAGATTTACTTTTGAACGTACATACATGGAGAGTTATGTGACCTTTTCTACTCATTGAAGAGATAATCCTCTAGACTTCAACAACATGCTACGACACGAGCATTTTTTTATTCGAAAAGTTCAACAAAGAACGTTGTAAATGTCATGAAGAAAATCAGTTTCTCCAAAATGAGTTTCATATTTATGAAAAGCAATTAGACTGGCCGAGTTTTATAAGCGTTACGATGTACTGAGCGACGAGAATCTGCGCTACGGTTTGTTTCATCTATTATTCAACAAGACTTCGGCCTTTTAATCTATTACTGTTGACCATCTATGTAACCGAAAATAAAAGTTAATAAGAAAAAGCTAATCATTTCTTATCTCGGCTATAATTCAAAAAGAAATCAGCAGCTTTAATATAAGCTTTAATGTCTTTATCTAGCTGGAGGAAAATAGGTAAGATTATTTGATCTACATTGGTACTTTCAAGTCGGGAACAACAAACACATGAGATAAAACAATCAGTCGGTGGATCTAAGTATGTTATATTCTAAACAAATAGATGGATTTGCACGAAGAATTCTACTTAGATGGCCAAAAATAGCTCGGAGGTATAAAGTGGGGGACGATGATGAGAATATGCAAGATTACGTTCGCTGGAAACTTTCACTGACGATACGTATATCCATCGATATCGTTTTCTTTGAACGCTTGATGAAGTTCTAAGAATATGTAGTTTTGAACGCATAAAACTCACATTTTTTACTTGTTCATGCGATTGAAAAGTCACATAGTAATTCAAAGAAGATTGTTTCCTAGAAGATCCTATAACAATTATTGCGGAGACGAAGGAGGTACCATCACCCATGAAAACATATAGATCTATCGAGTATATCAATGTACGCTAAACAAACATGAAATTTTCTACCTCTTATTATTTGTGATGTTGGACTGATTTATACTGAATCAAAATTAGTATCGATGTATCATATGAAAATAGAATCAGCCAAATTATTACGTAAAACATTTACACAGCCATCGTCGTTAATCATTCACTAATTTTGATTTACATCAAATTTAATATATTTCAATTTCCGTTCATGTGCACCGCGCAAATGATAAGTATACATTATCGACCTAAATAAGAATAAAAAATAATATACCGCTAATATCATTAGTAATCATATAGCTATCTATAGTAGCGTTAGAACGACATACTAGATGATTATCATGCTTACGGTATCCTTCACTTGAGGTACACAAGAAGAAGGAAAATAGGAATGTATCCGTGACATATATATACAGGGGTGTGTATGCGTCTCACAGCTGCGAGATAGGTTGTTTTCATTAGTGAAATAAACTTTTAAGATAAAATATAAGAACAAAAAAACTATTCATCGTAATTTATTCATAGGAGAAAGTAGTCACTCGTATGATTAAAGTGAATATAAACCGAATTGTATTAATATTTCCTCGTATGATAATCTGATGCTATTTTCTTTTCAGATTCGTCTTCGAATAACACGATTCCCTAGATTAATTCTCTTTCTATTAAAATAGCAAACAGAAAATTTATTCGTCAAAGATAATGTACGCAATAGCTTCCGGCACGTAAATAATACACTAAGGAATATGGGAAAAATTACCTCCATCTATTTCGAATGCAAAAATATTCTCAACATTATCTATGCAGTCCAATCTCAAAAGATCGATATATATATATATCTAGGCTAGCAAATAAATAAGTGTGGTTTCTGCTTGTAAAGAGAAGAAAAAGTGAAAGAAACAAGGATCTTAGTTTGCATTAAACTTCAATTACTTATTCATAATTAAAACTATACTACCCACTCTACCATTTGAGCATTTCTTGAAGAACTTCTCCAGCGGCTATATAGAGAAATAGAGGAGAATGACTTTCGCAATAATAAGCACTGCTTTTTCTTCAAGTGATGCAATGGTTCGCACTGATAATATCATAAATAACGAGCTGAGAAAGGTAACATGATATACGATCGATAAAACTTTCCCTCGGCGTTGCACTTATCGACGCACTAATTAGAAGAAAAATGACTCATGACTTCAAGTATTCCTGATTTTTACGAACAATAAGTATGCCTATGTCTCGAGAAATAAAACGTTCTACTCTACCTCAATGATTTGTCATTGATTTTCTACCCCCGGATTTACTGTCATTAACTGTCTGCACCGGTAGAAGGATAGACTGGGTTAGGTCGGTACATTGATCTCGACTCTAAGTGAGCACCTACGCAATAGTATGTATTTTGAGTTTAAATTTAATCTTGTGCTTCCTCCACGGAGGCGTTTGAAATAAATCTTCTACAAAAAATAAAGAAGCAAATTATTACATTGCAAATGAGAAGAACATCCGCACCTGTCGTAGAATTCTGGTGAACATTAGTTGGAAACGAGCAGCGCCATGCAGAGTATAGTTCCTTCTAGAGAGCAAAAGTAAATATGTCTCTTAAGTGAATTGATTATAGATCGTTCGTGAGAACATTTGCTCCAAATTCTATATAAAAACATCAGGTGGCTGCTGACGACATGTAATAAGGATTTATCTTACAATGCAATAAAGAACGCGGTAAATGAAAATAGTATCCACAGAAAACTCAGGAGATATTTGGGTACAATCGGCTTTACCATTAAGATGGAATCACTCTTTATAATAGTCATGCAATATTTGCACTCACATGCAATTAAAGACTTTATACATAATATTTCCTATAATAAATAACCTGAAAAATAACTTTCAATATCATATTTTCATTAATTTTCCTCGTAAATGTTCGCTAGAATATTCTAATCTCATTCACATATATTGAATAATAAACTAAGCGAGACAGGAAAAGTGAACTATATTTTGCCATCATCGATACCATGAAACAACGTGTTTCTGCATGCTTCGAATGAATACATGCCTACCCACCTCACTGACCTCAATTGTAAAGACAGTTATATCATATTATTAAAATTTTAATGCATACTTGTCAAGTTTATTTTAGGAAATTTTGACAGTAATATTTTATAATCTTGACTATGATTATTCACAAGTTATACAAGAAAAAAAAGAGATCATTCAGGAGAAATGTGTTCTTGCTATACATAGAAATTTTCGGCATAAATGAATATTTCATAATTTGCACTTGTTTGCGATGCATTTCCAAACGTAGACTGTTGGTAAAGATATGTGTGTAACATTGCTTTGCAGTTTTTCTTTAACTAAATCAATTTGTTTGAATGTATCGTCCTTTTCACCCACACAGTGTGTTATACGAGATAATTGCGTGTCATCGTTAACATCTTTCGAAGATAAAACTCTTCCACCATACGCTTCAATGTGCCGTTTTAACTTATTATATTCATCCAGAGGTAATGTTGATGATAGATAAATAAGCTGATTAACAAATAGATTGGGAAAACGAACTTTCAGTAAACTATTCGGTGCAGATTTGCGCAGAATTTTAGTTCCACTTGGTTTAACATCCGTATCTGCGTCATCATCGGAGTCGATCTCGAGAAGTTTACGTTTGGTTGGCGAAGATTTCGTCGAAGATGAACTATTGTTCGTATCACCGAAGTGAAACTACAAGCGAGAGACATGGTGAAGGATCTTCATACGAATTTTAATACATACAACATTTTCCTCATCTTCGTCGTCATCATTGTTGTTGTTTTCCTTTTTCGATGGTTTGGATTTTTCGAAAAGTTCTGTTAAATATTGCAGGTTGGTAGCTTCTTTCCATGTTTTGTCTTCGCGTACTTTTGTTACGCGAGGAAAACGAATGGATATTCCGTTTGCAGTGTGTTGCTTTGACTTGGAAAATTCAGCACCCTAAAAAGAAAGGAAAAGATTGATCGAATCGAGATGGAAGATGTCCAATACAGTTATTTCCCACACGGGTGACTTTTTCGGATCAATGACAATAAAATCTGGAACAAGCTCCCGGCTAATATTGCACCATTTCGGAACTTGATTGGGATTTTTCGAGATTTTCGTCATAGTCGGTTTGAAATCACCCTGAAGTTTTTCCAATGTGGCATCATCAAAACCATTTCCACATTTTGCTCTAGAAAGATTCAACACATTCACGTTTGACCGGAAAATTTCCATTGCTTACACAGTGTACCATCGATCGTTTTCCGGGTCATGACAACCAAGTAGAAAAACGCTCATCAAACCCCCTTTCTTGCCTGTACCATAATAGGCACCCAGTACAACTAGGTCAGCTGTATCAGCCATTGTACCTTCCATCAGATAATCCTTTTTTACTTTGAGCCAATGACGTTTATTTGGCTCATAGGCTCCATCAGGATTCTAATATTCAAAAACTAGGTCATTCGATTCATTGATGCACATCGGTAACATACTTTAAGGACTAAACCTTCAAGTCCTTCGGCAATGGTGAAATTAATCAAATGTTTCAAATCAATTTTCTTATTGATCGTCTTCAGATCCGAAAGAACAATGTGATTCTCAATAGGTGTCATGTGATGAACCAAAATTTCTCGTCGCTCTTTCAATGTTTTATCTGCAACAACGAAGCAGAGCCATATCATTCATTCAAGTATCAGCTTACACTTACGTAAAAGACTCTCTCCATTGTAATACAAACAGTCAAAGATGAAAAATGCTTCGTTTGCTTCAGAAAATTCTTTCTTTTTATGTACACCGAGCGTTCCAAATGGCAACGGTTTTTTCGTCCTAAAACTCAGTTACATATAAAGCGCATTTCTCAGAAAGCGAACTTACTTTCTGTCGACTAGGAGAATTTCGCCATCAAGTATCATTGATTCACCTTTTGGAAAGGCTTGTACAACGTATTGGCTGAGTTGATGGATTTTATGTTCAGTGACTGGTTTTAAACTTCGAGAGAAGAATTTAAATTGATTAGTTTTATCCTTATGCAATTGTAAACGTTCGCCATCGTATTTGATTTCCGCATAGAAACCTTTCGGGCAACGTTTGAATGCAAAATCAACCGATTTGCACGGTTCAGCTAACATTGGATGGACTGAAAAGATCGGTTTTCTCAATTGAAAGTCGAAAAAAAATCTTTAAGAACTGCCTACCTGGAGTCATCAGTTCAATTCGAATTGATAATTTCTTACTTAGCTGTGTTCCGTTCTGCACGGAAGTTTTATGTTCTAAATAACGTTTGATAAACGATTTCAAATCATTTGTCGCTTGAAAACTTTCGTAAGCATTCGAACCAAGACTTTCAATGATATGTTTCGGTCCGGCGTTGATTTTCTAAACGAGATTTCACTGGTTTTTTGTTCGAGAAGAATACTAGGTTCGTACGAGATCTTTTTGAACAAGGCGAATGAACATACGTAAATCATTGACTGTGCATTTTTCAGTTATTTTACGTAATAATTGAATTTGATCTTGCTCACGTGTTACTTGACCTAGTTCATGTAGGTAATGATCAACGTCATAATTGGATAAGACGGTTTTTGGAGGCGGTTTTACATGTGTCGTTGTGGAATAAAATTCGGCAATTGTCTCTGCCACATCTAGTTCAAAGATAGACAAAAGTGTATTTTCCTTAAAAACAAATAAGTAATAATCTAATCGTACCACCACATTCTTCACATTTTTGAATCATTGCTGTTGCATTTTCGTGAAAAATGACAGAAAAATGCTTGCATAATTGTTTGGCTTTTAAATTATAAATAATCGACTTATAGCCTTTACTTGGAAGAAGAAGATGGAAAAGAAGACTCAAATTGCCTAGAACGAAGACCTTTCTGATGGATTTGATACTACCAACTAGATGTTGTACCTTTAAAGCTTTCTCCATCAGTTCCATAGGTAATAAATTGTTCTACAATCGACGTTTTAGCTAGATGTCCATTTGTCTCAGCGATTTTCGTACAAAGTGCACGGAATTGTCGAAAAGCATTGTCTGGATGTTTAGGATCATCATTTGCCGGTACATGAACTCCATCTGTTGTAGTTTCTCTCTTCTTTTCTGTATTGTCATCGTCTTCATCAACAATATCAATGTCATTATTATCAATGGTTGATTCGTCATCATCATCAGCATTGATTTTGATCGGTGCTGCTGTTGTTTTCGGGACTGGCGCTGGTGTTTTCTTGGTTGGTGTAGTTGCTGACTTAGCCAGTTTCTTCGTTGGTGATTTACCTGATGCTTTACCGGCTCTTGCTGCTTGCGTCTGTTTGATCTGCTCGAGAATAATCTCTCGATCAGCAGGACTGATATTCGACCAGCCATCGAGATCTGTTGAACTATCAATAATCTTCGTTGTTGCACGAGCGTTGAGAAATGTTTCGAATATGCAAGGAACATGATGGTAAACTTTCATTGTATCACCTTCAGAGAATGGACTGGGTGTAATCTTTGCGATACGTAGTTCACCTTTGGCAATCTTTGCTTTACATTTCTTACAACCAGATGTACCTAGTTTGGCATAGTCAATAGAAAACCGATTGTCTGCCATGTCAATAGAAGAGATGAATTCAATTACAATCTGAAATGAACTTTATTTGTATACAAAACGAAAAAAATATTTATAGGATGACAATGATTTGTAATAAATATGAGAGAGCGCCAGAGGCTAAACATTATCCTCTTCATTCCAACAGAGAGAATATTGAAACACAACATCATGCATCGACTTTATTCATTCAAATAGAAACACGTAAAATAGTATTGGACTAAAAGTAAAAATATGTTTGTCCTCTTTGTAGATGTAGAAATAATTCAATGGGATTGAAACAAAAATTTACTAAACATGACTTAGATCATCTTACTGGTATCATCGGTCATTATCGAATTCTCAACTAATTGCTCGTTCACTTTATATTCTAGATAAATAAAGAAAAAACATTCGATATTCATCCACAATTTCGTGTCTTACTGTGGAGTGAGGTGTTCCGTAACAACAACCGGCTTTGTGTACTGACATTGCTCTCCTTAGTTGTTCCGATTCACGACGACGATGATGACCTCGTTTCAAATGAACTTGGTTCTTGATCTTTTTCGTTGGCTCTCGAGTTTGTTTACACAATCTTGTTTTAAATAACGAAGAACGACTCGAAGATGTACAGGACGAACTCGATAGCGAACGATCAAGTAGACCTTCGTACTATAAATAGAGAAGCATTAGGCAGTGGATATTTTAAATAACAGTTTAAATGAATTTGAACATATCATGTATAGATACAACTCAGCATGAAGAACTCTCGTACACGGAACAACATCCTTTCAGGATAAACTTAGAAACGCTTTCTTGTGACGGAAATTGAAATTTTCGGTTCGATAAACGCCGTTTTGCATCATTCAAACAAAGAAAATCATTGTGGCCTATGAAACAATCAATTACTCACAGTAGTGACATACCTCGCACTGTTCCTGCTTACAGATGTTGATATTATCTGAATATTGTTGCTTTTTGACTATTGCAGTTAAGATTTTCTTCATAACACGTTCAAGTATATGACTAACGTTCATCGATCCGGATGAAATCGATACTGGTCGATGAGAGATTATGCTAGGAGCAGCATTACGTTGAGATTCGAGTTCTTCCATCATTCGTAGATGAGCCATTTGTTTAACTAACTTAGCAATATGTCTATCACATATCGACGAATTCGTTTGTTCGACGACTGGACCGGGAGAACCATTCGATGATGATGGAGATGCATAAATAGAATTTGTGTAGTTGAATCGAAACAAATCTTCCGGATAATAAGTTGAGAACAAGTATGATGAACTAAAAGGAAATTATCTCAGGAAAAGTCGTTGATATTTGCATTATTTTACTATAGATTTGAATTGATTTCCTCTAGAGAATTGAATTTCTTGTTAAATTCATCAATATGAGCAAATTGTGCATCTGACGTATACATTTGTCGATTGACACAAAATGAACATATTTCATTTGGATTGAAATCAACTGGAGTTTGTTTTTCTAAAAATATTCCATAGATATCTTATTTGTCCACATAAATAGCTGCTTTTCCTACCATCTAATTTATAAAATACATTGATATCACACTCGTAATGGTATTTTGATACTGTTTCCAGACCAACTTGAAGCAAAACATTTCCCGTCCATTTACGAAATTCTTTTCGAAGGAATTTTCGATCCTGTTGGCATTGACTGGAGTAACATTCTGACATCTAGACAATTTCACTATTAACGTAATATGAATGGTAAATTCCAGTAAAGAATAGAAAGACAACGCATTCTACAGTATCTCTCTCCTCTCACGAATACACACAAAAAACGTTATTTCCGCCAATCGATAATCGACCCAAGCATGTATACGAATACTCGTTTCAAATTCAAATCATTTGAAAAATGCACAGATGGCGTAAGATGGCTTCTCTACCTGCATTCTCGGCTTAAACGAACGGATATAGCTCGTTCTATTTCAAATCTATTTGCATAATAACTAACGAGATAGATCTGTGAAAAGACTGCGAACTTTTACAAAAATAAACTTCTACAAAAAAAAGAGGGAAAATAATGGTAAATTTTAGTTACTATCATTGTTTCCAGTCCTTTCTCGATTTCATTGAATCTACCATCTAGTATTAAAAGATTTGATTAATTTAAAAGCACTTTAGATATGTTCCTTCCCATAGAATCTAATTATCATTGTCTACAACATTTATCATAAAAATGGAACCCATATTCCTTCTTGTCATTTATAAAAGCTTCTGAAGACTATATTTCCGTGCTGAAAGAGGTTTTTCTTTTCTTTCACAAGGTAAAGAGATATTTTCCACAAAATCCGTCTCGTGACGTTAATAATAGTACATAATAAATCGAACTAGTTATTCATTAGATGCAACGTATACTAACCTATAATCTAGGTCAAAGCCTTTAATGACTTCTAGGAGATATATGAATCAAAATAATCTACTTACTAGTTATTAGACCCATCGGTTGTCAGCTCGTATGTTCAATTTATTGATCGATCCAGTGATATTGTGGAATTTTCTTGCTATATAGGATGGGAACAGACGGTTATTACACATGAATTGTGCAAGAACACATTTTGAAAAGCCATTTTTGTTTGTGTCAACCATGGCAACACTGATTAATGAAAAGGAATCATTAATACTGACGGGAAAGATTCGAGCAATATGGCTGGGAATTTAAAGATGTTGATGAGAATATTTTTGGTGATTTGAATATTGCTCGCGATAAGAAGTCTAGTAGCGCTACAGAACTTCGAGGATTTTCCAAGCACTGATTGGTTAACTTCTTATCGCGAAAAAAGATGGAAGGTGTGTCATGTAGGTTTTACCTAGTGCATTCGTTTGGTTTTCATCTATTGCCCATCGATGTTTACATTTCCTCTCTTTGCCATTTCTTATCTCTAAACCTTTATAGAGAGTTCGTTTTTCAAGGACATTCGGTGGCGAGATAGTGTGGATGAAAGCAGATTGTTTTACTTTTGTTTTCTTATTCGTCTAGATCTACAGCGATTTCAAACGTCGTTAACACAAAAATGATTGGTTTTAGTTCTCGATGTAATTCCGCACTCCACACTGTCGGTGCAAAAAATCTTGCAGTAAGAAGATGATTAATGGCGAGTGAAAATAAGATCTTATACGAACGAATTTTTAGGCTTCAACATGGCTTCGATGTGCTAGTTCGTCATCGAAACCTGTAAGTTTATTTTGATAAGCAAAAAACATTCGACAAATCGATTTTCATAGCCAACAATAAAGAATTGGATTAATGGAAGAGCTGTCGAATCGAAAGCAAAAGATTGGATTGAACTCACTAATCCAGTAGGTAGCTATGCATTGAAAGCAGCCGATTCTAGTTTACATTTCTAACTAGGCCACGAATGAAGTCATTGGTTTAGTACCAAAGAGTACTCAAGCTGAAATGAACGAAGCTGTTGAAAGTTGCAAACAAGCATTCCGTACATGGTCAAAGACAACTATACTTCAACGACAACAAATTATGTTTCGCTACCAAGATCTCATTAAAAAGAATATGGTTGGTATCTTTGTCAACAGGACTCTATGCGTATGAATGTGATGTTTTTCTAGCGAAGAATTGCTGAAAATATTTCTCTCGAACAAGGAAAAACCGTTGCTGATGCTGAAGGTTCAACATTACGTGGTTTACAAGTGGTAGAATCGTGTTGTTCAGTAACATTTTTACAAACCGGTGATACAATGCATAGCGTTGCTAAAGATATGGATATTCATAGTTATCGAGTACCATTAGGTGTTACAGCGGGGTTAGTCAGATTGCGATTTTGATAGATGAGAAAGCAAAAACAAGAGTTTATCCTTTAGTATTGCACCTTTCAACTTTCCCGCAATGATTCCACTTTGGGTGAGTTATCCAGACGTGCAAATTTCCCTGCCTATTCATTGAGAATTTTCACTTCTATGTAGATGTTCCCGGTAGCTGCTGTTTGTGGTAATACAATGTTAATGAAACCAGTAAGTTCATTGCTAACAGAAAACAATATGCTGTAAATTTCATGATTCATTGATTAGTCCGAACAAGATCCCGGTGCATGCATGATGCTTGTTGAACTAGCAAAAGAAGCTGGTTTACCGGATGGTGTAGTTAATTGCATTCATGGTCAACATGAAGGTAAAGAAAAGACTCTCTTAATATTCACTTAAATTTATTCGATCGATCTTGCAGCTGTTACATTCATTTGTGATCATCCTGATATCCGTGCTATATCATTTGTTGGTTCTGACACAGCTGTAAGAATCATTTTCGCGCGATCAAAGTTTTTCATCATCGAAAATGTATTTCTATAGGGTAACTATATTTATGAAAGAGGCTCAAAAAATGGTAAACGTGTTCAATGCAATATGGTATAAAAAATAAAATATCTTGGCCGAAGTAGAATGTCTCTATTTGATTTCAGGGTGCGAAAAATCATGGTGTTATTATGCCTGATGCTAACAAAGAACAAGCATTGAATCAACTTGTTGGTGCAGCCTTCGGTGCTGCTGGTCAACGATGCATGGCTTTATCTACAGCTATATTTGTTGGTAAAGCACGTGAATGGATTCCTGAATTTGTTGAAAAAGCGAAAAAATTACGCGTTAGTGCTGGTCACGAACCGACAGCTGATTTAGGACCTCTGATATCGAAGAAAGCCAAAGAACGTGTCCTCGATTTAGTCGAGTCTGGTGTTAACGAAGGTGCAAAATTGATTTTAGATGGACGTAATGTCAAAGTTCCCGGTTATGAAAATGGCAATTTCGTTGGACCAACAATTCTCCACGAAGTTACAGTAAATATCGATTTGAAAACATCGTCTCGTCAATGTTCTTTTGTCCCTTTAAGCCAAAAATGAAATGCTACAAAGAAGAAATCTTCGGTCCCGTACTTGTTTCGATGTCTGTCGACACCTTAGACGATGCCATCAAAGTTATCAACGAGAATCCATACGGTAATGGTACAGCTATTTTTACAACCAACGGAGCTACTGCAAGAAAGTTTACTCAAGAAATTGATGTTGGACAAGTACATGAAATTCTTCGATGAACTAATTAAACATCTAAAAAATGTGTTTTATTTCATCTAGATCGGAGTCAATGTTCCAATTCCAGTTCCACTTCCAATGTTTTCCTTCACTGGGTCTCGTGGGTCGTTCCGTGGTGATACAAATTTCTATGGACGCAACGTAAGAAACTGAAAAGATCTTTTCTCGCTTGCTAAACTATTCTGTTTGTTTGTTTGTTTGTTAGGGTATGAACTTTTATACACAATTGAAAACAGTGACTTCACAATGGCGACAGGAAGATGCCACGCCCATGGACGTTCAAATGGCAATGCCAACAATGTCATAAGACAACAATAACAACAACAACAACAACAATATAAAATCCGAGCATTCTTTTCCCATAACTATTTGTAAACGATCCTAGTGCAGTTTTCGTTGTTTGGTTTACATGATAAAGAGAATGCGAAAAACACAATTTGAATTCTACTGCTTTTCAAAATATGCCATTGAGTGATTGTAACACCTTGCATTCATCACAGTGGGAGAACATACAGATATTCTATTTATAAAATGCTGTCTGCTCAATGTTGATAATGACCTGTAAGTCTGAAATAGAATGATTATTCTCAGACAGGCGAATAACGAATATTATCCAAAAATAGAACAAAACGATCAGCATTAGTCTTGAACTAATGTGATTCATTCACATAAGATGCAGCTGTTATAGTATCAGCTGCGCGTCCTTTTTCTCTCTAAAATCCAAATCGGTATACTTAAAAATGACACTAATGTTAAACAGTTCGCATTATCTTCGTCAGATTCAAGTAAGACAATTATGTGAACAAATGAACACAACATCTAGCGTTAAAAATGAGAGTTTATATGAAGTAATATTTGTTGGAACGACGCAATGTACAGTCAAGATACAATACAACATGTTAAGGTTTTTCTCTCCAGTTCTAATGTAAAAATGTGTGAAAGTGAAGATAAACAGCATGAAGGAAAGAAAAGAAAGGACTCATTATATGTGTAATGCAGTCTTAATGCACGATAACATAAAGATATAACCGACTATGATTAAATAAATGATGAAAGTCAATAGAGTTTTATATAACATTCATTTATGTGCATGTTGACGATTCTTTTCATTATTGACCATCGCTGTAACAATCTTTCGCGTATCGCCACCGGCATCATAACGTTGTGAATTGATGGCAACTTCTACTTTACTACGTTGTTTACCGCCACTACGAAAACATATTGTTAAAAAGATAAACTCTTCAAGAATATTTTATTTACCTTCCAGCATGAAAATACTTTTCGTATTGTTCATACGTATCCTCTGCGTTTTGCTCAGCTAATTCACTAGCCGAAATTGAGTTTGTCGCTGACATAATCAAAATTATCTAAAAATAGCAACCGATCATGTTAGATTGTGTCAAAATTCAATTCGAAGTGTGCATTACGAACAGACGCAATATCAAAATGAAAAAGTGCTCTCCATATGATAGTGTACCCCCGACAAAAACGAACGCAAAAAGACATTAGTCAATAGCTTGCATGTTTTATTATCGTCGTCATTTCTTTCTATCTATCTATATGTCGACGACCAGGGAAGAGAACACAGCTGCGCTACTTTAAACTATTTCGCTTACTGATGGCAGTAGCGGTAGTAGGGATCTTTTTCCATACGATGTCGCTTTCAAACGGAGACGAATGACAATATACTTAGAATTCGAACATGAACTACAACTTACACTAGATTCCATTTTGATCTCTTTTTCTTACTGGCGTAGTTCATATACGTCGTCTGTCTTATAGTAACTCAAATCACGGCTTATGAGAAGCATAATAATGCAAGGCTATCTTTATTATTGGAACGCGCTCAGCATAATAATCTCTATGAATTTCGCAGTGAATCTTCAATCATCTACATTTAATCAGACATCGTCATTTCTGCGTCTAGTAGAACATATTCGTCGATGCGTTCATGAACGCGAACAGATCAAGCACCAACGATCTGTATCTGATTATATCGAACATCTAAGACGATCGATGAATGAAAATCCATTGTTGACGCGTGCACTCTTCCAATTTTATGCTACAATAAAAACTTTTTCATCACAAAATAATCGTATGCATATGTAGTTCCTTGCTTGACATCTTCATTTTGGCTTTTTCCTTTCTCGAACGGAAAAGGTTTCTCGTCTACAAGTATTTTTGACCCAACAGAATCAAAATTGAGTTTAGATGAAAAAACTTCTCTTGATAATCTCTATACAATCGACCATGACATCGATCTGAAATCTAGTCTATCGGAAATTAGTTTAACAGACCTGAAACCAACGAAATCGACTACTCACTATATTCAACCAATGAACAATACTCACCAAACTACTGGTCTATTGACAAAAGCAACACTGACTGCTATCAATAAGGCACCACATCAACGTTCAACACATGACGTTGAAATCCTCAAACATTTACTTCATAATTGCGAAAATCTTCGGCAATCACCTTCTCATGTTCGACACTATGCTGGTTAGTTGAATAATAGTCTACTGATCGTTCAATTGATTTTAATCTCAGCTCGTTCACTTCGACTTCTCACATACCCTCCGAATACAATCATCACTCGTCAAAATCACCCCTCGATTCTCGTTTATATCATCGTATCCGGTATGATTCTACATTCTTCTTTGGCAAAATAAACTGCCTCACGTATTTACTACAGGCACATGTAAAACAGTACTTGAGACTGAAGAACGAGCCATATTTGGCACTGACTTAAATATTGGTTGTGTCTATGAAGATAATTCTGTCGATTATCGTTTGAATGGGTTGATCACAAGTGAAATGAGTCAGTGCAATTTAGTTGCGTTTTTTCGGAGAGATATACAAGTATGTCATTGAATAATTTTAATGGTATTATTATCGATTAATGGAAGGTATATACAAATTATTTGTCTGACATCATGAAACAATCATTACTCGAACAACTTCGAACAAAATCGACGTTTACTGTTCTCTACTGGCGAAATGATATAGTAGAATACTTTGTACGACAATCATTTTGAGCGAATAACAACAGTAGTTTCTGCATTGTAGTTAAAATGGACGAAATATAAACAATATGCAGTCGATGAAATAATCTATGGCAACGTAGACTATCAAGATGAGAATCTTTACTTTATTCTTCATGGTCAAATATCTTTCGTCTGCTTATTAAATTTTCCATCTCGAATGATTCATCATCCGCACCTGAATAAACTCTATCAAGCACAGAATTCTCAGGAGAATGAGAAAGGAATCACTTGGCGTTTCTTGGAAGTGTTCATTCTTTCAAACGGTCATTATTTTGGATTTGAACCGGTAACAACTCACGCGTGGTACCTTACTCGAACTATCGTCGACATCATTTCGAGTAATAGCGTCTGCTTCTCTCTCCTGTTGCTCTCTTCTCTATATCCTCTCGCGTTCTTCAGTTCCAAAAGATCGATTCAAACAGTTGGGTCACTTTGCATCGATGGTCTTCGAAAAACTCCGCGAAGATTTTCTCGATATGTATCCAAATACAAATTCCATTCGTCAATCTTATATAAAATATCTTCAAACGAATCAATCAAGCGAAAAAGACTTCGTCACAGTAAAGTTCAAGAATAAAAAACAGCCAATTATCAGTACTAGTCATGAAAAAATCAACTGGATTCCAAAACAGAATCTTTTGAGTATATATTTAAAAAATCTTTCGTATTATTAAAACAATCAAGGTACTCTTTAGATCAATTCAAAGAAAAACTTAATTTTTCGTCCCACGAACAAGCAATCCCGCTTTTCGATAGATTTCATCGATAATCTCCATGTTACGTATAGCACTCGTTCCAGTTGTGTACACAATTTCGTACGCCCTATCGAGAGATCCATCATTTTGAAAGCATCGAATTGCTTCTGCAAACGCTTTCAATTGATAATAATAAGTAGACTGATTATCACCATAGTTTTTTATTGTACGTGTTTGTCCGTTGTCGCGCTGACGTATTGTTAAATAATGATAGAATACCGGAGCAATTAGATAAGCAATTGTAATTGTCACTTTTTCACATTCGATGACAAGTTGTTGTTTCATAAATGACCAATCATTTGTAAATTCATTATAGATATTGCACTGAATTCCATCTAATTGAAATTCGCTTCTCATACCACGATCAATTTGAGGATTCGTTGGTGAAACTCGTAGTGCTTTGGCTTTTTGAACTTCGAACTCGCCCTCATTTTGTTCCGTACGGTTGTTATGAGTATTAACAATATATCGACACATGGATACTAGATAACAACCGAGATCCATCTGAGCGCCACCACCCAACGGATACTGGAAACGAATATCGTTATTTTGTAAGAATTTCTCTGGAACAGTGAAAACACCAGTGATAGATCGAACCGGACCATTTTCATCTCGATTCGAAATGGTATTTTTGACCGTTTCGCGACAAAATGGATGATATCTGTAATGGAAAGCTTCGACGAGTAGACGGTTTTGTTTTTTTGCTTCGTCAACCATTTCACGTGCTTCCTGAGCATTGTTCGTCATTGGTTTTTCACAAAGAACATGCTTACCCGATCGTAAAGCTTTCATTGTCCNTGACTGAATTTTGGCTTCCATTTTTTTCAACTCTTTCGCCACACTTGTAGACAAAAGACTTGCCAATGTTGCTGTTGACGACTGCACTTGGCAGCGTTTCAAATGTACATCGCAGTAGATTTCATTCCAATAGATGGATTTTACCAATGGATTTCGACATAAATCGAGACGTGGACGTGTTTCGTTCAGTTTTGTTAGAGCTAGTTTGAAATTACGCTGACGCAATGCACAATAAGACATGTCGAGCGAAGATTGAACTTTGTAATCTATTAATAATGGATCGAATTCTTTTGCTTTCAATCGACTGGTAAATGTCATGCGTGGTCCACCGATTAAATCATCGAGAATCTAAACAAAATACTTTACAGTTTACTTTAACATTTAGTATGTGAACTTACGTCCAGAAACAAAGATCGATTGGTGACAATATCATCCCATGTTTGTATCGAACTACGTATAACATCTGGCAATTGCCATTGCGACAGCAAATCTTTGTGTAAACGTTCCAGAAATAGATCTCGTGTTGTCGTGTCCGTTTTATTATTGGTTAAGTAGCGATTCTCCAGAGATTTTAGTAAAGGTAAATTATGTTCAACAAAACCAAGAAATTGATCGAGTTCATAGTACGGTTGAATCAATTGTATGGTCGTTTTTCGACCATATTCGCTTAAACGACTCAATGTAGACCAACGAAGCAAGAATTGTTCTCTTGCATATTGAATATAATATTTTGCACCTGAAATGGATTGAAATTTATCTCTGATCAATAATTTTCAAATACTTACGATCGAAATCTTTCTGATAGAGAAAGAATGTTGCCAATTCAAATGGATATTGCTTTTCGATATAGGATCGTTTAACAAATGTCGTTTCGGCATTACTAGTTGCTGCCGTATTCTTCGACGTCGATGATAGATTATTGAAGAACTCGCACAAATCTTGTTGTTCTAATTGCTCTTGTTCAGTGCCCGATATCAAAAGTTTCAATTTCGAACGTATTGCATACGGCATCAGATAGTTCAGTTGATGTGCATTCGACCATAAGGTATCGAATGTTGTATCATCGATAAAGATATGTTTGGACATAATTGTCCAATTGTTCAGTTGATTACAACAGTTCAGCATTGACTGTGTCCAAAATTCGTGTTCTAATTCAAGAACGGTATCTTGAGTTGAATCATCGACGAGAGGATATTGTTCTAAAGCTGTAACATAACTGTTTAAAGCTAAGAGGAAGTCAGCATGGCTTTCTTCTTCGATTGCACGTAGGGTAATGGATTTTAAGCCGGGCGTTTGAGAAAAGATTCCTCGAACATCGTCGTAATTTGCCAATGAACGATAACATTTCGCTAATTCAAGCCATTGATCAATTTTCTTGTATAGCTGCTTACTAAGATCAGGATCTGATTTCAATTTTTTCTTCAATGGTCCATGAAGCAACTGATTCGACTCGATCCGTTGACTGAATCGTATGAAATATTCGATTGTTAATATGCCAACTGATTCTAAATGACTTGCGATTGCTGAGGCGCTGATGTATTGTGCAGAGATCTGAATCTGTTCAGGCTTCGAGAGAACAATATCAAGTAGTGCAGCAACGAACGATGGATAGAAGATTTCCGATTGAGATAGCATCACATCAAAGCGATATTGAATCGTCCGCAACAAATCATAATATTCATCCGACGATAATCGATCTTCTAAAGCATTGAGCATGGATGTGAACAAACTCGCATAGAGTAAACGTGCTATGTGATTATCGTATTGTGCAAGTGCTTGCAATGGTATGATGATATCACTGTAACGAATCTGAATATCAGGTAATTCGCCAATGCGATAGGAGCGATACTTTTCAACTTGATTTTCTTGCTTGAGCTTGATTTCGTTGAGAAATTGTTTCTCGTTTTGTTTCTTTTCGTTTTGTTTCCGAGCGAAATATGCAGCTAGAAAACAAACAAGAGATCTAGTCTATGTCTTCGCAATGTGATATACGAACCATGCAATTGTCCGGAATCTTTAAGAAATCGTCGCTTCAATCGAAATATATCATCATCATCTTCGTCGGCTTGCTGTGTTTGTGTTGCCATAGAATTATTTGTCTTCGGTTTTTTATCAACATCTACAATTAACGAAGTCGTCTTTCGCGGTTGTGTTGACAATGTTGGCAAAGCGAATGTATTTGTTGAATCAAGCGTACTAGTTTGTTTAAGCCAATTATAATTCGTACCATTGTCCAACATTTGAGTGGGGACAAATTGTTGACGACCCGACATTTCTTGAGTTTGTAGAATCATCGGCGTTTGTGACGCCTGTTCTCCATTGCTCTGATGGTTACTATTCTCACTTAATGTCTGCATGAATTGTACCGGATCCATTGTCATTAGATTCGTATTCGTCGTTGATAGCGACGATGAGTCGAGACTTGATGTTTGCGACTGTAATGTGAATAAAGGTATCATGTACGTATGATGCCGTTGACGCCAGTTGCATGCTAACGGAAATTCTTGAAATAAACATTTGTCCAAAGGATTCTCGAATATGAAATGATTGTAATCCGGATTATGTGTGGTACGTTCAAGAAGAAAATTTGTACAATAATTTAGATATTCATTTTCAGTCTTTATAGAATACAATTGATCGACAAGAGCTAGGAGACGATGATGCGATAGAGTGCTCAATCGTTTCGGATCACACCAGAAATTTCGACAATTTACACGGATATATTCGTTTTTACTTGATAGTAATTGAAGTAATTGCTCCCGAACATGATGATAGAAGGATTCGGATAGCGGTGTAATCGTCTTTTGAATTTCTTTTGTTAGATAGTTCGTTATATAATCATACATCCATTTGTAAATCTCAAGTGTCCAGGTTTGACATTCATTCGGACCGTCAACTGATAGAACCTGAGCAATCTCATATAGCTGTTCATGAGTTAAATTTGGTAATAATTTATGCAGTAAACGTAAGGCAACGGCACGAATACCAAAGTCTCTGAGAAAAAGAGAAGATTTTCATTGTGTTGTTTTGCAGATTCGAAGTTTATTTACTTGTGAATGAGGATGTCCAATATTCCTGCGGCTCGTAATTCCAAATATGCTGATTCGAATTCCGTGATATTGCCAATCAACGCTTCCAAACATTCGATCTTTAAATCTCCATACATTTTCTTCAACCCAAATAGTAATTTATTCATCACACTACAAATTCCAAATGCAAAATTTCAAAATTTCAAACTAGTTTTCTTGCTTACGGTTTCTCAACAATTTGTGGATAATGCTTTTGAATCGAATAAATGCATGTCACATATGTATCTTGCAAGCCTTGACTGTTGTACCACTTCAATATGAAATTAACTTGTTCTAATAGTCGTTCGCTTGATTCTTGTTTGATTTTTCGCACGTTGAGTAGCATCCCGATGACTTCGGCCGCTGCGGCATAAATAGTCCGATAAGTATTCTTCATATTCTTTAAAATTGTGTCATGAAATTTATCTTCGGTTAGATCATTTGGTAAACGCGACAAAATTGAGCCGGTTGTTACTGGTACGACGTTGTCTGTCGGTGTTGGTGGAATGTAGTATGGTAAAATTTCATTCGCCAGTAAGATACCGATTAGCGAAAGGCCAATTGCATTTTGTTTCGATTTCAAATCTGTTTCAGCAATCAATTTATATAAGATCAAAGTTGGGGCATGGATACGTTCTTTCCAACATTCGACTAACTTCTTAATTAAGTCTAGATTTGATTTCATGACAACAGGATTTCGATGTGAACAATTGGCGAAAAGATACTCAACAAGACGTTGAACAGCAGTCGAATCCAATTCACTTGGTATAGCTTGCGTATGCCAAGATAGAAGAATTACAATTGTATCGATGATAAATGTATTCAACCCATCCGAAGAATTTTCAAACATTTGATTACACATGTGAACAATTGGTGTTAACCAATAGCGTGCGTAAGGTTTAAATATCGTATGGGTATGAATGATTAAACGCATAAGAAATAATTTGATGTTGAATGCTAATAATGGATCACTGAATTTCTTGTACAAACATATCATCCACGCTGGCATGTCGACTGACTGTGATAGATTATCACAACGCGGGATGATTCCAC